AGAGGTTCACTCTCTAATAAAAATGAAACACGACTATGCAATTCATTCGCGTCTGTCTGTACAAACACAGCTCTAAACATTTATTGTTTAGTATGCATCGCACTAACCAGGCAGCAACCCACCAACCTAACCTCGAGGATGGGCCTCGAGAGTGAAAGTGAAATTTTTGAGATGGATTTAAATTTTAAATATAGAGAAGACCTTCGCATCTTTTTAATGCCGGTGGTCGGATGAATCGGTATTATTTACCACGACAAATCAGTGACGGCGATGAACATTTTGAGAAATTTTAGAATTATTCGATGTATATGCATGAATAAAAGTTTTACTGCATTTTTCACTGGAGATAGTCAGAATTTTCATTAATAGAACACGTCGAAATTAGTGAAATGACTGACTCAGATTGAAACAGCATGAGACCAGTTGGTGGGTGAGAGATCACATAATACTGACACAATTGTACACACATTTTCCCATGTTGACAAGACAAATGAAATGATACCATTGTTACTGTACATACATAACTCGACCCATTCATGCCATGTTTACCAAGCCAACTCTGTTGTATTGCATTCCTGCTGACCAGGAACGCTTATTTAATTAACAAACTTCACTCTAAAAATTTAAAGTCTTTAAACGAAACGATGTTTGCTCATTTACTAAATTGGAACACCTATAAATGGAACTGAATGAGAGGAGGAGGAGAAGAATTGAGAATGAATGTTAATATAAAAAAGCTCCCAAACTCGACACACACGGAATTGAAACAATATAAAACTCCAACAATTACGAACAATTAAGAATGAAACAAATGATTTCAAATCAATCTGAGACGATGGAGAGGGGGAGATGACGACGACGTTTGACGACGTTCTATAAATGGGCAGCTGCATTTTTTACTTGTCGGTAGGTCGATAACTCAAATCGTAAATTTAAATTTAAACATTGTTCATTGCGCAATCCATCACCTCCTCCCAGAGAGCAAGGGATGATGGATAAGTGACTGAATAATAACGTCATGACACACGAGATGCTTTTTAAACTGCTGACTATTCATGTGTCAATATATTTAATTTATTAGTCACTGCAACCGCCGCTTGTCAGATGCACTAAATATTGCAATCGGAAGCCGATGAGTCGTGGATTTCGAAAAGTTTGGCAAAGGAGATGAAGAAGCAATAATTTTTAGACAGTCAAAATTTATGTTATTCAAATGTCAACCTCAGCAAAATCTTTTGAAACTTTCGGAATAGAAATCAGAACATATTGGTACTTATATGACTTATTTTTTGTGAGAATGTGAGGTCAAGCGTTAATACAGAGGCTGAGGTAATTTTGAGAAAAGTGATCAATCGAGTGCATTTTAGTATTATTTTATTAGTGCTGAAATTCTGTTGGGTAATGAACGATGGAGGAGTTTCAAAGGTTGCATTTTCCATTTAATAATTTATCGTTACGTAATAACCGATCGTACTGAATGAAAGAACAAAGTTTGATATATTTCAGATTTTTTGTATATAACGTTAAGCCAATTACTATAATAAAATTATTTACGCATTGGTTCTGCTATTTATCAGGAGGCAGGTCAGGTCAAGTATAAAACATTCCTATATCATTTACGATTAAAATCATGAAATCCACTTTCTTCAATTATAAAATAAATCTTCTTATCTAGACACGAATTCAAATTGTGCTGCAATATGTAACTCCATTAGGCAGATGGGTGAGAGATTTGTAGACGTGCATAAATAATATGAAGTGCTACATGAAAACCATTTTTAATCACAAAATTCAATTTAACCTTGATGTGTAAAAGATGTTTAAATTTTTGAATCTCTATTTGAAGTAAAATTTTAAAAGGAAAGTTTTCTTGCATTGATCAGATAATGAGAACTTGATCTTGATCTTTGTTCTGGCAACGAACGGCTAGCATGTTGGTTTGGTTAGATTTTTACTCTTCCTTTACATTGAAATTTACAACTGAGATTTTTACTCACCAACCACACAACAAAGCAAACCAACATATTTAATCAAATGACGTACATTCTCTATGTTCAATGTTTATTCATAGCAATAAATAAATAAGAAGGGAGTGCAACCGTCCCGTACTATTTTTCAAAGATGTAAAAACATTTGTATTTGTATTTTTCTCACCACAAACAAACAAAAGTTTTTTCAAGTAGGAAAAGATTAAGATTAATTTCAAGATTAATTTTTAATTTAAGTGATATTGAGTAATTATACGGAGCTTATGAAATAAAGAGTGACACTGTCAATCTGAAATATTCAAAAGTAGTGCAAAATTTGGGTTCTAATCTTTATTTAGTGATTGCATAGCATTACTTATTTGCTAAAACAAAGTCATGAATTTTTTTTAACGAAGCTAAATAATTCCCAACCGGGCCACCCTCAATCGAATACGCTAATTTGAAATTAAGCAATTGCCTTACTAAAATGTATAAAGGTTTGCCTGCAATTTTCTACCGTGTAGAAAAGGGAAGGAACGACATAACCAACCAACCAACCAAAGGCTCATTAATAAATCAAACTAGATAATTAGAACTTTCGGCAATAATCTAGAGTAATTAATTATACAGGGTTTGGCAGTTGATTTAGACAAATTAAGGTACCTATGCACCACCATGCACGCTGATGATCTGAATTGTAATGACAACATGCAAATTAACGAAATGTCACTGTCCGCAAATACCTACAGACATAAAAAAATACCTAAAAAATAGGTGACCATACATACACACGAATATTTTATTATTGCAATAATATTGCAGCTACACAAATGAACCCAGCCTTGCATTATGGCTTCCGCTTTAAATTCACAACTCTTTCATGCAATACATACGTGTGAGATTACTGATTCAGTAGTTTTTAGATTTAGATGGGTGGGAGTGGTGATTTTATTTATTTATTTGTCATGCCTGCACTTTTTAGAGCTTAAGGTACCTCAAGCTTATGGCGCCATACGCTCTTAAACAAAGGGCAGATTCACTTTCAGTTACAGTTCACTTCATTCAACTCTACGAGTTAATTGCACATTGTCAATTGTTTGATAGCCGACTAGCTTTTCATTTAACGGAAGGAAGCTAAAAGTGATTTCAAATCGAGTTGTGTGATATAAAACGAGGGGTGAAAAGTATCATCACCATTTCCTAATAACAAGTTTATATTTATTGCATTAGATGCTACTTCAGAGTGCAAAAACTACATGTGCATGCATATCAGCAAAAGTCTGCCATTTCTATAATTATGACTTCTTACTTAGAAAATTGCGACAATGGATGGATTTGAAATTATTATAATTATTTAAAAGGCGCTCATCCCTCTTATATCATCACCTTTTCTATTTTAGTCTACTTATCGTGTCCATCAATCATAGAAAGTGCATTGGTTTTTGTTATTTTGACAGGATTGACAGTCATTATTTGCTATAAATCCTTGGCCTGATGACTTAAATCGTAAGAAACGCAACCTTCCCGAACTAAAGACTTATTTATTAATTGTTCCATCCATTCGTAATCAGAAGAAATAAAATAGAGTGATAATTAAGATTTTAAGAAAAAAGATGAAAATAATCAATCAAAAATGCAAATGTAAAGTGATGTACAGCATGTAATCCTTTTATCGGCACAACACTTGCCGATTATTGCATGTTGTCAAACATTTGCGAAAAACAAATAAATTGATCTTTCACAGTAATAAATTCTTGTACTAGATTTGCAACCGAATACATATTTGCATTGAACAAATTATTCTTATCATTACCAATTTGTGACGGTATAATACTTAATATTGATTTGTAATCTTTACTCAAACAAAAGTCGAAAGTCTTGAAAGTTGTCATGATAAACACTCGATCGTATAATAATAATATTCTCAGTAATGGGACATCTCTCCACTTGACTCTTTTGTAATGTGTGTAATGAACGCACACAAAGTACACGAATTGAAATGTTTAACTTGGTCACTTGCCATTTGAAAGAGTTGGTTCGTTCGACAAGTCACAATTCATTATTTTTAATACGAGTCAAATCAAACATTGCATTACAACATGCAATTATTTAGTTGATTTTAAGTAAACAATTGGTTTTACAAATTGGTTAGTTATGGATGGGGGTGGTTGGGAATTTGTCATCGCCCACATATCCAAGATTATTTCCGTATGTAAAATGGCACTTGATATAATCTTAGGTCCACTTTGTTAGTTTTCCTCATTTTTTTTCGCAATACAGGGCAACAAATCCTCCTCCTTGATTTGAGGAGTTAAATTAAAAGTGAAACCCACATAAGAACTAACACATGATAGATAAAGGTGATGATAAAATATATATCGCGATGATTTCTGACATGAACAGCAAAAGTCATCACATACTTTTTTTAAGCTGGCGTAAAACAAAGCGTCAATTTTTGTCTAGTTGCTTTTGCTGCATTTAAAAGGCTCACCTCACCACCAAAACTAACTCATAAACATGACGATCTGCCAACTGTAGCAGAACAACACATACCACAAACAACAAGGAAAGGATGATGGCATATTAAAAAAACGTATTTAAAATCTGGATTAAAATCAGAGACCGAGAAGAATAAGAAGCAACAGAAGAGAATTAGGATAATAAAAAAGGTATTTGGTGAGGAGTAAAAATTGTTGAAACAACTTTGGTTTTGATCGTTCTGCTTCAAATCTCTATTTAAAAATGAGCGTCATCATTCTGCGTTTTTTCTTGGAAAATCAGACCAAAGAAGAACTGATTATGTTATAAAAATTTGGTTGACTGACACACTTTTCTGACGGTGTGTTTTTAACAATTGAAATTAAAAGTGGTTTATAAAACTTGGCTAATAATAAAACTGTACAAAATGGCAAAATTATTTAATTAGTTAAAGAAGAGGCACTTTGAGACTGGGGGATTGTTTGGGGGTTTTCGATGTCCTATTCCAATTTGGACTGTACAAGAAATTTGTTATTGATAAATTTCGATACCTACCGTTTACAAAGTCCTTCGTTTTTATGAAAATTTCCAAATTCTGGAAGCAAAACTTGGATCACACCCTCCAACAAAAAGTCAGCATTCCACTCACAAATTCAAGTTCAATTTTCGTTCAGATAATCACGCTGGACCAAAACATTAAAATCCGATCAGCAAAAGTTGAGACGACGAACAAATTGGAGCTTGTCGATTTCTCGAGACAACAATGAGACAGCATCCGCAACAGCGTTTCACATGACACGAAAGACCGAGAGGAACTGAAGGGTTGTTAGTTAAATCAAATCTGTGAGACCAGAAGACCACTTTTGCTTCACGTCGTCACTTTACTTGCTTTACGATGTGAGACTTGGGCGAAAGACAAGGCTAAGATATTACATTTTACATTTCAGCCACCTCACTCACCTTCTAACCAACTAACTTCCCTTCCATCCATCCATAGTACTTTACTCGCTGGCTTGTTGTTGCACTTCAAAACTGCATTCTTCTTATACATAGATCAATTCATTGTTTTTTTATTTGCAGTGAGTGATAAATTTGAAAAAAAACGACTACTACTGGTTGCATTGCATTATTAATCGAGTGTGGAATTACATTATGTGAACTTATGTGATAACCCTCACACATCTCATTGGAATTGGACACGCTAATTGTTGCATTACTGGTTAGTAGCCTTCATTCATTAACGAAACGACTTGAATCAATGTTTATGTTGGCTTTTTCAGGAAAAAATGAGACAAAGTGAGACAGAAATTAATGGTCAAACAATGGGCTTTGTATTCCAAGTGCCCCGAGCCGGCGCGACCATGAAGCGAAAAAAGCGGGTTTTGAGCTGAGAACGACGACACAAACAAGTGGGAATGAGATGCTGCATTGTTGTTTCCTTTCAAGCAGAAATAAAATCGCGAAATTATTATTTTCTAAATTTCAAAATTTACGGAAATTTGGTGTCCCCAGAGTCACACTTACCTCCACCACTCCCACTACTTACTTTTTAAAGTGTGACGTGAATATATATTATACTGCATCGTGTTTCTTTTCGACTTCGTTTGCTAACTCAGCCAAAATGCATCAGACCAAGATTGGACAGTTCTTTAAGAAGAAGGAGTCCCCTTCTTCGTCCCCCGTTAAGAAGCCAGAGCTTCAGATAAAACCGAGAAAGGCGAAGCCGCCTAGCACTTCGGATGAGGAGGTGGAGGAAGAAGAAGAGGTCAAGGTGAAGGGGAGGGCAAAGAAGACCTTGTGGAAAATTGGGGGAGGAGAATCATCGTCGTCACCAGCGGGGAAGAAGAGGAAGTCAAAGAATACGTCTTCGGATGAAGAGGGAATCCATAAAAAAGTGATGGCAGGGGGAAGCAGTAAAAAGCAGAGGAAACGTATCGTGGTAGAAAGCTCAAGTGAAAGCGAGATGGAAGTAGAAGAGAAGAAGGAGGACGAGGAGAAAGTTGAAATAGTGGAGAAAGTTGAGGACAATGATGAAGCAGTTGAAGAAGTGAAGGAGGCAGATACTGCTAAAGACGAGAAGGACGAGGAGGAGAAAGAAGAAAATGGAAAATCGCCCAAATCACCATCAATGTCGTCATCAGAGGATGAGAAGAAGAAAGATAAGCCGAAGGATAAGAAAGTTGTTGATAAAAAGGCCGCCAAGAAATCGGTTGAGAAAGAAGATAAGGGCAAGTCTAAGAAAGATGATAAGGACAAGTCCAAGAAGGATGATAAGAGCAAGTCCAAGAAGGATGATAAGGGCAAGTCCGAGGAAGATGAAAAGGAAAAGTCCAAGAAAGAAAATGGGGCCAGCAGTAGCAGCAGCAAAGTTTCTCCTTCAAGTTCTGCCAAAAAAGATGAACCAAAGTCATTCTTCGGAAAGCCAGTGACCACTATGATGGGAGGAGGTGCAAATCCCAAGGGGTGGAACGATGACTATGATCCCAGCAAGAACAAATATCACCCGATTGACGATGCTTCGTGGAAAAGGGGTGAAAAGTGAGGAGAATAAAATAATGTGTAAATGTTGACTGATAAGCGAATTTATGTTTGATTGATATGCAAATATTTCAATTTCAGGGTTCCTTATTTGGCTCTGGCGAAAACTTTGGAAGCTATCGAAGCAACGAGTAGCAGACTGAAATTTATCGAAATCTTGGCAAATTACTTCCGATCTGTGATTCTCCTTTCTCCAGATGATCTCTTGATGAGCGTTTATCTCTGTCTGAATAAATTGGCTCCAGCCTACGAAGGTATTTTAACGATACATATATATCATTTTTTTTAATCGCAAAATTTTGTCTGGCATTACTCGGATAATTGTAACCCAATTATATTTCTTCACAGGGGTTGAGCTTGGGGTGGCGGAAACGAACGTGATGAAAGCTATTGCTCAGGCGACAGGTCGTGCCTTGGATCGGATAAAGTCTGATGCAGCCACAATGGGGGATTTGGGTTTGGTCGCTGAAAACAGTAGGTCAAACCAAAGGACTCTTATTCAACCAAGTCCATTAACAGTAGCCGGAGTGTTTGCCAAATTGAAAGAGATTGCGGCAATGTCAGGCCAAGCGGTGAGTAGATTTAAACAATTAAATATTCAAAATTTTACTCAATAATAACGAAATATTAATTAATAATAATACAGTCGCACGCCAAAAAGATTCAAATGATCACATCTATGTTGGTATCGTGCAAGTTTTCTGAAGCGAGATATTTAACAAGATCACTTCTTGGTAAGTTACGAATCGGACTTGCAGAACAATCTCTTCTTCAAGCGATAGCTCAGGCGACCTTTTTAACCCCTGCGGATCAGGACTTATCGGAATGGCCCCCAGAAATTATTGACGCTGGGAAAAAGATGAGTGCCGATACACTGAAAGCTAAAATTGAAGAACACGCCTTCAAAATTAAAACATGTTACTGGTGAGTATTTATTAATTCCATTCCAACTTTAGAGGAACTTAATCGAATGATTATTATTGGTGAATAATAGCGAGTGCCCCAATTACGACGTCTTGATAAAAGCTTTGAGGGAAGTGGGAGTTGATGGACTGAGCGAACGATGCAAATTGACCCCTGGAGTTCCCCCCAGACCAATGTTGGCCCAACCAACCAAAGGAGTGGCCGATGTTTTGGATAGATTTGATGGAATTAAGTTTACTTGTGAATACAAATATGACGGGGAAAGAGCCCAGGTAGGTACCCAACCATATATAATTATTTTGTTTATGCGGTTAAAGTTTTGACAATTACTTTTGTGTTAGCTTCACTTTTTGGAGGATGGGTCAATCCGTATTTACAGCAGAAATCAAGAAGACAACACGTCAAAATATCCGGACATTATTACCCGGTTCAACCAGTGTATTAAAGGAGATGTGAAATCTTGCATAATCGATTCCGAAGCAGTCGCGTGGGACATTGAAAAGGAAACAATTTTGCCATTCCAAGTGCTTTCCACTCGTAAACGAAAGGTTGTTTATTTATTATTTTTAGCCTTGTTTTGGAATTATTTTTATAAATGTATTATCTTTCTCACAGGATGCGAATGCAACTGAAATCAAAGTGCAAGTTTGTGTATTTGCCTTTGACCTGATATATCTAAACGGAGAATCTTTGGTTACAAAACCTCTCGTCGAACGTCGTGAGCTTCTGAGAGATAACTTCCAACAAGTTAAAGGACAGTTCACATTTGCGACTAGTTTGGACACTAGTAGTACTGAAGAAGTGCAGGAGTTTTTAGAAGAGTCCATCAAAGGTATAAACAAAAGGAGAAATGCAAAATATAAGACAATCCAAAATTAATTTTAATTTGTGTATTTGTCATGAACCAGGAAATTGCGAAGGACTGATGGTAAAAACATTGAATGAACGTGCATCATACGAACTTGCCAAACGCTCGCAAAAATGGTTAAAGTTGAAGAAGGATTACATGGATTCTGGTGGTGACTCTCTCGATTTGGTCGTTATCGGAGGATTCCTTGGGAAAGGGAAACGAACCGGGACATATGGCGGATTTCTCCTGGCTTGTTATGATCAAAGCGAAGAAGCGTTTCAAACTATTTGCAAGGTACATGAGTCATAAAACAATTTAATACATGAATAAAACTGATTTATATTATTTCAATTTCTGACAGATTGGAACCGGCTTTTCTGATGATGATCTCCAAAAACATTCAGAAACCCTCAAAGCCGTTGTGATTCCAAATGCAAAATCATACTACCGATACAACCAACAACTCGTGCCGGATCACTGGTTTGATGCTGTACAAGTTTGGGAAGTTAAATGTGCTGATTTATCTCTCTCTCCTGTCCACACTGCTGCTGAAGGATTGGTAGGGATTCATTTTACTATACTGGTCATGTGCCATTTGTTTATCACATGTCTACATTACTTTAACTCTCCATATAATAGGCTGACCCCCAGCGTGGAATTTCTCTTCGTTTTCCAAGATTCCTGCGAATCCGCGAGGACAAGAACGTTGAAGATGCAACTAGCTCTCAACAAGTATGTGACATGTACAAGAACCAGGAGCAAGTTAAAAACTCGGACAGCAAAAAAAGTAGCAAGAATGCTGATGATGATGATGGATTTTACTGAATTAATTATTGACTTTTCTTCGATATCGTAATTAATTATATACGATTATTCTTAAGAATCTTATCTTTGCAGTTTCTTAATATCACCATTCATTAAAAATTATTATATACAGAGGAGTGATCACAGTGTGCCATTTCTGTGGTCATAAATCAAGTAAGTAGACATGTCATATCTCTGTATCTATTTAAACGAAATCTTAAATTCCCTTAAATAAACAACTCCCGACACCCGTGTAATTTCGGTTATTTTTGGATTGTTTAATTTAAAGGTTGCAATTTTCTATGCCCCTATTACGGTACAGACATAATATGTAATCCATACTCTATATATACATATAGTGATGAATGATTGGTCATGTTGTTCGTGATGACGGAGCTCATTTTCTTGCCTCTCTTTTTTTACGTAGGTGAAAGATGTATGTATGCATCTGTAAATCTCCTCTCCAAACTTAACTTTCTCATTCCCCATATATAAAAATAGACCGGAAAAGACAAGCTTGCAATTTCATCTTCTTTTTGGAGAGATGCAGTTAGTCGACGACGAAACAAGTTTCTGCTGAGCATTCTTATTTCATAAGACGAAGTGAGTGAGTTCAGTTTAGTTCTAGTTCAGCTAAAAGTCAAAGCCCGAAATGTCCAGCCAGGCGTGGATTGGAGGATAGCAAAGATAGAAAGAAGATGTAATAATAATATGTTATACGTATGGTTCCATCATCTCCTTCTTCATGTAAAATGCCGACTTGTTGTCTGATACAAAAAATCACAATCTTGCATGAATCTCTCCTCTTTACTTATATATCCTCCCGTCTCCTCCTGGTCTTGGCTCGGATTTGCAAAGCAATTTACTTAATTTTCTCAACTAAAATCATAGTTCCTGTATATCGACTAAAATCAAGACCAAGATCAGTTAGTGACTGGCAGACATTTAGTTAGTTGCATTTACATTGCATTTTCAGACCAAAATCATGACAATTGCACAAAATCTTGTGCCAAAATCACTCGAAATGTCATTACCATAATGCCACCACCTTCATCATGTCTACCAAACCAACCACAAAATTCTTCTCCAAAGTTCATCTGTCCACTTTTTCGGATTTTGCATGAAATGAAAATCCGGTCAAAAAAACAAGGTTCACTTTTTCCACGATTTTCCTCTCACGTAGCATCCACGCATCGTGTCTCTTGTCATAGTAGGAAAATGAAGGAGAGGAAAAATGTCGGTCGTCGGAGTGGGTGTGGCTGGAACTTGAGGTGTTTCAGGAGTGGATTTTACCATTAATTTGACATGGGTGGTGGAGGGGGGCCTCGTTTCGGGTGAGTGTCCTCGTACATTTAGCATCGAGCAGCGTGGTCGGTTTGGTTGGCGTGGAAATATGGAGTGCGCTTGAGTGGTGGTGGTGGAGAAGATCGAGGAGACGCCGCTGCTGCTGCCTGCTCCATCCAATTTTTCTTTTCAGTGAGGAAGTGAATGGCCCACTGAGAACGACCAGAGTAATATTGTCGCCGAAAATCCCGATAATATCGCCAACCAACACCATGGCTGACACGGATAAGCAGTCCCAAGAACAACCAAAGTCCACTGAGAACAAGGACAAGGCTGCGAACAACAGCAAGGAAATCATCGGTGAGTAATTGGCATAAATTTACACTATGTAGTAGCGATAATTCCTCCGGTTTTGAAAAGTTTTCATTTCGGAAGAAAATAATTACTTGGGGGGACGGAGGGTGGATGGAACAGCTTGGATGGCTGTTCGTCATCTCGATAACCGGTTCTAATCTTATCCGGTCGAGTTGACCTTTTGTAGACTTATTAGTTAAGGGTCGAAGCAATTACGGTTTGCATTTCATTACTTCCGCTTTCAAAAATTGAAAATTGGTTTCGAATTCTTTGGCTTGACAAGAATTTGCCTCCATCCAACTCCTCCCACTGTCTTTCAAAAAATCATTACATCAGTATTATTCAGTATTCAAGCATGCATTCAAACATGGCATGTATTTGGGCAGCAAGTTTCGGAAATGGCTGTGTTTGAAGTATCGGAGGAATTGTCGTAGTTGATAAAATGAGTTGAGCCTGAAATAGTCTCTTTTTTTAAAAAAACTTGAGTTGTTTGATAGCAACTTTTGGAGAATGATCGCCATGACTACAATTGATTGACTTGCGATATTAGACTAGAAATTAAAATCTGTTTCTAATTGATTGGAGATTTAAATCTATGATCTGTCGACTCACAGTTCCGGACAAATAATCCCTATGTTCTTGGTTTATGATCCTTGATCTAATCTATTTATGTTCTTGATTACAGCGACCAAAGTAACCGGTGTTGTAAAATGGTTCAACGTCAAGAGCGGCTATGGATTTATCAATCGGTAAGTAGTAATCTATTTTATTTTGCAGCAGCCTACCAAATTATTATTGGGCCAGTTTAAACAAGTCAGGTTTTATGTTACCTAATTGGAGTGAGTGAAGGCTGTTAAGGGGCTAATAAAACCAACAATATACATGCACATGTACTCAGCAGCAGCAGCAGCAGCAGCAACTTAGCTGCATCAAGGTCATATTATTATTAACTGTATTATAATATATTATGTAAAATCCAGAGATGATAGGAAAATATCTAGGTGGATGAATGCATGGATATTTTATTTACGACGGAAAGGAGATTATGTAAGATAGTTGGCCAGGAGAGTTGAATGAAAATGATATCCAATTCAAGTTTAGATTTATATGTTGGGTTCCAAATCCCTGAATGAACGATTGACCATAACATTTGTGTTGTAATTGAATTAGATATTAAATGCGTTGTTGTGATTTGGTTAGACGTAGGTGCATATTATTATGATGAAACTTCAATGTCAGTCATTGTCAGTACATATTTATCTACGTAGAAAGTGGATGCGCATTTGAGGTGGATAAATAGATTAAGTAAATAATGGATAAAAAAGAGTTTGTTGCAACACTTGCACCCTTCACGTTTTATGGAGATTAATGGGTTTAACTATTTGTTTTTATTAGATCTGATACCAAGGAGGACGTGTTTGTCCATCAAGTAAGCCTTTTTAAAAATATATTAATTTTTGGTCGCTTGAATCACTCGATAAATTATAGTATTTTTAATATTTAAAAAATTTTAATTTCTTAGTCCGCCATCATCAAGAATAATCCTAAAAAGCTAGTGCGCTCTGTCGGAGATGGAGAAGAAGTTGAATTTGACGTCGTCGTCGGAGAGAAGGGGAACGAAGCTGCCAACGTGACTGGCACTGGTGGACAACCGGTGAAGGGTTCCCCATATGCAGCTGACCGCAGGCGAGGAGGATATGGTGGGTACTACCGTCGAGGGAGTGGAAGAGGTGGGATTCTTTCAACTTCGAAACCCAAAGAAAGATTGTTAGGTCTAATAGTCTTCTAATCAACTTCCTTCATTTTTTGATTGCAGGAGAAAGTAAAGAACAGACGGACGGAGAGGAAGGCCCGGATGAAAAACCGGAAGGCGGCGGCGGTGGTGGTCGAGGACGCAGTCGTTTCCGCGGCGGTCGTGGAGGAGGAGGTGGTGGACGCTTCCGTGGTTACTACAGGCGAAGGGGAGGCCGTGGCGGCACACGTTCAGAATCCCAGGGGGATGACAGGAAGGTATGTTGTTGTCGTATTAACTAATAATTCATGCTTTCTACTTTAAACATGTTAACAAATAACTATAATTTGTGATTCATTGATTGCAGGGAGGTGAGGTGAGTGAAGGAGAAGGAAAATCCGAGGGGGAAGGTGAACGTGGAGCCGGGTCAGGCCGTGGCCGTGGTCGAGGAGGACGTCGTGGTGGCCGAGGCTTCACTCGTCGATTCTACCGACGAGGTGGAAACCGAGGTGCAAGAACCACGAGCGGAGGAGGTGATCAAGAGGTATGCATCAAAGTCTTGGAAATTTGTCGATATGCATAATTTCAAAACGTGTGTATAATTTATATTAATTGAGTTATCATTTTCTGTAGGGAGGAGATAGCCACCAAGAGAACGAGGGGGCAAACGAAAGTTCTGCATAAATAATTAAGCATACAATAATATACCCAATTGCAGAAAAAAAAACATCCTAGAAGATCACCTCATAACATCTACACACTATAGAATAACAATCTTAAGATCAAAAGTGTTAAGTTAATTGTAGCTCTCCCTCTTAAAAAATTGCATGCTTACCGTAACATCCGATAACATCTTCGTCAGCATCATCAATATCAAATCACAAAAACAAGTTCAAGTACACATTTTTTTGTCTACATTCTAAATATTTTGAATCAAAATTCTGGTCTGATTGTTGATTGTAATTTGTAATAATATGTCGTAACGTTAACTTTGGTATGCTCTACGTTAGAGTAATTATGTTATTAGAGACAATTGTATCTCATCATGTAAGGGAAACGTAACGGTAGTTAAAAAATATAATAATGTTGTTATAATAATGTTTGGATGATGGATGTGAGTGAATTATTGTCCTTGTATGATATGAATCAGCAACATGAGTAGATATAGACCTCTCCCCCCCATATCTAATATGCTTTATATTATGTTAGTCACCATATTGGGAACACTTTGTTCAGTTTTGAATAATAATTCAAAAAAAATATAATGCATTTTTACTTAAATAACCTCTCTCTCTGTCCACCATCATCTCAGTGGTAGATGTACCATTTATTCAATCTTTCATAATTTGCATGTTCATCTCTCGAATGATAAGAGGACTGTGGAATAGTTTTAGTTGTAAATTTAAAAGGTTCTTGAATCTAGTTTACTTTGAACCTTGTGGCAATAATTCACCTATCCATCTTATTCTTCTACTTTGTACTAATTTGAGTAATTGGGCACCGGCTCCTACCTTGTAATGAAATCATGAAACCGTTTTGCATGTTCGAGTTCATTTCTTTCTCCTGCATAGCTTGGTCAGTCAGTGTGGTTCTGATTTCCAGATTGTCCCTCAAACAAGTTTCTAGTTGTGTGCTGTACTGCTGTTCGGAAGGGTCGATCTGATGCAGTCGTATTAACTGTGTAGTGGGCGTTTTTTTAGCGAATTTATTTTTTACAAGTTAATCATGGATGGGAAGATTTTGCCATTATTTTTATGGATATGCCTTCTCTTCATAAATACTTCTTGTGGTAAGAACAATATTTTTTACGTAATTTGCATGCCTAGCTGATTATGCAGATCAATCTTGAAGTGGACTCTATTAAATTTATTAACTACTACAGGACAGCGAATGCCTCCACCCCCACCGCAACAACAACAACAGGCTGTCCCTGTTAATAAAGTTAACCCTGCAGCTTCTCTGCCCCCACCTCATATCGCAGCACAACTGCCTCCCATTCCTCCACCACTTCCACCACCACCAACTTTGCCGAAAAGTCCGAAGAATGTTCCTGTACCGCAAACCCTCATGCAACAGAGTCAACAGCAAAATGCGTCGTTACACTTATTAAAAGTTCAAAAAAGGAAGAACGACGAGCTGGCCAATATCAAGGACGATAATGTCCGTCGAGTCCTGATGGAATTATCCACACCACACCTTCCCCAGGCGAATATGGTCGATACACGGGCACGCGTTGCACAACTGATTGGACCACTTTTTTATAACAATTTTGAGCAGAGGAAGGACAGGATTATTGGACAAAGTAATTAATAAATGACATATTTAGTAATATATGCGAACTTGAAAATTTATCATAAATGCTGTATTACTGCAATTTAATTAAAGGTCGAAATACCTCCTCCTTCCCGGAACGATTGCTCGACGCCTTCACGGACATTAGAGGCGAAGAGGTGAAAGCACTCGTGTTACAGAAACGACTCAACGCCCTGCACGCGTCGGATCTTGGCTTGCTTCCCATGGCGTTTTTATATGCTCTGCAGGTATGTAAATACCCATTATAAATACTAAATTTTTAAAGGGAAATACTATTTTAATTGTATAAATTAATTAGTTAATTAAATAATTTCTGCAGGGAACCTCGCTGAGAAATATTACTGGATCTAATTTGGCCGGAGTGATAAAACTAAATCTTGGTGATACAACGCTAGCATTTAAGGCTGCAGAGGCACTGGATAACAGGAAGGATGAACAAGTCGAATTTCTCCAGTCTTTGGTATTTTACTCTTGACAAAAGTACTAAATAATTATTGGAAAATTTCAGTCTGATCAAGTTGAATAATTCACATAGGGAACTAAAATCCTTCCCAATGCGGAACGAATGGTGATGGAAAAAGTCTTGCAATGGTGGGGGAGTCCTATAGGCTGGGAAAATCGTGAAATCTCTCTCCTCACCACGGCTGGTGACCCACTCCTCTCATACCTGCCTCCGTCACACCTCGAAACCCTGGATGAAGAACAAGCGGACAGGGTCGTCAGCATTCTCGGTGAGTCCGCCGAAATTGGGAAGGTTTGGTGGATGAAACCAATGTCTGTGAAGAAGGCCTGGTTTGAGTTGGCAAAGAGGGCTCGATTTTTTGGCGAAGTGCAAGAATGGTCCTTCATGAGGATGCAAATGCTCAGCTTTCTACTGGAGGGAGCCTCACCAGAAGACTTGGAGCATATCCCACCATTGCAGGAAATCAAGGGTTTGGTCATTGGCAATCAATACACTGAACTTCAGGTGAGCATTTGATTTACATAAATGCATACCATTAACTATTAGAATGTTTTTCATCTTGTTTTTGGAATGTAGGCCCGTGTCGTTTTTGACGCATTCTACAAAAAGAGTCCCCTTTCTCAAGAAGAACTTCAAGAATTCCAGTTTCACATCCTGGATCTTCTTCCCACTCAGTTGCAACGGTTTGACTTGGCCGATAGTTTCTCCACTTTGGATGATATGATGGGAATTTTGGAGAAACAAACGAACCCCTCGTACTCCACCCTCCTCCAAATCTCGTACTACATGTGGCCAATTGTCAATACGACGAGAGGAATGGTAATGGGTGATCCGAAAGTGTGGCAGAAGAAAGAATTGTCTCAAATGGGAAAGTTCCTCTTCCTCCTCCCAAAATCTGTCCTCTTCGCCATGCCCTCCGAACTCGTCAGTTGGGACTCGAACATGTTGAATGCCATAGTGTCAAAGCATTTTTCTCCATTCCAGATCTGGTACTTGCGAATCTAATTAATTTGTATTAATTTCCGATTTCATATACATACGTTGCATTCATATTATTGGGTTTTTTGACAGGTTCCTTACATCACAAATTTTGTCCAGTGTTGATGAACGACTCAAATCTGAATATCCTCACATGTTGCCTCCTCCATTCCAAAAGGGAATTCCTACCGAGAATCTGACCACTCTACTATTAACGTCACAACTTGTCAACCCGGACACGCTACGAGTATTAATTGAAGAATCAGAAGGCATGTTAACGTCACAGAAAGTGAGGAGTTACAAATACAAAATTGATATATGCAGAATATTTACAATTGAAGTTATGAAATATATTAATTTGCGTTTGTAAATTCTAGGCTGTAATTGCTCAAAGAATTAGGAGTAGATTACAAGAGAGTGTCATTCTCCGTCAGATTACGAGTTCTTCCAAGCCGGCCGAGTTATTCGACATGTTCAGTCCTCGCCAGATATTAAAAACGATGCCCAACATTATCAAAACGGTGCTTCAAATGCCAGAAAGAGGTAGTTTTGGAGAAACTGCTCTCCAGGTATACATACATAGTTTACATCTCCATAAACATTACATTAATATTAACTAATTAGTATGTATAGAGGTACACAATGATTAATTCCTAATTAAGGTCAAACTCTTCCCCCAATCCGTTCTCTCACTGTGGATGCGATGGGTCCGAGAGCAAACGCAAGCAACCAAGTGGACTGCTGAAGATCTCCTCGGTCGTTCTGCAACCGGCTCAGCACACGCTGTCCAGCTAACCATCATGGGACTTACTTGTCGCGAAGTAAACTTTATCGACCCATTAGACATTCTCCCCGTCATTTTGTATTACCGACACGAATTTTACGGGCTGAGACGTCTAAATCCTGACCTCACTTTCGAGCTCAACCTCCGGTCGTGCTTTTTGGACAAGGTCGTCAACTACTTACGAATCAAGAAAAGTTTGAATGGAAATGAGAATCAAACTCAAAGTAGCATTTTGAGTGAGCTGAGCCCTGGAGAAATTGTTGGGATTGGAGGTATACGCAATAATTTGTCATCAGAAACTATAAATAATTATATTTCATCTGACCTGATAACCTGACGACAATAAGCTACCCCATTTTTGTCGAATTTCCAGGCGAAGTACTATCTCTTATCCAACCAGCGTCCCTAGAACGAGTACCACCTTCAATTAGGATGGCAATTCTGGAAGAAATTGCCCATATCGGAACACTAGACTTGTTCCATTTCGTCCCACTCGAACAACTCCAGTGGTATGCGAATACATTGTTCAGGGATAATTTATCTCAACGATTCACAAACAATAAGAAGCGACGACAAGCTCCAGCAGCAGCACCAGGTGATGATACATCAACAGTATCTGAACCAACCACCACCTCTACGTCAGCCCCACCAACTGACAATCCCCCAGCGGATGACCCAGACCCAACAGAAGATGTAATCCCTGTCGATCCAAACAATGCTGCTCAGCCTCCAACTGATGATGTCTCTCCAACTGCTCGGATGGGTGGGGACGAATCTTTCATCCCCCAGCAAAATATGGCCGTTGATACTGACACTATCCAAAAACTTGGCAACTTTCTCTGCTACAGCGACGACATTTTTAGTGGTGACTGGAATCTCAAATTCTTTAAAGACACGTTAGAATCAAAATCTACCCCTGGCGATAAAACTTGCTGCATCTCAAAGGCTAGTAGAATGAAATGGTTCCAATTACTAAAAATGGTGTATGGAGCAGATACCTCGATTTGGAACGAATTTCAACTCGCGTCCATGGGGGACATGTTGATCACTGTCCCTGACGAAGAGATGACAAAGATTTCCCGAGAAGCACTCGCCAACGCGGTCCATCCCATCCTGAAGCAATCAGGGTTCAATCAATTGGTCACTGTACCAGGCGAGAGGAAGAAACAGCGATTCATTTCTGTCTGTGTCGAAGCGTTGGGAATGGAAGGGGCGGAAATGATGCACGCATACAAGTCTATGATGAAGCATGTTACGGAGGGAGCGCAATGGTTGGTCAATACGGTCAAGACCACAGAACAACTAATATCAGACAGCATGGTGAAGTCCGGGAGATTACCCAGATGGGCGGAGTTCACCTTGGTAAGAAATCCGAGACAGGTTCCTAGTTCCGGTAAAAGTTTCATACCACCTCCACCTCCAATGCCAAAGTCGTATCCAGGACCCGGAAATAATCAATTTGGAAATTACGGGCAAGTCGGAAATCAGTATCAAGGACAATTGGGAATGCAAAAACAAGGACAATTCGGAGGTCAGGGTCAACTAGAAATTCAAAAGCAAGGACAAGTAATGGAAAATCAAAATCAATTTGCAGGCCAAGGCCAATTGGAAATTCAAAAGCAAGGACAACTTGGTATTCAAAGTCAACTTGAAATTCAAAACCAAGGACAAGTAGCGGAAAATCAAAATCAATTTGCAGGCCAAGGGCAATTGGAAATTCAAAGCCAATTCGGAAACCAAAATCAATTCGGGGGTCAAGCGCAATTGGAAATTCAAAAGCAAGGACAATTAACCGGAAATCAAGGACTTGGTGTTCAAAATCAATTTACAGGACAAGGGCAATTGGAAATTCAAAATCAATTCGGAAACCAAAATCAATTTGGGGGTCAAGCGCAATTGGAAATTCAAAAGCAAGTTAAATTTGGTATCCAAAATCAATTCGGGGGTCAAGAACAACTTGGAATCAAAAGCAATCAAAATCAATTTGGAAATCAAGAAAAATTGGGAAATCAATACCAAGGACAATTCGGAAACCAAAATCAATTTGGGAATCAAGAAAAATTGGGAAACCAATACCAAGGACAATTCGTAAACCAAAATCAATTTGGGAATCAAGATAAATTGGGAGATCAATACCAAGGACAATTCGGAAACCAAAACCAAAGACAATTCGGAAACCAAAATCAGGAAAAATTGGTAAATCAATACCAAGGACAATTCCCAAATCAAAACCAAGGACAAATCGGAAATCAAAATCAATTTCAAAATCAAGGGCAATTCGGAATTCAAAACCAAGGACAAGTCGGGAATCAAAATCAATTTCAAAATCAATTCGGAAATCAAAATCAAGGACAATTCGGAAATCAAAATCAATTTCAAAATCAAGGGCAATTCGGAATTCAAAACCAAGGACAAGTCGGGAATCAAAATCAATTTCAAAATCAATTCGGAAATCAAAATCAAGGACAATTCGGAAATCAGAACCAAGGACAATTCGGAAATCAAAACCAAGGACAAGTCGGGAATCAAAATCAATTCGGAAATCAAAATCAAGGACAATTCGGAAATCAGAACCAAGGACAATTCGGAAATCAAAATCAATTCGGAAATCAGAACCAAGGACAATTCGGAAATCAAAACCAAGGACAATTCGGAAATCAAAACCAAGGACAATTTGGAAATCAAAATCAAGGACAATTCGGCCTTCAGGGTCAAGGCCAGGGTCAGTTTAATAACGGTCAGACTCAGTTTAATAGCGCCCAGGGTCAATTTAACAACGGCCAGTTTAGTCCGGATCAGCAATTGGACCTCACAGCTCGAAGTACAAATGGAACTGGGACTAAAAATGGGACTGCTGACGTCCCCATTCAAGAACGGGCTCGAGATGCATCTGACACCTCATCATCACTGCCAACTAGCAGATCTAACAACGGACAACAACAACAGGTACAAATTCTTTCTTTCAATGCAATATAGCTTTTTCAGGAATTGAATTAATTTGTTTCTCTACTATTTCAGATAACTTGCGATGGAATCAAAACAGCGGGACCTGCCGCGATAGGACTGACATTGGAAGACTTGACCCAACTCTCCGCCATCGACCTCTTCAACTGCATCGAACCCATTGGAAAATTAGAATGGGATGAACAAACCAAGGCAGTAATTCTAAACTTGTTGGTGCAAAAGCTTAACGTGAGGTTCGACAAGTTTAAGACGTTTGAACTCATTGAGATTGGAAACCTCGTTACCGCACTCCATGCCAGTGAGGACAGCAATTTCAACAATAATGCATCCTCACCCTCTTCTGCAATCGACATTTCTCAAATGGATTTGAAAGTTCCGGAAAGTTTGGACATGATTTCGATCCTTGGGTCAAAAATAACTGATCCTCAAGTGGTAAGATATTAATACATATCTACATACATTGATTAGATCACAATGCAATTTTTCTATTTTTTTTATCAAATTATTATAATTATTAACTAATTTGTGTCTTCTAGCTCAAAGTTCTGGCTGACAAATTCAACGCAGACAACTCATTTTTTCCTGGGAATCCAAAGAAAATTCGACCAGAAAATGTTCGTATAATTGTCCAATCGCTTGGAAATATCATGTGTGGATTCTCAGACAAAGTCGTAAACAGCATATTCGAAGTTGATGCTCCACTCTTTATCGACTGCAGCCCTAGACTTGGGAAAGTTGAGGGTTGTTCGCCTGAAGTCCTGTCAACGTTAGCCACACATGCGATAAGACCGAGTAATTATGGTCCCCCACGCCTTTGGACACAGGAGGATTTGGAAACGATAGGGGTCGTATTTGCAGGTATTTTATGATACAATTCTTTAGGTTTCTAGCGACGGTAAAATTAGTAAAAATGGAATTTCCTCTATTGCAGGGCTTAAGCCGGAAGCAATTTCCACAATCCCACCCGACTCGATGCAAGGACTTCAGCCCCAAGCCATGCAAGCTCTTCCTAGCTCATCATTACCTGCCCTCACACCTCAACAAATATCCAAAATGTCGTACCATGCAGCCAAATCAATTTTACCAATTCAACAAAATGGTCTAACCTCGGCACAACTAGAAGCGCTTCATGGAGTGATTGATGCTACTGCTGAGCTGGACGCAGGATCTGCAGATGACACTGCGCGCCCCGAAGAAACGAGGGCACTCCCATCTGACGTAGTTGGGAGAGCAAAGGGTGGACAAGATGACCATGTTATTAATCCTGCAAATCCCACCACACCTCCCACGTCGGCAACAACGGAAGGTCCGACAAGCACCACTGCCCCAGAATCAGAGGGAGAAACAGCCCCAAAGAGTGGCTCAAATCGTAACCATTTTATGGATTCTACAACTACTCAAGTTATTGTGATATTATCGACAATCGTTAATTTATATCGTCATTTGTAGTGATTAGTTATTAATAATTCTTATAAAACTGTTATCATATTGGCCTACTAGTAGTTTCAATTTCATATTTATGCTTTAATAATTTTCTATTCATAAAGTTTAAAATTTAGTTCTTAACAAAGATTAGATTTATTTATTGTAGTGTAATTTCCGTGACCAAACCAATAAATTTATTTCCTGGATCAGTTTGGAGTTTTCTTCCATCTTATCTTACACATATTATATTTTCATTATGAAAGAAACCCAAATATACTAATCCTCGTTATTCTCCCATATTTTAATTTATGTCGTTGCAATTAACATTTAGCCTATTGTGGTAATAATATGGTAATGATACTTACAATGGTAAAATTTGTCGTACATATATTTTAAGGTTTGCTTAACGGCGCGGATAAGCAGTTTTGTTGTATTTTGACTATTCGATTAAGTAAAGCTTTTGTTTCCAGTGCAATCCTGCGTAAGGGGATTTTCTGTGCATAAATAACTAGATAATTTTCGTCTCGGGCATTTGACACCTATCATCAATAAATGGCATGAATTGAATCAATCTGTGAAGCAGAACGTATGTCGGGTAAAAATATATAAAATTGTCTATATTGCACACGACCATGTAAGACTCGTACTCTTTCACGAGTAAAATATCATAAGTGTCAAGTAATTTTAAGTATGCATGGGTTTTTTGGACAACCAGTTATGTTATCAACATAATATTAGCGTCTAGAAGAATTTCATTTTCATTATCACGTCACTCCAAGTCTCAGACATAATTATATTTTGTAACGAAACTCCTCTTATGTTATCTGACTATCAGGGCGGTGATGGAATGGACGATCCGTGAGAATAGTCGACGAGGCACTGACCATATTTCCCTGATTGTAACCTGACCAAGATTTGTCACGAGATGAAATACATAATTATGAATTCCGTGCTAAGTTAAGAAATGGTAAGATAAGTATAATTAACTTCTTGTTACCTCACAAAAATGAGCGACATACTCTTGTATTCCCCACGGACCGTGTCCTCCGTTCAAGTATAGGACGTAAGTAAATCCGTCCCTAGCTCGACCACCGATTGAATAATAATATGGCAAGAATTTGTGAACCCTATTATGCAGGGAAATATTATTATTTGTATTAGAAGATATTAATTAAATATCAGTTATGACCGAAAATTACTCACCGAAAGCGGTGCTTCTCATAAAAATGTAAAGCAGGCTCGTTGGAAGTTAGCACGTGAAGATATACTGCTTTGCACTGCAAAGTGGAGAGATGATTGAGTAGACTAGATAACAGCAGTGACGCTACTCCTTGTCTTCTGTAAAAGTTATACATGCGAAGGAAAATATTTTTTTTTTAACTTTGCAAAACTACCTCACAATAAACGATATATGTACATTAAACGTAAATTACCTGCTACTGTCAACCACCCCTAAACTCAATATGTATGCGGCAGTATATTTCAGTTGAAATTCGCATAATACGTCACGGTCCTCTCGATTCAGGTCTCTTCCTTGTTTAAGCTCGGCAACAATCAAACCTGAAAATAGAAATGCATGAGCCAATTGATTAATTCATACATAGATGGAAATGAAAGATTGCTGTTTTGTCATACATACTATAATCTTATCAGGTTAATATTTTATTTACCAACGATTTTCCCGTCCAGAATTGCAGCAAGGGAGAACAGATTAGAGTCGGACGTAATAGCTTCAAACCACTTTGCAGGATACTCCACAGGGAACCACTCCTCGCAAAGTGTCTTTACTACGTCATAATCACCCGGATTTAGAAATCGCAACTGGATCTGGCTATGGCTGAATAGGGATTGTTTTGGCTCAGAAATACTACACGATCCTCCTCCCTGGTTGTTCGAACGGTAGTGATTTAATCCAGATCCGTGGCCATCCCCATTCCCTATGAATATGAAAAGGGAAATATTAATTTATGAACAACAACGTCCTGTTCTTTCTTTTAATAAGCAAGCTTCTTACCAAGAAGCGACTGTCTGCTCCCACTATCGTAGGACCAAAGTCCATGATGATTCTTTTCAATCGGAGCGTAGAATGAGAAGGACATGGCAAAAAGTAGGTAAAAGTAAACAAATTCATTTCTTGGTCACGTCACGTATCCTGCACTCCCACAAATCCTACCATTGACTTACACTCTAACCCTCCCACCTTACATCTTAAGACACCGTTAAAGCTAAAGGTGAACCTAATTTATAAGCCAATTAAAATTTTGGGTAGTAGACTTTGATTAATAATTTGTAAACTCAAAATATCGATTGATTGTTGTCATTTTGCATTCAAGGATTTATGATCCATTTAAACTCGCGCCAGTCTAATTTCACCCCAAATTCAGCGGCAATCTTGCACGTGGAAAGTAAAGCTAAAAATCTTTCACGTGTGGTGATTCGGTCTCGGAATTTAGACAAGAATTTAATTTGCAATTAATTAAACACAGTACCAAGTTTCCAGTTTTAATTAATTTCAGTATTATAACCAATTATATCCCAAAAGATATTACTAAATGGAGGGTTTGAAAAGAAAAAAGAAATCAGTGACAAAACCAGTTGAGGAAGTTGAAGTTTCTTCCGACTCCGAACCGGAAGAGGTAGAAGATGTAGAGGACGACGTGGAGAAATTAAAAGCTGAAACGGGAGATAACGACGACAATGCAGAAGAAATCCCCGAGTCCGAAGAAGAAGAGGAGGAGGATGACAAAAATCTTAGCTTCGAAGACTTGGTCAGTATAATTATTTTTAAGCAAATCAAACGGAATTGTTCATTATTTTACATTTTTGTTTACAGGGTATTGTAAGCACACTTTGTGAAGCCTGTACCAATCTAAAATGGACTAAACCATCAAAAATTCAATGTGAAGCCATACCTGTTGCTCTATCTGGTGCGCTTCCTAATTTCCTATATTTCAATCTTCAACTCAATTATACCTGGCTGTAAGTATAATACTAATATTTTAATTTGATTCCTGTTTGCAGGCAAGGATGTCATTGGTATTGCTGAAACTGGTTCTGGTAAAACGGGTGCGTTCGCTCTTCCTATATTGCAAAATCTGCTGGAAACCCCTCAACGTTTATTTGCCCTGGTTTTAACTCCCACGCGAGAATTGGCATTCCAGATTTCAGAGCAGTTTGAAGCATTGGGTGCAAGGATCGGGGTTAAATGCGCCGTAATTGTGGGAGGAATTGACATGATGACTCAAGCCTTGTGTTTAGCGAAGAAACCTCACATCGTCATTGCCACACCGGGACGTCTTGTCGATCATTTGGAAAATACTAAAGGATTCAATCTCAAAAGTTTGAAATATTTGGTTATGGATGAAGCCGATCGTATCTTGAACTTGGATTTTGAAGCCGAAGTTGACAAAATTCTTCGTGTCATCCCTCAATCTAGGAGAACATTCATGTTTTCTGCCACCATGACCAAGAAAGTTCAAAAGTTACAAAGGGCATCACTAAAAGATCCCGTCAAAGTCGAGGTTTCGACAAAGTATAAAACTGTGGACAAGTTACAGCAGTCGTATTTATTCATTCCCCTCAAATTCAAGGTTGGTCAACTTATTGTAATATTTAAAAATAATCGTATTTGTATTATTATTATTATTAAGAAGCAGATTATAAATTGTAACACTTTCTTTCAGGACGTGTATTTGGTTCATATACTGAACGAGTTGGCTGGAAATTCGTTCATGGTATTCTGTGCTACGTGTGCAAATGCAATGCGTACCGCTCTTATGCTGCGAAATCTTGGATTTCATGCTATTCCTTTGCATGGTCAAATGTCACAGAACAAGCGTTTGGCATCTCTCAACAAATTCAGGGCAAAAAACAGGTCAATTTTAATATCTACCGATGTGGCGAGCAGGTAATCTTAATAACTCTGTTTATTCTGTTTTATATAAGAAGGAATAATAACTAAATAGACAAATAACTGATTTGCAGAGGCTTAGACATTCCTCATGTGGACGTCGTGGTCAATTTTGACATCCCCACTCATAGCAAGGACTATATTCACAGAGTTGGAAGAACTGCACGAGCTGGACGGTCTGGAAAAGCTGTGACGTTTGTTACGCAGGCAAGTAAATATAAAGAAAGACAACAAATGAAGCAATTGCATATTTCAGCCCGATTTCCAAGTATATTTTCATATAACTATTTTCATATGCATTGTATAACTATGTAGTACGACGTGGAGCTTTATCAGCGAATTGAGCATCTCATCGAGAAGAAATTGCCCCTGTATAAAACTGAGGAGGAAGAGGTTATGGTCCTAACGGAGCGTGTATCTGAATCCCAGCGATATGCTAAAATGGTGAGTTCAATTGTCAGTTAATTAAGCTACTCTGTAGTTCAAAAGTTGTTCTTAAAACATGAAATTAAACTTATTTCAGCAAATGAAGGAACTTGACGATAAACGAAGAGGCGGAGGTAGTAGAAAGAGGGACGAAGACGATGGCGGGGACGACACAGAACAATCCCTCGGAGTACGAAAACGTCTCAAACCTAACAGAAACGACAATAGGGCCAATCGAGGAAAGAAATTTAAGCGTTAAGCTCCCACGGACAGCGCAGTGTGATGATTTGTTCATGTTATTATTATATCGATTCTGGTTGAATGTTTGTTATTCTCCAATTAACTATTTTTAGTTATGAATAAAAGGGCATACACACGTTCAAGGCATATTTTCTTGTCTGTATTCAACAAAAACTTTTTTAAACGGTTATGGATTAGATTCATGAAAAATGCACGCATGTTAGTCAGGAAAGTGTAAAACCAAGTTGCTTTTAAACTCTATTTGAACATTACATTCACTCACTCAGAGTAGTAGATGGACAACCAAAAGGATCACACGAATGTGCCAAGTTGCAGCAAGTAACCCTTTGAATACGAGGAGATCTCTCGTTATCCTCTTAAAACTCATTTCGCCATCTCTTTAGCGACCACTATGCTACAGCAATGTTCTCATGCTTTAGTCATGTTGGGAAAATGGTTGCATGCAACTCTTTGACGGTAGACAGTGCCAGTCTTCAGTGTTTTGGAATCTGCTACGACTAAAAGAGTTTCAATGAGCTGCAGTGTAGTAGGACTTGAAATGTACGGGACAAGGTCTTCTCTTACCAAACAACACTTCTTACTTACCATTTTACACTTACAGAGAGTTACATACATACATACATACAATGCGATGCTCTATAGTGGACTGAGAAACTTTTAACTGGCCTGACTACGGATATTCTCGTGATATAGCAGCAGACCAAAGGGATAGGGATAATACACACACAAACACATACACGAATAATATTGTATTACAAAAAGATCGGACTAATACTACATTGCTACTAAATGTTGGAGTAACCAAGCTTGGTTAAGTTACTAACTCCACACGATACGATCAAATAGATTCGTGAAGAGTGAATGAATTAAACAAGAGAATATCGGACTTATAAACAGTTTTTAAATTTCCACGCTAAATTATCTCTAAAATTATACTACTGTAAATTTCTTCTTTGCTTTCATCTTGAAACTCTTGAGTTGAACATTTTATTCGCCTGACTGATTTGAGATACTTAATTAGAATTTAGAGAGCAATTTATAAACTAATATAGTAGGAACAAGAAGAACGTAAATAAACTTTGTGCTAACTAGTAAACTACCTCCAAAAATAAAGTCACCACCATAAACAACACAATTGTCTGTAAGGTATTATTCACTTGATATCTTTGCATTGGCCTGGCCTGACTTTTCCAATTTGGAGAAATGTTTCCGATTTGACCAGTACCTTATACAACTTGAAATATTAAAGGTATGTCCACTCCATGTCTCTGTAATAATTACAAAATTCACAATTTAGAAATAATTAACGTTCTTCGTCACACCGGTCAGATTAAAGTGTCATCTAAGCGATTATAAACTAAACGACAACAAAAGAGATTCACATTCTCTAACTCACTTACAGTTTCTGTCTTCGAAGTTATACATATTGTTGTTCTGATAATCTTGGAAGTATTGAATGGAGGTTTACGATGATGCTTTGAATTAACTGGTCCAGACAGACATAATCAACAATTGAATGGCACGACCTTCACAACATTTTAAAGCAGACATAAAATAAAAATCAATTGTTATCAACTCTTTAAAGTTATGTATGGGTTAAGTAACGTGTGAGTTTACATCTTTTTTTGCGTTGTTACTCTTCCCCCAGATTGTTCAAGTAGTTAAAAAAAGAACTGAGATTAATAATCACTACACGTCTGTCTTCGTATCGGGACAATATTAATACTTTGAGATTTATAAAAACATTTGTAAAATTAGACTTGACTAGATTAATGAGTAGAAATTATTAAAGTAGTTCTTCTGATATTAAATGAATATGATAAATTGTTTAAACAATTATTTGTTTTGGTGTGTGCTTAGGTTGCTTAACGTCTTTTGGAGGCCATTGCTATAATCTACAACAACAATTGATTGTTGATTGATAAGCGAAGAGCGGTCAACAAGTACTTGGAGAGAGAGAACGAGAGAGAATCACACGGTGATTGACCACGTGGAATCCTACATACTGCCACTACTAATCAAAGCTCAGAACAGAACAACATCAACATCTGTGCATTTGAGCAGGATAACGACGAACTGGAGAAAGTTCATTTTAAAAAGCGAAATCATCAAGTCGACCAAGTTTGACGTTGAATTGGACGCTGAACGTGGGATTGAAATTGACTATGCATCTACTCTATCCACTACCAAGACACGACTATTGTTCATAGCAGTTATGGCAGCCAGCAGAAAATTGCAGGGTAATATTTTTTAAATGATCACTAAAAACTACCATTAATAATTATTAAAGTATTGATTGCGGCGTGTGTGGTTTTTGATCATTTACGTATGATCCTACACGAGTGTTACGGTTATTTCGTACGTTTGTTGAGATGTATTTTCATTCAAGAAAATTCAAAATACACGCATGCATATGATACTTACCAGTCGATCTGAAGTTGTCCAAATCTTTAATTCGTACTCCGCTTTGGCCAACGTTTCTCTCCTCGATCTTCACATTGGGTTCTGTCGTCTATCTTCTGATAACCCCGAACGTCTTGCGACACTAATCGAACCGTCCTCTTGTTCCTGGTCCACCTTTCACCTTTCGTTTCAGCCTTTGGTTCTTGCCCAACTTCTGTCACCAGTCACTTGAACCGACACAATAAATCCGGACGGAACACTTCTCAAAGTTGTAGACTAGACAGAAAACAGATAACATTAAGATTCAATAACAAGATGACGATGGGTGATTTTATGGGGTAACATTGATCACTAAATATTAAAATAATAATATTTAGTTGTTTACTGTACTCTACTCTGTGTACCAGTTCACTGCAAGAAAATATAGACAAGCATATCAATCAACTCAATGTCCAGCCAAACGGAGCAGTCGGTCCGGTAGGAATTTAGTTGAGAGTCAAAATTCCTCATTATAATCGGCATGCAAATTGGTTTCTTTTCTTACTCGAGCAGATAAATGTAAATTAATCTCGTTGTGACTGCCGTCGTCTGGTGGTTTGGCCGCCTCGAGTTCAAATATATAAATTAGTAATCTTACCATCTCGTGAGCGTGTTTAATACTGGGCACAACAGGGGAGACGTTGTCCAGAGATTCGAATTTTGGACCTTTCTACTAGTCGAACGAAGCACCAAAACCAAAAAAAAATTGTAATCGAATAAAATTATTTGCTAGCGAAGAGCTTGATTTTAAAGATAGCCAGGTCCAGCAGGTGATGGGACAATAGATTTCAGCTGGCTGGCGCGAGGGAATCGCACACGGCGTGACTGACAGAACAGACAGATCCACTTATCAACTTGCTAACTGAACGTGCACAGTTGACTGCTTGCTTCATCGCTGGTCATGGTTATCAGTCGCTGGCGGAAACTACAATACGTAATTTCTACGAATATTCGTCCTTTGGTTCGGATTTTGGTCAGCATTGAAAATTCAAACGAGCCAACGAATATAAGAAATTGTTTATCTTATTCAAATTAAAAACGTTTATCATACACGTGCTTTTACGTTGAGCCAGCTTGCTTGCTTGCTTGCTGGCTCGTCAGGTGATTTATCTCAAAAAGGCAAAAGGATTGAGTTTTCATTGTTGATAACCGTTTTCTTGGTAACTGTTGGATCCACATTTCCAAAATCCGAACCAAATCTGCCCAAACTCAATACTAACTGACGACATCTACAAATGTTCAGCTTCTTGCTCGAGCTGCTGACTTGTTCTTTATCTGCTGGGCGTGGTGAATTGGAACCACTTCCGAGTATCAGTTGTCACTGTAATTGCTGCTGCTATTCCTTCTTTGGCTGCCTCTGGGTGTGGATCACAGGGGGCCAGTTTTTTCATCTGGTCATTCTCTGTTATTCTATCACCTTCTACATGGACAACAACAACATCGCTATCACCGTGGTGGGTAACACTGCCCCTTCTTCAGAAAGTACTCTTGTGACCGCAGAAGAAGAGGGGGAAACAAACAGTGTAACCACTCCATCTTCCTCAACAGTAATCAAGTTTATAAGTGGTCTAGTCGTTGATGAGGGAGAAGATGACGATGAGGACGATATGGATGAAATGTCGCTCTCGGTAGTTAATTGTTGCGGTGATGGTGATTGTGAGGACCATGAAAGTCTTGATGACGGTGGGGGAACAATTGGGGATGATGGTGATGCGTCAAAATCAGTTAAAGGTCAAAGAAAACGAGATCGCAGGGCTGCCAAATTAAAGAAAGAAGCTCAAAAAGAGGTGGAATGGGATATCGTACCTGTTGAAAGTGCAGCCGCGAGGGCTGCTAGACTTGATGTTAGGCGTAAAATAAACGACGACTATGTAGCCGATTTACGACACAAAGGACTTCATAATTTGTCAGGTAACCCAGTGTAGTACGGAAGTGGGAGTGTCAGAGTATGATATGTATTTGTAAAATGTGGACTGGTATTTGCGAAGACATGATATGGATTATGTAATACTATTGTTGATTTTCCTTAATTCTTCGCGATAATTTATGGAATTTTGTACTTACTGTTTCGCAGGAGAAATAGACCGCTGTTTAAAGAAAGTATCTGAAGGAGTGGAAACATTTGAAGATATTTGGCAAAAGGTCCACAATGCGACGAACACCAATCAGAAAGAAAAATATGAAGCTGATCTCAAAAAGGAGATCAAGAAGCTCCAAAGGTTACGTGATCAAATTAAATCTTGGATCGCGTCCGGAGAGATTAAAGACAAAAGTACACTTGTCGATACCAGAAAACTTATTGAAACGGTGAGTTATAATAAAACTAAAACAACTTTAAGCTCATAATAGTTAAGTCAAAATTAATATGCAAATGAACAAGTCTTACTAGTAGTTTTTTACTTTGTGCAGCAAATGGAGCGATTTAAGGTTGTCGAAAGAGAAACTAAAACGAAAGCCTATTCAAAGGAAGGACTTGGAGCGGCTCAAAAATTAGACCCAACGACGAGGGAGCGAGAAGACCTGAACAATTGGTTAATTTCAGCTATTGACTCGATGCAAATTCAAATTGATTCCTTCGAGTGTGAAATCGAGTCCATTTTAGCTGCAAAGAAAAAGCGCTTGGATAAAGATAAGCAAGACCGACTCGACGAATTAAAAACCTTCCTCGAACGACACAGGTTTCACGTAACAAAATTGGAAACTCTGATGAGAATGCTTGACAATCTAGCAGCGGATGTTAATGCGGTCAGTGTAAGATACTAAATCTATTATACACATTAATGGGTACCTCAATAATCTGATTATTCACCTTGTTAATTTTCTTGTAATTACAGCTTAGAACATTTTTAAGTCAAGTCAAAAAGATCAAAGATGACATCGATTACTACTTAGAGTCCAGTCAAGAAGCTGAATTTGAAGTGAATGAATTTATTTATGATGATATTGACGGTCTCGATGAGTTTGACGATGGTCTCGTCGGCCAACCGGTCGGCGGTGGTACGGGAGAAGAAGGAACAGAGGAAGAGTTGCCAATATCAATTACAACAACTTCTGGGAACAATTCACCAATTTCCCCCGTTCATTCCAGTGATGCTTCAGATCCTGAAAAGAGGAGAAAATCTTCAGACGACGTCTCCGTCAAAGTCGTCAGGCCTGTTGCGGTAAAAGCGGTGGTTCAGTCGAATCATAGTCCAAGTCCTGTAGGTGTAGGAGGAGGAAAGGCTGTCGGAGCGGTAGGAACACCCCCCAAGGGTGTCGGTACTCCAAATAATTCGTCTCCCAGCTCAGGGTTATCCAATCACGTCTCCTCGCTCTCGTCTCTGTCTTCGTCCCCCACTCACAACTACCACAATGCTCTCAATAACTCTAAATCCATAGGTAACGGTGATGGTATAACTAGCATACATTTTAATCTTAATTTTATGACAAGGGGGATAATTTTATTCTTATTCTGTTGTATTTATCTCTAGGTCACCCTGATCTAACGGAGCACAACGACGGCTCTTCGACCACGGGTGGTTTATGTTTTCGGGGTTTGTCCAAATCTCCAGTCATGGATTCCAGCATAATTAGAGGTGTGTATAATTTAAATCATTCAAGAACTAGTGGTGTTTTTTTTAATTTGTAAGTGATTAGTGATTAATTTTTACATGGCTGTTTAACTTTAGGGCCCTTGGGTGGTATGTCAACAGTAAACGGGATACTTGAAAACGGGAATGGGAGTCCGACTGATGAGGATCATTCAAGTCCACATACTCAGTTATTAACATCATGCAGTACACCAATTACTGGATCCAGCTTAACCATGGAAAATGGGCTTATCTCCTCTTCCCCTCCACAAGAAACGACGTGTAGTAATAACAACAACAACATCTTGTTAATGTCATCCTCCTCCTCGACTGAGATAAGCGGTGTGAATGAGCGCCCCTCCTCCCACTCGTCCCAACAATTACAACTCCAACAGCAACACCAACTCTTTGGAGACTCCTCATCATTATTGTCATCGACGATGGAATCACTTTCTAACTCATCATCTCTTCAGCAACCTTCTTCCTATATTCAGCAAGCTTTTAATGGACTTGGCTCCGTTACCGGGGCGGCGAGTAATTTATCCGAAGGATTTGCGTCAAACCTGGGTGTTAGTAGTAATTCTCTGATTAGCAGCATTAACAATAGTAGTGGTAGTAACTCTTGTAGTGTTTTGGGTGACACGTCTAATGTGATCGGACTACCTAACATAATTGGTGTGAGTAGTGGTGGTATTCAACAAATCAGTTCCACTGGGGATCAGATCTCCAGCGCTTTAGTGTGTGGTGGTGGTGGTGAGAGTGCAACGACGACGACGACGGCCTCAGTTGATATCTCCTCCTCTTCGAGTGGTGGTGTGACAATGTTTGCTACGACAAGTAACACTTCTAGTAGTCTCAGTGCGAGTAGTGCTGGTGTTTCCTCCAGTCATAATAATTCCAATTCGGGCATCTTGTCTCAGCAACATATTCATCAGTTACAACAGCTCCAACAACACCAAGGGCCCATCAGTCAATGTGGAACCGTAAGATATAATACAGTGAACATAATTTTTAAAAAACTAGATTATCTGGTTAATAAGACGTATCTCCTCCTTTAATTTCAGAACCTGGAACCGAATATTTCAGAATATCTGAGACTTCAATCTCAGGATCAAATTTTGTTTAACAGAATTCTCAGTGAATCCGACTCCATGGCTTCTTTGAAGTCTATGGCTCAAGATGTTCTTGATCGCTCTGGTCTCAGTCTTGGCGATAATAGTAAAAGTGAGTTTTCATACGTAAATGCTACATTTGTCTCAAAATGCATCAAATCAAACTCTCAAGCAGACAAAGCTTGGAGAGTTTCCGGCCGCCAGTAGTAGAGTGCAAAGCAGTGTGTGCGTTTTGGTAGAAATCAAATCATACTACGAATCTATGAATCTATATATATTGGGCTAAGACAGCAAAGAAATGGTTTTGCATTGCATTACAGACAACAGAGAAAGAAGATATGTATGTCCTTTATGATGAATGTGATTCATGAGATTTTCAATCCAATCTCTATACAGGTAGATAGATATGCAAATATGTTTGATATTTAGCAAACCTGGTTGGTATATGTACTTGGCCAAGGCAACTCTAAGCTTCATTTGCAGATTGTTTCTCAGTTCTGCTAGTCCAGTGTTTCACTATTTGTTTTAACTTTTGAATTACTTCTTTTGTTACAAAATAAGTTGTTTACGCAGTTCGTGTATATTTTGTTTTACTATTTAATCATTCCCCATGTTGAAGAAGTTTTTGGCATGGTTGAAGCAGTTTTTGTTTTATACATTTTATTATTATTCACGTCGAACCTCAAAGAAAGAAAGTTTTGAAAGTGAAAGTATGAGCAAAAATGTAGGCCCTTCGGACACTAGACAATTGAGGGGTGTTGGTAGGTCGAGGTCGAGCAGCGGTTCTTCGGTGCCTCTGACCCCGCCTGGTCGTCAAAATAGGCGACGCACTAACAGTTCCCAACAACAGTCGGCTCACTATGGACGCAGTCCGTTGCAAATCCCAGTCATCCGACCGAAATTATCCGGCGGACCCAGTCCTTCTAAAACTCACAATACTACTGGCATGTTGTGCTTGTTAAATAATTACGTGACTTATTCCAATTATGAATTTATCCATAAATACTCATGAATTGTTTTGCTAATGATGTATTACTATTAAAATTGTAGATTTGTCAGAAAGTAAAACAAGGGAGGCGCACATCCCCCCACTTCTTGGTGTAGCTCCTCTGGGTCCTGTTCCTCTACAAAAGGAGCATCAACTTCAATTCCAAATGATGGAAGCTGCCCATCAACACCTTCCAGTTTCTGCTGATAGTGAACGTATGCGTCAGTTTTTACCCAGAAATCCGTACCCAACGCCACTCTATTATCCACAAGTATGTCAATAACAATTACTCAAATTAGTGTCTCCTGTCCTGTTCTTATATGTTCTTTATTAATGACAAATTCTCTATATTCTAGCATCCATTATCAAATTCTGATACCTTTGAATTTTTCAACCGGCTATCGATAGAAACGTTGTTTTTCATCTTTTACTATCTGGAGGGTAAGTAATTTGGTTTGAAGAAATGTGCGGTCGAACTATTTCTAAATTCATCAATTCATTAAAGGAACGAAAGCGCAGTACTTGGCCGCAAAAGTTTTGAAAAAGCAGAGTTGGAGGTATTGATTTTATTCTGTCTATTCTATTTATAGGATATATCTGTAACGTATAAAACTTGGTCATTTATAATAACTTATTAATATCATAGGTTCCATACAAAATACATGATGTGGTTCCAACGCCATGAGGAACCAAAAGTGATTAATGAAGAATATGAACAGGTAAGACATGAATATTTTCACACATTTTACTATTCTGAAGGACGAATTAGTTAATTTGTAACTCAACCACCACGATTTACTTGTGCAGGGGACATACGTGTATTTCGATATAGAAAAGTGGGGTCAGAGGAAAAAGGACGGATTCGTGTTCGAATATCGCTATCTAGAAGATAGAGATTTGGGATAATCGCGTCACACATCGAACAAAAAAGAATATATAACAAGCCGTCGTCGTCTTCATTCATGCTGCTGATGTATTTCCACGTGTTTCTTAATTCTCAGTAATATGATGATGAATATATATTGTATATGTAATCGTCGTCGTCAAGAAAGTACACTTCCTAAACCATCCACTATAAGCTCCCATTATAATCATCGTTCCAGTTGTTAATTTTAAATAATAATTTGAGTTACGTAAGAGAAAGAAGAATTTGAAGCGAATTAACTGTGTATCTCGTCGTTGTTCCATCATCTCTCGTTGTTCAATTCATTTCATAAAATATTCTTTTTTGTGTACCTCCTCACTTACTACGGCAAACCATATTTTTTGTAAATTAAGGTTTATGTGTGACTATATAAAAGATTACGAGAGAAACAAAGAAAAGAGAGAGAAAGAAGGAGCCCTTATTATAGAGCAAACGGAATCGAACCTACTTCAGACTATACTAAATGGAAACGAAAGTGACAAACGATCCTCAACAATGTTGTAAACCACCACCACACCACGAGAGAGAGCCCCATTGAATATTATCTTAGAATACACCCATTTAACTTCATATAAATAATTTTTCAAGAAACCAGTAATAAATGTTATTTCTGATTTTTCATTCCTCTTAATCACTTCATTACGGCCATAGATCTTTTCATACTAGATCTGCTGGTCGATCACGGCTCAGGTTTTCTTTTCATTTTGCTCTGTTGATATATCGTTAGCTTGCATTTTTTGAAATCATGCATAATAGTGAGCAAATAGTACACACAAGACTCAATTACGTCTCTAATTTAGAGTTTTATTCAAGTAATATCGTCATAAAATGGTATAATTGAGAAACGCATTTCCAATTTCATTTACATATCAAGTTCAAATATTAAAAATTCCAAAATTTTCGAAATACACTAATCAAAATTTTTGCATCATGGCGTTATAAACTCACAAGAGAACATCTCTTCTTATTTCCCATGTTATGCGAAGTATGTATTTTGCGAATATCACAAGTCAGTTTTTCATAAGTACGCATTATTGTTTTTCCTACTGTATAAATTTTAGTCGTAATAAATAAATTTAGCGTCTATCGAATCTATGTCTATGGCTGACTATGCCTTCTCCTCATGAGCAGTAGCATTATCGCGGTCAGCGCTGTGACCGTATTCATCCCCTGCGGACTGGGGGGCTGGGAGTGGGAGAACAAATGTAAAAGTGGACGTCGCGTCGGTACCGTCGCCATGATTGTAAAAAATATTATTATTATTCGTTGATCCTGATTCTTCCTCGTCCCCAACGGTGACACTCACGTCGGTCACAGTCTGCTCGATGAAGGACGAAATTGTAAAGAAGACGGGTCGAAGACGGGCCTTTTTCAGTTGCAGACTTAATTCTGCAATGTCGTTTTCATCGACTTCGATTGAAGTTGAGTCAGAAACTGATGCGTTATTGTTAATGTGTCGTTTTCGTCTTTGTCCTTCTGCTAAAAATTACATGATTTTTTTTCATTTTCATAAAAAAATTATATTTAGTATGAATATGTAATTCACCTGCGTCAAATCCACTGTTACTTCGTTCCTCAATATGCTGCGACTGATTAAAGACCGACCTTCTCCCTCGTCTTCTACGATATCGACTATTATTATTTCCGGTTTGTGGGAGTGGTGGGGGTACGCGTTGTTCCTCTGAGGGGCGATTCCGCTTGTTATCTGGAGGTCCGTTATTTTCAGACAAGCACTCTGTCAGTGGTCGTTTCCTACTTCTCCTCATTTATGTATCCTCTTTTTATTCTTTAATGACCACCAATCACGAGGAGGATGAACGACGACACGCCGAATTGCGTCTTTATGTGTTTATTTCTTCCCAAGTCAACACACTTCAAGTAAACCACGACCAAAGTAGAAATGGGGCAGTTACTACTAAAGTTGCGTCGTAGGAGTGCAGGCGTATAGGGAAAGTCGTTAAATTGACTTTCACTTGTTCTGTGGAACTTTTCAGCTCAACAATTATGCTGTCGGATGAGACTAGGTAGTTGGGAATAATTAACTAATTTCGGGTTTAAATAGCAGGACAAAAGTTTTCAAGGGTTAAAAAATAGCTACAGATCCGTTTGATGCGATGACTATGCTTCGGGGAAATACATGATGCGTGTTAACCTAACTCGATTTAGACCATCATCAAGGAGAAGTGTTTAGAGTGAGAGAGAAATCTATTTTTAACTTCAGATTCGCACATTATGAAATGTACCCGAATAATAAGATTGCAAAAATTGTATTCTTCTTTGGATTGGAGGAAAATATTATGTATTTATGTATACCCGGAAAAGGTTCGAGTGAACCTATTTAGGTTCACTGCATCTAATTCTTGTTGGCATCCCATCATACTTATTATTTAGCACAGAACTTGAACTACTAAATTTTATTGGACCCTAAATTTATAGTCTTTTCCGCAGTACAACATACTTTTTGTACAAAAGTAACAAGTAATAACAGTCACCAATAACGCGTAAAAATAAATTGAGCAAAATAATGTCTATAATTAAAACAATCTTTGAGAAAATAAGTTTGATCATATAGGTTTGGAATGGAATTGAAATAATAATGAAATTTATACAAAAATTCATTAGTATAAAAACACTGGAAGGATATCGAGATTATGTATGTTTTCTATATAATAATTATCAATGTTTAGCTAACATTAAAATTGACTTTGATCAGACGAGAAGCCAAAGATAGGGGCATCCCATTAAAAATTAAAATGCTGGATCTTTCCTGGCTTTAGTGGAATCACAGGTAAATCCCATTGTCAATGCGAAGCGTGCCCCTTTGGTAACTCGTTCATTGTAATGTCTGTTTTCTGTTCCGGAAGTGAATGACATGGCACGACCTGTAGAATACAACAATTAAATATCTACAAAATTTTGTCCAAAGTCCTAATTACAATTATGTATATACATACCTTTCCGGGGATCCACTGTCCGATTTGTACTATCTCCGTCGGTAAAGATTAACCTCCCACCTTCACAATCTTTGTTAAAATCCGACAAAAATAAAACTGTCGAGTAGTCAAACGGTTCGTGAACTTCCTGATGAACCGTTATGTGCCAATATTCATCAGTCTTATGCTGTGATCCTTTTCCCGTTAATCGCGACAAGTAGACAGGGGCTGCCAAATGAATTGACCAATAATCTACACCAAAATAAGAGGAGACCATTCTCATTAGCTTGGATTTCACGGATCTACAAAATAGGAATAAAATGAAATTATGTAGTAATCTTCTATATTTTATTATTTTCCACGCTAAAAAAACGCACCAAATACTTACTGAAAAAGGAGAAGGTCTTCCCTATGAAAAATGGGTTTGGTCTTGTTCAGCTTGTAAACATCGACAGATCGTCCATTGAATTTCAACATCCCTGCCGAAAAGTCCAACACGGCCGCAGCAGCAGGTTTTGCCTCACTGAAACCACGAGTGACTAGGTCATTCAGGGCGAAAACTTCCTCGGGACTGATCAAATCATCAGTAACAAGCCTTCCGCAATGGTTTGGAATGCATCCTAGTGATATAGAAAAATTATAACTATGTCGTCGAATAATTATGGGTATGCATTTAATTTACCTGCAAATTTGGAGACATGTTTGTCAAACGTTGCCGAACATTTGGTCTTCATGCTTCGATACCGAATATCTTCAGTCACTCCTGCAAAGGGTGTTTCGTTCTTTTTGCTAGAATTCCACCACACGACCGTCATCAGTCCAATAATAAGGGCAGATCTTGACCATAACCGATGCTAAATGGAAAGAAAACAATGCATTAGTGGAATTTTCAATCACAATTCGTCTTCATTTGTCACTCAAAAAAGCGATCATAAAGAAACAAACTCTTTTATTTACCGGAGATAACTTTGGCATTGGCCCAAACTTTGGAGGAGGATCATCCGTTCCACTGCAAATTTTACCAACCAAACAATTAATAAAGTAAACCTTACTACTTAATAACAATACCGCAGGTTTATTAAGTATGCAATTTAATTTAATATAATTAATTACCTCGCTGTAGATGCAACATCTCCATCGCTCTTGCCATCCTGCACCACACCCCCTTTATCTTTCTTTTTATCCTTCTTTTTCACCGATAAGTCTCCACTAATTTCTTTCTTTACTGATTCATCATCCCCTAAAGATGACTTTCCCTTGCTATTTTTTCTCTTTTTAACTTCTGACATGTTGCTTGAAGTTTTGTAACTTGTTTCTACTTAATTTCACTAATGTTTCTCTCAAATAAATTGCTCCGCCAGTGGTAAATTAATCAATCCAATCCAGTTAAGTTAAGTTAATTAAAAGTAAATATTTACTTTCACTGTTTTTTTCTCTCTCTCTCTGTAAATGCCAGTCTCACTTTGGAGCTGTCATGTCAGAATTTTGGTTCACAAAATCCCACTCCGTCTCATTAGTCGCACAATGCGATTCATCAAACTTCATCTCGATTTCCTTCATTCTGAATCCAAGTGAAAGCTGAGCCCGTAGCATTTTTTATGGTTATTGCATCAATCCTCGTAAATTCTGTATTTCTTTCTCGAGGGGAAGACAAAGCTGGAGAGAAGATTTGGTTACATAAACATGGCGATAATGATGGCAATAATGACGTGGTGGGCGAATATGTACAAAGGATTTGGAAATTGGAGCACGAAATGATGTGAAATTGAGACTTTTAAAAGGAATCATCTCTCCATCACAATTTGTCTTCTTCTCAAAAGAGAAATAAATCACAAAGAAATGCGAAATAATGCAGCTTTACTTTGAGCTTATTGCGAAACTGTATATAATTTGCCAATTAAGGAATTAACGAGCAAATCCACAAGTTTTTGGAAAAAGTCGACAACAATTAGGATTGTAAGGTATCATTGTTACATCTTGTCTTTTATTTACTTTATGATGAGCAACGAGCTCAGATTACCGAATCAAAAAATACCGAGAAAATATCAAATAATAAATAAAAATAACATAAATGACGAGATAAAATAAAATAACCTAAATCATATACAAAATATGGAGATTTTAACCATATAATTTTTAAAATGGTTGTTTAATACGTAGATTTGTAGCAATGGTGGTATGGATCTTGGATGGATAAAAAATTCACTACGGCAATTTGTACATAACCTGCGTCTTCCTGGTTTTCTATCGATTCTATATCCGCCGGGTACGTGGAAAACAATGTTTAATTTATTGGATGCAATTTTCCCTTATTTTCCTGCTCTTGTTATTACGTACGTACATACAAGGTAAGGTTTTGCTGTCTTTATTAGAACTGGACTGATTTTGTTGGAGAAGATAATGTTGTCGGAAGCAATTTGTGCAATGGATTGAAGAGTCGGTCCTACAGCGAATGGCGACTGAAACTGATCTGCAATCAAAACCAAATAGCAGTTGTGAATATTTTATGTCATTCGAGTAGTTTGTGCTCTTTTTTGTGTGATGCAAGGTTGAAACTTGAAACTTTTTGCAGTAGCAGTGAAAGTACGAGGAAAGTTAGTTTAGTTTATACTTTGTTCTTTTTTTCGTGTTAAATCCAATTCGTCTTCTTCCGTGTGAGTTGGGCTGTATTTTCTCCCTACCTTCAATACCTTCAATAAACTCGGTTACCTATTTCGAGGTTAGATAAGGTGTAGATTGATGAGTGCAAATATGTACATAATGAGAAAATCCAGGAAATTATAATGAATCCTGTCTTCCTAGAGAAAGTGAAGTAATGAATGTGACCTTATTCTACTTTGTGGGTATGCAATGCAATTTAAACTAGCGAAATTATGCTGGCATAGTGTGTACATCGCTAGCAGAGGGACTATCTAAGAAATTTCCTACTGTATGTAGTGATTCTACGTGGGATAATCATGTCACAGTATGAGGTTGGAAAAGTGGTCTACGCTTGTGTACCTACATACATTCATACGCAAATAGGTATTCGGGAAGTTGAGAATCTTCTTATAAATTCGTAAACAAATTGAGAAAGATGGAGAATTGTGTCAATCAATTTATTATCAAATCATCAAAACTGCGACGAAAAAAACAAAGAATATAATATTACCGTCTTCTTTAAGATATGTACAGAAAAACTCTGAGACAAAGATGTTATTACTGCGCAGTGCGTCGTGTAATATTTCTGTCTTTCTTATCGATGCGAAGGATCACATTAATGAACGACACATCATCTACGACGTATCATTCATCCATCTCCTCTCCAACGAATATTTGTCGCCAGCAATACAAATAAACCGTAGTAACGTTAGAAGTAGCTCACCCTGTAATATATAATTACCTGGCACCTTTGCACCTTGGGTGCAAAATTATAGTAGTTCAACAAAATAGATCAATAATTTTTAAGCAATTATGCACCAGTGGTGCATAAAAATGAAGCATAAAATAGATCAATAATTATTATGCAATTATGCATCAATGGTGCAGAAAGACGAGGAAGATGGCAAAGTATTTTGCACCACTGTTGGAGATTAACCGTGGTGGGTCAAATAAAATTTCAAAAAATTTGTGTCAAAATTATATAATAAATTCTCCCGGCTATTCTGTACCATTGGTGCGTTTTGCATCAATTAACCCAATTGTTTCGCATCATTTTGTGTTACCGATTGTTAGATACCAACGGTGCTATTAATTTATTAAAAAATGGACCTGATCCATTCTAGTGAGTATCAACTGATGCTCATCCAATTGTTTCGCATCAGCTTGGATAACCAACTGTTCAATACCAACGGTGCTACCTATTCCAAAATTGTAGTCCTTTCTCGATCCATTTGCACAATTAATTCGCACCATTTGCGCCACGGATTGTTCGATACCAATGGTGCGCCTACAATAATGGTCAAGGGGATTATTAATTAGCATCAATTGATGCAAAAAACTCGTGAACACACAGACAGACGGACGGACGGACAAGAGGAATTCAATAGCTCTCATGCTTCGCAGGGTGAGCTAATAATTTATGTAGATACGAGAAATAATGAGCAACTCGACTTTGCAAAAATTGCACCATTTGATGTGACGTATTTGGCGCAACTTGTTACCAATTCTGACATCGGAGAGAAATCGAATACTGCAATACTGCATGATGATGCCCAGTTTTTCCCCTTGTCGGTCAAGTTTATGTACAATAAACCACTCTCCTAAATGTGCACCGATACCAGTTCAGGGTTAAGTTTTACTAAGACCTGCTGTGATACCCCTCATTACACCAGGATAAGGGCTTATCTAGAGTAATATATATAATAAACACTCCAAATAAGTAGTGCAGATACCTGCGCTCCTGCCCCATTAAATAATTCTACCTGCATATTGCATACCTCTACACAGAGATATGGATTATGCATGGCTGGGGAATTGGGTGGGGGCGACGTGGAAATAAATGAAGTTAAACAAATAGATTTCCAAGGAGTGAGCCACTGGAGTGAAATGAGTGACGGAAAGCGTCGCTTGAATAATTCATTTGACTGACAGATAGCTTGTTAGTTGGGCCTTATGTTGCCCGTTTTCTCCAGCAGCCTTTACTACATATTTACTACATTACGTCGTCCGTCCGGGTATTCAATTCGCGTCCAATCTAGATTGGAATCATCACCGTCCTTGTCCGCCGACCAACACAACCGAAACAACAGCAGGTCGACCAAAGAAGGAGAAGAATACATACCATCATCATCATCGCACATATAGCGTTTCATGATTACTTGGATATAGGATTTCAATTTGGCAAGATAGTAGTAAACGGCTTAAAAAAGGCTCTCCTCTCCATAATCCATTATCCTCCCAATTCCCACCACTACGTCCGGACTTGACAATGCCATCACATCCATAAATGCATGTACGTACACCTCTCCGTAGTGTCAATAAGTGGACAGCAGCGTGACCATCTGACCAGTGGTGTCTCAAACTGGTGAAAGTTTACACCTCACCTCGTCCCAATTTCCAGGAGAGAGTTTGTTCTACAACTCTTTACCTAAGGGAAACTGTGAAAAGGCGTCAAGTTTTGCTTTCAACGATAAAGTATTTGTATTCTCGTTTAAATTTTAAATGGCTCAATTCCTACATGAATAAGGCAACAAGGGCAGATGCGAGAAGTTGGCCATCAATCCAATACTATTTGTTTTATGGATTCCGGTGTTTGACAAGTTTGATTCATGTTGTATGGCCCACTTTCGACAAGAAATCTCCCGTTGTGCTGCCCCACATGGTGAGAAGTTAGTTATGTATTTGTAAGTAAAGTAAATGCATGTGCCTGAGACGGGTTACTTCTTCTCCCCCCATAAATGCCGATAGAAAATGGATGGATGGATGGACAGGCAGGCAGAAAATTCATTAAAGCCTCTTCTTTTCTCAACATATGCATGACAGATATCAATAACAAATCGCTTTTAAAATTTAACTCCTCTGCGACTGCAATCATATCATCATCATCAACCAGGCATACATACATTCGCAATTTAACAAGTCGTATAAACATACATACGCCAAAGTGAAAATATATTTAATGGGTCCATTTAGTATAAACAGAACACAAACAGGGCTTGCGGTATATATGATAAAATTGCGAAATATGTACCTACGTTAACCCCCACAAATACATAAGCAGAGAGGGAAAAAAATTGTGTAGCTGCTGTTGCTGGTACTGAATGGCCGATTGAATATTACGACCGTATTTTCCTCATTTAATGCCACATTAGAGGAATTGGACCCTGCACACACACACACTACACACTAAAGCTGTAAATGTCACAGAGTGCTTCAATTTATTGGTTTCATTTGGGAGTAAAAAGAGGAATGGATTGGAGAAAGGCCGACTCACTTCGCTCACTACTTAACCATTTGGGACTCATCTTATGAATTTCTAAATAAATAATTGTTGGCTCGACACTCAACACGAAATGACGAACTATATTTGCTGCCATTACTGCTCCTTCTGCTAAAAGATAGTCTCAAACTCGGGTAACAGAACAGGACACCAAGGCAAAGGTTGTTCTGCTAGTTAGTGGCCTGGCTGGGTAGTAACGAGAAGAAAAGGAAAATGCGAAAATGTGCTGGTTTTCCTCCCCGTTCTGCCCGAATTCGGGTGGAATTGTTCCAATTTCAAAGCTTTTACTTGCCAGTCACTCAGTACCGTTGGCTTTGGTGAGTTGAGTGAGACGCGCTGCTGGTCGTTCGTGGGTCGACTAACGTACCGGATGGAAAATCTTATCGAATTTCTTAATCAATATTAATATTATCTTGGTTCAATTTTTCTTCAGTTTCCTCAATTCCAATTTCCTGTCATTATTATAAAACTAAAGCGTGTTACATACAAGAGCATATTTCGTCTGTGGTAGAGAAAAGTGGTCAAGTGCGACGTTCCAGACAGAAGTTTGTGACAGGAGTTTGAGATTTGAGACAGATTTCGTGTTCTTTCCCACTCATGAAACACGGTACAAATTAATCCGAATTTATCCCAGAGAGAGAGGAAGGATATTGATTTCCGCGTTACGTGTGCACCACTCGTAGAAGTGGATTCTTTGTAATTTATTACAATTATTGTGAAAAATAGAGCTAATTAATTGGGGACCATGCCAGGGTCTCGTCGTATGTAAAAGTGACATGTAAAGTGGACGTGGGATTCATTTCGTTTTCTCGCTACTCCCATGAGGATAATGCACACAAGTGACAAGCAATCCTTCTCTGATTATCCAATTCGCTAGATTGGGTTGCATGTGCGCCTGCATTCGGACAGAAAAATACGCAAATAATCGAATCGCATAATGAACTTTGGAATAACTAGTGGTCGTATTTCGTGTCAACCTGCAGTTCTGTCCTAGCTGTCCTTGTCCTTCTACTGTCATTTTGAAATTAGAAATCATCTTCCCCCCATAAATTAAATACTAGCATTTGAAAAATGACTTTACTTTCTCCAATCTAAAACTCATTTGGGTGGAAAAATATGATATAAAATCTTCAATATTTTACAATACTCGTTGATTAAAATTCTCTGGAAACCTTCCGAAGGGTAAGCAGTCAAAATTGCGAAAATGTATCACTTCCGAACCATGCGGGGAGGGGGAGCGTATGTCCCCCCAGATACAAGTACAGGGCTCTCCTGGAGTCAGAGGCCACCTGAATTGCCACGCTTCACGTGCGGTCTTGCCCCACAAACGTTGGTGAAATTCTTTGCAGCTGTGGACATCGTAAGGCATACTTTTTTTGATATAATTCTTTTTTTGCAATTTGCATTTTTAATTTCGTTTTTCATGCCCAGGCGAAAAATATTCTGGGGGCGGTCGTCTTTGTGTATTTGTATTTCAAGTTGAGAAATGCTGACATTGAGGAATTAAAGGACGAGTATTCGAACAATCTGGATATGCAGGACTATCTCAATTTCCCTGGTATACGCTTTTTGCATATCTAATACGCAATAATTTCTCTCATAAAACTAGCTCAAATTTCATTCCACATTTCAGAATGGCAACAAAAAGGCATCCTTTTTACTTTTGTGCTCCTTTTCACACTTGCTCTCATATTCTCCATCATTTTATACCGAGGTGCAAGACAAGTAAGTACATAGTGCTGAATATTAGCGATATATTTAGATTTTTAGAGCAGAAAACTGAAAACCCATGTGTGTTCTTTTTTTCTGTTAATTGAAGGCAAACTACTCAAAACTGCGCATCTGGTTCCTCTACCAGCTCATGTCGTTAATAACCTTTAGGTAAGAAGCCTTATCAATCAATGCAAGTGTAATGATCAATTACATGCAAAACATCACATGACATTATTAATCACCTCCTTTTAACTTCCATCTTTTATCGTAATGTAATAATAACTGTTCTTCCGTAAAAGTCATCATACTTTGAACTTTTGAATAAAAGTTGTCGTTGACAACCTTCATTACGTACGAAATAATTGGGCCATTATATGAAATATTACAGCGCCGTGCACATCTGGATGTTTATCCATGGCTGGCTTCTGCCCGATCGACCGAGAAAACTGACGGGTAAAGAAATTGAATTGAATACAAATTTTCATCTTCTTTTCATTTCATACATAACTTCCTGAATTTCAGGTTCTTTGTTCCTCATCTTTTTTATGAATTACTTATGGGCTGGGTGAGTATGTAGTATAATATAATAACGCATTATTCCATACATTAGCATCCTCCTGGGCAGTCCTGGTTTCTGTTCTGTGGTGGATGACATGAATAATAAAATAAGTACATACATACCTAGGAAAAACAAACAATGAACTAATTATCCTCCTCCATTGACAGGTATTCTCTCTACATTTGTTATCTGCTGATGGTCGACATCTCATATTTTGCTACAAGTTCCGTGAACAATTCCCGGAACGGGAATCTTCGCATGTACCAGCAGCAAACGGAACAGTTCAGATAGTCGAATAACCAGGATTGATCATCACAAATACAATACAACAGTCTCCAACCAAATATCTGACAAGAGGAGGAGGAAAGCGACACGTGTGAAGTGAATGTCATCATCATCTCATCTCAGCGTCTCAGAAAAGTATAGTACATAGTCCCCGTTTTATTACGTATGTATGTTGTATGTACCATCTACATAACTACCTGTTTCCCAGTTACCGTTCTTGGTTGTCGTGGTAGCCTGGATGTCGTGACCTTTACAGTTTTACACATGTATATGTATGCAGTTCGTATATAGATTGAGTGCAGTTCATGGATTAGACTCCCGTTTCGATGATAATGTCAAATGTCAATGTCGCGTGTGTCTGAATGTCTGTCAATGAAAGGTACATAGCTGCTACGTAAATATGTACGTACGTATATCTTGAATTGAGGTGCATGTCCGCCACAGGTACACAATTCTCGGTGACATCTTTCACCACTTACTATGTATGTAAAATAATTTCGGTGTTGTCGTAATATTTTACTCCCAAATCAATGTCTTGAGCTAATTATTGCATGCGTGTCGTCTATATCGGTATAAATATGTGTTGTGTTGTATTGTATGTATCGTGTCCACTAGTCAGTTCGTTCTACTACTCGATAATTTATAACTCTCTATCGGTTATTATTTCTAAAAGGAGCGAACGATGACATGAAAGAGGATGAGATGATTGCCCATCAGTTATCATCAATCCATAATAAAGTTTGATTAGCCATGCGGCTGCGGGTGAAATATTTCACAATTCTCACGATCGGTTGTCTCCTCTCTTTCTCTTTCTGTCTTAAAATGCTGCCATGTAAGAAGCAGTTATCGATCCGTTGTTGTTGTTCTTGTTCTCGGTTATTAAAGGCAAACACACTTTTGCGATTTACAGAATGAAACTTATCCTGTGTATTACTCGCGATATATTATCTGATAGTTGCCAATTTATTGTGTGAGAAAACTGTGAAAGTTTTGATTTGACGTTGCTTATCAAAGTTAGAGGTTTCGTCTCTCAGCAGAACTACGTATTTACTTTTTGCAAGATAATCTGTACAAGTTGAGACAGAAAGTACGTAATACATAATTGTCACCATGTGTATCATGTAAAATCTCAGATGGGGCAAGATGAGACATCAATTAAAAGCATGGCTTATAACTTAACTGCATTTTATTCCTCATATCACAGAAATAATGTGTATAAATTAATGTAAATCAATTATTAAGGAACATCCAGAATTTGTCATCCTTTCTCATCCTCCAGTTTTTCACCGTCCTTCATGACACGTTGGATCCAGTCCATAAAAGTGTAAACTCGAGTAAAGACGGCATAATTTTCGCATAATTGTCTTGTACGAGCATAGCTTACGATTCCCTGTCAAATCAAAACAGATGAAAATCAGGTTTTATTTTTTCCCCATGGTTTTATTTACATAACTTGTTGACAAGTTTCTTCTTTCACCTGAATCGTGTATCTCCGCCGTAAACCAAAGTTTGGAGATGAAACCATACCTCCGCCAGAATCTCCGCTGCATATTACTTCGTCTGTGAAGGAAATGCATATTTGGTTACTTAAACACTTGCGGACAACATGTTATCGAGTCAAATTACCCGTCATCCCTGCACAATATTCCCGGTCGCTCGGAAATCTGTCGATATTTCGGGAACATTCAATCGTTGGGAGAACATGTAACTTTTTGGACTTGAGTTGTGTCGACAAACCAAGTCCATAACCACCCAAAGGAGTCCGACCAATCTCAGGTTTTGATCCAATAACCTTTCCAGCAAATTATATAATTTCATCAATTCACGAATTAGGTCGTCAATTATGCAACCCGATAACTACATAATTGGTTTAACAACAAACTTATTTTATTATTCACCACCAACCTCGCCGTATTTTCCATTCGTGAGAAAGTATCGCGAGTCTGCCACATTCTCAGGCAGACACACGGGCAGGATAACGTTGGACAATTTGGCCGAACTTTGTAACGAAATTATTCCAATGTCTCCCTCAAATTTGTCGTAGTTGAAGGCAGTTGAAATGTAGAGATTTTTAACCTGGAAAGAAAATTATAGGCATACATTTCATAAACAAGATACATACATTTCTAGGTACTTACAGGTATAATTTGACTACTGGAATCCTGTTTATTTGTATAAAAACTATTACTAATTCCCCCCAAAATGACGGTAAAGTCTTGCGGATGCTTTACATGACCACTCGAATTGGTCAGACAGTGTGCAGCCGTGAGTATTTTTGTCGGACTTATTAACGTCCCCCCACAGATGTAGGCGTGGTAATAGTGATGCTTTCCGCCGTCATCCACCACCAACCGTTTTGACCTCTTAATCTCATTCTTCTTCGTCTCATCCTCCTCATCTACATCAACAACATCTCCCAAATTGGCTACAGTTGGCGTGGACGTTGACGTTGACGACGAGTCGTTGGCTGCCTCCTGGAACTCGAGGGGGTCGCCGTTATTCAATTCATTAATGATGAGTTGTGCCTCGGAATTAGCGTCGAGTGACGTGCCCTCCGTCTTGGATAGGATTTTAAGCTCCCAGGGGTCCAATTTGTAATAGATTAGTGCATGCCAAGGATATATTTGACGCGTGGTAATGCGGTCATTAATTATCAACGTTTTCGTAACGGGTTGCGCCTTACCGCATTCTGTGCATCAAAAATTTACACGAGTTGCAGTCTCTTGTCGTTGTCATTTAGATTACGAAGAAGAACTCACCATACTCACATTTCAAGTTGTGAAAGTGTTCCAACCTCGTCCACTTGCCCAACTTGTCACACCGCATGAGTGACCTGTCAATACATAAACAATACTGGTTTGAGCTATTGGTGTCATCGTTTCATTAATTAACATTGGAGTTAAAATGTTCATAGTATCGTAATATTTTTAACTATTTAATTTATTCAAAAAAATTCATGAAAATCAACTTCTTTCAAAACAATAAGACAAATTATGAAAAACGTAATTGCTACTCCGCCGTCTTGGGGCCTAAATACACATCAACTGAAAACTTCTTCATCAGATACATATGAATTATATCCCAAGAATTCTTATCTACAAATGTTGAATTGGTCTGTCTATTAATACAAAGAGGGTGAGATTCGGCAGAGAAATCGTCTGGATTTATACAATTTTTGAGTTGTAAAAGAGAAGCTATTAGGGCACACATGTGGAGATGGAATTCCCATTTGTACCGATCCTCTTCACGAACGAGTCCAATTGGGACAATCTTGGGGTCTGGATGGGTGGATGGCGACTTGTTTTTGTATTCAACTATGGGGTCACCGGAGACCTTCTTATGCACATCGTGTCTCAGTGCTTGCCCAGCATAAATCACATAGGGATTCGACGCAAAATACAACGCAGCGACCTTCTCTCCTTTCTCTTTTCCTCCCCTCGACAACAATGCTCCAATACTTTCATCCTTTTCCGCCCGTACGAGAAATGGAATATCTAGACCCTCCTCCGGTACTGTTGATAGCTTATCATGAATCCTCAGTTCCAAATCATACAGGTTCATCTCCTCCATTAGCTCCTCGTATGCCCCATTTGGAAAGTTAACCATCATATTCAGGTAGATAATTTGGATGGTGGTATCGGGCCATAACAGCATTTGGAAAAGGGTCGTGGTCTAAAAAGTAGTGATTAAATCAGTCAATATCAACATAAAAGTTATACATTTCGCATCATTATTATTAATATTTGAACCTGGCGTGCTGAGTAAACTTTCATCAACTCTTCCTCATCGGAGAAGTAGCGACGCCGCCCTTCTAATTCAACTAGTTTAGGGGTCGGTCTACGTTTTGCATTACACTCTGTACAATATAAACTCCACCCCCCATTGGGTTTATGTAAAGCCTGATTTTTAAGTGACCTTGTCGCACTAACTTCTTTTGTATAAACCTCTCCAAAATCAAATGTGAAAGAGGCGATTACATGGAGGATGACGTCTTGATTCTTATTTGCCCCATCAGTGAATTGACCCAAAATAAAACCAGTTTGTTGACCTTTGTGGTGGTCACATTTTGGCACTGGGTCCATAAACGTTCCATTTGTTCGCACACAATCTGTCAATAAGTATGTCATAAACACAATCGAATTACGTAATTCATTATTATTCATAAAAACCCAGCTTACTTGGAATTGCAGAACATATAAAATTGTACTTCGAATTTTGTTTAACATATACGTATAACCCATACGATCGTTTTTCATTTGGTGAGGAATATGCAACCCTTGAAGTTGTCCCCGGTACCGCTATCCCTTCTGCCCCCGCTTGTCTTATCTTTGTCTCTGCAATAAGCCTTTCCGCAGCATTAAGAGGGGGATATTTTCCCGTTATTATTTCCGGGGTGAGAGGAGTGAGATCTGATGTGCTCGACTGTTGCGATCCCATTTCCTCTTCTTCGTCGACTTCTCTTGCCAATGTGCAGAAAAGTTCTCGCAGTTTATTGTCCCCTACGTCTAAAATCAACAACAAAACATGTCACATACAATTCACCTCGTTATAAAATAGAATGCATTGTTGATAGTTTTATATACCTCTAGATTTATCCGACATCTTCTTAGTTGTACCCAAGACTTCTCCGATTTTCCACCAAATAGTGCCATTCTTATCATTTCGATGCTTAATTTTTCGGTCGACATAACCTCGTTCAAGGGGGCTGGTAGGTGGACCTCTTGAGTATCTCGTACTTCCTTCCATTTGTACCATTTTCCATTCTCGCTTCGTTTCCGGTTCGTCCTCCCCAACCTCATCATCCGAACCCACTTTAAGAAATCTGTTGAAATAACGATTAAACAAATAATCTCATATTTTAAATTGGTTTTCATTAATTAGGCTAATTACTTAAAACTTATCAATTCTTCTTCCTGGACTTCATCGTCATCCTTCCTGACAGCATCGCCATCCTTCTTCTTTTTGGGCGTTTTTGCTTTGCTACTGGTGGGAGTGGTTGCTTTCCTTTTGGACGATGTTGATGGCGTTGCTGGATTCGGAGTATTTGAGAAAGCAGACGGTTTGACGAAATCATCATCATCCGAATAACCACTCATCATTCACCTTAATAATGATAACAGAAGGACAATCAATTTGAAAACCATGTAATAATAATAAAAATGTCACACACGATAAGTACTTACGTTTAATCAATAATTTATTGGCTGAAAATTTTATAAAAAATAATACTACTTGATGAAAGCGATGATGATGCTTTCTCTTTTTCAAATCGCTTTGCTCATTATGATAAGTGGGGAATATTGAGAATTTTACTACATAATTCTGATTTCTTTGTTTCATCAATCACATACATTTTACTGCCACAAGTTTTATACATGGATTGCGTAAATGGAATCAAATGATAATCAAATGAATTTTAGGTATAAATAGCCACGCCAAATCTCCATTTGATACCATCAACCTTTTACAACTCTTTTATTCAAATCTCCAGATCAAAAACCAAAAACCAACCTCCAAAAATGGACAATATTTTAGGTTTTTGGGAACTAATGGAATTTTATTCAAAAATCTTTATAATAAAATAGTGCTACAAACGTTTTCAAACCTGAGTTTGACTGGACTAGAGGCAGAGATTTGGCGAAAGTAGCGTTGGCAAGAGTATAACGCGACGGTCTCGGGTGGCACAGGGTTGGAACAGTCGAACGTTTGGACGCCACGAGTTGTGAGGATGCAGTCGACATGGACGCCCTAAATGGAAATAATAACATGTGTATTCTATTTATGAGGGACACAAGTGTCGTAAATAATTTGCTAATAAAAGCCTAAGCCATATACCCATCTCGACTCGAGCGACAATCCTGGACAGTGTACTTTCCCTCCACGTAACACACTTTCGCCAAAGGTGACAACAGGACTGGTAATGTAAACGGCGAATAGAACGATGACTAAAGTGTGGTTATTATTACTTTTGCGTAACAAACTTATGTGACACCGGTCCTCGTCGTCGTAGTTTTTACGTAATTCCGTCATGATGCATTTATGCAGTGGTTATTCTCAGACAGCAATTTTGACCACGGGTTTATTACTTATATAACTTTGCGGTTTAAAAAACTGTGTGCAATTTATACCAATAATTAACTGAACCATCCTCCTAATCTTGGAGGAGTTAAAACACGTCACTCTTTTATTATTTCCAAGAAAATTATGGGACCTTTTTCCTCCCAACAATAGCGAACAACGTAATGTGCTTAACACGGCCAATAGTAGAATAGAAGAAAAGATGGATGCATGATCGTGTAGCTTTAATAAAATTATTGTCTTGCAAACTCTCCTCTTCTCACTTCGCATCATATTTCACGACGTCAAATAAACTTTGCAACCTTCATAAAGATGAGAATTGTAATTGCAAATTTTATCAATGAGATTCGCCATTCGTCAAGTGCACTTTTGGCCGTATATATCTTTTATTCGCGTATTGGAACAAATGTGGAAATGGAAGTAAGTGGAAATAGTAACCCTTACGACATTGTATTGCATCTGTATTTTCTGACATTATACAGAAGGAAGGATATCAACAGTTCACTATCTTTTCATCAGTCAGCAAACATATACATGTTTAATAATGCTAATTTCCTACTGCAATTATGTCCTTGTCGACAATTAAAATTTTTGTTACTGAATTCATGCCTTCATTTTATGCGGACAAGTGCATGTCGTTATGTAATTAATGACATGGGTTGCATATTATGTGTGTGCATGAGGTCTAATTAAACGGCTAATCATCGACTGCGAATATTAGTGGCAATTGTGATGGGTCGTGGTGATAGGAGCATATTAGGTACATGCTTCAATAAATGATCAAGTGTGGAAACTTAATATGGCCAGAGAGTTCTTGAACATGACGAACTTGACATTTAAAGATGGGTGCGAATCTCCATCTAATATTTATAATGGATTAATTGTAATATGAGTCGCAAAGTCAGAAAGGCAGTAAATTGACGATGTTTTCATCCTCAGGTGTAATAATTTCTCGATATTTTGCCCTTGTCTCAATTTGTAATAAAATTCTAGGTCATGGATTTTAGTATTTTTTCGCAAACTCAAGCCACCTTTCATACATACGTATATTATTGATATGAGACGACGAGACGAGAGTCACACATATAAACTGGCGTTGCAGGTATTACAATTTTTTGCATGGAATACATAGGTTTAGCTTTTTTTCTTCTTCGGATCCTGGTCCAATTGATGATGTAAAGTCGTGAATCCTGGTCAAGAAGATGTTCATGCCGCAAAATAAATGTAAATCGTGATTTGAGATAAATAAATCCTGAATTTTAGCCGTAATACCACTCCAACCTCTCTTGCTGCCAAAAGTCCACTAAATACTTCATCATCTTATGGAGAGCTATTGGGAGAGGTACATTTGAAGGACATTTGAAGGCATAGCTGGCAAGTTTTTGCCAATTTAAGCAATATATCGCAAACCAGACTGCTAATACCACGCCTTCAATTATTCCGTGTGCTATTTTATATACTATACTCGACTATCTACATGTATGTGCGTGATCTTCACATGAATCATCTTCAGTCACTTTACTGGCAGATCTTTGGCAAAAAAGTGCAAATTTGTTGAATGTGCTACACATGTTCCAGGCGTCGTGACAGGGTGCATAATATTATTGTAGAGTAGCCATGTAATATATGCTCTTAAATGAACCGATCTAATTATAGATTTCTTGTTAAACCAGGTTCATGTTCATTCATTAATTGTTGTTGTTAATTGTCTCATAAAAAATGTGACAATGTTGTCGTTCTTGCCAAACTGCTGAATTTTCACGAAGTTTTCTTGCCCATTAAAACCAATCGAAAATTTAGCCTCGTCATGATTCGGACTTGATAAAATGTAGCAGCTTATTCTTTAAAATTGTATTTAGGATTGCAAAAAATTGTTGTCTCAGACAATTAGGCTCAGGATTGCCCAGGGAGCAGAATCTCGAAGCTAATCTCTTGCAAAAGAAAGAATAATACAATGTAGAACAATGAGTAACAAAGTATTATGCTTTTCCATTTGTACGTATTCATCCATGCATTACATAAGAATTTAGCGATGGTGATGTAGTACAAAGTGATGGACACTTTAATTCACTCGTCCTATTTTTATGTGACCTTGACGTTGTCGGGTGGGTCCAACCCATATTCAGGTATTTACTAATACCGACAATATATGGATGTAATTCCCCCATTTGTTTGTACCAAAATTCCATGCATGTTGAAACCTGGCCCTGTTACCCACCTTGCATAAAAAACCGAATATTCTTCGTATAAATAGCTTCCCCGATTAATTCCACACATATTCAACATTTCACTCAGCATAATTTCACTTCTGAAAACTTTTCCAAAATGTCTCGACTTGTAAGTATTAAATTTTCTGAAAATATTTCAAATTAAAAATTTCAAATTAAAAACTTAAATTTTTAAAATTGTTATTTAGTTCGCCATCTTGTTGTTGGTCGCGGCTGTGATCGCTGTCAGCAGTGCACAAGTCATTTATTCTGGGTATGCAATAATTTTTCATGTAATAAATTGTTAAAATTTCCTGTACAAAATGTTACAATTTACATTTCACTTGTAAAATTAGCTATGGAGCGTACCCTGCCTACACCGGTTATGCGTACAAGTAAGTGTCTAATTTCTCCTTAAAATTGAAAACTTTGAAATAAAAACTAATCCTATTTTTACATCCAGCACTGGATACTATCCATCCGTCGGTTATGCCACATACTGGAAGAAATAAACGTACTAATCATCCTCCAAAACCATTTTAAGATCCCCCGATGACGATACGGACCTCTCTTATAATCACAATTTTTAAAGATTTCTAACCAGAAATTCAACCCTTCTTACTTGTCCAATTATTTTTGGACGTCTGAAATAAATTGGCGTATACCTGCTCCTCCAAAAACGTAAATGCTTCTGTACCAAGTTAATTAACTAACTACACGCTAAAGAATGCACTCCTCGAGATGATGATACTGCATTTAATTAAACTTGTAATGCAAGTCTGCTACATATGCACACCATGCAATCAATAAGGAAATGACAATCACAAAGATTTTGCCCAGGCCCATATTTTATTTACGACTAGGCGTCGTTACTCATTGCATGATTAGCTTAGGCATCGCATCGCAAACCTTAAGACGAGATCAGACAAAGAGGTGATCTGTAAAAGATAATGCGCTTTTTGCCGATAAAATAAACCTCCTCTCCATAATAGCGATTCTTTGTGGTGTCATTTTTTCCTCTCCAGCACAACATCTCACCAAATTGAAATAATTTCTTTGTTTGATCAGTCAGATACATTTTACTGTCAAGCTCATGAAATTGCGTAACTCTTTATACAATTTTTCGTATAAATAGCCAAGCCAAGTCTGCATTTGATATCACCAGCCTTTTACAACTCTTAAAACAAATCTCCAGCTCCAAAGCCAAAAACCAACCTTCAAAATGAACAAGCTTGTAAGTTTCTGAAAATACATATTTCCAATTTTGATATCTACAAATTTTAATACAATTTTAATCATCCAACAGTTCGCCATCCTTCTCCTCGCTGCCGTCGTTGCCATGGCTTCTGCTCAATACGTCTCGTACGGAGGTCTCGGATATGGTGCTTATCCAGCCTACACTGGGGCTTACTCGTACGGCGCTTATCCAGCCTACGGATACTCTGGACTCGGATATGGTGGACTCGCCTACTACAAGAAGTAAACAGTTTTTCGAAATGACCAATTTTGTTAACTGACACCTTGTTTCTTTGTTATCAATTCGGACCGTCTCTCAATTTGTATTATAATGTTGCTTTTCAAAACGGTTGAAAATGCCATATAACATCAAAAAATTTTGCTGCGATTAGCAAATAAAAACAACATCTTGCGTTTTCAAAATCCAATCAAGTATCGTTGTATGTTTTGAATTATTTCGTGCATATTCGTATAAATTCGGTATCATAATTTAAAATGAGAAGTCGAAGGGGTCATGCTAAATCGAAAATGGGGTACGAATACGAACTTACAGATTATAAATACAATTGACATATAAGTTTAAAATAGAATGACGTTCTAAAATTAATTCCTCCAATTTTAGCTTCGACAAAAAATCATATGAAAGTGACATGTAATAAACCAGACACAAGGATTTGACATTTTGAAACGTTCAATTTACCTTCATATTTTTAACTTTACCCAGTCACGTAATATTTTAAAACTATAAATTGAACTTCAACCTCTTCAACTGGTTATTTTCGTAACGTTTTAAAAAAATCGGCAAAGTTGTAATTTTGTTCAGCCTTGTATATATTTTCGTTGTCCAGTCCAGCTAGCGGAACCGGTTTTCCCGTGCAAAAAAATGCTCAAAAGTTGCCCAACTTGGTGGAATACTTATGAATGCACGTTAATAATAATATTCTTATCTCTACATACATATACACAACATGCGCATCTTTTTGCAAAGTGTAAATGATTTAGACACATTCTGGACAACCAAGTTAGATTTTTCTCCCAACAGAACATTAATGTTTTACACGTGGAACAAGAAAAGTTTAAAAATACGTAAAATTGCAACCTAACCTAACCAAAAATTGATTATTTTTCAGCCAGGGTAAATTTTAGTGGGGAACTTGCAACCGTTAAAAGCTGTCATTTCTGCAAATTTGAGGTTATTAAATTTTCATGCGATGAATTCCTTTAGATGAATGGTTACCCATTTATCGATTGCGGATTTCATCCTCCTCCTGCAAAACTGGTTGAATATGTACATTTGGAAATATGGATGGATGTTATAATTGAAGTGTACAATTTTAAAAGCTTGTCACTCCGATTTCTCGCTCCAATTCATTCTGACGAATACACGCAAATGCAACTTACTGAAATAATCAAAATCAATCATTTTCGCCTCAAAATGTGCAAGTACCTGACTTCTCCACAATTTTCTTAGACGTCTGTAGCTCTGCTGGAGTTTTGTTACGCAATAGGTGAAAAACAGACATGGTTTGATAATTCCTTAGGCACATATGTATGTACGTCTCTCATTCAACTTTTCATACAAGATGCTCATATTATCCATGTTATTTTAAAATCAGGCGAGAATCTCCTTGCCAAAAAATTCGCAATTATTATGTTCAAACCAATGTCCGAATAAGTAAATTCCAGAATCTTGTTCCAGCTCTAGAACCAGTTTTTTCTCCACCGCAATTATAATCATGTTCGGAAGGAAACTTGCAAAGATGAAGATGACCAGCAGCAGAAGAATATGGATTTAACTTTATAATCCTTACTTAATTAGCAAACTGGATTTTCAACAAATAAATATGTATCACGGACACAGTTTTGGCCCAACCAACCAACTATTTAACTACTACCCGACTTGGCAATAATATTTGGAAATTTTCCCCAATTATTCAACCATGGTTTAGCATTTGTACCTCGTTGGTATTATCACAGGTATAAAAGTTCGAGAATTCGGTCCAGTCGTCATTGTTGTTTTGTTTGCCAGGCAAAGCAGATCACTTTTTCTTAACAAAAACTAAATTCAACCCCCGTCGGTCGTCGATTATCATCATGTCCAAGCTCGTAAGTTCCCTTCCCATTTGATAACCAGCGGTACTTATCATCTCCTTGACGTTATCATCGTTTCTTATCTAGGTGCTCGTCCTTTTCGCCGTCCTCGCCGTGGCCGCTGCCCAATACTACTACACCAGCCCATACGTTTACAGCCCATATGTGTACAACACGGTCCCAAGCTATTACTCCAGCTATGCCCACACCCCAGGTATGCACTTATCGACTAATTAATATTGTAGAAATGTCAACTTTTAGCTCAGTTTTTAATCGTACCATCATTTTCGCACAGTGACCTACACATCTGGCTACACCTCTGCCTACAACTACTACCCATACCTTTCCTACTGGAAAAAGTAGACGGTGACGACGACGATGACGACCCGGTCAAAATAAATGATGGACCTTAATCCTACCGAAAGAATCTCAAAATAATTAATTTCTTGTTAGTATATCTCATCTTACCCCTTAAACAATTGGCTACTACATATATTTACTACTATTTACATTCTTCATGCAATTTATACTGCCATTTATTAGCAGATAGAGAATTTCCAAGCTCTCTTTGTTTTTCAAAATCACAATAAAAACGTCATTGGTTTTTGGATGTGCAATCTAAATGCAATGCATTTTCATCACATAAGTACATTTTTATCGAGAAAATATTAGTGTGGGTATAAATAATTTAGTGCATAATGTACATTGCGTGGTGGTTTTTAATGCACTTCCATTAGTGCTACAGTAGCACTGCTACTGCATACATTCAAACTTACAATGGTGCGATTCCATCACTAATTTTTACGTGTTAATGGTAGGTAGATGCTAACTCGTTTATGAAATGAATGCACTTTGACCTTGTCCATACATTCATCACTCTACGGTTCATCACGCTATCCAAAGTGCTCAAGTGGTCATACCAACCCTTTACTTATTTAATAACCGTAAAGGATGAATGATGAAGGCAAGGCACACACACAACCAAAAATAAGTGAATGGATTCACAAACACATAATAATAATCGGACGAACGAAGGTCTTTTACCACAAAATAACAGTTGTTGGTGAAATGGAAATGGAACGAAATTCATTCCCAATCCTCTTCTCTGCATTGCATGCTAACTCCTCATAAATAAATCAGTGTGGTAAAGTGTTTTAAAATATTAGTCACGTCGGCGGCGAAGAAAAACATTAATTATTTCACCTGGAACGGGCTAACTCTAACTAAAATATATTTGTATAACTCATCCTTTAGCTGACATGATCTTGTTCCTATTGCTCACACCCTTTATACTCATCTATGTAAGTATATTTGTAAGATTGGAGTTAAAAATACGATAATATTCTTAGTGAAAACCTCATGCATTTTCTCTAATTTTTCTCCATATGTAGTTAACAATTTCTGCCGTGGCTGCTACCATGATAGCGATGGAGGATCCAGACGTATACCTGACCGCGTCCCCCAATTCTGTAAACAATAACACCTCGAATTCCTCGAATCTTACGGATTCTTCGAATTGGAGAGATGATAACAACGAGGATGAGGACAATAATACTACGAATGGGAATTACGAGCTTTACCGGAGAACGAATCCCAGCTCGGCTCGGCATTATAATGACGATGCCTCGAATAACCAGTACGAGCCTCCAGTAATCAATCTCAACCTATTCTTCCAAAGTTGACATGGAAGAATAATCTTTTTTACGTCAACAACAATCAACTTTTACATAAGGAAGAATACTCAGTAGTCAAAAAGCAAAGGTAAATAAATCTTATTATCATTCTTTCCACTAGCAAAACTTTACGATTTTTACGCCTAAATTCCACTATCAAACGTACATAATATATTATTGTAAATAGTTTTTTGCAAGTTTACGTATACACGATTTTGTCATAAATATCTATGCGAGTTGTAATTATTATCTTGTAGTTAAAGAGGAACAAACGAGTTTTGCAAACGGGAAATTGAGACGACTACTGAGAAATTCTTGCAATGTCCTTTTCAAACTAATTGAAAAGTGCATATCTTTATTATTTTCGTATCTCTTTCGGTTCAGTTTGTTCGATAAAATTGAAACGTAAACACTTCCCGTGAATATAATTTCCTTCATTATTTTCCAAACACATCCAAAAACCAGACTTCAGTGCATACTACATAACTACGAATTATCATTCTTCTCTTGTGCATGGTTTTTGAACCCTGTGCAGTGTTTATTGACATTAGCCGAGTAAATTAACTTTACACACTCACTTCATCATCATCCAGAACGAAAGCAAGTTTCAAGAATTTTAACAACCTATTTTTCTATTTTTTCCACCATAAGCTCAAATGTCGGGGCAACCTGAGACATTTGGCGCTATATGTGGAACATATAGTATGTTGTCAGGCACTCTTATGGGAAATGTCGGGGGCTCGTACAAAAAAACGGTTGGGCGTAAAGAGATGCCGTAAAGTGCATTAGATGCCTCTCGAAAAGTTTTAAAATGACTTTTTTCTAATTCATGGTATCTTGAACCATTTTCAAGAAATTCAATAAAAACCGATTTTTCGGTTTCGAAATCATAAATGTTTCGCTGAATGAATTGGGTGCATAACACAAAGTTGTATGTAATAGCAAATATGTTCATAACCGCATTATCTATAATATTTACTCGAAAATTTTTTCGAAATAATGCTAGGTACAGGCGGTAAGTTCAAATTTCCGAAAAATTTTGCAATTTCGGCTACCAATTTCTCCACTGAGCTACAGCCTAGACGATACATTTTGGTAACCTAAACTAAACGGGATCGTATTGGGGAAGGTCCCGGCTAGTGCCCTCGACTGATTGACTTTTTCGAAATAAGCCTTGGTTTTTAAGATATGGCGCGATTTCTAAAATTAAAATCCATAACTCATATTTGGTATGAAAAAATAGAAATTTTCAGCGGTTTTGCCGCATAGCTTGTGGACCATGTCGTCCCGTGTGTCTGCCTGCATGTGACATGAAGATCTTGCCATCCCATATTTACAATACCTTGGAAATGCAAGGTGATTTTTTTCTCTGTCTGCTGGTTATGTAAGTCTTAAGGTTTTAAATTGCGTCAGCCTCGGGTAAAACATACATGACTCACGAAAAGTAAAACACACCCACCCACCAGCTAACTTTAAATAACCATGTACAAATATAACCGAGCCAGGTAATAAGTATAAAAAGGGCTACAATTTGGACTCGGTCGTTACATTTTGAAAGTGCATTTCTCGCGAGAAGCTAAAGTTATTACATACTTTTGGAACAATTTCAACCATTGCTTCTCGCAGTGTTTTGTTCGTGTATTTTTTTCTGAAAGCGATAAAACCAATTAGAAGGTAAATTAACACTTTTCTCGTCCCATAATAAAAAATATGTGCCTCTAAGAAAACATATTCCTAGAATCGAGGCGTTGTTTTGCTGTTAAACACTTATGGCTTTAATTTTGTCGTAAAAAATTATTCAAATTTTAAGCCCAATTTGGTTTCTGCCTCAAGAGACAAGTTTCAAGAAATTACAATACTTAGAATGCATGCAGGGGGACGAAAATAAGCTTCTTTTTTTTACACACTAATGAGATACACAATGTTTGCATGCGTGACATTGCAAAACAACAAGTTGACATTTGCTGAAGCGAATTTATACAAGTCTTCAAGTCTTAAAAATTCATCCAGCACTTTCAAACGGCTCTGTTACATACACATGCAAATTATAAATCCAATCCAGGAACCCAGTTGGCAGGCACTCATTACTATTCATCAGTTAATTATAGTGATGATGACACAAAAAACTGTCTCATATATTTCATTTCGTTTCGTTGATATGAGATAAAAAAAAGTGCAAGTGAATTGGTGGTCGATTGGTTAACAGTAAGCGGATGCAGGATACAATCACATTACTCATACTTTTTACGATGGACTGTTGGTTGTAGGTGCATAACTGAATTCATTCTCATCCGTGTTTAGTAAATACTTTATCAGTTAACTATAACATGGGCCAATTTATTCTGATGTAATCTCCATACGATTCGTCACCACTGGGATAATAAATCAGATCAAATAGCCAGTCCTACTACTCAGTCTGTTTCATCCTGTCTTTTCCTCATAACATGAGTCAACTGCACGATCAGTTTACATCAAAAATTTATCAAAAACTTGTCCTAGGATCAGGTTTTCCTGTAAGTTTATAAATAAAATAAGTGTTTAAACTTCCTCAAATAATTACACGGTTCAACTAATCCACTAACTGTGCTGGTTGACACGTTAATAAGCAGCTATGCAGTTACGACATTAGGCTCCCCATTTACATCAATCAAAGACGACATAAAAAAAGTTGACCACAATAAATCTACATCCCTGTCGTTGTCGTCACTGTACGACTAAATCACATGGTATTGGTTTTACCAAATCGTGTCGTGCAGGACAAGATTTGTACATGTACATAAATCTGTGGTATTTCGTGGTGTGTGTGTACATATATCAATGATATTTGCCATACGTAGCTTATTAAGTGGGAGGGGACGCTAGTATATAGTGAGCAATGTATTGCATTTGATAATTGAGTTTGAACAGTGATTAGATAAAATTAATGAAAAGTATTAAGCAAAGCACGACGACGCGACTTATTCATTAGTCGTATGCACACACATGGACAAACTTTACAACTGTATTTAGTTAGCCAGCAATTTACTTACGAAATAGTTAGAACCGCACGTTCGCAATACGTACGTATTTACATGCGTTAAAAGAATTTCATACACAGTAGCAGGTAGACATAACATATTTTCATGCTATTTTATCCGGTATTTCAATTTCAGATTGAATATTGAATATATTTCACGCATTTATTTTTTAATGATCCTGCTGGATTTACCAGTTGCATGACTTTAATAAGATTGCGAAGTTGTACTTTGACTTTGACTTGACCACATTTTTTGGTAGTTCTTACCCATTAGAGTAAAATCGTTTTGGTTTTGCAGATAGACACCGTTAAAGAAAATGTGAGACTGGGATAAGAGTGATTAAAAAAGTGATTTCTGGATACAATTCGTGCAGCGCATATTAAAGTGACAAAAACTAGGACATAAGAACAATGGAGGCAGAAGAAGAAGTTCGTAAGGATTTGCTCCCTCAAAATAAGAGAGCAGATTCCGTTGTGATTGAAGCTAGTCAGATTAGTGTCAGTGTGAAGCGAATAAGTCTTCCGGAATTTCAGAGATTGCCCTCCTTTAGTCAGGTAAGTAATTGCTTTTTGTGCTCCGGGGCAAGGTACTTGGTTACGTGAAGGTTACGTTATTCAACAGTTTACTTTTAATTCATACAGGTCGATGCCGACGGAAATGGCAAGATAGACTTTTTTGAATTCAAACAATTCTTTCCAGACTTACCGGAAGAAGAGGTATGGATTTAGTAATATTTATGTACATTATGTACAAAATGAGACTCCCATAATAACTGAGTTTCTATTATGTAGGTTGTCAGAATTTTCGATGAAGTCGATGTCGACCATGATGGACAACTGGACCGAGTGGAATATACGACTTGGGTATAATATTTACTGTCTGTAAAAAACAAATAAAAGTATGAGTGGAGTACTAATTTCCTGTGTTCTATAATGTGCTATCCAGAAAACCAAAGCTGTCGACTTTGCCCGATCTCTCATCCTCCCAAGGAATATCCTTGCCGAACAAAATAATCAGAAAGATTTATACAAAGACTTGTACAGTTGCACTCCTCCCCCGATTTTTATGTTCGCCATTACGCTAATAGAGGTAATTATAATTATGAAACATTATAACACTGATAAATGACGACATGCAATTCCTGTTACATATTAATTTCTTTGACCATTTGACAGATTGGAGTATTTATTTATAACTGGTACTATTTAAGTAATAATGGCATTACTTTATACAACTACGGCCCCCCTCCAATCCATTCCGTGCTTATCTATCATCCTGAGAAGAGATATGAAGTGTGGCGTTATGTCTCGTACTTTTTGATACATTCTGGGTGAGCATAGTTTTCTAAGAGTTTCGACAATATTTATGCGCATTGAGTTATAAAATACTGTATTCTCTAACAGGTACATGCACATAATTAACAACGTGGTCGTTCAGCTCCTTCTCGGCGTCCTGTTAGAAATGGTGCATAAATGGTGCATATCCCATTTTTATATCTTTTCCAATTGACTATTACATAGTATAAACTATAAAAATTATTTGCTTTTTTGTAGGTGGAGAGTTCTCGTGATTTATTTCGCTGGTGTGATCGCTGGATCACTGGCGACCTCGGTGTGGTCGCCGTATACGATGCTCGCTGGGGCCTCAGGAGGTGTTTATGCACTTATTTTTGGTACGCAAAATATGCATGTTTACATAGCTTAAAATGACGTATTTACATACAAAGGGTACAAATGTTATCTTTCTGTCACCACAGCGCACATGTCTACCGTGATATTGGTGAGTGAGAAACAATGATTCAATTACTTTCATAACCATTAAATGCGTATTAAGACTAATTGAAATTTGATACACTGATAGAATTGGTCAGAAATGGAGCACCCGTGGATTCGAGTCTTACTATTTTCAATATTTGTCACCTACGATGTGGGCATCGCGTGCTATTATGAATATTATCTCGGAAAAGAAACAATCGTACGTAAAATACCCAGCATTCCAATCTCTTCAAGTTTTGTGATATGCAATTGACGGGCAGTTACGTCAATTGTACGTCAATGAGTATCTCAGTTTAACTAATTTTTTCTCTAATTTTTCCCCAGGTTGGTTATCCTGCCCATACCGGTACTAACATACTACTAAATATTTGCATATTCCACAGACTTGAGTTTAATGTACTATTAGCAACCAACTCTTTGTGTGAATGGAGAGTACGCGGGGTGAAGCAAATTTGCGGCACCATGTAGCATCCAGAATGGACATCAAAAAACCAAATTGAAACCTCGGCATATTGTAGAAGATATTAATTAAAAAATATTTTCATCTATAAAATTTTTCGAAATCTTTCGTTTCTGACCTTTTATTAAGGGGTCAAACCCCGTCCGTCCGCATTATGATTTCTTCAAAACGGATGCGAATTTTGACATTCAGTTTTCGCCAAAAGAGTTCAGAATTCCCCCGAATGTTGACGGTAAAAACCGCATGTCAAAATTCGCATCCGTTTTGAAGAAATCATAATGCGGACGGACGGGGTTTGACCCCTTAATAAAAGGTCAGAAACGAAAGATTTCGAAAAATTTTATAGATGAAAATATTTTTTAATTAATATCTTCTACAATATGCCGAGGTTTCAATTTGGTTTTTTGATGTCCATTCTGGATGCTACATGGTGCCGCAAATTTGCTTCACCCCGCGTACTCTCCATTCACACAAAGAGTTGGTTGCTAAGAGTAAGGTACGATTAAAATACCACAAAATAATGAAATATTTTTAGGCGGTGGGATCGCTGGCCTCTTGACTGGAATTTATATACTAAAAAATGTAAAATGGGAACGATGGGAGACCTATTTGTGGTACGCATCCGTCGTTCTTGCAGCTCTTCTCGTCGCTTTTGCCGTCGCATGGAATGTGTTCAAACAAGACTACTATCCTCAGAATAAGTATTAGTGTTAATTAGTTTAACGGGTCATTTTATTTATTTATGTATCTTCCTGTTAACGATTGAAGATTTTTAATAAATTATTCGCATCAATTTTTAAAGAGTCGATAATTTTTGTGGGCGTTCTTTCACAAGTACAAAACTGTAAATATCCAGTCAGCTTCGCCTAACGGATACCGCCACCCGGTCATGACTTGCTTCAGGTCGAAAATCAGAAACTAAACAAATGACAATAAGTATTAAAGAAAATTTTGTCTCAAGTTTGTCTCAAGTTGAAAATGAGCTAACCATGATGATGACTTGGCTCGCAAGAAAGCTTGGTAGCCAGTTGACCACGAGGATGCTGAACAAGGTCGAAGTGTCATATTTGTTAATCGTGAATGGAAGTGCGAGCAGGAGTGAAAACATCAAATTTACTACGGCGGACATTCCCACAATTTCAGAACTGCGGACATCATACTTTAGAAAATAAAAGGGGTGGTAATAAAAAGAAATGAATGTCTGCAATAAATTTCAATTGCAATTTTTTTAATTTGCAAGTATTTCGTACATCCACAAAATGTGGCGTCACTGTGAAGAAGACATGCGAAAGAAAGAGAAAGATGGACGTCAACAAAATTATGTCGGTTTCGGCAAATACAGCCACAGCTCCACAGTAATAGGCGATACAAGCGAACTGAAATGATACAATTAAATAATTCGGTCATAACGATTTCGACCAATTTATTAACTCATAAGTTCCAAATGAACGTACCCGTACGAATGAAATTGTAATGAGTATCCAGCTCTCTAACTTTCTGATTTTTACGGTCGATCTGAGAAGAATTTTCGACACGGCAAAAATTGCACTAATAAAACAACGTCAATCACAATTATTACTTTTGTCAAGGTTGTATCACTTGAACCTTTTGACGTGCAAAGAGGGACTCACAGTGGTAAATACGAGTAATTAAAGTTCCTCACTATATATTTGCTTAATCTGAACAAATTAAGTTAATTGGTTTAAAGTAGATTTCATAAGAGTAAAATTGGGAGGGCTTTTATTCTTACGATGAAATAGACATGACGACGGCCACCCACAGAATGAGGAGTGCATATTGGATCGACAACACGAGCATGACACGCTTCATAAAGCGCGATTGTCTGTGACAATTTGTCGTTAATTTGTAACTGACGGTGTATCGGTGACAGCGAAAGGGCCCCTAAAAATAGATATGCAATGTTACTCAATCGGCCAGAATAGGGGTTTTAATTAAACGTCTAAAATATGTTGCTTTCTTAAATACCATGCAATCACTTTGGTCGGAAAGTACGATGGGTTCGGAAGGAATGACCTCTGGTAGTCCGAATGGGAGGAGATCGATTTCCTGATCTGCATTAATTAGTATATAGTCCAATTTAATTTCGAGTAAAATATAAATTACACTAATTTGTACCAATCTCCCGACGATGTCTACTTGTAGAACCATTGAGGGACTCATCCCCCACCAGACACAATTCTGGGGGTCCTATCTGACTCTCCATTCTTTGCTCGGTTTGTGTTTCCCGAGATGGGTCATTCTTTAACCTGACGCTATCATCGTCAAAACCCACACTTGACACTTTCAACTCGGCACTACTATCAACAATTGACGATGACCCTCCATGCAAGTCATGCACGTGACCAGGGAGATCAGTATCAGTCTTTAAATCTCTTGGGGTGAAAATCGATGGAATGAACTCTGACATTGATCTCCATTTTGATGTGAATTGGATCTGACCCCCGGTTTGATGATTTGCATGAGAATTTCCAATGAAGGGATGACGCGCTCGTTCTTGAGCATTATGACGCCTTTTTCGTGCTTCCTCCCGTTGTCGAGCCCGACGGGCTTCAAGAGCTTGTTGGAGATATTTCGAAGGACTGGAGAAAAATGACATTTTGTTTTTTATAAAGTGTAGCAAATTGTTCAGAATCATAACTGCGTCTATATTTTTAACAATTTGAGCTAGAAGCCATAACAATTGCAAAATTTTCCAGACTTTCTCTAGACGCATCATTTCTTATAACATATTTTCCGGTTATTCTATTCTAATATTAATCCCACATTCTTGTTACTCTTTGCTTTTGCGAATACGCATTATGTTCTCCACTAGACATCTCGGCCAATGTTCTGACAAACAATGAGAGCAAACAACAAATGATATCTTATCTATGTATTATATTACTTCTTATCATATAATTTATGTCAACCCAGCATTTATTTTTCATGGGTCCAGAATTACGACAAGGAAATTCATAATTTATTCAACTCTACAAAATTGTATTGATCCAATTTATTCTTTGATAATTCATATGCTAAATAGCTGTATAAAGCGCCTACTAAAGCAACCAATATTATTTGACACTTTATCATTCTATGGGGCACCGCTCCATAGAAACGATGTCAGTTAATCGTAGCACCTAACCAAACGTTAATAAGTGTGAAAAATGCAGGAAGCAGTGTATTTAGCTTGCAAGTGTTTAATTATAATGCAAGTTAAGTAGTTTCCTTTTAATATGTTCGTACAAAAATGTAATATGGAATCAACCAACCGACATCACATTAGATATTTTGTCAGGTAATAATTAATAATTGAGTAAAATTTTTTATAAAACTACCAACCTTATTTTTTGGAATACTAGACTCTGTTGGAATAAGCGAAGATGTTTCATTGTCCTGGTCTCGGTTGCATTTTTCGCACTTGTTCTCTTCTTCAATTTGATTCCTACCTGCATATTTCGCATTCCACCGGAAAATGAGCAAATGGTATGTGCATACATCCATATTATTCATACTTTAATTTTGATTATTTTTATCTATTGATGAAGAATTTGTAATTTTAGCCTTCGTGGATCTCTACCTTAAATGTGGATCTTATTCAACTTGTCGCACCAGAGATTGACACCGTGGTGAAGGAACCACTTCATATTTCTCGGGTATGCTTCTCACATGTTTTCACGAACATGTTTAAGATTGAGAATTATTGAAAATTTTAATGACAGAGCTCCAATCACGGTGACGAATCTCCCGAAGCAGTCATATTCATAATGAGTCTTCCCGAATCGTTCGAAACCAGACAAGGAATTCGGAAAACGTGGTACTCGTGGGGGAAAAGATTGAAAATTGAAATTCTATTTTTCATCGGAATCTCGTCTTCCAACTCTTCTGACATTTCTCCAGTAAGGAAACAGCACCTTGTTCATTTTTCCCCTAAATATTTTGCACTTTTTAATACAATCTCGACCTAAATTTCAGAAGCTCAACTCTGAATTTCAAACATATGACGACATCATACTCGAATCTCACATCGAAACCTACTACACCCTTCCGATAAAGGTCCTTCGGGCGATGAAATACTTTTTAAAGACGTACACACACCCCAATAGAGATGACGACATGCTACCGTTCTTCATCAAAGGGGATGACGACGTATTCATAAATCTACCCAATTTAGCGTCCCATTTGACCCAGGTGAAAAAATCTCGTCAAAATTGCAAAGCCTACATCGGTGGAAACCTTTATACTCTTGCCTCTCCCAGTCGTGACCCCAGGTCAAAGTTCTATATTCCTTACTCCGTCTATCCAGCCTGCTTCTGGCCAAACTATGTTGGCGGACCCTTATACATTTTTAGCGGGGTTACAGTCCGACTTGTTTTCGAAAATGGTCTTTTCGTTCTGAAAAAAGCTCTGGTTCCATTCGAGGATGTCCTTCTGACCGGATTTGTGGGCAATAGGGGATGTGGGATTGAGATTTCTCAGGTCAGAGGGATGTACGACGTGCCCTGGAGGGTGAACAGAGTTCTAGAAGATCAAGATGAGAAACAGTTTCGGGATGCGATCTCATTCTCTCCTCTAGATGGGGACGAGATGATGCGTTTATTTAATAGAATTAATTAGCTAATTATTTATTATGTTTGTTAATTAATATGCATAATGATATTATACATAACTTCGTCAGCGAGTATCGATAATAAATAATCACATTACTTATTTATTAACAACTCTGCGATATACTACTTTACATGCAACAATAAACACAATATTTGTATTATAATTAGATATAATTACTAATATTTATGAGAGATGATCATAATAAAGTAGTTTCATGAAGTATACGAAAATGGGTGTGCATATTGTAGGAATAAAAATCAGAGAAGCTTGCTCTGAAAAAGTTCATTTTGCTTTGCATCCAATTTTCTGACTATTTCTGGCTTTCACTATTTTTATTGTAGAATTTATAGAATTAAAATTAGCAAAAAGACTTGGGGAATTATTCATTTCTCGGCATACACATGACATAGAATAACCTCGCAATCCTTTCGGGATGACAACGACAATTTTGATTGGCGCATAGCTGGATTTTACCACGATTATCTAATTGACACCGTTTCTATGGCGTATAGAATGATAAAGTGTCAAATACACTTTGGGAACTTTTACATTTTTCTAGAATATGCACATAGACTCGTTGTCATAACAACGATTTTGGTCGTATTTTTTTCCACTGCTGAAAATTAATTAGACTCAGACGACAGGTTAGCATGACAACGAAATTGGCGACTTCAAGTAACAAAGGTGAAAAGCCAGCTCAGTCGTCAGCCAGAAATTATCGAAGTTAGACGTGCGCTCCCAACCAGGATCTCAGAAATATATTGGAATTTCTTCGACGGTGGAGTTTTTCGAACCCTTCGAACCAACTGCAGTGTGACAGCTATGGCACCCCATCCGGTTCAGAACAATCCACGATTGAAACAACTCAAAATGTGAGTATTTAAATCTTAATATAAATATTTTTGAAATGTATCCTTGTATCATTACAAAATCTGAATATTGTAAAGTTTTTTATCCTTCAACCTAAATTTTCATCTATCAAAATAGGATTAGAATTAAACATAAAGCTGGAAAGTTATTGTATCACGGCAGGATGAGGAATGGACAAATTATTTCATCAGGCTTAGTCATGATACCATCGCCACCAAAGTCGAGATCAACTTGCCGTGTCCCCCGCTTCAACGACCTCTCAGCCACGCCACCAACGTCCATTCACGCCATCAGGTCACCAGGTACTCACAAACCGTCATCAATTCCTACACAATTGTCCACTCCAGGCTCATCAGGTACCGAAAAACCATCAACTCCTGCACAAGTGTCCACTCCAGGCTCATCAGGGACCCCGACATCGTTTCGAATGTCTCCATTGCCAGAAATCTCACCAGTCGTTGAGTTTGCACCATTAGACCAACAACCAAGCATCGAAACTATTTCTGGTAAATTATTTCGTAATATAAAATCCATTGACTGAAATTATGTCCTTAGCAACGCTCATATGTTCAACTTGTAACTAAGGTGAACTTAGAAAGTAAATGGATTTTTTTTGTTGGCACAGGAAACGACGCTGATGCTGATGAAGGACAAAACAAAGGAATGAGTGGACCCCAACCGGCTCCTCGTCGTCGACTGAAGAACAAATTTCCTTACGTCAACATTCGACAATACTATAAGAAATGGTTTGCGAAACCAATTGAAAATCTTCTTCCTGAAAAAGTTAAACCATGCAGTCAAATTTCAACCTCCAGCGACTCCATCCCAATTACTCAATCTCAAATAATCCAACGTTCTTCTTTACAACTAGAAAAACCAGAAATCGAAAGTCTCCCACCAATACTAGAACCAGATGTCGAAAATCTTCTTCCACCAGAACTAGAACCAGTTATCGAAAATCTTCTTCCATCAGCACTAGAACCAGAAATAGGACGGCTTTCATCACGACAAGAACTGAAATCCCCAATAGATCTCTCAGACAAACTCCAAGACAAAGAATTCAAAATACCTTTCATCCCAATTAAGAAAACGCAGAAACGAAGCCATCAACGGTTTTTACAAACCTCACTGCAAGCTGAACGGGGCGAACAACACTGCAAAATTTCAACTCCCCCAACTAAACCTCCTCGAACAAGCGAAAGTAATTTTCTTCCTGTAGAACTTCCAATGGATCTCACAATGCCACCGCTTAAAGAAAAAGATACTACATGCGATATCCCGATTGAGAAGAAGAAAGCTAAAAATTCCTCAACCACGGATTATCCCCGCAGTGAAACGCCTCTTCCATCAGAGCCACAAGTTTCTCCTCCCATGGATTTCATTCCTGCTCAAGAACAAAGCACCGTCAATCCGAAGAAAAAGCAGCAAGTTTGCCCTCAACCGGAAGTGAACCAAGAAGGAAAATTCTCAAAGGGTGCGAGACAAAGGTTGTTTGACTTGTACACCGAGTACACGGCCGCTATTATGCATGAGGTTGGGGAGCAAGATCGTGAGCAAAACCCTGACCCCAGGGTAGAAATAAATCAGATACGGATTGCTCAGAAATATTTTGAGAAAGTGTTCTTACCACAACTGAGGAGTTTTATCAGCAGTGCGGAGATAATTGCGAAAATATCTGTCCTCTTCAACCGGATTGCACTTCATATTTGCACCAGTACCCAACCATTTTGTTCAAACTGTGGAACTGCTGTCGGTGGTCGAAAGTGCGCGTGTTACATTGGCATTAACACGCAAGAATTGTTGACAAGAATTGAAAAAATTTTCGCAAAGGATCCAGAATTTGTGGAACATGGCAAACAGAAAATCGTGGAGGGTTACATCAACAAGAAATACACAAATGTTGGAGCGATGCAGGGTCCCCCACCGACGAAAAGGAAAGAAAACAAGACTGCCAAGGTGGACGAAAATATTACTGAAGTGGTCATTGAACAGAGGAAGAATCAGACGGTGGTTGTGAATAGGAAACCACAGAATGGTCAGTTGAACGTGTTTAACAAGTGGAAGAAGTATCAAGTAATCAACATCGACTGAAATAATAATTGGTATGTAATTATTTGAAATGAACTTGAAAAAGACTTAGGTACTAAAGTGTGTATTTCTACATAAATAGGTGCAACACTATGAAATTCAGAACATGCCATGCCAATCTCAACCAATTCAACCATTGCCGAACTCAGAGAACCAGTTTATCAAATATAAAATTTCCTACCGTAAAATTAACGTCATTTACAACTTGTAAAATACCAAGAAATTGTCGTAGCTTTATATTATAGAAATATCAACTTTAGAGTTAGTTAAGTATTTAGTTAATTATTTATTTAGATGTCTACTCCTTCTAAACTCAAGGTCAAAGCTATCTAATTCATTTGTTTTCTGTCAAGTGAAGTATTCTATCATCCTTAATTATGTACGAACCCATCTTCTATTTGTTACAGTGGCATGGCATGGAACTTTTTATTAATAAAATGTATCTTAAATAATTTCAAAGACTGGTTTATCATGTATGCATACAAACTATTCTAATAATCCATGATCATACTTTCACTTTATATCTCAACCTCAGACTTGACTTCCTCCACCGTCGATTCTCTCTCCGCTTTCACTTTGAAGGACAAGTAGTCCTTTGTAGACGCGTCGTTTAACGCCAGGCATGCCAAATCCGCTAATTCTACTACTTTGTGCTCGTAGGCCTTGTCGTTTTCATCTCGAAAGTACCAAATGTACCTGAAACAAAATAATTTTTAAATAGCCAACCGACTTCATGTACTTAAACTCAACGTACATACTTTGTTCTATCGATGACAACGACTCCGTCCCTTTTCAATAACTTGGTCAACTCTGGTGTAATCTGATGTCCAAGCATATTCGAGACGAGAACAAAGTCAAATTTCTCTAAAAATTTGAACTTTTTCCACAAATTGATTGTTGAATCAATTGGGAGACAGTGAATTTGAATAGTTTCTGACTTTAGGTTTCTTGAACTCAAAGTTTTCAGAACAGAATTCAAAGTGTGGAAAGTAATGTCCTGTGACTTATTTTTGTATTCGTGATTTGCTTTCTCAAAGAAAGTTTTGTCTTCCGTTTTGATCCCGTAAGGGAGGAAAGGTCCAATTAAAATGTCGCCTTGGTAGGGATACGTTTTCCCTGTGGTTTATATGACAAATTTAAATTCTAAGATTTCAGAGCATAAATTTGCATAACTTTATGTACCTGGTAGAAATGTAACATTTGCCTGATTGTAGTCATTTTCATACTCGGTGAAAGCAAGGCCGCAGTTTCTCCACTTTTTGTACTCTTGAACATTGACGATCTTTGTGTCACTGTTTTTCTCAGTCATTCGCATTTGGAAGTCCCAGTCAAAAGCACCCATCCTGCTGTCGTATCGGGATGAAAGGCAGTGACGAAGTCTCTTGTCCCTGCATTTTAAATATGACTTCATTCAATTTTCTTAGCCAACAAAACGCACCAGATATGTATTTATGTACCAGAGTGTTTGCATCTCTTCTGCAGTCATGGTCGATTCCGACCAAAACTTTAAAATCTCAACAATCATATCCCTATCACGATGCTTGAGGTCAGAAAAATTTACAAATGGCAGAATCTCACCACGAACATTGTCATCAGTGATGACCCTTGAAAAAAAAGTCATTTAAATAACTTATGATTTGAGATGAAAACTGTAATGCTTACTTTATTAACGTTTCGGCACACTTTCGAATAGTTTTCCGAGTTTGCGGACGGATTAAAATGTTTCCAAAAATTTCCATGAACTGTGTGGTCTTCTCATGCAGCCCGATCTTATCTTTTGGAAGAAACGCCAAGTGGATAAGTAACAATTGTCGGGCAAACAGGATGGGACTGCTTTCCACAAGATGAATCTATGGTCATACGTATTATGCAAATAATTATATCGTAATTTAAGTATCGTGTGACCATATTACAAGAAGATGTACACACATTTAACTCATTCTCGTCTGTCGCATGTGTCGCAAGCGTCTTTAAAATATGACGACCATCCGCCTGCCCCATTAACAAAATGTTGCACACGTTATCAACATCTTCTTTATGAAACTTTTCAATAAGCCCTGTAAAACAAATGTTACTTTTATCCATGATTTTTTATGATATCAATCAACTTCTAACCCAACAAATCACAAGCTGGCGTATTTCCCCAAAATCCTAGAGATCCCATTCCCGAACGAACTTCATCGACAGCCATTTTAGTTTAGTTTTATAGTATTTACCAAATCAGATAACTTATTTTCATCAAAATATGCAATCGGTCCACTTTCTCCAAACTCTGCATTCATTGATCAAACACGCTCTTCATGAACATCTCCGGCATAACTTTCATTTACAGAGAAACCTGCCATTGGTAACCATTTTGGAATTTTCAATATCTGTGTGGATTTTGGATTTTTATTTATTTTGGTACACGTATGCCACGGTGGCAGCATGATGCCCTTATCTTATCTTTTATTTCCTCACTGCTCGATACTCGATTGCATATCAGTCGGTCTCATATCTTTATGCACAATTAATTAATTCAGCCAACTTTCCTTCATTCCCTGTCCTCTAAATTATTAATTATAGCATAAAATCTCATAATAATTGCTAATATATTCCATATATTCCGTCAATCAAGTTGGAGAAAGTGACACCGAAAATTCTGCGACGAGCGTAAACATTGAGCTGAGGTGGGAGCGGAATTCCTCAAATTTTTCATTGGCCAGTGGGCTGCGATTTATTGCAGAGGAAGGTGGAAGACGAGCAGAGAATTGGAAAACCCATCTTCATTCGTTGAACTCTATTGTTCGAAAATTTTCTGAAATTTTTGCTACTTTTCGATTTCGAAATAATGGCATCAGCTGCAACGGACTCTGTCCCACACTCCAAATTCTTTTGCTACAAGTGCAACGAAGAGATACCTCGAGTACTTGATGTGAGCTCAAGTTCAAAGTTTGCAATTTATTTAGGCATACATTTCCTTAATTTATTATTGATAATGTGTTTTGTTAACAGGATTTCACATGTCCGATATGTAAAGGCGGCTTTATTGAAGAGGTACAAGAATCTCAGAATGCAGGTAGTGGGCCAGGGTCGGACAGTGCTTCCGATGCGACCTTTGATGTCGGTGGTGGATTCGACTTTTTACAGGTGGGTGTGAATTGTTTATTTATGGCGTTCTGGTTGAAAATTAATCGATTATTATTATCTATCTGGTAGTTGCTGAGAGGATTATCCGAACCTTCAGGGGGAGGAGGTGGTGGTGGGACCTCCGTCCGATTTCAGACGGGCTCAAACCCGGCAACTTTCCAGAGGACGAGGTCAGAAGGTGCTCCATCGCCAGGAACTAACAATCCAGGATTTTCATTCGTTCTTGGTCCTACGTGAGTACTATACAGCATTTGGATAATCGATGAAATATTATAAACTGATAACTTAATTACGATTTGTTTGTTTACAGTCAAGGAAGAGGTGGTGGAACTGGACGAAGTAATCCCAATCTTGATAATCCAATGGAACATGTTTTATTCACGTTTCTCAATGACTTGATTCACGGTCTGGGTGGGGGTGCTGCAGTGGGTGGGGCAGGAGTTCCGTGAGTTTACAGACATTTAATCGATATTTGAGTGTGTAGGTGGACATTAGTAATAAATATGTTGGTTGAATTATTAGACTGTTATCGAATGTTGGAGACTACGCGTGGGGTCGTGATGGCCTTGATGCGGTCGTTACTCAGTTAATGAATCAAATGGAAGGAACCGGTCCACCCCCTCTTGCTACGGATAGAATAGACACGTTGCCGGATGTTACAATTAATCAAGATCAAGTTGGTGAGTCATTTAATGTGACTAACTATTTTTACTCATTATCGCATTAACTATTTTATAATACAATGCTAATGAATAAAATATTTATTATTTCCAATAGATCGTAAGCTACAATGTTCAGTATGCTGGGATGATTTTGGAGTAGGCGAAGTTGTTAAGAAATTAGAATGCGAACATGTTTATCATCCGGACTGCATAATTCCTTGGCTCAAACTGGTATATAATTATCTTCTTGTTGAATAAACCCCGAAATTCAATTCTAATAAGTTTATTCCCGTTGTTGTAGCACGGAACTTGCCCAATTTGTAGAAAAGATTTAACCGGACAAGTTCGTGAAGGAGAAACTGTACATGAAACCCCCTCCACCCGATTTGAACCCATGGCCGTAGACGACGAAACGAGTAGTAATCTCCATTCGAATGAATGCCCCATTGCTGCACATCGCACGCCTGCTACAGCTTCAGCACCATCATCCGCTAGGAACTATTCCTCTTCTAATGCCACCAGTAGTCCAATGTCGAATCCCGTAGTTCAATCATTGAATCAGATTTTGAATCCATTGCTATCAGGATTGGCAGGTATTTAGTCACCTTAACTTAAGGTTACATAAATTCTTAATGAAAATCTCAATAATACCTAAATATTTGTGTACTTTTTCTGTACAGGTCGCACCTCTAATAACACTTCCAATAGTACCCCACCTCCTCCTGGTCCCCATGCATCAAGTCAACCATCGACACAACCCCAACAACAACCTGGAGATCGACGTGGACCAGGTGGCCAAGGGTTTGACAACATGGATTTAGAATTCGACTGAAAGCGGGTGATCTCTAGGTCTAGAAGAACTAGGTTTACTATGAGCATCATGGAACTTGTCACCGTGGCTGTTCTATGTATGCTCTTGTACTATTTTATATTCAGTAGAGCCTTCACCTAACGGTATACAGCATACACGATATGATGCAGGCGAAAAAAAAATCAAAATTGTTTATTTCATACTTTCATATTTCTCACTCAAATAATATTCCAATCCAGAAAAGTATCCAAGTGAGAACTGAGTAATAACAAAACTGTTCCCAGTACTACATGTTTAACCACCTAGTCCAAAGTCTTGCATAAGTAACGAACGCAACCACTAAACTAACCAAACCTCTGATATATGCAACTTTTCTAAGGGGCTCACGTTCTCGTAAAAATATTTAAGATAGATATGTAAACATTCAAATAATAGAAACATCCTTCAACAATTTCGTTGCGCAGTTTGCAATTTTGTTTGTATTGCGACTGGATTTTGTAAATGTACACTTTTTTTTAAATAGTTGGTTATCGTTTCCATTATCAGCAAATCAATAAAATCAATAAATAGCTGCGTCACAAATTACTGTGAAGTTATGAGTATAATAACATGCATACATATTTGTCGAGGTTAGAGTTCAGTTGTTATGTATTATAGAGAAAAGCTTTTTCCATGATGGTTGTTACTTTTACATAGTCAATTACAATACTTGCTATCGAGTCGAATATTTAATGTCAAGAATCCCAGCCAACGCCTTTCTCTCTTTCAACACGCAAACCTTTGTTACACGGATTTCACAAGTATTTTTTAAAACCTGTCGCCTTATTTATTATTCCTTTCGTTATTATATTTGTTATTACACACACACTGCAATAAGAAATTGATGACGAAAAACATAAAAATATGTGATAGACCTTATTATATATATATTACTGAAGTATCTGTAATTTGTAATATCCATTAATTTTTGTGGGTATTACTAATAAATATGTCATTATTACGATCAATAAATTATTATCCAAGCCTATGTATACAACAGAGTTGGTAGCTCATAATAACAATAACGGTCATGATTCTTTGTACAATTTTGAGAAAGGAGCATATCGATTGTTTGAACTTTTAGTATTTATAATTTGGCAATGATGGCGTCCAAATCAGTTCTAAAAATTTTGCTAATTATGTTGTCCGCCCGACTGAGACAGGCCCAGAGTTCATGATTTGCAAATATTTGAGTGCTATCATCTGTAAATCATTCAATTCATAAAAAATAATCGATTAATTTATAGGTGTCGACTTTCCAATGTCTAAACTTACCCATTCTTCGCCTCCTCTTTTCCTGACCACCAGCCAAGCCCGCAATGACGATCGGGACAAAGAGGATGATTGATGGAATGAAGAGAAGAAAAGCCACGATGGCGATGGGAAGAAGCAAAATTGGAAAAATGATGGGACTCAATGACGCCCCCGCAGCTCCAAGCCCAGCACAAATAACGACCACTACTATTGACGCCAGAATCACAAGGGTTGTCCCCTTCTTGAGGGACTTGGATCCCAACATGACTTTGGAAATGGTGATTCTGCCCTCATCGAATTCCTCCTCTTCCTTCGAGTGGGAGTCGTGGGTATGGGGAGATGAATGCGATGACGCCACAGGGTCAGAGGGACTTTTCAAGCTATCCTGATCCATACATAAATTAGAAACATTATGAGAAAAATTATGCGTAAAAAGCAATGCTTATCAATGAGTATCATGACCACGACCCTTACAAATAGTGACCCAGCGTACGACCGATATGATGTGGTGATTCGTGCTGGTGCATAAGCTGGTCATGAAAAATTGCATTTTGCCCCTTATCCTGCGTGAAATTGTGCACTTTCACTTCAGGTGAAAGTTGATGAGGAGAAAGATTTTTTATCTGGTCTGAATTATGCAGTTGGACGATAACCAGGCCAGCAACGTCGGATGGACTTGGTCTGCCAGGCGAGTAATCAGGTTGCTGCACTTTCACTTGTTGATGTTCTTCGTTATGTCGTGGGTAATAATAATGAACATGAGTCGGCTGCTGGTGGTCATGTCCATTTTTTAGTGAAACATGATCATTCCCGTTACGATTATATGTCTCAGCACCAGGATTAAGAGCAACATGTTGGGCTAAACTCTCTTTAAGTGGTGCTATTTCCTCGTCAACGATGGGGAAAGCAAGTTCCGGTTGATGCACTTTTTCCCCATTACCAGCATAAACATCATCACTAATACCACCACTTTTTCCCTCGTTGCTAATCTCCCTCGTAATGGGGGATGATTTTTCTGCTCTGTTATGACTTTGGACATCAAAAGTGGCTTTACTATCATAATAACCACGCTTTGATGATGGCAAAGCCTGGTTGGATCCTAAACTTTGATAATTTCCAGTTTTAGGACGTCTGCTGCCAGCTCGATCCTGGGATAAAGTTTCCTTCCCCGTTTGGTGAAAATTTTGGTAGTAATTACCAAATCCATCATTCAGATTGTCATTATTCCCATTTCCACCCGCATCACTACCCGTATTATGATGCATCCCCTCTCCTCCATCGGTTTGACGTTGATTATTCGGATGGGGATTTATGGGATCAGTTTTTACATTTCGCAAAATACTGTTGGACTGGTCCGCCGCATTGTATTGAGTTTCCCTCAATTCCAAAATGTTAAAGCCCTTCATGCGTGAATTATCAGAATTGTGGTGTTTTTGCTGGGTCGTATAATCGGAGTCCTGCTGGAGAGAGAGAAAACTCATAGGAGTGTGAGGGTGATAACCATATTTTAATAGGTTTTGCATATTTTCATTCCCAGAAGAATTTATCGTCTCCACACCCACGCTGATCAACGGACTGGCATGGAAATTCGTGCCGAGCGACAGTTTTTCCATTTTCTTCATTGGTTTCACACTGGTTGTTGTTGTTGTTGTGGTCCGTTTCGCTGCCATGCTTTCACTATCTGTTTCCACCCGATTGGACCGTCTTCTTCCGACATTATGAAAATTAACGCGTCTACTTCTCCCGAATTCGGGTGGATTATTAATTGCTTTTCCTGCTGAAGAAGAAGAAGTAGAAATGTTGTTTTTGTTGTTGTTGGAAAGAAGGGGGATTGAAAAACGGATGGTGGTGGATTTATTTTCGGTATTGCTTTCTCCCCGAGAAAACAACTTATTATTTCTCTGTTTGCTTTTCACTGCGTTTCTCGTTTTTAATTTTATCCAGTCGGAGCCTGGTGAAGGGGAAGGATTCAAAGTCACATTGCTCCTCGTTGTAGGAGAAGTAAGGTCGGGTATCAATACTTCAGGGTCAGTGGTGCTGGTGGTGATTCTGCGAGGCGCAATTGATACAGAATTCACAGAATTTATGAAAATGAAAATCCACCCCAGTCTAATAAAGTATGCAGCGAAAATAGTATGCTTGCCGTTCTTTGCCTCTTTATTAAACCACATTTTCCTTCCACATACACAAATACCAATTTGATTCTGTCTGAATAAATCACAAGTTAATGAATAATTTATCCCTTCAATTTCAAATTAGAGTTAATTAAGTAAATAAAATCCCACTTTTTCACCAACTTCTTCACTCAACTGTGGATAATTTAATACTGAATGTTTCCATTAACAAATTCTGAGCGATTATAATTTTTCATGAAGCAATTTTCTGAGCCAATCATTCGACACATGTCACCCCGCATTTTGCCTGGTACACTTCCCTTTTGAGGTCATAATAAACCCCAGCCTTGTAATTTAGGAGGTTTGATACCACAATAGAAATCAGAGTTGGATTCAATCTATGTAAAATAAACCCGCAGCACAATTATCTCTGGGTACATATGTACTTACTTGTCACAAATTGCATACGTTCAAACGTTGCTCTATCGCCATAATTGGATTCTAAATCCATACCAACTCGGAGAGTCGTCTGCATATTGGAGATGTCTGAATGTGCATGCATGCTGTGTATTTAGATATATATGGGATCGTAAACCCCAATTTTCTTCACATTTATAACCCGTAGATTTTTCCTACAAGTGTACTTGACTTGATTCAGGAGGGGAAATGACAAGCATGGCAGAGTCGTTAAATCCCTGTCTATTTCTAGATGGCCAAAATATCCATGTACTTGCTGTGGAAAAAGTGTTTTAAATTGGCTTTACGATCTTTTAATGATTGTCATTGTCATTTTTTTGCAAGATTTTTGTCGGTCACTAGGTTTTCGTTAGGTTCCTGTCATCCTGTTTCCCTTGGACATGGTCGTAATTTACGGAGACATGCATTTAGGTATGGGTGCAGAAGGTATTTCTCAGCAGCAGCAGAAATAGTAAAAATGAATCGAATTTCATTTTCTATGCAATAAAATAATGTTTACTACTCGTACGTACAAATGAATCCTTAAAGAAAATAACCTTAATTTTATGAACAACAACTTGATTCAGTTTTCGGAAATAATGGAAAAACAATAAAATAAACAATTTTCCAATACAAATGTCGTCACCCATGTAGAAAGAAAATCCAATTAACTCATCGCTCAGTCAGTTAGTTACATAATACATAAAGAAATGCCCATTTTCCGTACCAATCTTGACATAAAGAAACCCGAAAGGGTAGAAGGTTAGTTGTACAAAAGCATAAATATATCCAATAATGCGATCAATCTGAAGAGCAATAAAATAACGGTGGCTAAAATCGACTCGCGTATGTAATCTTGTTTAATGCCTTTCATCCCAGTATTGAAAGGACACCAGAAAATGCCCCATATTCTGTTATGCGTCCCTTTTTATGCTGACCGTGCAATAAAAATTGAGGCTTGACGACTACAAGCCGTGGATTGAATTTTACGTATTAATGAATACATTCCGACATACATTCCAGCTTTTAGTGTCCATATAAATAAATCGAATTGAGTTAATTAAAACACGCCCTTGCACTTGACCTAATCGCGTCGCATCTGCTGTTTATTTGCTGATGTACAATTACTTAAAAGTCCAAATCACCATTTTCCACCACATTGTGTCCCAAAAAGTTATTGACTCTTCTCGATATGGAAAGGACGCGGTGATGCGGGGAGGCTTAACCAAGTGAGACAAAGATGGATCACTTGAACCGTTAATAGTCTCACCTCATATGTAGCCAACAATACGCTTTATTGTCACTTCTTTCCATCCATTTGTCTGCCCACAATTGTGCCAGAGAGAAAGAGACAATTGTTATTGGAGAGTTTAAAACTTTTGCCAGCAGGCATTTGCAGGCTTTCTCTGGGACTGAATTGATTTCGGAGATAGAGAGACGTACGTAAACGTCATTCCATGTCAAATGGGAGGACAAAGTCTCCATCCATCCAGCCATCCAGGCTTGATTTTATTTAATCGGATGACATTCATATAAGTATCGGGTGGGATTGGATATATGTTGAACGTAACAGCAGAACTTTTGAAGTTGAAGGACGAAACGAAATGCTGCTGACTCTGCACTTAAATGGCTTGAGTGGTTGCTTGGCCTCTTTCATCCGCCTTTTCGCACTCCTTTCTCTCTTTTCGCCATAGTATCAAATAAACCAAACCACAAAAGCAACCAACTAACTAGCCAACATATGGCCGACTTACTTTTATTCCGATAAAGAAAAGATGTAGCGAGACCTTTCATCCACTTCAAGTCACCCACCAGCCAGCCAGAAATTCAGGCTGTGTACATTACAACAAAGGAAATACACAAACCTAAACTGTAACCAAAAGAGAAAAGGGTTCTTTGTTGATATTGCATTTTTAATGTGCAAAGTGCAATTCCATTTCGCACAGCGGGGGGAAGGCAGAAATGCAAAACTGTTATCCTGTCCTATATATTGTGCCGTTACATATTTCTGAGAAAAGGAAAATAAGGTGAATCGTTCCCATAAATTTCGGCAAGGACGCAAATTCAATTCCGCTATGCAGTTAAATTAACCATTTATGTATACATTAATGTTGGACGAGATCTTTGGCAGGAATTCGGTTTCGTTCAAGGGAAGAAAGTTCAGAAAGTGTGAAGGCGACGGGAAGAATGCGGAAAGTTGGAGGACAGAACAGAGCAAGCAATATCTGTATTTTCTACTCTCACATTTTGTCAAGAATCCAAAAAGAAGAAATTCTCTTATTCTCCCCGAAACGAAACTCTGAACAGGTGCACATTTCACAGCGTACAAAAATACAGGAGAAGAAGAGCCTTTGATGTGTTCGGAAGTGTAGGTGGTCGAAATACTAAAACTACTAGAGTAAACTACTCCTTGAAGTTTTTCTTTTTCACAAAGCGCCTTTATCTTTCCACACCCACGACAAGTTTGTTAAAACTAAGATGAAAAATTGCAATTTCTCCTCGTTATTTTTTTCCGCGATGACTACGAGTACCTAATATTTTAGTGGACAACACAAATAGCGGTCTTCACGTAGTAAGTAATTCAGAACACGAGTCTGGCTGGGCTCTGTCTGTATATCACGAATTATGAGAAGATCACACAGCTCGTGTAAAAATCTCAAAAACTCGCTGTTTTCGTCCCGTTTTCGCAAATCGTGATAACACGACGACGACGTAGTGTCCATTCGCAAAGTTCGCACGTCAAGGCCAACCAGGAGAACTGTTTATCAAATTTCGTTTATTGCTCTCCCTCTGAACTTGAGATGAGATGAGGGACGTGATAGACTTTGGCTGATCGATTTTCATTACGGACCGTTCGACCAGACATGTTCCACTCGGGCAGAGGAGGATCAGTCACAAGGCTCAAATTACGTAGTCTAGTTTTATCAAAGGTGAACAAAATCCACCTCCACGCTTTAAACAATGTCCGGAAGGTGTTGTATAATGTAAACGTTGTACGAATGACGCAATGAAATGAAAGGGTTCTTTTAATCAAAAAGTTTTAAAGTCTATCCATTTCATGACATTTCGCACTAATGATGTTCAAAAAAGTGTAAAAAAGAAGAAGAAATGTTTCCACTAGAATTATCCAGTAGAAAAAAAGTTTTAATTTGTGTAAAAATTCTGTCCTGTAAAAGAACTCGTTTCTGACAATGAATTCAATTTCATGTAGGTTTTTTTCTGGATGAAAAAAATGAAATATTATAAAAGTCTGGATGCTGAGAAGTAATATGTTACACGTCCGTACCTACATATAGCCGAAGGGAGATAAATGTATGACCTTTTAACAGTTTTAGTCCCATTTTCATCATGCATAGCACGCCAAAGTTCTTCTTTTTTGAGGTCAGTCCACACTAATTTAACCGCTCTCTCCATTACACCTCCTCCGCAAGTAAAGCCAACAATTTGGCCCCGTTCCTGGATTTGAAACACGTTTTCCGTGAAATGCGATGTAAGTAAAGTAATGAAATGTGAGAATTGCTTGGCACTCTGATAAATACTGCGTCTTATCTGTGCAAAAAGGTCTTCCAAAACCTTTTTCGCTAAAAAAAATCGTCTTAAACCTTTCAAGTAGAAAGTAAGTAAACTCAAATAAAAATTTAGCAGACTTTTACATATGCCCAGAATCACTCGCCATTCATCCATTCTAAAGACAACGGGATGAGTACATACTTGTGGTCAAACCATTGTCAATTTCCTGCCCACGGTTTTAGCATATAAAACACTATTAAAACATTTACTTCAAAGAGAACCAAGTTCTTTAGTGGTCTGGTGGCTGCTTTCTCTATTAAACCCTCATCCCAAAAACGGCATAGATAGTCAAGCTAACAGAGAGCAAGAGCACTCACAACATTTGCGTGACTTTCTCTCCCCACGGAATATACGGGCCAGTTCTTGGTTTAGTCAATGTTTTCCATGCGTCTTGCCCTTGCCCTATGCCGATTGTCCCTCATACCCATATGTCACCCAGACCCATATGTCGTCCCATGGAATGGCATGTAACTCTATCTCGAGAGGGAATTCGAGACAATGAAAACAACTGGGTCGTATGTAATGGATTGAAAGTTGAAATGTCAAAAGTTAAGAGCTTGTCCCATTTCTAAATCTGCAAGAAGAACTTCTCCCCTCAAAACTTATCCCATTTGTCCAGAAACTTATTTAATTGACTGCTGATTGGACCAATTACATTTTTACTGGTGGTAAAGTAATTATTGTGGCCGAGGAAAGATTAATTATTATTACATTTACTCTTTTTTTTTATCTCCCACCATTCCAATTTGCTACAGAGTAATCATGCCGAGGCTAAATTGTGTAACACTAAATATTGCATCCCATCCCACCCATCGCAAATCGCACAACAAATCGAGCCCGGATTTTTCCCCTGTACAAAAAAACTCGTCCTGTCGGTTTTGAATTGGTGAGAAAGCTTTCTCCTGTTTTTGTCCAATCTTTCTTATGCAACTGCATACCTTCCCCCTCCAGCAGTTGGAGCCTCAAATGGATAAATTCCATGTCACGGATATGGACAGGATGTAGTTGGAGATTTGCCCTGGAAGAAGTGAAAGTAAGCCTGCTGTACTGGATATACGCCCAGTTATATAATTATAATAAATGAAATGAAAGCTCCCAGTAGTAGTGAGTGAAGGGAAAAGCATTCCCAGTTTAATGGACGGAACTCCTCATATACAGTCAGTCTCGTGTGTATGTATTTATTATACTCTCACACCAGTATTTATCCCATCAACCTTTTTGTTTTGTTCATCCGACCCAAAAAAGTAGGAGAAAGAGTGGAAAAGAAAAAATGCCTAGGACTTTCTCTCCCCGTCCAAAAAACATGAATAGAATAAGAGCCTTCACTTCAGTCCTGTGCTGTGAGGGGAAGAAGATTGAATTAAAAATGTTGCATCCATTCAGTTAATTCTGCACATTTCTCCTTCTCCTCCAAAGCCATTCTCTTCTTTTATAGACTTGAATACATAAGTGAATGGATTCGCCAACCATGAAAACAAAGGTTTATTATTGAGCCTTGAACCCTTCTCAGGCGTGAAAGGACGACCATTATCTGCTGACAATTCAGTTTGTTGCTGAAGTGAATAGCGCATAAAAATCAAGTTTGGATGGATGACCCTCCTCTTCCTTGTATGTGGCCCAACTTTCACCAACTTTATTTATTCCAATATGCCACACCAAACGAGAAAATTTTCTTTTCACACAGAAATCACTCATTGGTGTGACCAGGTTACAAAATGGGAGGCAAATTACTGTTTTTCACTAATGTATTCATGCCTGTCGTCTCGCCCAGAAGCAACTTTATTCCGAGGTGGCACTAACTTAATGACATGGCGACATTAAAGAATGTCTCTCTCTTCTGGTGACTTAATTACCAACCGAGTCAAGATTGAACGATGGCAATGAAAGCAAAGGACCCTGCCCACACTTTTACTTTCACTCGCCATCCATCCATCCTCAGCTTTTACTTGCGTACTTAAATGGCTTGTATGCTATTAGTTAGATACGAACGATTGGTCCCATAGCACTCACCACCGATTCGACGTCTAAATTAAACCGGTGCCAATCTGTGACCTATATTTATTAGCCTTCCATTTCTCTCTGATCACAAGAGAACAAAGTGTTCACCTGTGTTATATACTTTCTCTCTTAACGGGAAACGTGATCCCCTCAACGTTTGCCTTTTACATAGTAATTAATTGCTTTTCGTGTCCCCTTTGGATGTTTTCGTCAAGACGAAGGACGTTTTCTTCTTGAAGTCAATATGAGACAAGATTCTTCCCATTCCGGAGAAAAGTTGTCTTCTTTCAACTTTTTTTCAATTAATTCGATGTTAGCATAAAATAATGAAACTGGTCGAGATTCCCCAAACTTGACACACGTCTCTTCTTCCACATGAAGTAAAACCACATAAACACAGACATGTATGTATGCATGTAGAACTTTGAAAGTTTAATTTAATGGGGGAGAAAGTAATATAATACGTCTGCCATAAAATGACATATTACGACGACGGACCACAGAAAAGGGATAATGATTACGGACAGAAATAGTTTTGTGCATACGTAAACTTATTACGGAGGAGGAGGAATGTCAACTATAAAGTCAAGCCGTATGTACATATCTCTCATCTTCTTCTTCTCCTCCTACCAAATGGATCCTAGTGCATGGATGGATGAGTAAACTTGGTCGGATTTAAGCAGACTTGCATAAACTTGAGAGCCGGAGAGATGAATAGAATAGGACAGGTAAGTACGTATATGTACATAAGTAGACCGAAAGGGCGTATGTATGTAGTGCAGAACATATACATATTGTTAAGATACAAGTTTAGTGGGAGGAAGACGAAGGTTAGTATTTATTGTATTAGAATAACGGCCCAGACCACGACAAAGGGCCAAATGGAGGACGAACTTCATACCTTAGTTGCATTTATTCATGGACTTTCTCCACAACGACGTTATGAAGGAAAATCTCTCTCTCTCTCCCCTTTACGAAACTTGTGCAAGAAAGTCTATCAATCCTTGTGGCGAATTCATTTTAATGTGACACACACCCCAAAACCACTAAAAGACGAGTAAGAAGCATAATATCCAGGCCGGGTTAGCAGTAATGACGACCCAGCCGTCGGAGCATATCGCACACTGCGGAAATTGTGACATGCAGGAAGTACTGATGCAATCTGTTCTCATTAAAGAATATTCATACTCCTCCGCAAAGCTACATAGAATCATAACCGTTACGTTATATCTTTCCGCGTCTCGTTATGTAAATTTAATCCCACACCGGAACAACACCTCTCCCTGAGAAAAATATAGAACAACACACTTTAGCCGAGTGGATTTCCCACCTACATTTTTAATAATTTATGAACGATCCTGACAAAAAATGTGGGTCTTCTTTTGTCAGAATCTGTAAAGTTTGAGTTTATATTTCATCTGAGAGAAGAGGACAGAGAGAGAATAAGCAGGTAGGCATAAGGCAAATCCTTCCCTATTTCGTGGCCCAAGCCAAGCTTTCCCCGGGTTTCGTTCGTAGCCCTACATCCATATTTACATGCAGGGTGGTCTGGTCTGGCCTGATGTGGATGGAAAGCAGGCAGTCGACTCCTCTCTCTCTTCTGCGGATAAAAGTGGAAGGCATCTTCATTTTCTTTCTCCAGTCGCTCTGCACCACCTCCACATTCACGACCGCGAGTACGAGAACCAGTTCGATTTTTCTCTCTCCAAAAACCAAAACGAATTCTGCACCGCACATTTCTCCCGTTGCTCTCCTGCTCTCACAACAAACCCATTTTATTCAGGCAGTCAGTACTCTGGGGAAAGTTGCAAGGGCAAGAGTGAAAGTACGGCTTGGCACGGGGCCAATATTTCTGGGGGAGAGCTAGCTGCTGTTATCTCACATGATCTCTTCTTCTTCGTGTCCTTCTCCTTGAATTCATTCGATCACAACAAATGTTTGTCTGCTCTTGTTACGAAATCTCTTTTCTGTCAACTGCAGCAGGAGGTGGTTAAGTAGTTAAGTTTTTCTTGTCCGGAGAAAAAAATACGGAACCACGTGAAGAAAAGTAATCAGCAAGAAATTTGGGTAAAATTACGTACACAAAACCTCTTCGGATTTCAAAACCATCTGCGACTGAATTACGGCACGAATCAACCTCTGATTGTGACATTAATAAATGTTTTTCATTTCACGTGCCGACTTTGCCAAATTATTTATTGCTCCTGTTCAAATTATCATATAAAGTGGACACTTGAATAAATTGAGCAACACGGTGATACCACGAGAGAGTGAAGCACAAGTAGTACTGCATTTCTCTATTCGCCCATTCAGTCGGAACAAGAACAACAACAAATGAGGCCAATGCAAAACAAAGAGGAGAACATTTCTGCTCGTAGCGAGACAAGATAGTCATTCTCATTATTCGACGAGGACTTTACTGCAGAGAGGAAGGCAGGCATATTTCCCAGTGGACAGAGATACCCGTATCATCATTTCCTTCCGTCAGACGAGAAGACTTTCTCCATTTGACTTTCTCGCCCAGGATAATTCTGAAAAGTACTGTTTATGAGGATTATAAGTGTCAAAACTGAAACTAAATTACGCCAAAATTACAAAATATACTAAACGACTCGAAAACTAACTAAAATACCAGATTTTAATTGAGCTTCTCGACATTATTATCGCTCGAGTTTATTTAAAACTATAATATAAATTGGACACGAAGAAAAGGAGCTTGTGACAGCTTTCAACTTTAACAATGGGGTCCTACCTGAAGGTGAGCAATGTTAAAAAAATTTCTGTCATTACTTCAGAAAAAAACTGGCTCAAATTGAAAATAAATTTTCGAGACGGAATCAGTCCGATTTTTACCGAGATTTTAAAAGTCAAGTGTGTTTATCGGTACGAAAGATAAACAGGTTTTCAAGGTTTGTTATTGTCGTCGTCAGAGTGGAAAAGAAACTCGGCAGAGATGAAAGAATTCCGTTGTTGTTCCTCTCCTTTTTCCCACTTTCTTTGTTCTTTATAATATTTCCCGAATTTTAAAATGAAACTTTTTCCTTACAGTCACCAACCTTGTTTCCGTATGACAACTTCAATTCTCAAGATGACGCCCGGCAGCTCACGGTCGCTCTGCAGATGAAAGATTCGAGTCGCGATGCAGCCACTATTATACACATTTTGTGTCGAAGATCTTCTTCCCAGCGACAGGAGATCATTAATTCGTACAAGGAACAAACCATGCGGGTACACAAGTTCAAATTCTTATTATAATAATAAAATATCCACCAAGATATGAGGTCCTGTCGGTGCATGAATTTATGGTGAAAACAGGAGACACATGTTACACATAGATATTACGTGCGTATTAGCATATTCCCAAACCCACCTGCATAATATTTCCCCAGGTATATTTTACGTGACAAAGTGCACAGACACTCGAGGAATGTACGTTTTTGCTAAAAAGTTATAACTCGTAGCGGGGAGAAAGCTGTAAAAACTGGTGAAAATTGAGCCAAACTCACAACCACTCCACTCACAATCAGTCTCACTTCGCTTCACGTCGAGTGACATTTCCATATCGGACAGAATCGCACTTCTTTCGCCCAAGGCGGCAGGTGTAGAGACATTCTATATCAAATTCTTTATTTCCGTTATTTTCTATTATCCTAAAAATATATAAAATCCTGTCTTGTGTTCTTTTTTTGCAAAAAAAATTGGAACCACTTTTTTTCGCCCGAAGTGGGCCCTGCAATTGGCAGATTTATAAATTATGTGAACCAAAAAGCAGACAATGAGTTCTTTTTTTACAAAGAACTTACTTATTATTAGATGGACAGCATTTCTTTGATTTCCTTCAATCATTCGATTTACATTTCTTATTCGGACCATGTCAACCGTACCAGGTTTTCCCATTCAGGGCAATGGTTCGGTCTCTGCCCTTCCTTTCCTTTGTGTTCAGCCCGAATAGAAAAAAAATTCACCCAGATTCTCCGGAAGGAGAAATCCTACAATAAAAGTTTCATTCCTGCTCAAGATTCAGGAAGGAATAAGCTAAAGGGCTTAGTCTGTGCCAATCGCAAATCGCATCTCAATCACGACACCCATATCTCACCACCTCCCACCCATCACCACCCTTCTTCCACCCACACATTCCTGGAAAACGAGAATCAGCGCAAGACCTCGCTTTATTCATATCCAAAACGATTTCCAACAAATAAAGAAATCTCCTCTCTCTCTAAATATATGCGAAGATTCTCCACCATGGAATTTAGATTTTGAAGGAACCGTAATCCATCTCAAATCCCACACATCTCTCATTTCCTCGCAAATTCAATCCTATTGTGTCATCCTGGACGTGATGGGATGTGAGTGTGTGGTTCTTAGCAGATGAGAGACACACGGATCAGACAGATCAGTTCAATTTATACATGAGTTTTCCGTATGCATGTGAAACTCATAGAGATTGATCATCGCACTTCAAACTCATGCATGTTGCAGAGCATTTTCTAAATCTCTAGGGCCCAAAACATAGGCCGCCGCCTCCTCCTCCTCATCGTCGTCGTGGATTTACTTCCTTCTGCACAATTGCTTTCATTCGATAAGGGCTTGTTTGTGAGGGGGTCGAGGAAATGTGATGATGCAATTAGATTATTGCTTTCTCTCTTCTCCTCTTTCTTCTTCTCGACAAGGTTTGAGTTTCTGACCAAAATTTTAGATTCTGCTCGAGTACGCTCCAACCAATCCAATCCAATCCACTCATCCATCCATCACCTACATTTCTGGGGGTTCGATAGAGACATATTTGGACCACAAGTCAGTCAATTCAACGGAACCTATCTGACTGAATCTAATGAATAAACTCGTTATTTAATGGAGGTCGTGCAAGGTGGGAGGGAGGGAAAAGTGTTGGTTGGTTGGTTAGCTAGTTGTAGTCATGCATGTATGTACCATCAGCCAACATTGTTTACATAAACACACTTTACAACCAGCTAACCGTCCATCCACGATTTGCTGAAGTAACAAAGTTATTTTGTTCTCAACTTTCTCCAGGACATGTTCCTCGCGAGTGTGGGTTAACCGACTCAGCAACCCACACCCACGTTGAAACCACTTTTCAATTACATGAATTGGTACTTGATCACGGTAAAAGGGCTGAGAACTGGAATTCAAAATTATTGCAATTAATGTTCCCCCCTGGAGCAGTAGAGAAAACAATTTAATTATTAACGGGACATACAAAGTGCAATTGGTCAGGAAAAGCCTATGGTTCCAGCAACCAGGTCAATAAATTATGAGATGAAATGAATGTCCCCGTATAGTCGCAAAATTTTATGCAGTCGTTCCTCTCTCCTTTGTGACCAAGCTTACTTAATTCAGACGACCATTACATAATTCCAGGATTTATACCAAGACGCGAAATCCTCGCTGAGTGGAAAGTTCTCCAAAGTGATCCGCAGTTTGCTGAGGGCTCCATTTGAATATTTGGCGTCTGATATCAAGAAGGCGATGGCAGGGCTGGGGACGGACGAGGATTGCCTCACCGAGGTTTGTACAATATTCTCCTATTTACGCCCACAACCCACTCACCACAAATTAATTAGGTGCCAATTAAATTGGAGCGTTTCACAATTTTCTCTCTCCAGGTGCTGTGTTCCCGATCGAATGACAAGATCCAATTGATCACCCTGGCATTTCACAATCGGTATGGACGGACTATTCAGGAAGAATTGGAGGACGAGTACAAAATCTCGTCAGAGTACAAAGAACTTCTCGGAATGCTTTTGAGCGTGAGCAATTAATTAATTAATTAATAATTACCTTTGAAATTGGAGTAAACTTTCAGCCAGGTTAGTTAGGACATACGTATGTACGTGCTTTACTTCCATCTTCCTAAGTAGAAAGTACGTCGAATTTGTGTTTCGTATGCCATGAGGATTTCACTTTCTAGAATCATCCCATCTCTTGAATACTTACCGTCTCATTTTAGTTTATTAATTAATGTTTCTGGGAGAAGAAGCCCATTACAATATTTCAGATTATTCCACCAACACGGAATGAATTTATCTTACATACTAATGACTTTTCCAAAATTGAACAACAAAGCTCATTACTATTTTCTGTACAAGATACAAATTTTAAGCAAGCTAATTTCGCTCCACTGATTTCTCCAAATTAATCTTGTTTGTCCAAATGTCCAAATGATTGGCACACCTGGAACTTCCCTTAGATGAAAAATGATGATGAGATGAAAGGATGAAAAGAAGACGAGATATGATGCATACAGACGACATAACTAGCTTATTCTCACTGCATTATTCTCAATGCCGTTACCTCCAAACTCCATCAATCTTCTGAATATTGCATCACTTTTGATGTGATTGTAGGGAATAAGGGACGAAAAGCGACCTCCAGACCCAGAAAAGGCGAGGAAACGTGCGGAGGTAAAGACCTACTGCCCTAAACCTACAACCCCCACCTGGCTTCGGCCGGGTGGGTTTTTTTTTTGCCCCGTTTACACGCGACTTATTGAGACTGCGCTTTTACCACAAATTTTCTGTAAATACGAAACATATAAATGGATAATTGAATATATTGTTTATCTGCCTTTAAATTCATTTTAGTTTTTGAGATATGGCGCAATGTTCAAAATTAATTAAAATACAAACGTTCAGAAGTAAACAATTTTCACGCTACATGCTACATTTGGAATGAAAATAGTGAAAAAATAGACTTTTCAGCAGTTTTACTGCAAAACTTGAAGGTTAACTCCTCCTCCTCCGCGTCAGATCCCAGATGTTTTGTCGTCTATGATGTGTTTTCTTATTCCTTATTTTCATGCGCGTCGAATCAAATTGGCGTAACTATATGGGACGTTCTTAGAAGCCTGCCTGGTGTACACGTCTGGAAAGACTTCCTTAACTACCTTCCCGAAGATAGTGTCGACTAGAAAATTTCTTTGTGGGCATTTCCTGTACACAGTCCCGACTGCAATCCTGTCCTGTACGGCCACGTCCCCAATAATAAAGGTCTTCTTTAGCCATATGCGAGCACGAATGACATGACAAGTCGGCCGAATTTGATAGTTTTCCTGGTTTGCAGATTTTTCTTGATCCCATAACTTCCATTCACTTCGTTCTTCTTCTGAGAGAACATCCTGGTGTATGTTCCATGGAATTGGCTGTTCTCCTGCATTATTTGTGTTAGCAGTATATTCTGTAGTTTTCGGACCCCTGTAGTACAGACTAAAATGCGCAATTGAACTAATGACGAACATTGGGAAGGGAATCCTTTGTTGAAATTCAAGCACAGTTGGCACTATTGGCTGTAGATTCGAATTTTGGACCAATGCTCCAATAACTTCATTTGCATATTTTTTTAATTTATGGAAACAGGGTTCTGAAGAGACAACACACACCGAATCCAATAAAGCTATAAAACAAAAAGAAAATAAACTTGTATAATATGTTTTACAACATCTGAAGCAAGAATTCTACGAACTTACTCCGAATGCCCATTCTGAGAGAGGTGCCACTTTTTATACCAGATGAATACAAAGGTAGAGCTTCGGCATCCGAGGCGAGGTAGTCAAATGTTCCATTTGTAAGGAAATACCTAGCGGAGAAAAAACGAACATTGAGAATTAACTTTTCGACAGAATTACGAGTATACAAACCTTATGCCGCATCCTCGGTCTCCGCGGTCATCTTCCTCCAAATCTTCTGCAAGATTCATTCTTCTTACATCCTGTGCAGACGACTCAACTGTTGATAGCATTGAAGATAGTCCTACCAACAAATGCCCATTAAGCTTCTTGTCCGCGTCACGGAGAGGGACCCAATATAGTTTATGTGCTGATAATTAAACAGTTTACTTTAAAATATTAATCATTTTTAATTATTTATTATACAAACTCCGCATACCAGGTTTATCTGCCTCCCCATTGTAGTAGAAGAGGTATCCAGTCCCTTCCGGTTTCATCAGAAGTTCCGCGCCCGGCTAAATATCAAACAAAAACTCCAGTTAAAAATGGAGTCATCTTAGAATATAGGGATTTATTTGTTTAATAAATATGGGTGTAACTTTAAGTCCGTCAGCATGGTTTAATTAGGTATACTTACTTTTAATTTTTTTCTATTGGCATCACCAGCTGTGTCCGTAGACGATCTCTTATCAGGTTGCCTTCGGGATCCTGAAGGTTGTGATGAAAGGGAGAAATCGCTCAACTGGTCCTCCATTACATCCATCCCGCTTGTGACATCTGGAACGTCGATTTGACGGGAGCTCGATGCAGCACCACGTCCTCTCGTTTTCTCCAGTGGTTTTGTAGAACTTTCATCCTCGTCACTTGACTAAAAAACACAAACAAGCAAACAATTAAATAAATAGACAAGAATGATAATATGCATAACATGAATTCGAACTCAGACACACACAGGTATACATGATTTATAATTTATTTATAATTTATAAATAAGTTTGACCAAGTGTCTGCCTGATGAAGCTTACAGTGTGTAAACGACAGCTCGTGTTCATTTTTGAATAAATCAAGTTATATCCTCGTAATACCGCTAAACAGATGTCTAATTACTATAATTTATATTTACTTACCGCTTCGGTTGTCTTCGGTCTTCTTCCTCTTCCACGACCAGTCATGATCTCTTGTCTGCAGGTTGATGAGATATTTTGCGTGGTGAGAGAGTTGATCAGGAATCATTTGATTCAGGATTCTGAAACGTGAGAGAGAGTTGCGAGTGATGAAGACTGACTGAAGTGAGAGCAGTTTTATTCAGTGAGAGCAGTTGGAGAGCGGACGTCCTAGCTCCACTAGAGAGTGGAGCCGCTCCATTGTCTTCCCTCCATTTTTCCCTCCACTTTGCACCGATTGGCTGTTGCTCAAAACTCAGCAATTCTCTCCCTCCACATCCAAAACTCAACCCAAACATTGCATGGCGAGATTCCTTTATAACCCTTTTTTACTTTCTAAAAAAGTTGTTAACTAAATTGTGTAAGTAATATGTAACGTGTGTGATATGTGTTATATGTGGTGCGGAGACTCTTTTCGTTGCGGGTGAGCACTTTTATTCCTACTTTCACCACTTTCTCCTTCCTTCTTCCTCCCTTGACAGTTCATCTTCTTTTCCCCATCACGAATCATTTCCTGTATTATTCAAATCGCAAAAATTGTGTTATGAATAACATTTCGTTCGATAAAAAGTAATCCATATGCTGTCGCAAATCTTGCCCTTTTCGACAAATGTTTTCCTCCTTTCCCTTCCACTTTCGGCATAAAATATGCAGGATGAAATCTCAAAATATGTTTATGTATGGATTTTTCTTCTTATTTTTTTGCAGAGAGGTAAGCACCGTTATTTCCGTGTACTTATTTTTTTCCATCACTTTTTTCCTATCTTGATCTTAACGGGGTACAGAAACGCCTGGTCAACCGAGAGAAAGATCTTCATGCGATTACTTACTCACGAGCCGGTCGAACAGCTTCGCGTTATTTTTGACGAATATCGAAGAATGTCTGGCCAATCGATGCAAGAAGGTTGGTTTTTAAAAAATATCTCATTTTTTCCTCAATAAATGGGTAACTCTAGATAATTTGCAATTTTTGAATTTCAGCCATTCAAACTGAATTTTCTGGAGATTTGCGCAACGCCATGTTGACGATTGGTATGTCTGTTTACATTTTATATTATAGAATCCTATAAATTCCACCCGTTCCAACTTCGGAGACAGATCAAGGCGAAGGAGGAGAAAGTAAATAAGGAGATTGCCCACATGGGAGAAGATTGATGACGCTGGGAATCGTGTGTGTTAATGACTTTAGTTTAGAGAGGATCGGCACTATTTGCCCGTAAATTTAGACTTTTATTAAATACGATTCAACAGAAATCCTTGGTACATACTTAATAGCCCTGTGTGGTATGTAACCTCCTGTGTACATACAAGTTTGCACAAGGGATAACAAAACAACACGGCTGCCTCGTTTCGTTATAGTGAATTTATTAACACGACAATCTAATGCGAGACTGGCACACGATGCAATGCAATCAATAAACCAAAAGCATAGACATTTGCCATTTTCGCTTTCTCCTGCTCTACTAGATAGATAGCTGGGAATTCGTTCATGCGATAACGTAGTTCCGTCCGCCGCCCATCTCTCTGCCTGTCCGTGTGATAAGGATATTTCGGTATGACGAGGATGCAAAATCTTACTGCAAACAAGGACTACTTATCCGTCCACTACTTACTTTGCAGCTGGATGTTTATATCGAGTAATAAATTTCGGGTGCAGTGTTTGTTTGCACACAAAACCAACACTAGGAATTTATATACTGCATCCAGAGTGGTTTAATTGCTACCCGAGAAGGCATCAATTTTCCGCATTGATGACCACTCTCAATGCAAACAGCATATTATTTAGTTTACGACGGGGCGTATTGCAACAGAATTATGACACCCAATTTTTTATAAGCTACACACAAATCACCTTCCTGTCCCAGTTTATAAAAAGCCTGAGACTAAAAGAAAGCTTATTAGGAATAAAATCCACATTGTATCGACACCACCCATCTCAATTGATGATGACTTAAAAGAGGTCACGTACATAAAGGAGCAGCGCGATCTTGTCAATGTCAGTGGCTGCGAGGAATGATTTATTTCCCAGAATTGTGCTGACTCCTACAAGCTTATTTTTTGCTACTTTCTTGTTGTGGATCATCTTTTGCTACACACGGAAGGGGAAAAGTAGGAGAGAAAGTTTGTATTTTTCTTTATCATCATCATCATCATATCCCACAGAAAAGGAGGACAGCTCTCTTTGTGGGTTGGTTTTGCGGTGGGAAAATACATGCAATTCATTGATATTTTTCCCACAAGAACACGTCCTCGGAAAGAAAGTCTAGTGTTCTAAATCCACGGCACGATGGGAGCGACTTTGTTGTTTGGCTCGGGAAATAATAATATATCACCGTTTCTTGGAAATTTATGGGAATAGCTTTCCCAACAGGAGGATGGCATGGCAAAGAGTAGGAGATGGGAGCTTAGGATTAGCTTATGGATATGGTCGGCATGCATGCATGTCGACTTGGCGTGTTGATCCCACGATGAAGATCTCTGCAGGTGAGGTGGGAGTGAAAGTCATCGATTTTCAATTGAGCTGAGATAATAAGTTGTCTCTTCGTCCTTCTTCTGTACACATTTTACTTTCACATTTCCGGTCGGTTGAGCAAGAAATCGGGTCCCCATGCAAATTTATTTTAAACTTGATTATCTCATTTTCCAGTGAAAAGCGCCATCAACAGGGCGCAGTACTACGCTGAAAAATTGGAATCTGCTATGAAAGGTCTTCGTTTCGATGATGACACAATAATCCGGATTATTGTATCGCGCTGTGAGATTGATCTCGACGAAATCAAAGGCGAATATCTCAAGATCTACCACAAGACACTTTATCACTCTATTCAAACCAGGATCAGTGGCGATTACCGGACTGCCATGCTGGCTTTGATAGGAACTCCGTAAAGAAAAAAATATGTTACGAAAACAAACTAAAAATTGTTACCCTTTTAAAAGAAAAACTCCAAATTGTATGCTCCTTCTTTGATGATAAGATATACATAAAAAAATCTATGTAAATAGCATGTAACCAGTCATTTCATTATATTGATGCGTAAATCGATTTTTAATGACATCTCTCTCTCTCTCTCTCCAAACTCTACCAATGTTCAAAATCAAATTACTAAAAGTATGTATCTACATAAAAATATGCAGAGGTTTTTGACGAGTAGTCATCACCATCATCACGAAAAAATTACTTGCGTCGACCTTTTGCTCACTTAAACTTTTCCGTGCGAATATTGATTTTATCTTTATCTAACCTGTACTGCATGCTATTTCGATTTAATGAGTGCCATGAAAAAAAATTGGGCAAATCCTTATTTACGTAACGTAACAAAGAATGAAGAGTTTTACCAACTCGACCGACTCGACTCTTAACCATTTGAGACCCGTACTGTACCTTATTACCAAAATACACGTTCTATGTAATCGTAAGTATATCCGTGTAGCTGTAGCTGCTAAATAACGAAGTAAATTAGGTTTGGCAACTTTACAGAGTTGAATAGATTTGTGTTTTCTACCCGACTTTCTCTCTCGCTCGAGTAGGTTTAGAAGAATGGAAAATAAATTATGTTCAACCCTTTGGCAAGGCCTGGGTCCATTTTTAATGACCGTAATTACATAAATATGGATGTACTTAAATACTACTGGAGACTTTTACCTTGATGCCAAAATATTGTCAACTTTTTCGTCTCTAACAAAAAAAATCTAAATGTTACATGGTGCTTAAAAAATTGCTGTCCCATACAAACAAAGTAAATGATATAAGTTTGGTGGAAATTTATGTTTATAGTCAGCTTTTTAAAATTTTATGTATTAATTAGTTGAATATGTAAGAATAATTGTGCTGTTATATACATACATTCCGAAATTTTATCCTCTGTTAAACTAATATTAACAAGATTTTGCTGGACTCCGGACCATATATATTCCCAAGTGAAAATAGACTAGAAATGTGTTTGTCTAACCAATGTGCGCAATGTGAACCTAACACAAGATACCCGTCATTATCGTTAACTACTTAATGATTATTGTGAAACTTAATAAATCAACAAAAACGAGACAAAAAATTAAGTTTTTTGCACTTTGTTATATATCGATTTTTGCAGGTGCATGCACCTTATTCATGTTATCGAATGAAGCAGCAGGGTCAGAGATAACAAGTTCATGGAGTTGAGAGAGGAAAGGCAATCTGGTTATTGTCACTCGACATAAAAAAAACATGAATGCTATTCATGCATCAATGGCCACATGAGACATCGTTGATCATGTTTTATTGAATAATGGTTCAATTATTGTTTTAATTAATTTCATTCGCATAATTCATGCCATCAATTTGAACTTTGAATCTGCTAAAAAATATGATGAAATTTTGGCAAATGTTACACTGTCAACTGTCCTGTGAGAATATAAAGTGAGTCAGTAATCACTGGAATCTCTTTAAATCTCATTTACGAAAAGAGCTCAACGAAGAGTGATATTATAGTAAAAAAAATTGCAAAAATGTCTTTCGAACAGTCATTTAATGGAAAATCTGTGCTTATTACTGGAGCAGGAAAGGGTAAGTAGATAAATAACAGAGATAATTTTGCATCATTTTGCATAACTTGCATTTCATTTTTGACCAGGCATTGGGAGAGCCCTTGCTCTCAAACTGTCTCAAATCGGTGCTAAAGTATTCGCCCTCTCAAGAACAGAATCTGACCTCCAATCCTTAGTCAACGAGAGTCCCTCCATTATTCCCATATCGGTCGACTTGCAGGATTGGGACGCTACGAAGAAAGCCGTACAATCCTGCGGAGTTTTGGACGTTGTCCTCAACGTCGCCGGGGTAGGTCACGAAGAGCCATTTTTGGAAATTACGCCAACAATATTTGACGAGTTAGTGGCAATATTCAAGTCATAATTTCAACTTAGATATTTATGAAATTTAAGAAATTCGTCTAATCATCTCATTTTTAAGGATAATAAATATAAATCTAAAAGCCGTCGTTAACGTGTCTCAAACCGCTGCTCAAGGAATGATTAAAGCCGGACGAGGAGGCAGCATAGTCAACATTTCGTCACGGGTAAGTAAACCCTTGAAATAAACATGGCAAGATTTTAAATCCATACGATTCAGATGGCCCACCGAGCCTTCAAGGACTGCAGCATCTACTCCACTTCTAAAGCTGCCGTTGACCAGTTAACAAAATCCATGTGTCTCGAACTTGGCCAACATTCTATTCGTGTCAATTCCATTAATTTGGGCGGTGTTTGGACTCCCATGTGGGCCACGACTTTCACTTCCGGTGGATCTGGGAGGCAAAATTATGATGAATATGCGGCCCGAGTGGTGCAAAGGATACCGGCAGGGAAGCCATTTATTCCGATGGAAGATGTCGTCAATACCGTATTATTTACTGCTTCAGACTGTACTTCCATGCTCACCGGGGCCAATATAGCACTGGATGGTGGTTACACGGTGACATAATATATTTAGTACACGATCTTAAATTTGTGAATATTTGAGCCCCACTTAAAAAAATAAGAGTTTTTAAAATGTTTATGACTTTACGTTTATGATACTCAAAATCGATAACAGTATGAATAAAATAAGCAATTTGGTGCAGCGATAAAAAGATATGAAGGTGCATATACAAATATGTAGCAGGTAAACTGGTACACGTATAAGCATATGCATTTTAATGGAGCTACCGACTGGGTAGCAACGCAGGCACAACAAACGGGTAGCGAGCCTGATTTTAGTGCAGTTGACGGTCATAAAAGTTGATACCACAATTTTAACACCTATTACTATTTAGTATTACTAATAAAATCTTATAAATATGTCATCCACTGAAGAAATTCCACCCCCCTCACGACCCCAATCATCTCACACCAATAAGTCTCACAAATTAAACATGTTATCCTCCTCTTCCAACCTACGCGACACTTTATCCACCTTTGGAGACGACCTCGTTCGAGTCAAAGATTCAAATTTCCTCTACTTTGAAGGAATTCAGGCCACATCCTCCGATATTTCTGGTCAGCAACGCTCTCAAATTCAGTTTGAACGCGTCCCCTCGGCTGAAGTGGGGGTCAAATCGAGTCGTTGGAGGAAGGCGATTGTTGCTGGTCTTTTTACTACGCCAAAGACCAACTCGAAACGTAAAGATTCGGATTTGAGGAATAAAAACGAGGATGATGAGGACGATAATTATTCGGGGTTTATTAGTGTCGAACCCCCGTTCTGGGGGGTAGGTCAGAAAACTCGAGAGAAAATTTCAATGCTTTCACTTCAGTTGGTGTTGCATGAGTTGGCATGTTTTTCGAGTTGCGTTCTTTTGGGCTATCTGTCCTTCCATGTCATTAAAGGGGTATGAAAAAATAGTACTTTTTACTAAAAACTACGTACCTAATTCGAATTTATATTTAAACCGGTCCAATTTTCCAGAGCACTTGGAATGGCGACGATTCCAACTGGATTTTCAATCGGAGTTACGAATCCATTGGCATACTTTTAATAGGATTGACAACTCTGGGTTTTTTAATTAGGTAATTTATACACACATTTTTAGAAAAATTCTTATAATTTCATAAATATTTTCACTGCCTTATATTTTTTCAGAATTGATACAACCGACTCCGGAAGTTTACTGACCAGCCCATTCCACATCCTTCCCACTGTTCTAATCGTGGTGCCAATTTATTTGGTGAAAGCGTGGGAACTGCAGCGTGAAGAGTGCTTTCAATACTTGAGAATGAGAGACGAATTCAAGAAACATGTTCATCTCACGCAAAATTGCGAATATTACGAGCAGAAACTTAACGAAACCAGCACAAATAATAATAATAATAGTGCAAAAAGTAAGGAATGGTTAGATGTGTCTGTTCTCGTCATGAATATAATTCCAATCATTGTTTGCTTCATTGTCTCGATTTATCTCTTCTCGTTTAGAAATAGGTTTTACTTGATTGAGAAATTTGGAAATTCCAAGAATTATAGATGAGTATGTAAATTTTTTTTGACAAGTACGAGTTGCTGAAAGTTGCATGCTATACATAAATAAATTAATTGAAACAGACCGGTTAATTAAAAAAAACTGTTACGAAATCACAATTTTTTCACGCAATCTCACGACCTTGATTTAACAAGTTTACATTAACAATGAGCATGAGAATTTATTTTCAACCTGTCTGAGAGTGGCATTGCAATAATACGTATAACGTGCGTGACCTTAACATGATAACAGCTTTTACATTTAACTTAATAGGCATGCTGGAAGATATGCATAGTAAATAAAGAAATGCACCGATTAAATGTGAACCTTTAATTTATATATGTAGGTATAGTTTAAAGTTTGCATTTATAATAATCTAGTACTGTTTGTAGGTAGTTTGTGCAAATTAAACTTGACCATTCTCCATTGGCGAGACGAGTTATTCGTCACGAATTTGGATTAATAGGTTTTATATTGGATTAAATCAAGATATAATTGTTTCATTTATTTGTGTATCAGCTTATCAGTGTATTCAAGCAGTTAGAAGTTACAGAAATCGCCAGTTGCACAAAATTCTTTGTTTGTGCATTGACTTTTTCCGAACTACTTAAAAAATTATGCCATTTAAAGAATTATTTGTTGGTAAACGTGTCCTCGTCACTGGAGCTGGTCGAGGTAACAAGAAAAATTCAAATTATTTTAATACGAATAACACAAATTATCCGAATTTTAAAAATCATAATTTAGGTTTAGGACGCGCTTTAGTGAAACGTCTGCATAGTTATGGAGCCCAAGTTATCGCCTTATCCAGGACGGAAAGCCATTTGAAAACTTTGCAAGCCGAACTTCCAGGACTAGAAATAGTTTGCGTCGACTTAGGAGACTGGGAAAAGGCCCGTGAAGTAATCGGACAATTAGACGTCGTGGATATTTTAGTTAATAATGCTGCCCTCATATTAGTTAAGGGAATTATGTCGACCTCATCCGAAGAATTTGATAGGTTTGCTTATAAAAATTTAAATATATTTAACCCATTCATACCAAATAATGCCACCTTTAAAAAAATGTCGTGCTAACTATTTTACAGTTTGATCAACGTAAACTTAAAATCCGTAATGAATACGTGCCAACTCGTCGCAGCGAAAATGATCGCTGCTGGAAAATCTGGATCAATCGTGAACGTTTCGAGTATTGTGAGTCCATTTCTTCTGAATTTTCATGTCATCAAATAAAGCCTAATTTACCCACTTTGTCCAGGCGGGTACCCAACCCTCCCCGTATAACGGTCTTTACTGTGTCACTAAAGCCGCTCTGGAAATGATGTCGAAATGTTTAGCTGTGGAGCTGGGTTCTAAAAAGATTCGTGTCAACACATTCGCTCCGGCAGGGATTGAAACCGACATGCTTCAAGAGTTGGCTTCCGGTACGGACAATCTTGTCCAGAAGGAGGGAACGTTTAAAGCTTTTTTGAAGTTCAGGACTCCCACCCAGACCGCGCACATGCCGACGGACGAGTGTATTAACACCATGCTGTTTCTAATGTCGGACTTAACAACACAAATCACGGGACATAACTTGACGATTGATGGGGGTTACTTGTGCACGTGATTTAAAAAATCAGGAATAAAAATCATAGTACTAACATCGGCTAGTAACATGATCACACCATCCGTATTATTTCATCCGTGTTCGTGTCAACGAGAACTCAATGTCAACCGGTTTGAAAAATAAGTAATGTGTGCTAATAATTATTTTAAATCCTTCTATAATCCTTAATCCTAATCCTAAAACTGGTTAAGATTACATAAGTGATGAAAATGATTGACAAGTTGAAATGAAAAAGTTGTTTTTCTTCGTTATTAGTGTTATTACAATAAAAAATACGGATTATACACTAGATCTCATTGGCTTTTTTATGCTAGAATAATAGTTACATAATAGGACAATAATTCCTTGTAAAACGGGAATAAAAGAGTTTGTCCGCCTCTAGAAATTCAGTTACCAGTTGTACTTTTCACCATGTCACTGGAAGGTTCATTTCGTGGTAAACGTGTCCTCGTCACGGGAGCAGGTCGAGGTAACTCTATTTTTAAAAGTTTCTGGTAAAACCAAATGCTATTATAATTTTTGCCTAGGGATCGGCCGAGCCGTAGTGAAACGTCTCCACAGCTATGGGGCAATTGTCATTGCAACGAGCAGAAATCCTGAAAATTTAAAAACCCTGAAAGTCGAATGTCCCAGAATTGAGACGATTGTTGCAGACTTGCAAAATTGGGAGGAAACCAGATCCGCCTTTGATAAATTAGAACCTGTCGATTGTCTCCTGAACAATGCTGGGCTTGGGGCAGTAAAATCCTTGATGACCTCTACACTCGAGGAATTTAATCAGTTTGTAAACTTTGATTTTATGTACATATATTGTTAAACACATATAAAACAAGTATTCGATTTTTTTTCAGAATGTTTCAAATAAACGTAACCGGAACTTGGAGCATAACACAATTAATCGCACAAAAGATGGTCAACGCTGAAAAAGGGGGCTCAATCTGTTTCATTTCGTCAATTGTAAGTATTTCAGCACCGATTAAAAGAATGATAAAATTTCAAAAAAATTATATATCTCATTCAGTGCGGCGGCAAACCTTTTCCTCTCTTTGGAGCCTATTGCATGACCAAATCGGCCCTGGAAATGATGGCAAATTGCCTCGCTGTGGAATTAGGACCAAAAAAGATTCGCGTCAATGTCGTCCGTCCTGCCTGTGTCGATACCGACATGTTAAATGTTGCTGAAACCGGGGTGGGGATGACTGTTGGAGTGGGGGATGCATTTCAGGCGTTCATGACGTCGAGAACGCCGTATCCCGGATACCACATGGAAATGGAATATTTGGTCAATCTGATTCTGTTCTCATTGTCAGATTTGTCCCCGCAAGTGACCGGGACCGTCATGACGATTGATGGTGGATTTCAGCTTTCTTAAGTAATCAATGGTGATTTGCACTATTACATATTTGATTATTTTTAGCAGGGTTGGTTTATTCATAAGTAAATAGGTACACATTAAAATTAACTGACTTATATAAGAGAATTGCATGCAGATTTCATATATGTTGATTGTTTGTCACTGTTTTGGCTTATGTAAGTTAATAATACTTTATAAATGCATCATTTACATTGATTGACACTGCACGTTATTATCAAACAGAATAAAAAATAATTAAGGTTCAGGATAAATAATTATTAATTGACTGCGATATATATATGTAAATATGTATAATGATTAACTTTAAATATATTGGTTGCATATTATGTATAATATAATTGAGTTGAGTTGGTTATGCAAGTATTACAAGTAATTGTAGTTCATTTAACTAATTACTGAAGGCCCTGACCCCGTGGCCTCTCAAGTGTTCGGGATACTCATCCGTGGGAAACAGGTTTCGGCACACGTGACATTGAATCGTATTTTGCAGCATTTTGCAAAAGAGATGATTTTTGATTTCCTGGTCTGACTTTAACGTCTCGAGGCATCTCTTGCACATGTAGGTCATTACACGTTCTAAATAAAAAAAGATCAAATAGAGGACTAATAGTTAATAATTATTGAATTAAATTGAAAGTTAGTTAGGCGACTTACTGTCCAAGAGGACGATATGATCGTATCCCGACACGTCAGTAATACCTCCGACAGATTTTGGCCTTTGTGGAACATCAACCGTTGTGCGATTTAGATTTCCGAACCGTTGCTGCAACAGGAGGCGTTGATCTTGATCACTTCGTCGTCGTGGGAGTGTCATTTCGGACAGCTTGGGTTTTCCGACTTGACCCTTGTTCCCATCTCCAGTAGTCGATCCTTTCCCAATTGAGGATAAGTCCTTATCATTCACCTTCTCCACGCAGTCCACAATCATAACTTCCTCAGAAGGATCGGCTGCTGCCACGATCGGTTTCAGAATTGAGCTTGGTTGCAGTTCCTTCTTTGGGGACGGTGGCGTTGTTGGCACTGACGAAGACGACAACGCTGGTTTCATCAGCTCCTTAATAATCGTAGAGGATTCCTTGAGCATTTCATTTTTCAAGCTCTCAGTAATTACGTAGGGTCTCTTCTGTTCAACGTGTAGCGTTTTCCCAATTTGAGCCAGTCCCACGTCCGAATTAGTCGTGGGATAAGTCTTCTTTTGAGCCGGCGTCACCATCGATGTTGGGGGTTTCCAACCACCACTCGATTCATTATGTTGATGATGACCTTGGCCGTAAGTATAGCTGAAGTTTTGAAGTTTCTCCAGCTCTGCGGCAAACCCTGATGCCGTCGTTTTTGTTGATGGTGAATTGTTATACGCAGACGGGGGAGGATGATGCATCCTTGTCGACTGGGGGCCATTACTACTTTGATAAGTGGGGTATACGTGCTGTTGTGGGGTGTTGTGATGGGGGTGGTAACCGTCCGCCTCGTATAAGCCATGCTGACCTCGTGTGACATTAGGGTTACTGCTATTCTGCTGCTGCTGCTGCTGCCAGTTTGAGGAGGATGGTGGCGACTGATGATATCCGTAGGTCGCGACTCCCACTGAGATTTGAGGTTTTCCATAGTAGCCGTTTCCTCCTCCGGCATGAGCAGCGTGGGCGGCGTGAGATGGAAAATTGTAGTCAGAGCTGTCCATCCCAGTCGCATAGTTGGCATAGTCGTCCCAACCCCCACCGCCACCAAGGCCGAGGATATGGTGTTGATAATCCCAATACTTTTTGAGCTTCTCATAATGCTCTAACGCTGCTCGAGGTGATCCTGCCGAGGGGGAATGAGACTGCATTTTCTGCTTAAAGTTAGGCTTCGATTTTGGGACTAGAGCCGATACGGTTTTAGTATTTTGTGGGTGCGGAATCTTCGTTATTGTCGCGGACGATGCCAGTGACGATGTGAGATTGGGATGCTGTAATTGTTGATGGGTTGGTTTAATGTATTTGAACGACTTGAGATGACTGTTGAGTTGTTGGTCGATAAAATCTGTGGTATGATTTCCGGGCTGTTGTTGCTGATGAATCATCAAATTTGGGTGGGAATGGGTGCTTGAGTAAGGCTTCATTTCAATCACGGGTATTTTGCAGTCGACTGGTTGACCTCGTCCTCGTTGCATTTGCATTACATTGTTCGTCGGAGTGACGTCCATTTGTCCGTTGGACCATTTGTTCGGCGTGTTGCTGCCAGATCTTCCGCTGTTCGTCCACGGCGGCGGTGGAGACGTGTCGTGTTGTCTGATTGACCTCATCATTGCTCCTCCTCCATCCCCACCATCTGTCAAAGTAGCGACGGGATAGAACGGATATTGATGATAGGCACGATCCTGATAAGCCGAATGATGTCGCTGCTGTTGTTCCAATAAGCTGTTGCCGTGTAGCTGAATCCTATTGTTATTATTATTTTCATGCTTCTGAATGATAGATCCAGCCCCCATGAAATTATTCCGGTCTCCACCACCACCTCCTTGACCCTTGTGAAACGTGAGCTTAAGATTGTTCTGTTCCATAAGCAGTATTTCTTGGTCTCCTTCCTCATACTCCCCACCGCGACCTTTGATCAGCTCATCGAACCGCATCGGTCCAGGGACGCGTCCTTCAAAGAGTGTCCTCCGATTGAGCACGTTACTATTATTACTACCTTCCGCTGAGGATGCGATTGCATTATGATGATAAGCTCGTGCCCCTTGTGGCTTATAAGTCATGCCAAAGTTTCCATTGCCGGGATGCACGTTCCCGTTTTCGAAACCGACCTGCATCTTGAAACTGGTATTTGTAACTTCACAATTGGAAAAGTAATGTCTCCCCAACTCTTTCTTGCAGCAATCAAATGGACAATTTGTCACAGTACTGCTATTAATAGAATTTGACGACGATGGCGATGCACCCAATAAGTTTTGACAACTTTCACCTTCATCAATAACTCTGCTGCTGCTATTGTCGTCACCAGCACCACTGCATTCCTTGCTGGCCTTCAGTTGCTGCACAAAGTCTCGAATTGGACAAAATTTTACAGGATATGCCAACAGTCGTTGAATCCTTTGTTGAAAATCGAGTGAACTATTAGCCATGCCTTTTCAAATAGTACTGCCCCCTCCTCATCCTGTGGACGGAAAAGTTTTAGAGAAAAGTTTCACAATCAGAGGATTATACATAATTCGGGACAAACACAATACATACACTGACCCATTGAAGCCACCAAATTCCGGGTTTTATGCCCCAACTACTTTCTCCCGTAATGACTATTATCGTGGCCCGGTGGGTTTGTTTGCTGCCTGTCAACCAGCATGTAAGCGAGTGGTAAAGGTGGTAGTGCCATGTAGAAAGTTATCCATACGTGTACTTTCCTCTCTCCCTCCTGGTTCATAATAACTCGCCAAGAAAGGTATTTAGTAACGGCTTTTTCCACTGTTGCACGCTCTCTCTCTGCTGCTAATATTCTCGGAAATATAATGACATAAAATACACACTCATCCTTTTGTATCGACTGTGGAGAAGGTGTAATAATTTGGAATTTACTAGAGCAACATTGGTCTATGTACCTATGGACGGATGGATCCATGTAAATGTATGTGCGTACCTAGAATAGCGTAACCGAGTATTTATCTGTAATTGCTTTTTGTTTCGGGGATTATTTTGGAACCGATTATGAATAAATGGGCCATGTTTATATGCATAGTTCATCGATTATAGATGTGCGTAATTCATTACAGATTATAATTATTGTACGGACATTTATAGTGAAGCTAAGCCATCATCCCCTGTTCCTGGCTGGACAATTAATGGAAATCGAACCATTTCAAGCAAAGACGGATGGGTTAGAAATTCCCGATATTAATATAAATATACGCTCAGTGCCCCAATTATTCTTGGTTAAATCATGTCAAAGTGTACTTTACCGTAATTGTGATGTTTTTCATGACACATATTATTATTGACATATTTATTACTGTTGTTTCCTAATTGCATACAGTTTCAGGGTTATCAATCGGACGACAGGAAATAATGATAAGTGATGAGTGGGCAACAAAGTGACGTGATGACGTTTATTGTGGGAAGGATGCAGCTTGTCTAAATTGTTATTATTGAAGAGTGACACATTATTTATTACGTCTCATCTGTCTTCTTTGTGAATGGGGTGAATTGTAAGAAAATGAACTCGTATTGTATTGTTGGCCAGATAAGAATACGATCGACCAAAGTTTGCCTTTGTACTGTATTCTTTTCAATCTATATTTCTTTATCAAGGACATCGTAATACATGTACAAACCGGAAATAGTGAAAGTTATCAAGCCAAACTTTTTCTATTTTGGTAATATTTTTATGAACAAAAGTAAGTCTTATCTCAAAAGTAAGTTTCGACTGTTTATTTTTTTATTAATATTTTTTTTCATGGCAAAATATCCATCTATTTCAAATTGCTATTATATATTTTGCAATGCATGCTATTGCCCCCATTTTTATCGCAATTTTCATCCTATTTTCATGCATATGCATGTAACATGAAAATCCTTGGAATGAAAATATATATTTATGAAGACTATTAAACTCTTATATAAGCTACATAACCACTTATATTTAGTCCATGCATAGGAAAACCAACCCTGCCCCCGTATACACTGCCTCCCTCCCTCCCAAAGTCTGTCCCATTTATTTAACGAATTGTCAATAATTTCTTCCACCATCGCAAACCAACAAGAGCCACCACAAAACCGAGCAAACCTTGTTCAACCAATTTTAGCAATTTATCAGCTCGTTTTCATTTGTCTTCATCAACATCAAACCGAATTTTCAATATTTCTATTATCATTCCTCTCTCTCTCCCTCTTTCCTGATAAAGAAAAACATTATTATTGGTTTGTTTAGTCGGTCAGAGTTTATTTAGGTTCAGAACAAAGGCTGCATGAGCTCTTGTCGTTTGTTTGTATGTACATATAAAAAGTCTTCTTATAAAATGTCAATCCAACCATTCACCCATCAATTATTCAGCATTTCATGCTTTGTGTTTTACTGCGGGGCTCCTGGACATTTGGTTAAAATTGAAATGCATGTTTTAGCTCGTTGTTGCTTATTTATTCACATTTCGGTTTTAGTATAGTTATCAAATGCAAGACACGAACGGACGAATAAACGAGCAACAAGTCTTATGTACGAAGGAACGCAATGTTTTTATTTATGCAGTAAATTAATTATTTGTATTGAAGCTCGATTCATATTGAATATTTACATAAATATGACCATGAAATAAGATAAGGCATGAATAAATTCATACATAAATATGTATTTTTATTTGTCTTTTTGTCTGTGGCTTATATAAATGCCAAGTTATGTATGTAGCTACTTACTTATCAAACTAGGTAATTATTTTTGTCGACACTTTTCTCTAATTGTGAAGAAATTCAGAGTTTTCTTGGTATTGTAATGTACTTAAAAATGCCGTACAAAAATAAATTAGGTGGAAAAGTAATTGTTTTCTTGTGATAGAAATGATACGAGTTTATCACACTGCCGAATTTTATTAACTATTTGTATTCATTTCTTAGTAAATACAGTACAAGTTCTTGATGATGAATGTCGTTCATGCATAAATAATGCGATGAAATGACTAAAGTTGTTCGGGTTAAATTTAATGCACCACCGAATAAGCTGAAATTTGCTACAAATTTTAGCTGAATTCGCCACCGGATGAATTTTTTCCAACTTTAGCCTTTTTAGCCACCGATTTAGATGGTGGTTACGACAAATTTAGATGAGCTGCCATCACCATATTTCATGACGATAAAACATGGGTATACATATTTATGTTTATAAAAAAAAATAAAATCACAATAATCTCAATAAATCATGCTGATTTCCTTCTGCATATAATTATGTATGTATATATTTGTATATCAATGACTGGAGTGGGTAGGAGAAGTGACGTATGTATTACCTTTCGGCTGGTCATCACTACTCTCACAGTTGTACTGCAGTTAAAATATATCTATCTGAACAACTTTTTTTTAAACCAAAGAAATGAGGTGTTCGCAAGTTTTTAATTAGACCAGTGATACTGAATCCTCTCTTTCTGAGGAAAATTCTCCCAAATTTTAGAAACGCAAGCCCATTTGCGTCTAATATTCCATTAGAAGAAGGACATCCGACTTAACCGGATTAATCCAATCCGAATCCGACAGGGTAGGATTGGATCGGATTTTTTATGACCCGACCAAATATAAGTCGAATATAAGTCAAATATGAGTCGAATCGGATCAGATTGGATTTTTAAAAACATCGATCCGACTACATTATAGAGAGCAGTAGGATATAGAATTTAATCCGATTAATCCAATCCAATCCGAATCCCCCATGTTCGGATCAGAGTATAAATCTTGTCCGCACCGGCCAATAGCTTGCTCGCACCGCTTATGAGCTGGTGCGAGCAAGAATTATTCACTGGTTCGGATTGGGTCTTTAGGATCCGACCAAGTCGGATCGGATCGGATTGCATTTTTAAAAACATCGAACCGACTACACCCTGGTTTCCTGTGCTAGTAGTGGGGGTCTCTTAAAAAACGGAACTTTTCACCCAACCAGTATTGCCGTTACGGCTGAATAGACATCTAGCAATTTTAGAATTCTGTTGGAAGGCCTGAAAAAGGGCACGAAAGAAAATAATTGGATTAGAAATTCAGAATACACTTTATGATGTTAGACCGGAAGCGTAAGAATCGTAAGGTTGCGAAAGCTAAAAAAGCGCTCATTGTTATTAATTTCACGTGTATTGTTAAAAAAGACGTGTATATAGATGTATTATACTATAAATAAATCATATTATTGTAAATTATATTGTTTTTATAATCCTATAGTCATAAAATATGGTAATGGCAGCTAATCTAAATTTGTGGTAACCACCATCTAAATCGGTGGCTAAAAAGGCTAAAGTTGGAAAAAATTCATCCGGTGGCGATTTCAGCTAAAATTTGTGGCAAATTTCAGCTTATTCGGTGGTGCATTAAATTTACTCGAAGTTGTTCAAATTCCATTATTATAGAACTTTATTACTCGTGGACTAATTTAGTGATTTCCTTTGAATTTAGACGATTTTTGCAACGAGCATAATATTGGGTTTAATAAATGCTAAAACTTATATAAATTTCTCCTTATCTTATACGGACTAATAATTTTGAAGAAATTGATTTTTACTTAAATTGGAGAAGGAGTATAATTTAATTGACCTAAAAATGCCAAAACCTTCTAGAATGAATTGCAATGATAATAAATAAATATGTCTCTTGCAAAATATAAATTGAGATATCTTGATAAAAGAAAAATAAACTTAATAAAAAGTAGTTCTGCAATTTCGTAAGATCACTTTATTAAAGATTTTGTCTTATCTTTTGCTTATCTTATCAGTATTTGTTAATACAGGCTAAATATTACGTATATTTCTATGATTTAATGCACAGCGTATGCATATGGACAGAATGCAAATGATATTTGCGACTTGCAAATTAATAAGGCGATGGATCGAATATGTAGCTCTCAATCTATTATAGAAATCATGGTTAAAATCCCATCCTTGATAACCTCTCCTGCTTATCGCGGTCTCTTTCACTACTCCCAAAATTATTCACACTTGAAGAAGTAGCAGACTTTATTTTTTGCATAGAAGTTGACGGACGGTTTGTGTTTGGTCGGTGTAATTTCGTGTTCGATGAGGAACCACTTTGTTCTTGCTCATGGTAAGAATCGTCTTCAATATTGGTATAAAAATTGGAAAGGTCCACACTCGCAACGTCCAACTTGTGGTGACGATGGTGTTGACCACCTGAAATTCGTTGTCAGAATTATTTTTTATGTACTCTGTAAATTATTGATTTTCAGGAATATTATTAATTAATTTGCATATATACCGCCCACATCTCCCCCAGAATCGCTTCCCCTCGTCATATTATTTCCAGCGTAGGCCACACATTTCAACGTCCACTCGGCCGAGTCGGGCTGCCACTTGACGGATTTTTCAATTAATCTTTGATAAACGGGGGGAATAAAATTGTCTATAATTTGATTGTGGTATTGCAACTCTCGACTAAGTTTGTGCACTTCGTCCACCAAAGCGTCAGTCTCTTCCTGATATTCTAAGCGAAATTGGTCCAATTCATGTTTCTGGGCTTGGTACTTGTACCACGTCTGCGAGGAAATATATATTGAAATTAGATTCGTATATTAAAAATATTTAGCTACTAATTATAATTAACACACCTTTTTAAGCTTCTTGCTCACAGTTAAATTCTGCTCTTGGCAAAATAAAATTTTATTTTCCAGCGTTTTCCGTTCTTCCTCCTGTTTGGCGAGGTGAGACTGAAGTTTTTCTTCCTCCTCTTTTCGAAGACTGATTTCCTTCATGGACCTCAGCAAAAGTTCTTCTTGCTGTTGCGACTTGTCTAAAAGATTTTCGCCACCGACCAAAATTTTGCGTTGTAACGACTTGAGCTTTTGTTGCAAATTTAGCTTTTGGGCTTCAGTCTCCTTCCAAGTCATTACTTTGTCCTTGAGGGCAGTCATTACATGTTTGTGATCCTGAGATTCTGACCCGATCGTGGAACTGAGGAGGGCGTGGTTTTGAAGTTCGCCTTTAATTCCGAGTAAAGCTTCCTCATTTGGGACAGGGATGATGGAGAGGTGGCCCAACTCGCCACCTTCTTCGTCACCTCCTTCGTCATCATCGTCAACGAGGTCGTCATCAGTATTTTGGGGTGCGAGTAGTAAACCTCCAGCCGCCTCAGCATTTGCCAACTCGTCCTCCAACTGCTTTCTTAGTTCTTGGATCTCTTTTTCAAACTGGCGAAGCAGAGCGTCCTTCGGATCCTCGTTGATGACGGCGTGGTTCTTTATGTTCTTGGCACGATTAGCGAATCGTAAAGAACTCACGGTCTCATCGTAGTTGTAATCGGCAGGTCCAACATTTGCAACCATCACGGTTTTAGAGTTTCCTCCGAGCGAATCTTGTAGGAGTCGGGTGAGCTTAGAGTTTCTAAATTTAAGTGAAAGCAAAATATAAAAATTTGATAAGCTTTTCACATTTATTCTGAAAATTTACATCATTAAATGCCATTTTTTGAAATACTGACCTGTACGGAACGTGACTATTGCCCTCTACAAGAGCTGAAATTACATTCCCCAAGTTTGACAGTGACAAATTAATTTTCGTCGCCTCTTTCAATCGATCACCCGTCGCCTGCGTTTTGCTGAGTCGTTCCGACCCCGCTAAATCGACCAGATTAAGCTTCCCCACCCTGAAAGATCTCCCCTCACCCTTTTTCTTCTCCTTATTCCCCCCATCACCCCCACTACCCGCTCCCACCTTGTGATCCATGCTGCATTCGACCGTGATGGTGAAAATGGCGTGCGACCTGGAACTCACTGAGTTCATATTGGTCGATGCCACGGACCTATTTTTATTCCCAATCCCCATAATTCTGTCCATATCGTCAGCATTCCGAACCACAAAGGAAGACAAGTCCTTGACATACACGCCCTTGTCGCGATGCTCCTTCACCTCTAATTTTACAGTGCTCTGCTTCGCCAAGAGGTCGCGGACGTCCTCATTATAAATTTCGAGATATGAACATCTCACCAAGAAGCGTTGGTCTCCCTCAGCTTTCGCAATGTGGGAAAATATCTGGGCGAATGAGTTTGGAATGATGCCCTTCAACTCGGGGACATTGTGGACTCCTTCCATCGTATACGTTTTTCCCGTTCCGGTCTGGCCGTACGCGAATATCGTTCCGTTATAGCCTTGCAACACATTTTCTACGATGGGACGAGCCACCTCGTTGTAAACGTCGGCTTGGGTGCAGGTCGTGGAAAATACGGCGTCAAAGGTGAACGTTTTAGGTGAGTTGGGGTCGCCTTTTGTCGTGGGGTCGGAGGACTCGGTGGGATTTGGATTGTTGACGGAGATCGAGTTGGACTCGGAAATGACGTCCACGATGAGTTTACAGTTCCGCTCGGACTCTTTTCGACTCATGGGACGGCATCGTACGACGACACGAACGTTTTCTGAGGATGCGGGGGAGGATGGAACGGTGAGGTCGGTGGAGGAGGAGGATTTTGCGCTGGGAGTTTTGCTGGTGGTGGATTCGTCCATGATAATATAAGACTTAATCGTGTCGTCCCTGCTATGCTGAAATTTAGACGAGCTTGGATTATGCATATTAATTTAAAAAAATTAATGTATATATGAAAACGTACCAAGGTATTCATGCAAGATTCGACCGTTTTATTATTATTGTACACTTCTTTCCCCCCCAAGTTGAGACAGTTACTGTCAGATTAGTGAATATGGCATGATTTTAATAAGAGTTTGGATTTACTTTAGTGAGTAAATATGTACACTATAATAAGGCTATGGTTAATTGGTTCTGTAGTTATTTATATAATGAGCGTGATTGGAAATTATTATTAAAATGGGGTATAAAATATTTGTAAGAGAAAGTAAAATAAGGCGGAATTGTTCTTATAATGAATATCATGGCAACATTGATGAAACATGTGGAGAGAGATATGCGATCAATACACCGGAAGGGGGTAGAAATACCCGGGTAGTCTGACGAGAATTTTTAAGGTAGCAAAGCTGGTACCCGTTCGTGCAGTAGCCGTAAAACCAGGGAAAATGAGGAAGAGTTTGCATGCATATGCAGGATGCAGATGATTTAACGTGGCATTGTATCACGTGTTTTTTGTTTGAATTGTTGTGTCTCAACTTTCCCTTCCTCTATGTATTCAAATGGCGATTTTGAAAAATGTTCACCGCCTTTCGTTTTTAACAATATGAAGATATTAATGCACCTAAAAATCGGTAATTTTTAGGCTTACATAGTTAGGAGATAAAAATTTTGATTTTTTTCTTCAATGAGGAAATATTTAAATTTTATTGATTATTTTTCATCTATTTTATATTTATCTTCTTGTTGAAGAAAAAAATCAAAATTTTTATCTCCTAACTATGTAAGCCTAAAAATTACCGATTTTTAGGTGCATTAATATCTTCATATTGTTAAAAACGAAAGGCGGTGAACATTTTTCAAAATCGCCATTTGAATACATGGAGGAAGGGAAAGTTGAGACACAACAATTCAAACAAAAAACCCCGCATCAGCCAGCATGCTATTCCGCCTTAATTGCCGACCTATGAATTTGCAAACAGTGTAATCATCATTTCGCATAATATTTTTGCATACATGTAAAACAACCTAAAATTCTGGGCTGTAATGTGACAAGTTTGTGCTTGATCAATAATTATACTATTTAATTTTGCTTAGCTAGTTTTGAGCATGTAATTACTTAATAATTATGTAATTTTAAATAAATCAATTAAATTAAGTAATGATTCCGTTAATTTCGCATTATACGAGATATTGCTAAGTCGATGTTTTGAAAGGAATAGCGAAGTATTCCGTTTCGGTGAGCAGATTTTGTGGATCTGCTCTGACTTCTGGGCTTATCAGCTTCACCGTAACTGCCCAACTGCCCTCATCTGCGGAAATGCTGAATAAGTCGTTGTACTGGGATTGTTCCGTGCCATTCAGAGCCCATCGTATTTCCAACCGTTCTCCAACCACTTCATTTCCTGGGGCTCGTAATTGACCCAAACGAAGGGTTTGGACTTCAACAGGCAGTGGAGCTGATGCTCCCGGAGCGACAATTACAGCATCGATGAGAGAAATTCGCTGAAGAAACTGTGACCAAATCCCTTCCTGGCAGACGGAACAAAATCTAGACATGCAAAAAACAAGCATTATTGAATTCCAAAATACACTTTATGAATTTCTTACTTGTTATGCGTCATGTTTCTCATCAAGCAACCCGCATTCGTTGGACGAAAGGTCTTGGCCCCTCGGTAGTCAAAGGTCGGATAGGCTGACACGTGCTCATTATCAATCACAAATTCTGCCTCACTTCCAAACTCGTGGAGGTCAACTGACGCCACCATTCGTTGAATGGAGGGATGAGTCGGTACCGTCTTAGATCTGCATACGTATCACCGAGTTATTTTATTACTTGTGCTTATAATTACTGCTTATTTATTAATTAGACCTGATGGTGAGGATATGACTTCCCGGAGTGAATCCACGAGGATTAAACCTTAAATAAAATCCCATTTTAATAGGCTAACTCTACTAAAAATTTAAGAAAATCATGAAATTTAATTCGAATATACCACTCGTAAAACTCACGATCATCCGAACCCAGACTGGTCCAAGGGAGAGGTTCACCATCGATAGCAAATTCCAGTGAGTCCGCCTCCCCTGTGGATAGCGGAGAATTATGTATTGACGACAATTAGGAAATTCTCAGGCGAATACAAATTTTGTGATATGCAACCTGCCGCTGTCACTGAGATGGTCATGAACCATCGGCTATACGCTCCGTCAGAATTGAACGTTAGCGACACGTTGGTCTGGGCAAGGTCGACCCAGAGATATTCCAGCAATCGGTACGCGACCCGTTCTTCTCGAGCCGTCGAGGTCAACCAGGGCGTCCATCCTAACGAATTTACAGCTCTGGCAGCATTGACGCCCGAGTAGACACTTCCACCGTCATATTCCTCACCTACATCGGCAAAATTGTGGCCCATTTCGTGCCTATTTATTCAAATATAAATTATTTCTCTTCGAAACACTATACAATTTTGGAATACATCTTTTCAATTTTTACCTCAGGACGACAGTGCCAGTTCGATTGGATCTTGTTGAGATGACAAATTCACCTCCAAGACCACCGTAAAAGTCATCGTTTCCGATAAGACTGGGATACTCACATCCAGAGGCTCCGGTTAATTGGCAGACCTAAGATGGGTCAATGTTCGTCATCAACTATTCATATTCCAAGCTCATTGGATTCAATTCTGATATATTGATGAGTCATCAATGATGACCACTGATGTGACTCACCTGCCGAGCATACTGAGGGTTTCCTGGATAAATTGCTCTTAATTGGCCAGCCTGTCTGTATTTTTAATAAATCGGAATTATAACTCGTCAACGGAGTAAATCAACCGTCATTATCAACAGAATTACCTGTACAATCTGAACGGGGTGTTTATAGCTCCATCATAACCAATCCCAGACTCCACACTTAATTAATATCATATTTTCAAATTTACTTACAATTTAAGTATTTTACTCAATTTTATATATTAAAAATGTACCTGGCTACAAAGACGGCCCAGATGTTGAAGAGGGGAAGGTACGAGCGGAACGTTGCCCCCTCAAACATGTCAGTCACCAGACGGTCAATATCATCAAAAAACTCCTGTCGTTCTTCTGCTTGGTATCCATCTCCCATAAAAACTACATCAATTCTGTTGGTCTGATCTCCACCGTCCACAATTTTGACAACTTCTGGTGATTGTTTTGGGCTGAATACGATAGGAGCAAGGGTTTTGGTCGATTTGCATAATTTTTCAACATGGATCTGAAACAAAGCAGTTATATAATATAATTTAGTTGCAATTAAATTATATATAAATGTGTATATCTCACTTCTAAGATGCTTAAACTTTTTGCGTAAATTTCGACAATTTTTGAGCTATCGATGTCATCTGGATGTTGCTGGATGGGTCCGTCCGCGGGGGGTGGAATCACTGCGGGTCGAACTTTGACCAGTAGTGCATTTTCGTCTTCACTCTGTAACCCCTTGAATTTTCTGAGCGTCTCTTGGTCAAGAATTGTGCAACTTCCTGTCACCCCGTCCTGGTGAAGTTTCATAAAGTGCACCTCTCCCCTGCAGCATGGAAATATTTTTTTATATTGATAACCTAGAATTTATGGTATGCGAGTTAACTTACGATGTGACAATTGCACACGCCAACAGGAAACCTATTGTAAGTACGAGTCTCATTTTAGTAATATTTTTCTTATATTGATGGAAACAGTGTGAGACCAAACTCTGCAGGATAACTGAAATCTAGACTTTTTATTCACACTCGTTATTAATACAATTCTTCCACATGTACTCATAATTTCGATAATCAATCGATCATTGTTAACCCAATCCTCTTATCTGGCTGAGAGAGTTGAGCTTAATCGCATAGATAATTCTCGACAAATGTGTAACTACTTTACATATTTACATACTAAAAAGTTCCCGTAATTTTTATTATCCAAACTAGATCGATCAGTGACCAATGTATATATTCAATCATTGTCCATGTATATCTATTTAATAAAGAGGGTATATGTACATACAAATATATACATTCTTTTACACTGGCGACTATGTATGCCTTAAAACTTTTAACATTTTACATAACTTTTTTTAGCTGGATTACTTATCATCATTTGTTTCAACTTAAAATTTTAATTTCCCAAATTCCCAGATGCTTAAGACATGAAATCTTTCCCCATTTATGGAATACAAATCTGGAAATACAAATCTGGAAATACAAAAGCTACGTGAAAATTTTGTAATTCCAATTCTCCGGTTGTTGACTCATCATTGTCAATTATTATTAGATTGAGGTTAAATCGTTTAAAACCGATTAGTATGCAGAGTCGAATTTCAACATGTCAAGTAAATATATTACGCAATACTCTGCACAATTCAATTCATTGCAGACAGTCGCCCCACATAGTTTTAAAATTACATGCTCAGCATACAAATGCATTACACTCTAATGGATGGATTTTCAATTTTACACAAAAATATTTAAGCACGTTTTTAAAAATTTGAGCACGGATTTGATTTGATGTTATGTATGGCAATATATAGAATAATTTATTAAGTTCCAAAATATCGAGTGCAAATGAATACTCTTAACTTAAGATCAAATATGTATGTTGGATGCAGTGATAACTGGTACATCGTACGTCGTCATACTTAAAATTCAAGCTAGTTTTAAGCAGAACAAATCAAGATGATGAGTGAATTTTCTATAAAAGTTACACGACAAACTTGTCACTTTAAGTGCAACGACATTACAGAGAAGTTTAATTTTATCCCTCATATATTATGTCACCTACAGAGCATAGTTTTTGTGACCCAATATCTTTTGATACTCGACCAAAGGGTAAGAATATCAATCACTAAAATTAGTCAGATTTTACACCCCAAAATTTGCAAGAATATTTATGTCAAGGTATTGGAAGACGCCATGTCCTCGCAATTTTGGGGTTCGTCGCGTTTGCACTCTCATACTCGATGCGATTCAATCTCTCCATTGCGATCGTGGCGATGGTCAAGAGTTCCAACACGATCAAACCTACGCAACCCGTTGATGACATTATGTTCGAAAAGGATATCTGTACAAGAAATTTGGTTTTGCACAACCACCAAATCCCTCAAACCAATAATCTCACTAAGGCGGATGACGAAATGTACTTGGTCATTCCGATAAGTTCCGATAATGATACGGGCAGGAACAAATATTCATTTGGGGACGATGCTCAAAAACCCCAAAATTTCGGACCTGCAGGAAACAATGGAAATGTGACAAGTGTCAACGGTAATTTTACGGTCTACAAATCACCCAATTAACATGGTAAATAATTTCATATCTTGTTGAATAGAAGACGACGGAGAATTCGATTGGTCCGAGGCGGAACAAGGTTTTATATTGGGATCATTCTTCTGGGGTTATCTTATTACTCAAATTCCAGGGGGATGGATGGGGCACAAATTCGGGGGCAAATGGCCAGTTGGTATTGGGCTGTTTGTGACAGCTTTGCTCGCTATAATAACTCCAGCAACGGCAAGGTGGGGAGGATTTCAAGCTATCGTAATGGTCAGGATTTTACAAGGGCTTGCTGGGGTACTAGATTGAGAACTTCATACAATACAAAATAATCGTTTAGAAATTTTGTGAATTTTTGAAAGATTAAAATCTGATTTTAGGGAATCACAGTACCTTGCATGCATACGCTTTTAGCCCGATGGATCCCTCCCAATGAACGGGGACAACTTACAGCCTTAGTTTATGCAGGTACATAAGTATAATAAATGTGCATTTACTTATTAAAATATATGATACAATTAACCCTGCCTTCCTTCATCGCTGACATACTTTGTAATGCACAGGAATGTCATTTGGGACCGCATTGTCCTTGATAAGCAGCGGTTATATCATCCACTACCTGGGATGGCCCTTCGTCTTTTACATTACAGGTGGAGCTACCATTTTGTGGTTTCTTCTCTGGTCATTTCTGGTCTATAATAGTCCCTCGGAGCATCCTCACATAAATTCGACAGAGTTAAAATTCATTCAGAATGCAATTCAAGGCTACTCCGATGGGGAGGTATATAAATCCGTATTTATAAATATTCCATTTTCATACGTTGAATAAAATTCTATGCTTTATAGGTTTCCAAACCAAGACGTCCTCCTTGGGGCAAGATTATCCGCTCGTCCCCCTTTTGGGCTATCGTCTTTGGCCAACTCACCGAAACATGGGGCCTTTACACTATCATGTCTGAATTACCAACCTATATGAAAACTGTGTTACATTATGACATAAAAGAGGTATTGATAAATTACATAAATTTGCAGATGCTGCGTAATCCAATTAGTCAATGTTTTCTACAAAATATTTAGAATTCCCTTCTATCTGCCCTTCCACATTTCCTCACGTGGTGCGTTGGATTAACAGTACCAAGAGTTGGAGATTTTCTCATCAAACGACGCTATGCCAGAGTCGGTACTGTCCGAAAATTGTGTAACACGATTGGTACATATGAAAACCTTTTCATCAAATTTTTTGTAGCGGATTTCTCCTACGAATTTGATTTGCAGGAATGTGGGGATCTGCTGCCGCTCTGCTTGGCGTGGCTTACGCCGGATGTGACAGGACCATCACGGTCACATTACTCAGCGTGGGCATCGCCGCTACTGGTGGAATCTTGGGAGGAGTTTTAGTCAATTTGATCGACATTGCGCCGAACTTTGCGGGTTTAAAAAATTTATTAAAAAAATAATGCACAACTTTAAAAAAAAATTTAAATTTAAAATTTAGGAATCCTGATGGGCATAACTAATAGTGCTGGTACAATACCTGGATTTCTAGCGCCGTAATTTTGATTTATATTTTAATAAAGACTAATAATTATGATGATAATATCAATTTTGATGGTAGGTGGGTGGCCGGGATCATCATCGATAACGATGTACGTACAGTGACCTAATATTTATGTTGATTCACTAAACCTTTGATTAAAATTATTTATATGCAGCCATCCCTTAATCATTGGAGACTCGTATTCATGATTACGGCAGGAATTTCATTCACTGGAAATTTACTTTTTCTTCTGCTATCATCTGGTGAAGAACAACCTTGGAATAATTATGACGAGAATGAAGACGATTCGATAACAAACCAAAATGATGTCATTAATATGACTGAAATTGACCTCACAAAATTTTATTCGTGAGTGGTTGATACTTGATTAATTACAAATTATGATATTTTTTAATGCATGACCATTCTCAATTAATATACAGGCTACCAGTCCCAGATGTTGCACCATCATCGCCAGAAAATATTAGTATCCACGATTAATAAGAAATAATTAATTGAGAAGTGTTTTGCATAAACTGAGCTAATAAATACTTTGCGAATTCATTAATTTCATACATGATAACATGTTAGCATTTTCATGCAAAAAATTTATTGCTATTGCCCACGACGAGTATCACATTGACCCGTTGACGTTAAAAAATTTTGCCGTGTTTTCATTTCACATTTTCCACATCGACATAGGTATTCATCAAAAACATCGTCCCGGAAGTGTCGCAAAGTCAAAATATATTTTATTTTATCTGCACCACGTCAAGTAATTTTACTCTGTGAAACTTGAAGACAATCCAATAAGGTGAAATCCCTTGCAAATAAAGGTATAAAAATGTATAGTCCTTTAAAGTTTATAAGTTGGTTTAATATCAAAATATTTACGATATTACGAATCGTAATTTACGATTGTTTATTTTTATAATATGGTTGCAGAATTTAGAAAAAGACAAACAGGCGGACTGGAGAGCAAAAAGGAAACCGGAAATGACCATCAGAAGGGTCACGGGTCAAGGTATTGGGTAGAGGACATCTCCGGATCTGGATTTATAGACATTTATTAAACTGAACGGAGCAACCAAGCACAATTAAGATGGTCTCCAAACAAACGGTCACTCTTGCTAATAGCATTGTGGGGGTTAGCGTCTTAGCTATGCCGTTCTGCTTTAAACAGGTAAGTGAGCTCCTATTTTTCAATTACTGAGACGGATGAATGGATGTTTTAAGCCTTGGTCATCAATTTATACAGTGTGGTATAATCCTTGCGACATTGATGCTTATCCTGAGCGCCGTTATTACTCGAACGGTGTGTTATTTCCTTCTGAAAGCAGGAACCATCACGAGGAGACGTAATTATGAAATGCTTGGTAATATTAAATTTTTTTACATCATTTTTATTCATACTCTTACAAAACCTAATTGTTTACTTGGCTGTTTTTAGCGTGGCACACGTTCGGGTCGGGTGGAAAATTCATAGTTGAAATTAGCATTATCGGATTTCTGATTGGAACGTTGATTGCATTTTTTGTTGTGATTGGTAGGGAATTAATTTTTAATTAATTAATTATTTAGTATTATAATTTTTTTAAGGTGACCTTAAAACTTTAACCTTGACCTGTTTTTAAGGTGACCTTGGTCCGGAAATTGTTTCTGAAGTATTTAACATCGAGGACAAAAATTCCTTGCGCAACATAATTTTGGCTGGTACGTTTGCATATATATTTAATAGATAATAATTATGGTTATTAGCTCTAAAAGTTTTATTCTTTTACAGCTTTGGCACTCTTCGTCGCGTTACCATTAGGACTTCTTCGGAATATTGACAGCCTTAGCAGCGTCTCTACTGCATCCGTTCTATTTTACGTCTTCCTAGTTTTTAAGGTTAGAAAGCATATTAGGAAATTTAATCGTGGTGGTGTGTTGTGCATACACTAATACATTGCGATGTATTGTGTAGATTTTAAGCGAAGGACTTGGACCTTTATTCTCAGGGTCGTACCTGGACAGGATAGACTACTGGAGACCGGCCGGCGTACTTCAATGCATTCCAATTTTATCAATGGCTCTGTCTTGTCAAACGTAACTCAACTGTCAAATACATTTTGCAACTTCACTAACACAATATTCTCACGCACCCTTTTGTTTGGTTTGATAGGCAAATATTTGGAATCTATGAATCTCTGCCGGAACCATCACTGCATAAAATGAATGAAATTGTGAAGCAAGCTGTCACCATTTGCACAGGTTGAAATTCGAACGTTGTTCAATAAAGGGTTATTGTATTTGCGTAAAATTTTTACTAAAAGTTACGGTATTTTTTGTATAGCCTTCTATTTTTGTGTTGGATTTTTTGGCTACATTGCTTTTTGCAATCAAAGTTTCGGAGGTAAAAAGAACTAAAGAATAACTTCGTGATTTTTCAAGAATTTCTCTGAATTAGCATATATATCTTTACTCAGGCAACATCTTGATGACACTCTCATCCAGTTGGACGACACAACTGATTAAATTATGCTTTCTAATGTCTATTGTATTTAGTGTGCCATTAATTGTGTTTCCTTGCCGGTCTAGGTAACTCCCAAACCTATTCCATCAAACCACTGCCATTGTATTTAATTTATATTTTCTCGTTCTAGTCTCAACTCGCTAATTTTTAGAAGGGAACAAATGCATCACAGTTTGCATGACATATCTACAAATTACATTTCCGAAGGAAGACTCAAATTCCTAACGATTCTCATCATTGGATTTTCTCTTGTTGTTGGAATTCTAATTCCCAACATTGAATTAGTATTGGGCCTTGTCGGCTCTACAACTGGCACAGTGATTTGTATAATCTTTCCAAGTATCATGTTTATTCGCGTTACTTCAAAGTTAACCACGGAAAGATTACTTGCTCAAGTACATGATTAATACTGATATACGTTAAATAATCAGTTGGTGTCATTTGTGCCTAATATGCAGTGATTTTTTCATTGTTTTATAGGTAATTTTTTTCACTGGAGTGGTAATGATGGTTGTGTCGACGTATGCCACGCTTTATGCAGTGGAACAAGAACTTGCTGAGGACCCATTGCCTGATCAAGTACGGTTGGCTGAAATCATTAATGACGCAAGAAAAGATGAAATTCAAGCAAATTTTGAAAGCCCTGGTGGTAAAATCGGTACAAATTTAAATATTATTCTCTTGAACGGAAAATTAATTCTGTTAAGTTTCACAATTTTACTTAATACTCAACAGTGGAGATGAGCGAAGATCTCAAGAACAAACTCCACGATCTACAGAAGCTAAAAGACGAACACGATAAGTCTATTAAACCTCAATCCTCCACAGAATCCGGCGTCAGCAGCCCAAAAATTCCCGTGCAACAGATTGATAAAAACGATAAGATTCAAGCGCCTAACGATGTAGCAGATAATAAGGACTTAATTAAACCGGAAAGCGATTTACGTCCTCCTCCCGTGGCCGCTGTGAAACAAGAGGAAAGTAACATCAAAGAAGTTGTTCCACCACCACAACCGAAAGCACCGAGCCAGTCGGAGAAACTTGATCCAAAAGCAGAAAATCAACCGGCTCGAGATACAATGGTAGAGAACCTTCCTGTGCCCAAGGATGACCAGCAAAATAATGATGCGGGGGATAAATCACCGGCTCTAGAGAAAGATGCAGCGGTTGAAATATTGAAAAAGTTGGAAGTACACCAAGAAAATCAGAAAAAACTTTTAGAAGAACAGCGAAAAATATTAGAAGAATTAAAAGGTTTTTAACAATATTTTTATCTTTAAACTACCTATGCATGTAGATTTTCTTACCTTTTGCACAATTTCCAATTTTTAGAACACCATGAACAAGATGTTCACCGACAGCAGCAAAGCGATGTCCAGGACAAAGTAGCACCTCGTGAAGCTGACGAACTAATCAATGCTGTAGCTCGAGAATCTAAAAAAGAAGACGCCATTGACCAGGACACGATTGATAAGAAAGTCGAAGTACTTCAACAAGAGAAATTAATTGAAAAGTTTTATGAAAATATTGAAAAGGAAAAAGAAAACGTCAAAATTATTGAGAAAATAGAAGAAGGTCTCAATAAAGAGATTGTAAAAATTGAGTCTGAACCTAAACTGGAAACAAGGATCAAGTTGCCAGACCCCATCCCAGTCACGGACAACCAACAGCTTCAACAACCGATCGTCGTTGGAGATAGAATTGGACAATTGGTGAACAAAATTGAACCTTCTGCAAATCCAAACATTCCAGATCCACAGATTAAAGTGGTTAAGAATGATGTCGATGCTATTAATCCACCCCCAAAGGATGTGTTAAAATCAGTTAACCTCCAGCAACAAACTCTGGAAAAATCTCCCATAGTCCAACAAAATATGAACCCTCCTCAAAAGCAGGAGACTGTTAATGATGAGCCCCATGACCGAATAAACATAAATATTAAACAAGAACCTCTTGTTGCTGATAAGCATGACACACCCACAGAAACAAAACCAAAAGAACCACTCGAGAAGAAACAACCAGAAGTGCAAGAGAGAAATGCAAGCTCTAAGATACCAAAAAATGAAAAGGTTCCTTCTCTACCACCGATTAAAAAGCCTATTGATCGTGATATTTAATAAAAGTTTTATTGATGGTACTTTCGTGATCTAATCATCTATGCGGAATAAACGGATTATTTTATTTAAAACAAATGTATGTTTGCTTGTGTAGTTCCTTTATTCTTCCCGTTGTGGTTATAATAGTCACAGTATAGTCATAATAATATGGATATATTATTTTATACAGGTTTATAACATTAAACATTATTACTGAAATGTTATAACTGCACATTATGTCTCTACATATAATCTAATAATTATTACACAACCTAAACTTAAGATTAGCAAAAATTAACAATAGTCCTTCCCTAAATATTTATATTTACTGGATAGGTGAGATTGCTCACTTCGTGGCTGTGTTGACTGACAAATTATCCGTGAGAATTATATGCTTCATTGATCATTCCAGGACAAGAACAATATCGATTAATTGTTTCATTTCATTTCATTCAGTACTCGCACGTAGGTACGTAGGTAATCTAGATTATATTACTGGAGGACACTTTTGTTTATTTCTTACCAGTTTTAATTAAAATGGGTTAATAATTAACTCTAGCTGAAGTAAGCAAACTTAAAAAAAACATTGTTATCAGCCGTATCCAATTCCGATATCGTAGTATTATAATCTATGTTCCTTTTAAATCTTAGTTAGGAATGGGTAATCCGATCCGAGTTTAAATGGTCGGATCGGATCGGATCGGATTGTTCAATGCTTTAGTAAATACTCGGATCAATCCGTCGGATCGGATTACCCATTCCTAATCTTAGTAGTATACTTAGCTGAATTCAAAAATAATTGTATCATCTTCTTCACTTGTAGCGTTTATTATTACCAGTTCACTAACTTTTATACGAGAAGTTGCAGCAGGGAAAAGGGATAAATCATCATAGCTGCGCTTCTTCTTCTTTGAATAAGTCTGACTTCATATGTCAATCCTTGTTACACTGGCTCATTAAAATTTGCTGCTCCTCGTGCACAGTTGGACTTCTTCTGGAAAGAATTCCGGGCTTGATAATATTTCTAGAAGATTGAGAGGGAGAGATTGATGACGACGAGGAGGTGGAACAAGGTGGTGGGAGTGGCTGTGACGACGGAGCGGAAAATGAGGCAGACCTTGGTCGTGCCAAGTTGGGATTCAAGTGGTGGATCAGATACGGATTTCTTGGGGGTGTCTTGGGGTTGCAGTAAGTCATGGCACGACTCCTGGCTCCACTGGCACCGCCGCTTCCAGGGTTATGCGGCGAGGTAATTGACAAACTGGACAAATTAGCTAACAAGTCGTCAACTTCTTGGGGAGTTTGGCTGAGTGTAAGTCTGTTGGCGAACTCGTTGAGCTAAGTAATTTATGAAAATTTTTTAAAAGATATTATTAATTAAATGTAGATATGTACATTATGCAGACATATAATATTTAGTTTTATAATTACCAATTCAGCTTCCAAATCCTGACCCTTTTTCTGTAAGTACTCGGTCATCATTTCAATAATTTGTTGGACTTCCTTCTTTACACGAAGGGCATCCTCATTACCGGACTTTGCACATTGCATGATTAGTTTCAATTTGGATTGTGCCAATTGGAGTGGGTTGCGCCCGTTATTGTCTAAGGTGCTAACATCTGTTCCAGCTCTGAGTAGGTCAGTGACCACGTCAAAGTGATTAGTGCATGCAGAAAGGTGTAGCGGGGTGTTCCCCACAGAATCTTTTTGATTTGGATTAGCTCCATGTTGCAACAATAGCCTGAAATAATAATCAGTCACGTTAGCATTTTAATTTTAAAAACCTGTTCACACATTCTGAAAAATACAACTTGGTATTTAGCTGAGAGACATTATATTACCTGACAATTTCGCTGAAACCTTTGCATGCGGCGATATGCAAAGGGGTTCTAATAATTTTAATTAATAAAAATTGAGTATCAGTTATCAGGATGTGTAAAATAAACAGGACATAACTATTACCGTCCTAATTCATCCGCAGCATTGGCATCCACACCACTCCCCAAAAGCTTAAGAACCATCAAATGATTGCCAGCGCTAGTGGAGGTTCTCAGTCGTCTCTCATCTTCAATAAAAGCATAATTATAAATCAAACAAATATTCCTTATTCACATGGATTAAATACGAAATAAATTAAACAACTCGTTATTGTGATTATTTGTAGAACTTACTGTACTCTCTCCTAAAATACGTAAATAAGAACATCATTAGAAAATTGGCCTCATATTATATCAAGCATCAAATAATAAGTTTATATAAATATGCATACACACCTAAGGTTGGACCAGTTATCATAAAGCTTATTGCGAACGACGCGTGTGTGCATCCGGACTTTTTGGTGCAAATCGTGTTGCTCGTAATTATTCTCATACGGAATCAGAGATCTGCAGTCATTAGTACCTAGAAATAAAAGAGAAGACTCAAATTAATTGCTAAATTATTCACTATCTATATAAAATTAAAAAAGTTCATTAAAAAAGAATAGTGAAATAAATTAAATCAACTTCAATATGTTCTCGTATGCCGTCGAAAATTCTATTAAATTAAATCTTATTACTTGGCGAAGTATTTAAAACATTGTATCCGCTCCTGTTTGATCCATCCAGCGAATGGAAGGGCTCCACGCCGAGGAAAGACTGCAGGCCGGCCGGTGGCTCAAAATCACAAACCAATTTCGGAAGCTCCGGGAACTCGAACTGTTCAATGACCAGACACCAGAGAAATGACAAAAAACACTTCATACAAAACAAAACAAAAGGCCAAACTTTAAGTATACTGAACCTTTACAAGTGCTCGGCAGGAGTTTGAATTTGTAGGCGTAGCTGGTGGGACAGGTGGGGGCGAGCAGGCTGAATGGAAAGCAGTGGATTGATGATGATGATGAAGGAGGGAAAATTCCCCCACAGCGTGAGTAAATCCATCCATGGTGGAAGCAGCACGGCAGTGGAGGAACTCGGATGGCTGATACGCAAACTGATTTCCAGAATTATTCAAATGATCTGTGCATAAATATTGGGTTTACGTAATTACTGCTGTATTATTATAATTATCAGGGTATAAATGTGGGCATTGTTTTATTACTAAAGTTGTCCCGTCCGGGGTGGGTCAGAGAAGATGGGAAATCATTCAAAAAAGGAGGCGATGGGGTATAACTTCCTTGTCCCGACGACTCTTGCCGATCCTCATGTTCCTGTTCTTCATTAAAGTCTCGATCCATCGTCATTTCGTCCATGTCTCCACCACCACCGCCGTCGTCCTCTTCTAGCTCACAGTCTTCTGCTGGGTCTCCTTGCATTCCGTCCAAACTGTCGGAAGAAAATTCGTTCCCACCACCAACATCATCTAGGAAGAGATCAGATCCACAAATGTTTGGGGAGGTGGGCGGAGGGGGTGGAGGAGGAACATCCTTCTCATCCGAGCCAGGACTTTGGTTTGGGAATTGGTTCAGTCCAGATTCAAAAGACGAAGAGTGGCGACAGTCCTCTAGAGAGATTGGGTCACCCATCTCGTTAATCACATTTACATTTATGCTAATGTCGTCCAAGTCATTGCTTTCATTGCCAGTTTCCACCCCAGAATCGGTTCCAGCAGTGGCCATCTGGTTGATCACTAAAATATTCCTGAGAGACTCTTGTAAGTTTATGTTGCACTTTTATCTTGGCAGATCATTGACGAAATAAGGTGCTGTTATGGAAGTAGAATTCGAATATCAATCGAATTTTACTATTTTTGGCTTCTTTTAGTAATCTTGATTTTTGGTTGTATTATGACAAGAAAAGGTGGTCTTGGATTGTCCTAGTGGGAGATTTTGATCGTTCTTCTGAAATTAAGCACAACCATTAATTAACTTATCACAAAAAATGATAAATATTGAACGACTAACTTACACCACAGTCAAATCCTTTTGATGCATGATATTGCACTCGTTACACATCTTCTAGATCATCTCCTTTAACGAATTGACTAATACAAATATTTCTATCATAATTCTTCTTAATCACCATTCTCCTTATCTTGATTTCGTCTAATGTGAACATTGTCAAGCATTATCTCACGTAACATGCACCACTATTCAACGTCACTAATACATAATACGAGATGAGACGACTTCATCAAACATCACCAGCACTTGGAAAATAATACCACTTAAAACTCTTCCTAATTTCATTCGTTTCAAAATTTCAATCCAAAATTTTTAACCCCACACAAAACAAACTATATCGGATCATACTTACTTCGTTCGTGGGCCGACCGACTACGTGCCCGTCATGCAATGCATTGATTGACCACTACTTCTTTCATACTACAAATCTTTATTTTTCAGTTCATTTAACCCTCAAATTGGTGACGATAATAAGTGAATGAATTTGCGAGAGAATGTAAAAATAACTAGCTTATAAATAAATGTAGGTTGGTTAAAAGTTTAACTAGTTCTTCTCATGTTAGATCGAGCAAGAGATAGATTGGTTGGTGGTGGAAGAAGTGGTTCTCATAATTTCTTCTGGTGGTGCGTGATGGTGGTTCCGAGAGGTTGATTTCACCTCAGCCCGCTTTTCCCCACCGGAGCAGAGTGAGAGAGAGCATGTCCCATTTTGGGGGCCCGATTTTCTATGAAATCGCACAACTCACTTTGGCATATAAAATTTGCAAAATTGCTACTAGGGCGATTTATCTTCATAATTTGCAAAATAAATAAAGCACTTATCTATTTATGAGATGATATGTCGTCATCACAGGTAGCAGTAGTTTGATTAGTAAGTACAAATAAAATTGGAAGCTAATCCGGCCATGGCGTCACATCAGCTTTAAATTCTGTCGGCTTCGGTAATTAGTGAAGATGATGAGAAGATATTAAAAGTTGGGTACGGATTTTGATGTGTAATGTATCTCATGATGGTACTGATTCAGTAATGTGGCCAATTATTATTCCGTGAGAATTGAAGGCGAGCTATTTAACTTTGTACATGAAAATTGAGAATGTATCACAAAATGCATACTATCCCCGTACTTAGGCTTTGCACCTCATTTGCATAAATCTCAATAGCCCATTTTCGGCGATACGAGCTTTCCATGTTGAATAAACTCTATGGCTCTCGCGAATGCGTTAAAATATGCAAATGAGGTGCAAGTGCTGAGTGCGAGGATAGTACGCCAAAATCCGTAGTTGACTCTTAAAATTTCAGTAAACTTTTAACATGATGCGGTCACTCTGCCCAACCACTGTTAAATTTATCTTGTTGAATATAGTACAAGAGGAACATTATGACCACACCACACCGTAGAAAGACAATACCGGAATCCACCACTTCCTTACTCCAGCCCCACCATGACCATCCCGTATTATATTCAGACCACCAAATTGTCGAGAGTGCGGGGAGCGCCCCTGCCGCACCCGATATTCCCGACGTCGTTATTGTTGGGAAACATCAAAATCCAGACCAAGCACTCACGGGCGACGAATCCGTCGTAGAATCCGTCACAAATACCGCAACCGAAGAAGAATCCTCATCCGCAAAGAAAAAGAAAAAGAAACAACCTAAAAAACCACAAAAGACACGTGTCGTAATGCTGTCGTACAAACAAAGAGAGAAATTCGACAATAATAATGTCAATACGTCGAAATATAGCATTTTCACCTTCCTCCCATATTTCCTGTATGAACAGTTTCGCCGGGCGTCCAACATATTCTTTTTAGCTATGGCACTTCTTCAGCAAATTGACGATGTGTCCCCAACAGGACGCTACACAACCGCAATGCCACTTGCCGTCATAGTCATGGTCTCTGCGATAAAGGAGATCATCGAGGATGTGAAGCGTCACAAAGCGGACGATAACACGAATAATCAGATAGTCGAAGTCCTAAAAGGGGACAATTTTGAGCCAACAAAGTGGAAAGATGTTGTAGTTGGGGATTTAGTCCGGTTGGAAAATGAAGCTTTCGTCCCCGCAGATTTGGTTGTCTTTTCAACGAGTGAAGCTCTCGGAATGGTAATGACAAGACCTAATAAAATGATAACAATTATTATTTAAATTAATTAAATTGCTGTTAATTAAATTTTCACCAGTGCTATATTGAAACAGCTAATTTGGATGGAGAAACGAATCTCAAACTGAGACAAGCTCTCCCAAAAACAGCAACAATTCAGGAGGCCCAAGATTTCCTAAATGTCAAGGGATATATCGAGTGTGGGGTTCCAAACAGGTTTGCAAATTCATCTATTAGCTCGCCTTTACCTTAATCAATCACTATCTAAAACTATCTATTTGCGACAGAATGATTTACGACTTCGCTGGTAGCCTTCACCTCGAATCGGAAAAAGATATCCTTTCCCTCGGTCCGGACCAGTTAGTCCTTCGTGGAGCAAAACTCCGCAACACGAAGTGGATCATTGGTCAAGCCATTTACACTGGACATGATACAAAACTCATGAAAAACTCGACCAAAGCCCCCCTCAAGAGATCCACCCTAGATAAGGCGACCAACGTCCAAATCGCCCTCCTCTTTGTCGCCCTTATCATAATCTCGGCCATATCCGCCATATTCTTTACCGAATTCCCACCGCCTGACTACATAGGGGCCAAAGAGCTGACTGAAATGCAAGAGTTTCTCCAATTCTTGACCTTCCTCCTTCTTTACAACAACCTCATCCCCATCTCCCTCTCCGTCACCTTAGAATGTGTCCGCTACATGCAGGCCCTCTTCATCAACTGGGACGCCGATCTGTACCATGTCGAATCTAATACGGCTGCACAGGCGAGGACTTCTAACTTAAATGAGGAGCTGGGTCAAATTCGCTATATTTTCTCCGACAAGACGGGAACGCTGACTCGAAACGTGATGGAATTTAAGGGATGCACCGTGGGAGGAGTCCTTTATCCGTACGAAGACCTCTTTCCCAATTCGGCCAAGGGGAGCGTAATGCTTGACACTGTGGAAGCAAATCCGCTTATTCAATCCATCAAGAAGGGAAATGTGGCAGCAGAAGAATTCCTCGTCGCGTTGGCGGTATGTCATTACGTCATTCCGGAAGTGAAGAAGGGGGCCGATGGTGTAGAACAGACCGTGTACAATGCAGCGTCCCCGGACGAAAAGGCATTGGTAGAAGGGGCGCAGAGGTTCGGTTACATGTTCGTGTCAAGATCTCCATCCACGGTTGAAATCTCTGTCCAAGGGAAGTCGAGATACTACCAGGTCCTAAATCTGATAGAGTTTACCTCAACCCGAAAACGGATGACGGTCATCTTACGCTGTCCAGACGGGAAGATTAGGTTATACTGCAAAGGTTCACTTTCACCTCCTCACTTGTCAATTATCTTTAAAAATGACTGAAATATTTATTTAATAGTTATGTATTTTGTCTTATCTTAGGAGCCGACTCCGTCATCCTCGAGACAATTGCCACAAAGTCACAAACGGAGGAAGAAGATCTCCAAACAACAAAAGAACATTTAGACTTTTTTGCAGCGTCTGGTCTAAGAACGTTATGCGTCGGAATTAAAATTTTAAGTGAGGAGGAACACAAGAAATGGGATGTTGACTTTCAAGTCGCCGTGAATTCTGTTATCGATCGGGACGAGGAAGTCAACAAGGCGGCCGAGTTAATCGAGAACAACCTCACTTTGGTGGGTTCCACGGCCATCGAGGATAAATTACAAGACCTCGTACCAGACACGATCGCCTCCTTCCTGGAGGCCGGAATCTCGGTTTGGGTCCTTACGGGAGATAAGCAGGAAACGGCGATCAATATTGGAAACTCTTGTCGTCTAATTACCCCCTCCATGACAGTTTTTATCATAAACCAGAACAATGAAGAGGATACATTGGAATGTATTCAGGCCTTTGCGAATGAGCTCCAGATAGATCTCGAGGCGATGAATGGACAAGGGAAGAAAGCGTATCGAAATATTATTCCTCACAATGCGGCAGTTGTGATTGATGGTCACACCTTATCTTTTGCGTTAGAGGATCGCGTGCGACACAGCTTTTTGTCATTATGTTGCAGTTGTTTGGCTGTAATTGTGTGGTACACAAATTTGATACAACAATTTTTAACCAGTATGGAACTGTGAGAGTGAGTAACTAATTAAAAATTTTGCACAGTCGAGCAGCGCCTATGCAGAAGGCGGAAATTGTCGAGTATGTCACAAAGTTGACAGGAGCTGTTACCCTTGCCATCGGTGATGGTACGTACGTATGTAACGACTTATAATGGAATTAGGATTCATAAAATTAAATGATTTTCTAGGAGCCAATGATGTCGCGATGATCCAAAAGGTAACCAAACGCTAAAAAATGTACGTAAAGTTATCTTTTTGGTTAAGCTTCACAAATTTAATATTCCTTGTCCCGAAAGGCTCACGTCGGTGTTGGCATCTCTGGAAACGAAGGTATCTATTTGAATGTCTTCGATAATGTTATTTTACCGGTGGGCTGCATAATAAGCGCAACAATTATATTACGATTAATATTATAATTCCATCATAAGGCCTCCAAGCAGCCTGCGCCAGTGACTATGCCATCGCCCAATTCTACTACTTGAAGAAACTACTCTTCGTTCATGGGGCATGGAACCACGACAGGATCACGAAAGCGATATTCTACAGTTTCTACAAGAACATTTGCCTCTACATCATCGAGCTGTGGTTTGCCATCTACTCAGCCTGGTCGGGACAAATCCTCTTTGATCGATGGGCCATCACGACGTACAACCTCATTTTCGTCTGCATGCAGCCCCTCGTGATTGGCATTTTTGAGCAAAACTGTTCCATGGAAAACCGAATGCTGTACCCTCTCCTTTACCACGCCACGAGCCATGGGGCCTTTTCTGTTAAGAACTTTTCCATCTGGATGATGTGTGCCATGCTTCATTCTATCTGCCTATTTTGGATCACGAAAGAGTATTTTGCAGACTCCTCTGTCTGGGAGAATGGCAAAGAGGGGAGTTACCTTATTTTGGGGAACAGCATTTACACCTATGTTGTCATTGTGGTTAGTTTGAAGTTGGGCTTGGCGACGAGGGCGTGGACCAAATTTACGCATATTTCTATCTGGGGCTCTATCCTGCTCTGGTTCATATTCCTTGTGGCGTATAGCTTCATGTGGCCAATTACAATCGACATTGGCATAGGCAATGAAATGTATGACATTGTGGAACAGTTGTTTATCTCTCCAATGTTTTGGCTCTGCCTCTTCTTCATCCCGGCAGTGACACTGATACCGGACTTGATTTACTCGTCCGTCATGGGGTCGATATTTGGTGCCATGGGCCCGGATGTTCTGAATATAGAAGAAGAAGAACGACAATCTCCATTACCTGCTGATGGTACTATTGAAGATTCAACAAAGTTGGAAACGGTTCCCCCACCCAGCGAAACAGTAACGACGGCTCCCTCAAAAGCATCGCATGTATCGGCCACTGTTAAAAAAAGTCAGCCCGTTAGTTTGCACTCGACAAAGAGTAAACCTCATGGATCTAAGTCAGGTTCCGGTTCTCCTGAAGTTGTTAAAATCGACATGGAACCATCACGACTGCCAAAAACCAAGGTCAAACCGTCATCTAGTAATGGCCTGGAAGAAGAAAAAGACCTCATGAAAATAATGACCAATGAACTCCAGTCCGTTGGACCAACCATATTAACTTACTTTCCACTCTTTAAAAACATTTCAAAGTGCAACCTGGGATCTCTATCGCACAAAGTGGACGACGATCCGATCGAAGTTTCACGCAGATATAGACCCACAATGATGGAGGTTATCACGGCACAAAACAAACACATAAAACAATAATTCTTAATTTGTATTGAAAACCATCACTGTGGGTCTATATCACGTTATATATTATATTTATGTCTCACAGGTTATCACGGCGATGCACATGCCACAATTTCTTAGAACGAGGAATGACATTTTAGCTTATGAAGCACCGCAAAGAGTATCGTATCGGGATGAATTTACCACAACAGATCCAGAAGGTAACAATCCAGAATCGGATGAAGGACAAGAACAAAAGAAGAACAAATCGGAAAAAGATCCTCGAGACCAGAATGATGATGATCAAGAAGCCAAGGTTGATTGAGTGATCTCATGATCGGTGTGGGTGACTTGGTCCGTGGAGTTAATAAATTACATGAAAATAAATATTGGTATTTCTAATCAAAAAAGTATCTTATCTTTCATTCAGATAACCTGTTTGCGGCATGTGACAGAGAGAAAGCATTCTTCAAAGTCCAACAAAACATTCAGAGCTGCCTTCGTGTTGACAAATTTTTAAATGATTTTTAAAACGTTTATAACTGTTTCGTCTTGACCATCCTTAACTTAAACACTTTGTACAGCAAATTGTGACCAATAAACTACTTTGAAATAATAAAAAATATCACAATTTTTAATTTTTTTTCAGTGGCAAAATAATAGTAAAAAGCAAATTGAGATTTCTCAAATTCCTCAAGAATTCGAGATGTGCCGGCATGCATTTTTTTCACTTGGCTTCCTTCCTTCTTTCTTACAATGCACATGTCAGACATGTTTCGCACGGATCTTGTTGAAACCAGCGCTAAAATATCAATGAACTAAACACAAACAATAGTTAGTATGACATTTGAGCACTTCTGCAGAATTCGTGAAATGGCGAAGGTTTTAAGTTGGAGAACACGCGTATTTTTACCATGCGAAACTATACGGCCGCTTTCCGATTTTCCCCTGCGCTTCTCTTCGCCAGGTCATCCGTTTTCACTCAAAATTGAATTAATTAATTTCCTAACCAAGTTCTCATCCGATTTTTTATATTTGGATTTGACACAATTTTTGAACCTTTTTAATATTTAACATAAAAATTAAGTTGCTATCATTGGAATTTTTTAAGAATTTGTTGAGATTTCAGAATAGTGGATTCGATTTTCCTTTTTTCACATTGCATATTTATATTTGTAAACTTATTTATATATTAGACCATAAAAAACCAAATATACCTAGTTCCCTATGTGTGATAAGGGCTAACATTACACAAAGTCATAAGATTTTTGTCATCAAAATCTTTAAAGCACGCCAAGGGAATAAATAGAAACATCGAATGTATTATTCTGAAACAATTTTGAAAAATAATATCCACTTATAAGTTAGTTGAATCCATTTTAAATATTAAAAAGTGCTCAAAAATTATGTAAAGTCCAAATATAAAAAATCGGATGAGAACTTGGTTAGGAAATTAATTAATTCAATTTTGAGCGAAAACGGATGACCTCGCGAAGAGAAGCGCAGGAGAAAAGCGGAGAGGTGAACTCCATATAGTTTCGCATGGTGAAAATACGCATTTTCGCCAACTTAAAACGTTCGCCATTTCGCGAATTCTGCAGAAGTGCTCAAATTTCATACTAACTATTGTTTGTGTTTAGTTCCTTGAGATTTTAGTGCTAGTTTCAACAAGATCCGTGCGAAACATGTCTGACATGTGCATTGTTAGTCCAGTCTTCACCTGCTGCTCGGTCAGTTCAGTCAAAGGACATTCCTTGCTCACTCTGCCATAATTTTTTTACCATTTAGTTCATTTCAATTGTTTGCACTTATCATTGCGGCGGAGCTGTGTAGAAATTGACCTGGTAATTCATTCATAATTTGTGACCAAAGTTGATGAGAAAAGAATGAAGTTTGGTGAAGTTGAAAGTCCTGATTTTCTTGGCATAATTTGTAATTAATTGAGACTTTGGTTAATAATTATTCGCAGATTTAAAGATAAAAGCAATCATGATGACTAGTGGTATCGATTCATGGGGGGAGGATTCACCTAGTGGCGATCCGCAACGTTCTTCAACTTCAATGGAACCTGGAAATAAGGATTATCGCGGCCTGTGTGTAAGAACTATTACAGAGGAGGACTTAGAAAATTTGTCCAAGTCGTTGGTGGTACTAACTGACAATGATGTAGTTAGCGAGTATGAAGAAGTTAATGTAGAAGAAGAGGAAGAATTAGGAGGAGGAGAACGACCGCTATTGTATAAAGTAGTAACTCCTGAGATGGCTTTCAAAGCGGCGCAACAAATTGTAGTGCCAACCGAATTTTCAGAAGTATTGGAACTTAATACTGCAAGTAAAAGTAGGTGGATCAGTCATCAGAGTACTGGAACTGGAGGATCTCGCTCCTGCTGTGCATCAACCATTCGTATTTCGGACAACAAGGGTGAGTCGAGTCGGAAAAGTATTGTTGTTGGATCTCATGAGCTGATGAGGACTCAAAAACCCTCTTCCAAGCACAATGAAACGAAAATTTTGAAAGTGCAGACAACTGAAGGCGCTAGCAAAAGTGCATCTTCGAAATCCAAACAATCGTCTACTACTCCACCTGGTCTCACGGCGGGTGGCGTCCTCGTAAAGGAATCGAAAAAGAAAACTCAACTCGAACGTAAGAGTAAGAGTTCGCCTCATGAATCTAAAGAATCCACAGCACCGTCGGCGTCAAAACAACGTCCTCGCCGTTCTTGCACCACCACTAGTTCAGTGGGAGAGCAAGACCAGCATGATTCAGATTCCAACAGGTCTCCATCTCCCAGCAGGAAGAAAGTGAAGAAACGATTAACTTCTCCGAAAGTTCCTGTCGAGAGTTCGCGTCGACGAACTGCTTCGGCAAGAGGAAAGTCTTCTACAAGTAAAAAACTTTCTCGAACCACTAAAAAAGCGACTTCCGGGGAAATAGAAGTAAATGGTTTCACTCATAAAAATAATCTAACCATTAACTGATTCAATGTATCGTCTGTTTACCAGGCGAATGATGCCGTCCCAGAATGTCAAACCGTCGTAACGATGATGGACACTCAGCGAAGCACACGTTGCGGCATCAAGACCGGTATTGCTTGTAAGAATCTAAGTGTAGTTGAATATCCGTGTCGGCGATGCCATCGCGAATATTATTGCTCTGTTGAGCATCAAGTAGCCGATGCTAGCCGTCACCAGCCGTTTTGTAAAGTTGATGCACAATTGGAAGGTATGTTTTAATTATTCGCATTCTCATTTATTGTTATTTATAAATGTATTACACAACTAATTACAATGTCTTATAGTCATACCTTTCAACGATGAGTATTCCACGTGGCTCAAGAACAGTGCCCCTTTCCTGTACAAAAAGTGCCTCAACTTTGTTCTTGTCTGGCCGTCGTTGACGGTGGAATGGCTTACACCTACAATTAAGTAATGCACTTTATCGAATTTTTATTAACAAACGAATAATTTTTACACATTATGTTCTGTATGCAGTACTAAGCCCCAACTTTTGCTTGGAACGAACACTGGGGACAACGAGCCCAATCATTTGCTGATCTGTGAGGTTGACATGAAAAATGATAAGAAGTTTGAAGGCGAATTTCGCGTCTTAAAAAGAATCACTCACAAAGGTAGCACTAGACACGAGCTAATATATTTTAAAATTATGTTGTAATCCTAAAATATGTTTTGCAACAAACAGGCGAAATTAATCGAGCCAGACACATGCCCCAGAATAGCAACATGATAGCAACAAAGTCTCCATCGCATGATGTCTTTATTTTTGATACTAGCAAGTTTCCCGACGTGGCCCAAGATGATGTTTTTCGTTTTAATCTGGCCTTGCGGGGACATACAAACGGTGGCTTTGGGGTAGCCTGGAATTCCCAAAAAGAAGGGATATTGGCTTCTGGCTCAGATGATGGGGTCGTTTGTATCTGGGACATTAATGCCAAACCGGTCACAACCCCAGTTGAAGAAGGAGTTAACTCACCCGCTGTGGATGCTTACACCAAGCATTCTGAACACACCTCGGTCGTGGAGGATGTTGAGTGGAGTGTATTTCAGCCACATGTGTTAGCATCTTGTGGTGATGACAGGGTATGTATTATAATTGAAAGAAAACACATTAGAAGAATACGCATAAAAAATGAGTGACTACACTGTTTAAAAATTGTATTGTATAGAAACTAATTTTCTGGGATACTCGCACCAAGACTTCTGCCCTGACTAAGGAAAATGCTCATGATGGAGATATCAATTCAGTTTCATTGTCTCCAGTTTTCGAGAACGTAGTTTTGACGGGTGGTTCAGACAAGGTACTAACTAACTATTTGTAGGGAAAAAAATTATCATGGTGTCAAGTTTTCGATCTCGATTGTGACCATCAACACAGGACAGAAAATACTTAACCTAACTATTTACTATACTTCTCCGAACTGAATATTTAACTTGTTAATGAGTGACTGCTTTTATTAATTGGAATTATTTAATGACGATTTCAGACTGTGAAAATATGGGATACTCGCCGATTTGATAACTCCATCCAAACGATTCAACCATTCAAAGATGCTGTGATGAATGTACAGTTTTGTAGTACAACCATTGCATCCGCTGGAAATGATGGGAAAATTTATATCATGGATGTTGCTCGTTGTTCATCTACCAGTTCTTCAAACGAGAGTGACGAAGTCAGTATGCCCAAGGAGTGTGTATTTTTCCATAGTGGTGAGTTGCCTTTTTTAAACTCTACTAGACTGTTTTTTAACCCGAGCCAGGTCTTATATAACTATCATGTCTGTCTTTCCACCACAGAGTTAAAACGGCTGAAGTTTAAATTGTATACAGATGCATATTATGCAAAGTTAGGAGTTAAGTTCGAAGATGAGGCAAATCGGTCCAATGGGGGTCATATGATAAATATGGTCATAGTCATAAGTGGGCGAGCTATTCTGCACCACAATTTCAAAATAGTGCTAGAAAATAGAAGCTAGAGTAAATTTCTAGTAATTTTGGTCACAGGGAATGATTGACCCATACTGGTTTTTGAAATTAATCGGAAAAAGTTGAGATTTTACATGATTAATATATATGGGAAAATTTACGAATCTGAACTACATATGTGGCATTTACGGCAACTGGTGTTATTGTCTATAAAGAAAAACATCACTTGCATCGTTGAATTTTGAACCGCAATTTGGAGTCATACAATAGAAAATTTAGAAGGGGACCTCAGGGACCTGACTCCGAGTATGTGAACACAACACTTATGTTATTAATGAATTGATAAATTTAATTCCAGGGCATGTCTCCGCAATCAACGACATTTCCTATGCTAATGGAATGTTTGCATCCGTTTCAGGAGATAATATTCTTCAGGTATGATTTACAAATTATTTGCAGTTGGTTAACAAATCAGTTAATTTCGTTTATCGTTTACTTGTCTTAGGTTTGGGAACCAACTCTACCACTTTTAGAAATCAAATAACGATGCATATAAAATGCGTCAACCATATAATTCTTCAAGATCAATATAGTTTTGTAACCTATTTGTTGGCATAATATGTCAAATATGTTTTTGAATCCAAATTGTTGCTCTTCTTTTAATTGTCTATTCGTTCATTTGTTAATTTTCTTGCCTAGACATACATATGCTTAAACATAATTGGTTGTGTTGCTTTCTACTTGTTTTAAAAATTATCTATGGTCATAAATAATTTGATTGAAATGTAACTTATCAATGAACCCTGTAAATATTTTATTTTAAACACGACACAAACTTGCAAAAATACTATTAAAAGCAGAGCATATTAGCATTAGCATTTAGAGCATATTAAAATTGCGGCTGTCAGAAACAGAATATAGGTATGTAGGATCTGAGAAGGCGTCCTTCGTTATGTTATGAATGATGACTGCGTAATATTCCTTGACACCCTATGGGTGGGACTTAGGAACTCGATAAAACTTGTCCACGATGTACACAAGACTTCGAATTTGTTAGTAAAAGTCAAGCAACCCTTGAGTGAAAGACAAACAATCGTGGTGCGTGATGATATTCAGCCTGTCTCCGAGTGTCTCCATTGGTTATGTATGCACGATGATGATAAAGAAATCGTATCGTAACTCATGGGTAACTCTAATAATGCGCAAAAATACTATCATTGAGCTTATGCAAATTTTCTGTATGCAAATCTTCCTAATTATTTATTGCAAATTCATGAGACTACGAATTGTAAATCGTCAAAATTATAACGTTTGAAATAATTGTTCATTTCGCTGCAACTCTTTTATCAAATTGGAGTACATTCTTCTTCATAAAGTCCAGTGTGTGGGTTCATGTATTCGACGCAGTACTCGGCAGGACCATAAGGGGGTGGAGGCGGTGGGTAGTAGGGTTGCCTCCCTCCAAACAACCAATTGAACAAAAATCTGGCCTGCGCCGGGTCTGGTGGTGAACCATTACGGCTCCTGGTCGGCTGCTGCAGCTGCAAATCCTGCTGTGATGACCGAATAAATTTGCGAATGACCAACTTTGGCGATTCGTCGGCAGCCATCGCTCCAAATTGTTGTTGAGAGTATGGATCAGCGCCCGTGGGAATCATGTCTCGGGTTGCATAACGTTGTTGTGGCCCTTGTCGTTGAAGAGGGGACATCTTAAGTAAATAAAATTAGAGCAAGAAGTTAAACACAAATTTCAATGTTTGTATTGCATACAACACAATCACATGTATGTAAATCGGTGTAATGTGTAAGCACTTATCACGATGTCCAATTTTATGATGTAAAATAAGCATCAAAAATTACCTGTGAAGGCCATGATGACAATTGTGAGCGTCTATAAACTGTTTGTGACTCGCAACACTGTAACAAAACCACAACGGAAAGAACAAAAATTGATCCTAATCTCATGATGACTTGAAATAAATTCGTGATAAATACTTTTTTTACAAACTTTTTAAAGATCAAATAGGAAAATTTAACAGCTTTGTGCTGAATGCGAGAGGACCAAATAACAGATAAATGATCAAAAAGCTTGCTCTTTCAGTCTTTTTATTTGAAAAACAAGATGCCACAGTTTACATGGAAGGGATCAAAAATAAAAACTAAGAGTGATCTCTATTCTCTCTCCAGATATTACCCTAATTGTATACCTGTCTTATTGCGTAGGAGGGTCAAGGCCACTTTAAGGATTGGTAGGGAATCCCTTAAACTAGTTTTTGGGAAATTCCTCAATAAGTCCAGTTCCAGGCTCCAGATTTCCTGGAAAATGAAAACTAAATGACCCGTTACAAGTGCACATAACGGTTCCTTCTTGTTTATGCAATGCAGCCTCATTTCTTCAAAGGATTCACTACCTAGAACTAGGTAAAAGAAAGTTTTATTGTCATAATAAAAAAATGTGTACCGCATAACTGCCAACTTGTTCCCAATTTTTCGTGTTGGATGAAAAATTTTATGGAAAGAACGTATGGAGTCAAATTCTTGAACCAACATACATACAGAAAATCACGATCATGTTCCATCAGACGAATGGGTGTAAATTACACTGTGTAATGCGTCATTTAGTTACAATAAAAACGAAACAATGATGAATTGAAGGAAACCATTACTTTTATTTATAGCAAATTCATGGGCAATTCACTTTACCAGCTCTGTTGCTCCGTCTTACGCAGAAATCTATCTTATTTTCACACATCTTTTAAAAACCTTTAAAATGAAAAACTTTCAGAAACTGCACAAAATCCTCCTTTTACTTTGTGTCGTACTTCTCGTCGCCAGTTTTGTTGATAGTAAGCCAGCAAAAAAGAAAAAGCCTAAAGACGAGGACAAGCCAAAAGAGGAGACCGATACCACCCCATCTCCCGAAAGTGGTACCGAGGGTGGAAATACTGCCCCCAGTAAATCTTCAAAAGACGAAATGGTGGATTCTGCTACTTGCAAAGGGGTCAAATGTCTTCAACCAAGTGCGGATAAAAAGTGCAAAGCGTCAAATGCAACGACTACCGCCGGGGGTCCGACCCCGACGGTTGCATGCTGCCCAGTTTTCGTGTGTAATGGCGAAAATGGGGTCCAATATCAATTCGCTGCAAGTTCTGGAGGTTATTTTTTTGAATCATTGATAAATAATCACGATTCAGTTCCTAATCAAATGTAAATTGTATTTGTTGACGAACAGCATTTCCAAACGGACCTCCAGGATTTGGATATCCTGGTCCCGGATATCCAAACGGACCACCACAAGGACCGCCAGGCATGCAAAACTACCAGTTCCAGCAGCAGAGTGCATTCATGAGTAAGTCGTTATTATTTAATAATGACATTTGACAGATATTGATCATGAGCAAAGTGATCATTCAACGAGATAACACTCGTAGACCGATGATGATGTAATATCTAGATGCATACACAATAGAAAATTATGCAGATTTTATTTTATTTGTGTCTCTGTCTCTGCATTGATTCCTTTTTGTTTGCATATCATCAATTATTAACGCCTAATTTATATTTATACAGCCGGCCCCGGATCTCAAGCTCAACAAAATGGTCAAGCATATTCCTCATCATTTTCAAACTCATACTCGTATGGAACTCCTCCAAACGCGAATGGGAATAATATGCAAATTCCAAACTATGGCAAAAAATAAGTAATGAATGGTCACACATTTTGTTGCTACTGCTAAAAATGCTGTTAAGAAATACGTGCAATTTTAGATATTGTGTCACAAATTTTATAGGAGTTGATAAGGATAAGCTATAAATAAATTTGAATGCATCATCACGTATATGAACAATTACTTATTTAAGTAACTCTAATTAAGCTTGCTGACCATCAAATCCACCAATAAATTCAACTCTTAAATACTTATACGGATATTGCCACGACTAACTCTAAAATAATTGAATAATTAATCTAGTAAAATAGATCGTACTCTACAGATAAAAAATTTAATCACTGAATAATTAACAGGGAATAAATCAACTTGTTAATCATGCAGCCATACAAAAACTCAGCATCATCATTAATTAACTCTTATAAACCAGCTCGTTCCTTCTCGCATTATATTCATGTGCTCTAAATTTTATTAAGTTTGTTATGCTAATAAGTTTATTAATTGTATAGACTTCATTTCATTTCACACCACTGACGTAACAGGATCAGGAACTTGATCAAAATAAAAAGTAGCAATAATGGCACATTATACACACTTTTGGTTTGGTATATATCGCATTGCCAACCAACCAGTAACTCACATTTGATGATGGTCAAACGACCTCTAATTCGTTAAGAATTTCTTCTTACCATGTATTTGCACGACATTGCATTCCAGTCATTACACACATTTTGCAGATAAAATGTTTTAGCCGTCAAGTTTTCTGTGAGCCTTAAAACACGTCTGTCTGCTAAGAATTTCCATTACACGAGATCCTTGTTCGTTGTTGTCGACTTATTTACTACTGAATCTCATACTTTTTGCCATTTCAAGTTCAGTTCATTTCTTTAAGCTCAGGATTCAAGATTTACTTGCTTATTAGCAGGGCGTGTTACTTACAAATAGTTTGAGATAAAGTCAAGTTCATGATGCATGATTCAGCAGCCATTCATTTCATACGACGACGACGTGTCGATTACTGCTCAAGAAAGAACTGATCGTATTACAAACAGCTCAGAACAATGAACACTTGAGATAATTTGGACACGTGATAATAATGCGTTGTGGATAATTGCTTGAGCTCTGGATTAAGATGGTATCACAATTATCTTTATTGCCTATTTTGGTTCCGCTAATAGATTGAGGGAGGATGAAAAAATATAAATGATGTATTTATGCATAGTCCATCCATAATATGATATCCAGCCAAGTTGTATTGTAATCATGAGGAAACCTCAACGTAAATATCTAATGGAATTCTTCACGGTTGACTTATTTTTGTGTACTCCTGGATTTTAAGGTAGTATAATTAATTAGCTGTGATACTTTTTGGCCAGGATGGAAGTACCATATATAAGTAAATCCTGATCCTGTCAGAGGTTTTGATGAGACAAAGAGCAAAAACTACCTGAAATTGTCCAGAGGTACAGAAATACAGTAAGTTTTCTATTTGTTAAAGTGTTTGCCAAAGTCTGGTTTAGTCGGCGTCCTTCATCGGCAAGTTCTTAACACAGGTCATCCTCAAGAAAATGATAAAGGTGCACATACCTACATTCTTTCATACTCGTGCAAATCTCAACCTCATCAGTTGCTGCACTGCATTTGTCAAGGTTTTCTTCTCATTTCATTCGCCGAGTCATTTTATACACAAAATGTGCACCACAAGAAATGAAAGACGCTGTCATATCATCAAACTGACTGATACACAGCAATCCTGTCACCGGCTTTAGCATTGTTGTCAATTGTCATACCTTGACTTGATCGCTGTCTCTTATTGTACGAACTTGGGAGTCATTTGTTATGTAATCCTATTTGCTTCCACACATAATCTGCAATGAATAAGGGAATCAGAGATGATATACATACGTATAATTCAATCAAGTTCACATTATAGTAAAAGAAGGTGACAGGCCTATAATCCGCCAGTGTGAACCAGTTTCATTTTCTATTGATTGCTTTGATTGATGACGTTTATTTGCATACAATTAAATAATTTTGGTATCGAGCAGAAAATCTATTTGTAAAGAGAACACAAGTGACAACGACAATAAATAAATTTTAATACAGGACAATAATGTGAGACCATCGAAAATTGATTTCTTTTTTGAAACGACAGAAGTTCACAGACCGTAACAAAACTACACAGATTTTGAAATAGTTTGCTTGCGTATTGTATAAAATTCGAAATAATCCAGGCGTGGCCTGGCAGCTTATACAGTTTCAGTTCCAACAAACAATTAAACCAGGTGCACCTGTTTCTTGTATTTTTATTTAATCGTGCCTATAATTGTCAACATTAATGGAAAGAACTGGTTAATTTTTCAACCGCATATGTAACTTCATTCATTCTGTAATTAAATGTCTCAATAATCTGAGATCTCAGTCAGAAGGGCGTGTGTAGGCATATTACTTCACATAATATGCATTTCCACTTTTGTTTTCTTGTTACCTCTGTGACAAAAAGGGTACAGATGATCAATTACAAATTGCAGTGTAATAAAGGATCATTCAACGAATGAAGTTGTCTTATTGAGACTTGCTCTTTTGTGGAGGGTGTGAAGTTGAAGGTGACCCAGTTATGCATCTGTTTATTACTGGTCAAATAAACAAGCACCCTTAAAATAACACCAGTTTACAACAACTTACACAAATTAGCGCTTTCATCCCTTCGCTCTATTTTAAGAAACTAGAGTAATGGTGTCAATATCATGATTAATGCAAATGCTCCTGAAAATATTATTGGTCATTATTGTGACGATAACATGTACATTTTTATGTGGAGATAAAAATAAATAAGGTTTATGGTTTCACCAGATTTAACCTTAAATGTCTCATTCTAATTCCATTATGAGTGATTTTTTATACTCAGGACGACCATGATGGAATTGATAACAAATAGAAAAGTGCTCTACATCACATTTTTGGGCATATCTAGGAAGTCAGGCCTTATTTATATAAAAAATAGATAAATAATAATGCGCAAGAAACCGTTACAGATATGATCACGAACTCCTGATATGATCCTCAAGACAAATAAGCTAATAAAATTTTGAGTTATTTACGATCAGTTTTGTCATATAAAGGGATCGATTAATAATTTAGATTGCCATATGCAAGAAAGAAGATCACGTGTAATTCATTAGATTATAAATCATGCATAACTTTTGGAGAAATTAGATTATTTCAGACAGATCCATTGTTGGCTGGATTGAAAAAAATTGTTTTGTGTGTAAAATATGCAGCCCAAAAATTTAGGCCAAAATTTTTTCGTCTCAATTTATCCCACAATTAAGCTCATTCATAACTTAATTATGTCGATAAATAACAATTTCCGGATAAATATCAAAGTATTTAATAATTTAGAGAATCTGAGACACATCTTTTGCATTCCTTTAAGTAAACTAACCAAATACAACGTTAAGAAAGATCAAATGAATAATCAAATTCGACTCCATTATGCTCAATCATTCAACAAAATAATTCTCTAGCTGTCTGCTTCTCCATTTCCATTCCTGAACAATTCGTGCTAATCAACTAACTCTGAGCGAGTTACACACTTTGACTACATACGTAAAGTTAGTTAATAAACAAAAATCGAGCCGTGTATCTCTCTCTACATAACAAAACCAACCACAAAAAGAAAACGACCCAACCCAACTTTGGTCCTTCAAAGAAGTTACTTTATAATTCAAACATTACTCGTAAAACTACACGATAGAATCAAGAAATTGACGTAATAATGTCTGTGCACATAGGAAAATAATCCATTATAAATCGGGCGGACGAATGGACAAAGCTTATCATTATTATTTATCTCCTTTCGCAAAAATGAAACATTTGCCAAAATTATTAGCAAGTAAATTTCAGCCATCGATCCCAATATGGTTCCCCAATACCAATATTGCATGTTGTCCCTTAAAATTTCCTTCCTCGATCATATACTGTTGAACAATTATTGGTATTGAACAATATTTAGTTTAAGGGCAGGTATGGCAATGGTATTAATTTTACCCTGGGGTCTCATTCCGCACATGCAATATGCAAGCCCAATTTGCCATTATTCTTTAATTATCCAGGCTCAAACAATTATTTTCAAGTCCACAATTTATAATTGGTGTCTGCTGTATGTACACACACACACAAGGGAGTAGCAACAGTTCTAAAATAACTTTTCACCAGGTGGTTTTCCTACTCCTACCTCGTAAATAATTATACAGTTTCATACGCAGGATAACAAAAAAACATGCAAAACTGGGTGGAACCAGACTGGATCAATCCAATAAATAAATAACTATACACTGACATATCTACACTTAAATACATATAATTTCATCCATTGGCAAAAATAGATTATTTGCATTGCACAGAAAATACCATTTTCTTGGCTAAACTTCAATGCCACGAATTTTATTATAGTAAATCAATATACAACTCAGCATCTCAAGGAAATAATGAGAACCACCGACCAACCTTCACACAAGGAATTTATTGGTTATTCCATCCTAATTTGATACGGATGAACAAATTCGTTCAATTTGCTTACACACGAATCTATCAAGAAACTTTAGACCACTCGATGATGTCGTGCAGGAAAAAAAATAATTTCAAACTTCTAATAGAAGCGAATTAAGTAAAAATTAAGTTACATAGCGTGTGCCCTTTATCTTCAGCCAAGTCCTTTGTTACATCCTGCATTTTTCTTTCATTTCGACAACAATAGGTGAATGAGTGTCACGGAATGCTGGGCACACCACAGAAAAGTATTTACTAAACGCAGTTTAGGTTCACTAATGTATGCCAAATCTGTGAGTTGTTTTTGGAGTAATTATTATTGCGTAAAGTAAAACGGATGGGGATCACCACTCATCAATTGTATTTACGAGTAGATATCTCGTACCTCATATCTTTCTCTCCCCTTCGGCACACAACGGTAATCACGACGCAGAAAAAATATTGGTAAAAAAGGGATCCTCTTTTTTTATGTTCCTTCCGAATGTTAGATTGGAGTCAATGTCAGTCAGAATTCGACTTGGAAGAAGGGATGCATTTTTTGTGTAAACGGCATTTTAACAATCGTCAGACATATGTCTGGGTTATTACACACGTGTAAATTCCGGAACAATTTTATGACGCCACGGAAGAAACAGGATCAGGATCTACCAATCGTTATGACAAATTGTTACGCAAGCTCATCACACCGATCGATGATGGAATTTTCCACGCCAGAAAACCAGCATGGCAGTCGCAATTACTCTACATACCTGTGTATCTATCAACAATGGATTAGTTCCTATTGTTACCAACAACCCATTGCCAATGAGCATCGCACCATGATAATAGAGACATTGATGTCTTGTCCGTCTCATTTTGGCTGAATCATCCATCTCACATAGTGCAGAAAGTGCATGATCTTTCCCATGCCTCCATTTGAGATTGCTGTCGTTCTTTACCAAAACTAACCATTATTCGCGTGGCGTGGCGTTGTTTCTTGGGTGTTGGTTTCTTGCCTGTGTGATCTCAATGTGCAGAAACTATATAGTGGACATTAGTCAATATTCAGGTAGAGCTGGGCCGCTAATTCGTAATATATATAAAACTGTTGAGCCTCCTTCATCAGTTTATGTTATCTATTTCTTAACGAAGGTGTCTCTCTCTCTCTTGATCTTGGCGTGGTCTCGGTGGCTTCTCAAGTAAATGTGATCCTTTTACTTTTAGTTTACGACAAACAAAGCAAAGCAAGCGAGCAAGGCACGCTCATAGCAATCATCACTTATTATGAACTTAATTATCAACTAAACTAACGGCTAGAGTTGCCCATTACTTTATTTGTTGCAAGTTTCTGTGAATTTCGCAACAAATTAATTTTAGTGTTCTGTTTGCGTATGTGTATCCAATCCAATCTCGTCATTTTTAAAGGTTGAAGGGTGTGAAAATAAAAGTGTTAACAAGTGAGATTCCAGAAAGTGTAGGTTACGAAATGAGGATAAATATAATCGCTCCTTAATTTGTTAAGAGTTTTAATTTTGTCGGAACGTAATTGAAAACAAATCAGTATTTTTACGCGAGTAAATGCCGATATAAGTCAAGTTATTGGATCGTCGAGTCTCATTTTGGTTGAGACTTTGAGAAGAGATTTGGTTCGTTGGGGTGATTTCTTGTCGAGAAATTTTCCACCAGAGGAATTAAAATGGAAGTAAGTAAACTGTTTGTGGTGATGTTGGTGCTTATTTTGGGGAATATCTTGGACAACGTGAACGGTGGGGGGGTTGTGGTGGGAGAACAATATCCGGCTTCAGTTCCGCAGCAATCTGCATACCAAGACCAAGATGGACAAGATGTGGCATCCACAGTGCTAACCAGCGTGGCGTCACTCCAGCAGCCCCAAAGCAGGATTCAAGTAAGAGACCGATTTTTTGCAGTCATAATTTTGCCCAGGGCTAAAAAGTGATCCATATAGAAATAGTGTGACACCAATACATGTCTGATATGTGTACGTATACTTCCTTGCCCACACGCCAGCATTTTTTTTAAGATATCCGGGTTGATCTTATCATGTTATGGGGAATATTTATTTTTTGCTTATGACTGCCCATAATTAGGATTTTGATTTTAAATATGTAAATATCTATGTACATGCAAAATCCGGGTATTAAAATAGACAAGTGTTCATTCTCCATAACTTTAATAAGGCAGCAATAATTGTGTAAAATATTGAGCTTTCATTGTACCATGCATGAGTCAATTCTGAAAAATAAAAATTTTAATAAGGCAGCATGTTAAAGTTTTGACTATCCAATTGCAGAATATTGGAACCGCAAATCCTTTCGTGTTCAATGGAGGACTTACCAGCAGTGTGCAATCGTACTACCAAAGGACGCCGAATAGTTTAAAGGTGTTATTATTTACATATATGAAAATATCGGAATGAATTTTTTGGGATAATCAAAACTTACACGAAAATATCCTTTTATGCAGACCATCGTAAATAATTATCAGCAATCTGTCTCATACCCCACGGGAACATTGAACACTTTACCTCATAACGTCAATGTGAAAGTGACACCGAAAGGACATCCGCTTAACTTTCCACAAAACAATCAGCAACAATTCCTTTATAATCCGACACCTTCCAGCTTCCCATTTCAGCAAAATCAGAATCAGCAAAATCCCACCGTCACTCGGGTAAGGCTTAGCTATAATTCCTTAAATGATCCATTAATAATTGAACAAATTAAATTATATGACAAACTATTCCCGTAGGTCACTTATTTGTCCAGCGTTGCAACCGTCAACCCTGAAGATGCACAGAAAGTGAGCCGACCTCGCTTAAACCGACCAACTTCTTCTCCACAGAACAACTTTTTCCATCCCCAACAACACCAAAATTTTCAACAGGTCCACGGAAAATCATTTCAGGTTCCCGTTAGACCAACGCCAACTGCTCCAACGACTTTGCAGTTCCAACCTCAGCAAGTCCCGATTCAATATCAGCCTCAATACCACGGTCAACAACAACAACCCCAGTACCAGAATCAGAATCAGCAACAACAACTACAGTACCAGAATCAGCAACAACAATTGCAGTACAACCAGCTCCAACAGTTTCACCGTCTAATTAATCAACAAAGTCCCACCAGCCCCCCAGCCCATTTCAACCAGCACAACAATCAGCAATCACAGTATATTTCAAACCCAAATCATCGCCTCCGAGTCACTCAGAGTACTCCTACTTCATTCCCAAACAGTATTCAGCACTTGATTCAAGGGAATCAAGTCTATCCTACCCCCGCCGGCACCACGGCCACACCCAATTTCAAAACTACCAAACCTTTCCATCCTCCTAAAAATACTCAAGCCCTTCCTTCTCCTCCTCCTCCTCCTCCACCTTCCCCCGAAGTTTGCGTGGGTCGTTCCGTTTCTGGAAATCTAGGCAATAATTACGACTACGACGGACAACAAATATTTTCGCCACCCACACAAACCACTGCTCAATATCATGTCGAAACAAGCCAACCACAATACCAACATCCTCCAATTAAAGGCCCCGTCGGAATTGCCGTGCTTGACCCATCAATCCAAAATGTTCACCAGTATCTTTCCCCACTTACCTCCAACTCTCTCTCCTCCGAGGGTGATGTGTCCTATCAGTATCAGTACCACCACCAACAGCAGCAACAGCAGCCAGAAATTTCATTTCCGGGGAATACCGGAGGTCAAATAATTTATAGCAATAATGATCAACAAATCCAAGCTTACAATCAGGTTCAGACCCAGCCTGCACTTCCACAATTGCAAGCACAACAACCTATTTCTCCTCAGTATGCCCCCCAGTACACGCAACCCACCCCCCAACAAGGTTTCCAACCGAATAATTTCCTTCCACAACAGCCGCAGCAGCCCCAATTTCCTCCCCAAGGTCAGTCTCAGTTTCCTCCACAAGGTCAGCCCCAATTTCCTACCCAAGGTCAGTCTCAATTTCCCCAACAATTCCAATTCAATCCTCAACAACACCAATTACCTCCTCAAGGTCCCAACGGATTTCTTCCCCCATTTCCCCCCGGCCAAGGTCCACCCCCACCAGGATTCGAGCCTGAAAACGGGTACAATCCAAACCACCTCGCCCCATTTCCAGAGGAACCTTACGAGTCCGAATTTGCAAACCAGCCCCCACTCTCCCCCCAGGATGAAGTAGAGCTTGAAGCGTATCGTGCCAAAAGACGTAAATCCCGCAGACGTCAAAAGCAGCAACAGCAACTCAGCCAAGGTTCGGAAGACATTGCCGTCCAAACGACTGCCACGTTAGAGCTGCTGAAATCTACGGAGGGGAAACCTGTCCCGAAAGAGTGTGCGTATAACACGATCACGAAAAATTATGATGGCGAAGACTGCGTTGGAATTAGGAAGAAGTAGATAAATAGACTTATCTTAAGTATTGATACTATTTGCTCATGCGATGACCAGAAAAAAGTATTTTATTTTATGTATGCTGCAACATTTTCACGGAGGTGAAAGTAGGTGTAGCAGATAGACTGTGATAGTGTGGTGTATAATATTAAGCACTTAATTATTGACTAATCTTTCTCATAACTTTGCCCAATTTAAATTATGTGTTTGTATTTTGCTACTGTGTTTTGCATGGTCTGAGATAGACTTTAGAATTGCCTACTTCAATTACCAAATTATTGAACGAGCTTCAGGAATTTGCATTTTTGTTGGACTACTGAATGGATTTAAATGTACAACAATGAATAAATAAAATGTTTAGAACATACTCAATGAGTCGAGATTTATGCTAATTAATTTGTTCACTATTTATGTATCACTTTGTATCGTCATCAGCGTATCATTATGAAGAACAAGCAGTGTAAATTGCCAAAATTTTACAAAAGAGGCTGATTAATCCCCCTCTTAAAATGACCTCCAGGACCCGTAAAATCCGGCGCAATTGGAGGAAAATTCATCTTAACAAGTAACGGATTAGGAGGAGGCGCTGTCGAATCAGTCATGATGGTTGAATTACTGCCGGCCGTCGTAGGTTTATTGGCCTGACTAAAAGGAGGAGCGAATGACTTTTTAATATCGCGCTGCCCCCTTTTAAGCATCTCCGCCTTCGTTAGCTGCATTGGTTCCTCTTCTGAGGAGGATGACGCCGTGTCACTTGCACCGACGTCAGCCGTGGGTCGTTCGGCTAGTTGGATCAGGACTTCAGTTTGGGCTTGCAGCTTGCTCAATTTGCTAGAACCTAGGTCTTTGGAGTCTTTAGCGAAGTAGGTGAACACCTTGGTCGTAGAACCGGGCGGGGTGGGGGTCGTGACTGAGATTTCTGGAACCTTGAGAGGAAAACGAAAGATTCTTATCAGATATTTAACTAGAATTTGTGGATTTTTTTGAGTAATCACCGGAGGAGGTTTCCGAACTTCAGGAAATACAAAGTTGAAAACGAGATTGCAATACGCCAAAATGCACAAAAACAGCCTCCTGAGCCACCTAAAACACCCAAAGCGCCTCGCACCGACACTCGCGCTTTTATATAGCGGGTCATCCATATCATTAAGAAATTCAGAAGGTTCCGGCCTCTTCTGGAAGCCAAATAACATGGCAAGATATCCTTGACCTCTTCTCAGAGAGGGGAAACTGTCCTGGAATTCTTCATCCTCTTTGGTCAACTGTGGCGTCCCGAGCGACGTTGTGCAAGGCAGCCTCGTCGGGTGGACCAAATAACCGGGATGATTGATCTCAGATTTTTGTATTTTGTCTGCCTCCTTGTCCTTTAGGGGTCGAAATAGGACCCCCGCCTCGTCCTCGTAAAGATCACGCATCCTCCCCTGCACGAGACTGCTTAGATAGTCCAACCTCGTCTTGCGAGTTTGAAGACAGATAAATTCGCCATACGTGTCGTTAAAATCTGGCTGGAAATTATATTTTTGAATTATTTCTTACTTATTGGCCTTTCTAAATTTCAGAGTAGTTTTTGTTTATTTATTTACCTGAATCTCTTTTTGGTAAATGTTCATGTGGAGTTTGCAATGGACAGGTTTGTCCTCTTCAAATGAGACCTGTTCAACGATGATGGGTTTCGTGGGAGTATTCTCGAGTCGTCGCTTCCTCAATCGTGTCGCATCAGTATCGACGGCTTCGCTAACGTCCAGAATGAGGGAATTGAACGTAAAAACTTTCAATTGTTCTGGCATTCGGACGCGATAAACTTTGTCGACGAGGTCGCCAGGCTCAATCTTGATGCGTGGATACACTGAGTGACATGCTGAGTAGAAACCAACGAATTATGAATATTAATTAAATGTAAATTATAAATTTTATGTTTCACGTGAAAATACACACCTGTCTCCATTATGGGATTCTTCGGGTTCTTGAGATAATTGCTGTGACCATACCCAAAATATCCGTAGGAGAAAGAATACTCGCAATACATTTTACCCACGTTGATCCCATCTGACCACAATTTAAACTCTTCGACAGAATGCTGCTTTCGTATAAATTCGTACGTATGAATTTCCGTCATTCCGATAATGTAATGCATTTCAGGGTCTTGATAACTCCAGAGTTCTACGACGAAGCGATTTAGAGGACTTTCTCTCCACTCGGGGATCTGCATAGATATGTAAATCAGCTTTTTAATAGAGCCAGTCTAGCGTTACTAACTTGTACCTCAATCGAGAAATGTGCCGTGTAGTCGACTCGAATCCTTTTCGATGTACTGGAATGCACAATTTTAGACGTCCTTTTCAGTGGACCGATGCTTAACACACAATAAAATGAGACAGGAAGGGAACTAGGGGTGGCTGAAGTACAATAAAATTCTAGTAATTTTAGTGTACATACACATAAAGTTGATTAAACTGAGGATGCATACATTTATTTAGTGCTTACATGCATCATTAATTGCAAGTTTCGACAACTCCAAAATATGAAAAATGAGCGTCCCCTGTGGCGAAAAAGGCACCCTCAAATCCTTCTCCGAAGGGGGATACACTTCATCAGGTGAATTCATAATATCGATGAATTTCCTCATCCTCCGCTTTTCAATGTCCACCATGTGCGCACGAAACGGTCTCGAGTTGAAGGTGAATTCGACATTCTTTTTCCCCGCGTCGCCCCCTCCTTGCGGTTTTTGTTGCGCTTGTGGCTGCTGCTGTGGCTTCTGTAAATTAATTGTTTGAAAAATTTTCATTACAAATCGATGCTGAAAGTGCCTCCTAATAATAATTTCGCATGCCTGTTGTGCCACCGAAGTGCTCGCTGTTGTCGCTGGTGCCGCCGCGAGTGGGGTCCCAACAGCTTGAGATTCACGCCTCTTGTGATGCTCGAAAGAAACGCGGTGATGTGCATGCTCCAAGTGTTCCTCCAGCTCCAACATTTCATACGTGATTCCCATGTCTGGCATGAACGCGATTTTCGGCTTGGTCGCTAGCATGCTTTGTCTCGCAGTTTGAGCGCGGTGAGTCCACTTGCCAATGGCCAGCACGGGGCCCATCATACTTCCGGTGGGGGAGGTTTTGGCGTTATCGATGGGACTGGGGCCTTTGGATTGTGGGGGAGGAGGGACGGCGTCATTATTTTTTGGGGTCTCTGCCTTTGGTGCCGTTTCCTTACTAGTTTTATTCTTCTTCCAAAACATGGCGATGATTTAATGTAGTTTGGTCAATTTTATATGGTAAAATTCGATACGGTATGAATTTTCAGATCAATTGAAAAATATGTCGGTCCGTTAAAATTTTTAAGGAAGTGATTTTAGAGTGTACTTGACGACGTTTCTTTTTGTTGTTGGAATGTCAGTTTATTCCAATAAAAAAGATCCGATGGGGAGCTCATATAAAAATAATGTTTTTACGAATATTGCAAAGCTGCTTAAAAAGTGACCATGTCTGATGCTCCGACAAATCCATCTAAACACTGGTGGGGCTGGGTGTGGCCATTCTCAAAAAGTTCTCAACAACGTGTCAGCCCCGAATCGGAAAACACCAGGAGTGAAATATTGCCCCCAAAAACACCAGCTGCTCCCCCAGTCTCGAAACAACGCTTGCCTCCCAAAAGCCAGTCATACCCTGCCGTGACGAAGCACAATTTACAAGCCCATGGGACACAAACGTACAGCAATGAACCGAACAGCAATGTCGGTGGGGGTGGAGGTGGAGGTGGCGGTGGTACTAAAGGTACACCACATGGCCAGTCCCTTCTTACTCCCCGAAAGTTAAAGACGATGCAAAAGTTTCCCGTTGACGATGACGAGTTTCTGGTGGAGGAGCCAAGCAGAACTGCCACCTCTTTTTTCGCCGAGATCGTCAGTGAGGAAGAAATTAAACCCTTATCCGAGGATGATGAAGAAGAGCAGAAAAATCCCCCCGGACTTGAAATTGAAACTGATATTTTCCACACTGCCAATCCAACAAGCGATCCTTTATATGTTCCGTATGGATTCATTATCATGTGCTTCTTTCAAATTGTAGGCATTTTTTGAAAACTATAAGTCAAAAGTATGATATGCACACAAAAATTGGAAAAATGTATACATATCGATTATCATAGATATGGGGACTCGTCGGTGTCATTCAAGTCGCAGTATTGCGGTACACAAAATCACTCGCACTAACGTACGTCCTCCTGGATCGAAACTTTAGTGACCATTCTGCACTCTACTTACTCATTGGAGCGTCACTAACCACGTTGGGGGGAATTTGTGGCTTGTTAGCTTTAGCTTTCAATATTCAATTCTTATTGCATCTGGTACACTAATGCTTTCCAGAAAGAAATACATGAATTAAATTGAACTTAAACTGACTATTTTACTTTTTTATGGATGCATGCAGATCCCCCACTTTATGTGGGCCATCGTGACCATGTGTCTCTGCTCCAGCATCACGGCGAGAGGAAACTTGGAGAGACCTACGGTTCCAACGTACTATCGTCTCTTCGAAGCGGCAGGTTTACATTCTCAGGACCCCATGTATCTCAAGGGATCGTGGCCACATATCAAGCCTACGATCTGGCACGACATGCAGAAAACGGTTGGCCAACCTGTCATATTAGTTAACTCCTCATTACATTTCTTATGTATTATTATGCAGATGAGGTGCTGTGGTGTCGAAAATGTGACGGACTGGTTGTACCTTCCAGACCATACAATTCCTGACTCGTGCTGCTTAGCTGACCTTTGGCACCCTTGTAAAACGGCCTTGAAAGCATTGACAGTGGGGAAAAATTCTCCAGAAGATTTGATAAAGTCATTAGATCAAGTGCGCAAATATCTTCATGATGATGTAACTAATTACATTATTTCAATTTGGTTTATGTAAAAATCATCACCCAAAAATTCATCTAATTAATAGACCTGTGTTACTGTGCTGACGCTGGAGCGTGGAAACCATATTCGAGACTGGACCACATATCCCCTCATCTACCTCGCATTTCATCTCTTGATTATGTTCAATCTCAACTATTTAACGCAAATGTACGAAATGTAATACATTTTTTGTACTGACTTTTATTTAAAATCGTATAAATATGTTTTAAATGTTTAGCTTAATTCGCGAACACAAAAGTTGGCAAGGACAAGCCAGACTAAAATTGTTCAAGTCACAGAGTATAGACTTGCTCAAAGCACGCATGATAGCATCCCTGCTTGTGATGATCCCTTTTTGCTGTAAACGAATGAAAGACAAGGCTCGATGGGAGGTTGAGAAACAGGCGTCGCACAACGTCCTCGTGGCGATAAAAAAAGACAAGAAAACTAGCGTGGACAGCAAGTGGGTTCAATAAATTTTGTTATTCGGTGTCAATTTGTCTTGAAATTTAATGTCATTCTTTATTCCACCAATGCAGTGATCTCCTCTACAGTCAACCCCAAGATGATGGAAATATTAAAGATAAGGTCGCCGATAATGCGGAAAAGTCTGCTACGGGTGTGCCTAACCTGACTAACCAAAAGCCGGCACAGGGACCTTCAAAAAATGTTCAGGAATGGACATGGAAAAAAAGTTCGTGATTCCAGTCGCTGTTTAAATAAATACATAAGCTTAAATTACCCTTTATGTTTTTAATTGTCAATCGGAGTTGCAATTTGTCCACTTTATAATTGTGGTTGCATTAAAAACATCAATTACTGATGACTGATGAAAAGACTAGTCCACATCCTGTCAATAATCCCGTCAATAAGCTGACTAATTATTGCGGTTATTTGGTTGCATCGGTTATCTTCTGCCCAGCCTAATTTTCAGAATTTTCTATTGTGGAAATTTTTGCCGGATTCAGCAGTCACTCGGTGGATCTGGGACTAGGAGGTCACATTCAAGTTGAAAATTTTCCTATTTAGCACGACACCATGTCATTCTTCAGCATTTACAAATTCTTACTGGCAATTGTCATTTGTGCCATCGCAGTTTTGGGAGCGGATGCCAGACACGTTGACAAACGATGGATTCAATACACTGGAGTCGGGGGTTCTGATGATGTACTTATAAAATTATATATCAAAATAGGGAATCAAATGTGACGTTGATAATCAAAAAATTATTTCAGCATTACAAACGAGCAATTGGGGATGGGAATGGTGGACAAGCCGAACAAAGCCAACAAGATGCCGGAATTTTCCCAAAATTCCCTGGGGATGAGGACGAATTTGAGCAAGAAAGCCAGGTGCAGGGTCAGGATGATAACATCCCCCCATTGGATAAGGATAAGCTGCAAGAGGGGCAGGACAATTTTGGGATATCGGGTAACAACGGTTTTGTCGGTGAAGAATCATCCTCTCTTCCTCCCGCTGATACTGAATCCAACGATATAGGAGATGAAGGTCAGTCGTCGCAGAATAGTGGATTTGAAGACGTCGGCCAGCAAGATTCTTATCAAGGAGGAAAAGGGAGTGGATCTTGGTATGGCAAGGAGCGAGAGGAAGATAATGAAATTGACGTGACCACCGAACGCCAACAGCATAAGCCCTGGTACAAAAAAGTTCACGGATTCCTCAAAAATCAATACAATTATATTAAAAGTCGTGTTGGGAGGGCGGACGACTATTATGTAAATCAGTAAGAGTCAGTTGTATACATTCATGGAATTGATAATAAATCGGCAATGTTAATGGGAATTGACTGTCCATCATAAAATAGCATATTACATATTAGACATAAATAATACATACATGTGGTTTCTAATTTAAATGACTTAACCGGAAATCCTAACCACTTGTACTTTACCAGTTTTCATTCTATTGCAATGAAAGTAACCACAGTACACTTTATTATACGACATCAACATGTACGTACCAATTCTATTGACACATTATGAATGAACTGACAAAAACTTAAACCAAGTGGTAAAACATTGGAAAAAAGCTGGAAACATCTCGAATTTTAAAATAGTATTAAAAACACTAATATCAAATATTTGCACAATTTGAAATATCGAACTAAATTAATCTTGAGACTCATCTTCTGAACTAGTAGCATCAGTAAATTTTACAAACCGTTTGGCAAGGTTAACTTGTCGGCTGACCAGAATTAAAATATTTGCCAATTTGATCTTATGCATCGCTTTATCCTCGAGTTGGCAAAATTTTTCCCAGAGTGCTTCCTACATTTCAATAATTAAATCATTTTTTCCTGTTTTCAAGTTCTGCAAAATAAATATACTCACTTCAATCCATGGCGTCTTTTGTGTGGTCATCAAAATATACTCAATGAGTTGTAAAAAATTAAATGAGCCCGTTATATCAGAAAAGTTCATCACTTTTGGTTCCATCTGATCCACCGATTTTCCAATGCGCTTAATAAAGTAGTAAACTCCGGCAACCAACTTTTCTAATATCAAGTGTCGAATTGCAACTGATTTGAAGCCCTGTATCATTTCTTCTATAATGTTTTTCCGTTGAAAAGCGGTGAAATGCTGTTAAAATAACAAAACGTAAATTAAACTGTACTTAAAATAAAGACTTAACGAGATTTACTCACGTCAGCTTTACAATTTTGTACCATGAAATTGATAGATTTTTCCATCAAGAATTCTAGTCCAGTTTGCTTTAAGGTGAACAATTCGTTAAAACCGTGATACTCATGAAAAACTAAAAATATTTCTGCCGCAGCTTCCCCCGCTTGAGGCACCGTTTTCCAGTATCTCTCCTCCATATCTGGCGTCAGCATGTCCATGAGCTCTCCCGTGTTCTTTATTAACGTCCGAATCAGTTGAAATGGTTCTCGTGGACCTTTACGCCAATTCTGCTCCATGCCCATCTTCACAATTTGCTGGTCATGAATATATTGCATAGCTGCAACCAGATGAACGTGGACACACTCCAACCTGGACATTTGCTTCACCTCGTCCCAAGTGCTTATCATTTCACTGCTAGATTCACATTGTTCTCTTTCCCTCGAACCATCGTTACTGTCAACCGAATTCTTTTTCCGCTTCTTAAATGGCGTGCTTGGCGCAGAAGAAGATCTTTGTCCAAACCTTTTCACAGGCCAAATTAATTGTTGTTGTAATCGGGATATGTGGGTCACGAATATCAGTTGGTCCTTCATTAGTTTCCTCGTCGAGGCGTCTTCCATAGTCTATACATTCATACACACAGTTAATCCTAAATCTATTTCTCTCTTGTATTAACATATTTAAATACATATTTCTTACCCCTTTAAGGAACGACTTCTTCAAGTCTATAAGGTATTCTATGGGGTCGCAATCCACCGGCATAGCCCTTAACAAGGCAAGAAATTGATCATGGCTTCTCCTCTTGTCGTTATTCTTCTTGTTGGACGAAGTTAGAACAACACCTCGATTCTCTTTATCCATCTTCAAGCTAGGGTTGACAATGTCCTTTTAAAAATGAATTGAATTCTATTGATAAATTTGGAATCGGAAAATTACTTTTTCGAAATTTAATTTTTCAAAAAAATTAAAAACTACGACGGACACGGAGAGAGCGGAGCAGCCGACCCACCAAATCGACCAACTGTACCCCGAGTCCGAATAAAATTTTCCTGAAAATGGGTGCAATGTCAATGACCCCTCGAAATGAAAACCCGGACGAATCTAATTGGTACCCTTTAACCTAATGAGAAACATCATTTACTGATGATTTAATGATTAATGAGCCTTTAAGTTCTTCACAATTCATGCTTTTGGTGAAGGTGAAGGGTGTCTCATGTATGCATTTGCAGTCTAACTTGATCATCACAATGTTTCATCAATCAAATAAACTCGGTCTGGTTTTGCCTCTGATATACATTTATCTGACCCTGCTTGACCCTGTCGTCGCCAAAGGTCAGTACGTGGTCCCATTAAACATGGGGATGAAAGTCTCCATCCCGTACGACATTGCCAACTTGTTTGGCCGGTTTCCAATCCAGGGGGCTTTATCCGTAGTGCTCGCCCTTGCCCTCAACGCCATCCTCTTTTTTGGCGTAATCACGGCTCCTTTCGGTTATTTTTTTGGTATCCCTTCAAAAAAGTATGTGCTCGGAGATGTTGAAGTTTCTGAAACATCCTCCGCAGCAGCGTCTAAAAGAATGGACTTCGTCGACGAAGGAGTAGAATGTAAGTAAGTGGTGAGGGAGTTTATTAAATATTTTTATTGATGACGAAGTAATTAATATTAATTTTGATTATTATAAGATTTCGACTACAAGCCAATAAATAATGAGCGAAAAGTATATCTAACTCCATCACCTCGGAGCTCAATAACATTGAATGAAGACAGGACCTTGTTTTATTTTCTCGAGGACGTTGTAAATTTGTTGGGCAAGCAAGATAATTTTTGGACTAATTTTTCAAGTACTTGGCAAGATGTTTCGCCCAGAGAAAACGCCAAGTCTTCTGAATTTTTGGACATAATTTGGAAACTTTATGTCGACTTGGTTAACAAACCTCAATCCCCCAACTTACCAAACACAATTTTGGATGGATGGTTCTCTTTTATGCCTCAATCCGGAAGTGTGAGGTCCAAGAGTTGCGACCTGTTGAGTGTGTGTTATGCTCATGGGGCGTTGAAACGACTGCCAAACTGGCTTATTAAAATCTACCATGTTTTCAGGTATGTCAGTTTACTTGTTAAGCTTACTTATCTACATAATTATTATTTTTTCTATGTAGTGGTAAAATGGCACATATGCCGTCTGAATTTAAAGATGCAATCCTCCAAGGAATGAAAGATGAGGGACAATGTGTCCCTAATTATTCCAACTCTTGTGCAGAATCACCTTTCACCATTGTCCTCAAATCGGTCCTCAACTTTCTCCCGATGGACAATTACTTTAATAATTTGAAAAAGCGGAAACAAGCCATGTACATGTAGACAATATACGCATGAGGAAATTTTATTATTATTTTGCAGACAAAGTATGTACGTCAACACCTTACATTAAATGTAATTATTTAAAATTATAAATTAGTTAAAAAAAATTAAGCACACATTAACTGATTATCCACGAAATATTACAATATTGCAACAAAAACAGAATTACGTTCATAGTTAAAAATATTAGCATTTTATATTGGCACAAAATAATTTCGACATGAATATAATCTCATAAAAGTATTTAGGAATGTTAATAAGGTCAGGATGCATAAATATGTAGGTTAGGCGCAAGACAATAATTGTAGTACGACATAAATAATAAATACATAAAATTTCAAGTATTATAATCTTATATAAAAATTGCCACAAGACACGATACCGACTTTTAGCATAAAATAATAGAATCGAGATCCGTTCATAAAATGTCATCAGTCTAAAACAAATAAAACTTATTGAAGTCAAAATACTATTGCATTATTAGTTAAAACGAATTAAAATATTCTTGCATTATTAATTAACACGAATCAAAATCAGTTCAGGTATATGTATGGAACGTAAAGTAACAAAGCCAATTTAAATTGACTGCAAATAAGTAACTAGTTACTGAAAAACAAATGGTTTAATGTGTAACAAACAATTCGATCACACAGTCGTGATTTTGGAAGTTCGAAGTGGTGCTGTGCTGGATGGCTCATCATTATTATCAGTCCTTTTTTTGACATTATTTGTAGCGGATGTCGTGGATCGATCAGGAGGCGTGTAATTGAAAGGTGGCACGATGACTTTATTAATGTCCCCGTCCCTTCTCACCCGGATGTTGCTCGTTGAAGCAGGTGCAGTATCAGCAGAAACAATATTACAAACAGGATCTGAATGGATGGGAAGGGGCTCACGAAAGGGCTGCTTCTGACATGTACTTTTTGGAATTCCACTGGTTTGGGGTTTTTCTTTTTTCCCTCGACCAAAAAAGTTTTGAAGCTTGGATTTAGCCGGGTTCGATTTTTTGATGTCTTTTTCTGAATTTTGCAAGATCGACTTGTTGTTCGATTTGCCAGTATCAGATGATGAGTTGACATTGCCACTTCCGGTAGTTGTGATTTGTTGTTGTTGCGCATCCTTGTTGTTGGTGTGGCTCCGAAAGTCCATCTTTTTCCACAAATTCGTAATTTTTCCAATTCCACTACTCTTTCCAGACTTTTCACTCCCAGGAATGCTTTCTTTGCTTTCACCTCCGGTAGAGTAGCGATCCATAGAAAAGGGAGTTTCAGAGCGAAATTTGCTCGATTTTGGGAGAGTGCTGTATCCCTTCAAGTTAGAATCGGTCATTTTGACCTGTTGTCCTAGTCCGAATGAGGAATTGCTCGCTTTGATGTGAATCGGCACGTTGGACCCAGAACTGGAAAAGGTGGAGGTTGCAGAAGGGGTGGTCCTCACAGGGGGCTTGGGTGCGACTTTTGGTCTTTCGGAGGCCGACGAGATGATGGATCCTCCACAATCAGACATTCGAGAGGACGTTCCGTGAATAAGGTTGAGACTGGAATTCGAACTGTTGCGACTACTCAGAGTTTCTCCTCCTTTCTTCCTCATAGGAGAAGTATCCCTGGAACCATTGTTTGCCGCAATTCGTAACTCAGTTGTTCTAGTTGGACGGACGTACACCCCAGAAGAAGTACCGGTAATGGAGCTGGTCGTACTCCGGGCAGGTGATGAGCTCGCTTGCCTTGCAGGTTTTGGAGGTACGGGTGGCGGAGCAGTTTTCTGCTTTCGAACAATCGCACTCGGTGGAAGAGAGCTGTATAGTGGTCTCCGCCGTCCTCGAATCCCTTTCGGGGAGTGACCAGGAGTTGATGTCTGCGAATTACTAGAGTCTGAATCAACAAGAGCAACATTATTCATGTTTTGTGGCTTGATAACTTTGGGACCTCCGACTCTGAAAGTGGCGAATTTCAAGTCTGGGTTTCCATTCGCATCTTGTGTAAATGCCTTCCCCATGTTGACCGGATTGATAGTGTGGGTCCTGTATCGGTCGGGATCATCGCGTCGCTTTTGTCGTGGAGAGGCTCTTGGCGACGACATTGGAGACTTTTTCACCACAAATGTATTATACTTGTTTGTTTCGACAAGTGGATGGACCTCCATTAACGGTTTCGTTTGAGCGTTTGAGGGAGAAACTGTACCAATTGGTATTTTATTACTTGTTGTGATTTCTTTCTCATCGTCCGTCTTTTCTGGTTTAACAATTCCATCCTCACTCAAATCCTCCATCGGAGCGGTTTCAAATTCTTCAATGTCTTCTGCATCTGTGAAATCCTCACTTATGACCGTGTTCCGTCCGTCGCTTAAATCTGTAGACTTTACACCGGATAATCGATTAGCATTTTCCGGGGGAAATATTGTGTACGTATTTGCGCCTATGCTGTTATCTCCTCCTCCTCCTCCTCCTCCCCCTTGCCTGGCTTGATCCTCAACTGCTGATTCAAACACATCATTGGAAGAGGATAATTCATAAATCTCTGACTTGATGCTAGCCACTGAGATCATGCTGTTTTCCATGTCGAAATCCGGTGGTGGTTTTTGTCCAGTTAAGTTAGATATTGAACTGGTGTTTCCCCCATCGACTAACGCCTTCCACTTTTTATTCAGCTTGTCCGATAGGTTGGATGAGGTTTGAGATTTCGGATTAATCTGTAGGTTTCCAGCAACACAATCTGTGGAAGACACCAAGTTGGAAAAGATCGAGGGAGGCTCTACATTATCCAAAAGATCATTTTGAACAGAGGAAGCGACAGAGTAGCAGCTCAAGTTCATGCTGTCGTTCATATTCATTTGCTGTTTAATATTCCCAAGGGAGGAACGAGTTTTGGGTGGAAGCGGAGGTTTGCTGTTCTTGTCTATAGGCAAGGACTCGACATTAATGCTCTCCGCAAGTTTGAAGGCGGTAGAAATAGACATTGATGGAATTGGAGAAGAGAATGTTGGCGTCTCGTCATTCCATTCCGATCCAATAGACATTGTCGAAACCTGGTTTGGGTCCAGAGGTGTTTGTACCGCATCAACTTGATGCGATCCTAGGTCAGAGTTAGATGTGACATTCGACCCATTTGATTCTGATTCATTATTGTTGGAATTTGTTAACGGACTTTCCTCCGAAACACTTGAGAAACATTCTTCCGTTGATTTGCGTTCAGTAGAATCCAACTTGTCCAGTTTTGGACGAGTTTCATGATTAGACGTAAGTGATACATCATTTTTATTGTCTTCTGGTGACAGTGCCACTACTGGTGTTAAATTTTCAGTCTGACCAGTGGCATTATTGTGCTGATTCATAACTACTTTCTCCATGGTGGTAGTGACGATTTTACTTTCATTGTCACCTTGAATTGCTGCTGGTTGAGCATGAGGAGGATTAGATTTAGGAAGTGGTGGTGCCATTGAAGAAGAAGAATTATGCATATTTGTTTTCCCATTTGTCTTTTTACTGCTCCCTTTATTTTTGGACGATGTCTTATCCTTGTCTTTGGTTCGATTACGCCCAATCTGAATGAGAGCAGCCAGGTCGGGATCGTCAAATTCAAAGTCTTGCGACTTGCTGGTCAGCTTTTGTTTTCCTCCAACGTTATTACTGCTCGACATCTTGGGTTGTAGTGGGTTTTTGATTCCTGTTTGTCCAGTGGGAAGGTTTTCATTGTCAGATATTCGAAATTCTGATTGACTCTTGGGAATCCCCATTGCTTTTCCGACTCTAATGCATTTTTCCAGTAGTTGAGCATCACTATAAATTGACTCTTCACCTGTAGTTGTAGTAATAGACTCGTCAAGTTTCTTGGAATTTCCTTCAACTACTTTTCCCATCTCTCCATTTACATTGTGCACACTTTTCTTGTGGGGTTGGCTCTCTGCATTTACGACAGCGAGAGCAGCATTTTCTGCATTTTGAACTTCCGTTGATCTGATTTCTCCAGCTGCAACTTGCTGTTGATTCGGTTTTTGTAGCCGATTAGATTTAGTTGGAATATCACCTCCTGTCGGAGTGTCTTCAATATCCGCCATTAAATCACTCAAAGAAGTTGCGGTAGATACTCCGTAAAATGGGGTTCCTTCCATAGCAAAAACTTTGAGCTCATCGTCAGGAAATGCAGCTCTCTTCACCGGTACAGGCTTGTCACCAGTATTGCCCTCTTCTTCTCCTCCTCCCACGGCACCCGTTGGAGTCTCTTCTGATGTAGAGAGTGGGATTTCTCTTCCCTGTCCGACAGCATCAAGTTTATCTTTTCTAATGATTTCCAGCTCTTCTCCATCCACAGTTAGTGGGCTGAGGCTCCGGCAACTATTGAACCCACTCTTTTCAACCATCGAAACAGAGTAAACTTTTACGTCATCCTCGTCGCAATTTTTGTGTTCCGTTTTGCTTCGTTCTTTTGGCTCTGGTCGGACTCCATTGTTCCTTTCCAAAAATCTCACTGGAGGAACTAACGCTCTCGGCGAATCTGGCAACTCTGATGGGCTCACAACTTCACTTTCTCGTCGACTGTAGTCACTAAGATCGTCATCATTCCGATGTCCACCAACTCCACCAGATTCTCCCTGCCCGACATCCAAACTGTCCAAACTGGCGACGGAACTGCATCTCGAGAACATTAGTGGGGTCTCTTCTGCAGAGAATGTTACTCGAGGCGTATGCGGAAGGCTGCTCCTCTTGCGTGGAATTGGTTGTGGAGGAATTTGAATTGTCAAACTTTGCTGAGAATCGACATGTTTTTCAGGTGACTTTAAATTCTGTTGTTTTTGTTGTTGCTGTTCTGAAGATTCTGCAAAGTCTGCGTTTTCCTCGTGCAACGCTTCATCCGAGGAGTGGATCGAACTAAGTGAGCTAGCTCGTGAAAATGCTGCCGGAGTGTTTTCTACATAATAAGGTTTTACTTCATCGATGGGTTGCAACTTGTTGGCTAGCGAACCAGCAGTCTTGCCAAACCCCCCACCATGACAATCATTAGGATTAGATGATGAAGAAGCTTCAGCTCGTTCAAATTCTAATTCTTGGACGAGATCTTGACATGAATTGGATTTTGAAAATGTTTGTGGGGTTCCTTCATAACAGTAGGTTTTCACCGTGTCATCTGATTTATTATTTCCCCCGGTGTGATGATGATCCTCATCACCGTCATCTTCTGCAAATCTGAGTGAGTAATTAAATGTCGTATCGCCACCACCACCATTCGAGTCGTTCAGGCTGTCCGAATTAGCGCCCCCTTCTCCGCCTCCTCCACCACGACATGATGATGATGCAGAACCAGATGCAGAATAATCTACGGGTTTCGGATCGTGGACGCTAATTTGATGGGTGTTTGGAATTTGAAACAAAATTTCGGGACAACTCCGATTGAAATTATTCGGGTTTGAGTAATTATTTTGCCATCTCGATATTGAAGAAGAATCCAACATATCCGTGCTACGGTCGTGATTTTGATGATTATGGTGATGAACAAGGCCACCAGGATTGGTGTTGTACAACCTGTGAAATGGTTGACCTTGTTGAGATTGAGATCGGTTGCTGAGATGGAATTTATTAGTTTGTCCTCCATCAGCGGGATTCCCTCTCCCCAGTTTATGTTGCTGCTGTTGATGATGATGATTCCCCATGTCGGCGAATTCTGCTGCAGATATGATATGGATGGGGGAAGATTTTGCAGAAGTAATGGTCAAGTCGAGCGGTTCAGTGTCATTGTAATTTATAGTCGATGGCCTATTTCTGTATCCTCCTCCGAGTGGCAATGAAAGGGGTGGATGGTTATGGAATTGGACGACAGGATTTTGAATCCGACTACCAGAATTGGCACTAGACGTTCTTGGTTGAAATAGGCTCGCAGCCGATGACGTAGATTGCTGATGGGCTAGGGGAGGTTCTGGCTGTATAATTCTGGTGTGCGGTTGCTGCTGATTATTGAAAACATTATTTTTCCCTGAAGAAGAATTTCCATTTCCGTGATCATTTTCATTTTGGTTAGAATCCGAACTTTGTGATTTGTGAGCTTGCTGTATGTTCATGTAGCTGCCGCTACGGTCTGAACCAGGTGGAGCAGAGTGATGACCACTGGAAGTAGTTGTATTAGTAGTAGTATAGATTTGTGCACTAAGTCTTGAGTCAAGATTTGGAGTATATTCCTTTGCGAATTTGGACGACAAGAGGTTACGCAAAGCGGTGCTGGATCCTTGTGAAATTCTTTGGTCTTTCGAGTATACCAAACTTTTGAGCATTGGAATTGCATTGAGATCCAATAATTTACGCTGATCTTCCTCGCATTCGGGTCCTCCTGAAAGGCTACACAATGTTCCGCACGCATTGCCAACAACAAGCATGCTGCTTGACTTGAGATGATCCAACAGAATTTCATAGCAATGATTTTCTCTCAGGATTTTCTTCAGGCTGGGAGAAGCACGGAGATGTCCGGAAATATTGCGAAGTATACCTTTAAATCACATAATTTATAATTGAAAGTTATTAGTAATTCATTTTATTAATATTTAAAATTTAATTCCACTGGACTACACCATGTACTATTAATCCTAAGTATAGACGTACCAGACGAGTGTTCGATTATTGTCATTGGATTTTTCATCTCTTTCATCATGGGGTTGTTCAGTTTCATGAGAGAAATTAGAAAGGGTAAAGCGTCGTCAGCTGCCATACTAATGTCCGCCTAAGAACATCAAAATAAAGCCACTTATAAAATCCTTAGTGGTTTAATTATATAGAATGTATGACTTGGATACCATATTTTTAGAAGACTGTGCCGAAAGGTTCCAAACTGCGCCCAGGTTTGCTTTGAGTGTTGTTTCCTTTTGACACTTCATTGCAGCGAGCATTAATTTCGAGCAGGGAGAAACCTCGCTCAAAGCCGCCATTGAAGCGCTGTCCACCCGACATGACAAGTTACGTAAGACACTGAAAATAATCAAGATGTGAGAAATAGTGAGAATCTTAAAGAAAAAAATCTTGAGTGCTTAAATGCAAAAAAAACCTCGTCAATACCTGGCACTAATTTTACAAATGTCTTCGTTGTCACACTCCAACTGGTTCACGAGGCACATTAAAAAATCCTTCATTCCGCAGAGAAGAGCTTTATTCGTTTTGTCATAGACGGTAAGGTTGGTTAGTGCCATGCCGGTATGGCGACGTAAATTTATACAGTCTTCTTTCATATTTTGATAATCATTCCCGTGAATGAGATGGTCCGACTAGAGAAAAATATGTTCAAACATCGTTTATTAACCATTTAAAGAGGACAAGTAAAAGTCATGATGTCCATAATTCGTGTCACCAGGCGACAGTAGAGTTACCTTAATTCGTGAGGGAGCTTTATTTCTAAGGGATCATTATTCGTAACCAAAAATGCCAGTCAAATATGTTACTCCGTGACAACATTTTCACAAAAAATTTTAATTTCTAGCCCGACCCAAGGCTTATGTACCCGTGTTGCCCATCTGTACGATGATAATTCTTTTTAAAATTATCCGATCGACTTGATATTTTCCACACATATAGACCATCCAAATACACAACTCGAGTTCGAAGACTGGTTCGATCGGTCAAGTGGTTGGCCGGTAGGGGTCATATGGGTGTTGGGGTCAAGGGTAACGAAAATTCAAAATTTGCGTGAAAGTTTATAATGACTTGCAATGGAAGAATATAACGTGGAATTGAATAGATTTTTATCTTGAGGTACCCTATAGGGTAAATGTTAATCCTAAGTTATTTCTCGACTCCATACTTCAGCTGATTATATCAATTTTAAGAAATCGGTGTGGACCATCCCCTTAGGGTGACCATATTTTTCCCGACTAAAACCGGGACATATTTTGGCAAACAAATTTTCAATAATATCTAGTGCTTGGCGAAAAAATTTTCAATAATATCTAGTGCTTGGCGAAAAAATTTTCAATAATAACTAGTGCTTGGCGAAAAAATTTTCAATAATATCTAGTGCTTGGCGAAAAAATTTTCAATAATATCTAGTGCTTGGCGATTCGAGTATAACCGAATTTTGAGAAAGAGCTAGGGTAGGAGATTAAGTGAATATTACATGCACGTTACTGGTATTTATGTGCTAAAATCTACTTTTTCATCAATATTTTTTTGCAAAAAGCGGGATAATTTAATTTTTTCCTGAGATTTTGATAAACCGGGACACTTTATCAAAACCGGGACATTTTTGGGACGCCGGGACAGGTTTTGAAAAGCGGGACATGTCCCGGCTAAATCGGGACGGATGGTCACCCTACATCCCCTAGTGTCCCTCTGCAAATTTTTGTTCATATTTAACTTCCTATTATTTCATGAGAAAGCAGTAAAGATCTCTGGTCCTAATTTCAGCTTTCCATGTTAATCCCTGAAAATTGGTGGGGGTCACCCCATAGGGTCCTTCCAGATTCCAATGTATATTCTTCCATGAAGAGCCATAAGAAAACCAAATGCCAAATTTCAGAACGATATGACGATTTTGAAAAATCAGTATGGGTCACCCAATAAGACCCCTCCAGATGAAAATTTTACCAATTTGAGAAAATATTTTTCTTTTAGGACCATAAGCAATCTTTCTACCAAATTTCAGTTCTATATTACGACTTGCAAAATCAGTTGGGGTCCCTCACCATAGGGTTCCTCAAGATGAAAATTTTTCCAACTTGAACTCATTTTTATCTATTAGGAGCCATTAGCAACCTCTGTGCCAAATTTCAGCTTTCTATGACAATTTCGAAATTTTGGTGCATAATACCCACCCACCCAGATGACCCATACGGGTCAACCAGGGGACCGCTTTTGCCTATCTTCGAACTCGGCTCCTAACTTTGTCCAATATGCATCTGGTAAAAATTTCAAGTCAATCGGCCAACTCGTTCCAGAGTTATCTATAAACAGACGGACAGACGGACGGACGAACGGACATGACAATTACAGAAGCCCTGGTTCGGGCTAAATAACAAATGTCGACGTCACGAATTATGGCGAATTTGCCTGAGAACGACAAACGTCTACGTCACGAATTACATTTACATTTACAATATAGTTTTTCGAATTTTGTCAGCAACTTCTTACCACTGTAAGATCAGCCAGAGCATGAATCGCTCCTAGAAGACACATTGTGAAACGATGCTGTTCGTCATAGGACGACCTCATTATTGCTGCTAGACTGGTCGTTGGATGCTGAATATTTTCCGAGGACGCAGTCGTAGCTCGCTTTTCTTCAGAATCCTGTTCTTGCTCCGCATCACTCTTCTGCTTCTTCAGCAGCCCTTTCACAGCTGGAATAACAAAACCCAAGTTAATTTCACTCGTCGCCAAATATATCACACAATCATCTCTGCTTTCCTCTACCTTCCGTGAAGAGGCGAATCCCCTCCAAATGTCTCAAAACTCGAAGCTCTTTCTTTTTCTCTTTCTCGTCCGGATTGAATTGTACAATGTTTTTGAGCGCTCGTGCAGCTCTGACTTGAATAATTTCTGGAGGATGCATCCCCTCCGTCTCTCTCGGGGGATGAATCAACTCCACGAGCAAAGGAATGCATCCAGCTCTACGAATGTATTAAATTTTATATTCACAATCTCTTTTGTAGATACATGCCAAAGGAGAGCTCTAAGAATCTCACCTGCGAAGGGTTAAACAGCTCTCCGGAGTATTGGCCATGCTTAACAAGAGCATCCTCTGGTTGTCTGCGGCTCCATAGTCATTTCTGGAAGAGGATGTTGAAGGGCTAGTATCCCCCGGGTCATATGAAGTGTCCTCCACACCTAAAGTCAACATTGATAACATGTTCACCACTGTTTCATGAGTCTTGTTCTTTTGATGGTCGGTCTTCTTATGCTGTGAAGAGACTTGATGATGTACTTGCCCGTCCCCTAGATAAATATAATTAATTATCAATATATTTTAGCACTTAACCCACATAATAATTGCACTACGTACCAGCCCCGCCACCGCTGTTTGAAGGACTGTACTGTCCACTTTGCCAAGAATGAGCTGGCACTGGTGGTGGGTGACCTCCACCCCCTCCACTGAAAGAAGCCATGAGATAATCAGTCGCCAATTGGTCTCCCCATCAAACTCTAGGAGTTTATACTCATGATCTCCATGATATCCAGTAAACTGCAAATAATGGAGCGATTGTATTTAGAATTAGTCAAAAATCTAACTTATTAAAATTCATTAAATAAAGAACAAATATAATTATATGAATTATAGTGTGTTTTTGATGCTAAATGTAAACAAACCCACCTTTTTGTTTGTTTACTTGTCTTTTACTCTCTTTTAACTAACAAATCGCTACTAAATTATAATTTTCTGTTGAAAATATACTTTATCGATTGACTAGTCCTCTTCCAGCTCGTTTGTGTACAATAAATCTGAGCTAAACTCACATCAACACTTCACCAAAACATCGGATCGGGGAAAAGGATTCGGAAATGATGGCGAGTGGCGACTCTGATGGAAAATCTGCTGATGCGGCTATTTAATACTCGTCTCATTCTCATGCAGTCCGCGAACCTGCTGCGGTGGAATTCTGCTGCTGGGTTTTTTTTTACAGGGCACTTTATGAAAATCGGTTAAATATAGTTTAATTTTCATTAATTAAGAGTTAAAATTTCGGAGATAAGAGGATAACTGGTAAGTAATTCATTGAGTCTCTACTCTCTAACCAACTTCTGTTGTAATTAGTTTGAATGGGACATTTCCGTATTTATGAAACCTCATTTTGGTCATAGTCATATTTACAAAATTACTGCATTTCTTCAAATTCAGATAATTTGTGGAACTTCGTGGACAGCGGAAATTGAAAATCTACACGAAAGTGGAAACCTTGTTATTGCGTACGTTAAAGTCAAGCTAATTATTAGAAACTTATCAATTAATCTGTTAGTGATGACATTTTATATTTACAGGATTTTAAAAATGAGTCTGACGGTGCGAACATTTAGCTGTTACTTGTTACGGAAGAGTTCAAGACAATTATCAAGCCGGTTTCTATCTACGTCGTCTATATCATCTCAATCACAGTTTTCTTCTCCGTCCAAGTCGCAACTTTCTAATCAACAAAGCAGTCTACCCCCACTGGCCCCAGAAAAATGGGATTTATATGCTGGAGTCGTTCTAGAAAGAAAGCCTGTCCTCACACCGGAAATGACACCCCTAGAGAAAGAATATTCCACCCTTTTGTCGAAATACGAGTTTGAGCTGAGCAAAAAAAGTAGTCACGAAGTTAGGAAGGAGAAAGACTCGTACGTAACTAAATATATTTGATAATTAATTGGACTGATGGTTGTGAATTGATTTCTGATATTAATTTGTAATGATGTACAGGAAAACTATTGAGAAAATCAAATCCGGTGAAATTGACGTTGATCAAGCTGCCTCAATCACTGCACAAGATGAGGAAGACTTATGGCTGGCTGAACTCAACCAATTTAAGTTTTCTAGCCGAAAAACTGGTTAGAAATTTAATATTTATTTTCCTCAATATCATGAGTCCAAGTTTGTGTTGATGTTTGATTTCCAAACGTCCCAGACGCGGATAAGAACAATGACCAAAAATCTTTACAACGAGCTTTGGATTCTCACCTGCTTTTGCTGATTGAGCAGAAATTAGGCAACGACTATAAGTGGATTTGTCCTCAAGGAATATGGCGAGATGGAGAAACAATGCGACAAGTAATACCACTAGATATTTATTTCTTTATTACCATTAGCTAACATATCTTTGTGATTATTTTATAGACCGCTGATCGAGTACTGAAAGAAGTTTGTCCTGAAATCAAGGCCAAAGTGTTAGGAAATGCACCGTGGGGATTTTACAAATATAAGTACCCTAAACGCTCTGTAACATCTCAACATCTTTCATCAGTTGGAGCTAAAGTGAGTGCCATCATATTTACTAAAAAAATGTCCTTATTATTTAGTCATTGCATATATATTTTTGCAGATCTTCTTTTTCAAAGCTCAAGTCATCTCGGGAGAAATCCAAAATAAAACGAAATCAAAGGATAAGACGACCGAATACAAAGACCTAGCCTGGCTTACTAGGGAGGAATTGATATCAAAATTACAGCCAGAGTATCACAAACAGATTAGCGAGTTCTTAATTGACGAAGAAAATTAGACTCGATTCGTCGTTATCATACAAAGTTTGCGTTGGATAGGCATTTGTTTATATTTAACGATAATAATAGAAGTTTATTAAGATATTACGTGATTTGTATTTTCCTGAGACATGAAAATAGTAATAATACGAAGTTTGAATAAACGTACCTTTCCAATTAACTCACAAATGTTCCTGTACGTTCTCACATGATATTACTCCCAACTTTATATGTACCGATTGTGCAGATGCACCGGCTCGGAAATCATCAAATAACCTTCCCGGTTTCAAAAATTGTTACCGTGTCCTTCGAATAATTTATGACCGTCTTAAGTCGCAATTTTTTAAAGAAATCAGTGCCAAGTATATTGATTTCCTCAAAGTGGCCGCGGGAGAGATTACATATTGTTACCGCTGATGGCGTGTGAATGTAAATATGCATCGCTTGCAGGACTTCACATTCGGGCGCGATGGCTTTCATGGCCTTGTAAGATAAAAATGTGTTTGGCGATCCACCGTCGATTAAAAAGATAACATTGACAAACCGTGTTAAATTTCTACTACAGATCAAATTTATCATCTGCCTGCTATTTCGACCATACACTATTCCTTTGACAGGGTAGGAGGTGGAAAAGCCGTTTGCATGACTCAGGTACTCGGGTTTAAGAGTTGACAATATTTTATGTTATTCTAATCCTCATAAATCACATAGTGGCGAAACTGATGAACTCGGTGGGGTAAAAAGTTCACGAGCTTTGGTGGGAATTTTGAATTTTTTGCAAAAAACTGCAAAATTCATCTGGAGTTGTTTATGTTTTTAGTGGTTTCCAATGGGAAAAGTATGTGTGGTGGTGGCTTCCCGGCACACATACTCTATGACGAGATGAGACGAATCAGGAAAAATTGCAAAATGTTTTTCTTGTAATTCCAAAACCGAGATTAAATGTACACTAAAAAATGTGAGATTTGTTGGATTAAAACTAGTGATAGTTGCGCAACAAGAAAATAAGGCCCTTGAAGGAATTGATATGCTACTTTTATTTATATTAATCGACGAATGTCAAGTTTCGTCTAAATTTTGCTTTCCTCGAGATTCGATGATTAATATAAATACAAGTAGCTTATCAATTCCTTCAAGGGCCGTATCTTATTGTTGTGCAACAACTACTAGTTATAATCCAACATACTTCACATTTTTGAGTGTACATTTAATCTCGGTTTTCGAATTACAAGATCAAAAACCTGTGCAAAAAATAATGCATGGGGTAACATACGGGAGAAATATTGAGCGAGGGACTGTATTGGCTGATAGAGCGGCCAGAGCAAACTATAATGCCCCGTTAAGCACGATGCGTCCTATGTCTATTAAGAATGCATATACGTTGAAAAAATCTCATAACTAAAAGACAGAGACGACGGTTGCGTCTCCTTGTGTGCCGAGAGATTTTTTGCTAATGAGGGGGGGGGGCGGGGCGAAGAGAGCAGCTGATTTTCATGTAAACAATGCAGGCAGTTGCATATAAAAAGTTGCTTTGGGTTTTGGGAGTGACCGTTCCCACTCTCCAAACGGGGCATCGCGAACCAGAAAAGGAGAAAAATTTCGACTAAAACTTCTAATTTGCAGCTAATACAAAATGGATTGATTTCGTTTTGGTGGCAATAAATTCCCAAGTTTGTGCTTTACAATTGCCATGTTGCATAAATTCCATAATAAATCTCAGAAAAGTATTGAACTGAAACATGGACTCATATCATGTTTCAGTCCAATACTTTTCACCGAGATTTATTATGGAATTTATGCAACATGGCAATTGTAAAGCACAAACTTGGGAATTTATTGCCACCAAAACGAAATCAATCCATTTTGTATTAGCTGCAAATTAGAAGTCTTAGTGACAAAAATCATTTACATTACTGGTAAGTGGCGAGGAGAAAAAGTCAACTCGCTCACTAGGATGCCCAGACTGTTCCCTAACTCAAACTTTAAATTGTCTTCTTTGAGATCTGAAATCCAAATGTCTTGAATCCGGGGGTCTATATCGTCCGGGGAATCCAAGAGCAAATTTTCAGCCATTGTCATAGGTTTGTGGAGTCGCTTCTCAACACTGCCGAAATTCTTTCTCGGCTTGTTGTATGGCAGGGAGGCGTCAGGGTCGAATTTCGACATGGTCTGGCTCGCGTGTAAACACCGGAACAAACATTTTGCCACCTAGGCAGGATTGCAGGAACATTTTATATATTGATTACGCAAAAAGGCTAATAGATAATTACAATACTAATCCAAAGACTTACATCGGCACTCACACGAGCGAAGATAGTCATAATTGCAATTCAACTTGTTACATACTTTGAATTGCAAACGGCGACAGCCAAGAACAAGACAATTTTTTTGGAGTGGTCTAATTCTGGATTGACTCAAAATATTATAGGGGCAAGGCATGGGCAAGGCTGAAGGATTGGATCGAAATTTTCCATTCGAAAATGAAACTGATGGAAGTTTTACGAGATTCCAATTTTATTTATATTTTGAATTGAAAGTCTGAAGAACTTATTCTTAAAATTCTTAAAATATAAACCGTACATACATTTGGTACAACTTTAGAGGAGACTCTCTTCTAAAGTTTTCTCCTCAGGAGAGAAATGAGAAAATTTCATTGTCTCTCATTTCATTTTCATGAAATGAAATGGAAAACATAAATAATTTCTCACGTGTTGATCTCCAAACGCCCAAGATTTTTAATGCCAAACGGTCTCAGCGCTCAGGAAGGGAATATATTAATTTTATCAGTGTCAAATTGCATCCCGGAGGATTACGCTGTCTATCTTAATGTTACGAATTCGTAATATTACGAATTAGGTTCTTGCCGAAAAGCTAACAAAGATTTATGAGAATTTTATGCGAACCCTATAAACTCCGTTTCACAATGTGAAATTCACATTACATGAGATCACAACATGGAGTACATTAGTCGAATGAGCCGAATTATTTTATTATTTTACACCATTTATTTTTATTTTGGCGTAAAAATCATACGAAATTGAGTAATTTAAACGCCAAAATAAAATAAACTGGTGTCAAAATCAATTGAATGCAAAATATTAACCACTATTTTAATTGTCCATTGTATATTACATTTTTAAACACATAGGAAAATTATTCCCTAGCCTCAAATTTGTCGATATCTTATTATCTTCACTTTACCCTCAGAATTTTACAATTGTGTTAACTTGCACTAAATACATAAGCACGGTTCGCTAAATGCATACACATTTTTTAGTAGTTCTCACGAGCCAAATTCATACCGACATGCAATATGCATTTTCTTATGCAATCTATATACAAAACGAACAAAGTGCTTGTACTTTTATAAGTATGGATTTATGGCTTATTGCAAATTCACATATTCACACAACGCTTATACACAAATAAAACAACTATTGGGTGAAAAATTGTTAATTCTTCAAAGGAAATGACTCTTAAACATATATCATGAACATGTGAATATTGGGTCTTGAGTCAGTCATCATCAGTAGTAATAACTGAATTACAATTACAAACTTCACACAACTTGCAATTGTTCATCCATACGTTGTACCAAGAAGATTGCAAATATCGCAATTCCATGTAATATTCATGACTCAAGCAACAAACTGCACCTCTATTCATCCCAATCCTACTTCTATTACTGCATGATGACGGCGAGGAATATCTTTCTTTTACATGATGGTGAGAAACTGTAGCAATCTCAGTTGGCGTTTTTGCTCTGCTTTGACAAGGTGATGGTTATAAGAGAGAGAAACGTAACGCATATATTTTGCTGGTGCTAAAGAAAGGTCACGGTTCACAAAGTTTCCCCTGGGGCAGGTATCTAGTTACATGTTGGCAGTGTGTGTGTGCAGTAGCGTGTACTACCTGTCGGTCTCTCTGCCTATGAATATTCCTTCGTAGCATACCTTCACTTACCGGAGAGCAATAAGCTTATTTATAAACGTAGCCAATTGACTACTCCACTTTTTGCACCGTTTCATATTACAGCATCAGGTAGTCAGATTATGCAGTAGTTGTGTGCTGTCGAGTAACTCCGAGTGGTTCACCTGTTTGTTTTGCGAAAAATTTAGTGCGAATTTTCTTTAATATTATGGTATTGTGATTGTGATATCGTAATGTCGCAAGAAATGAGTCTCATGGAACTTACGCCACGAGGCAGTAGAGATTTGGGCAACAACCACCAATATCGGAAAAAGAACCATGTAGCTCCAATAATGGGGGGATCTCATGATAAGTCTCGAGATCATCACCATGCTACGAGTCACTTGTTGCTGGAGGCTGCACGAAACGGAAGTCCGCACGAGTTGGAAGCTCTTTTAAGGGATGGGGTCAACCCAAACGTGGTTGATGGGGAGGGGAGGAGTCCTTTGCATCTGGTTTTGGCGACAGGTTAGCTCAAATAAATAATATTTGTGACGCATACTTTAAATTCGTAATTATGTATTATGTACTGAACAGGATGCACTTGTGACGTTTGCGTCAGAGATGCCGAAGCGTGCCTTGTACTCCTTCTCAGTTCTAATGGAGTAGATGTCAATCTTCAAGACGAAGTTGGAAATACAGGTCTGCATATTGCGATAGATAACCAATTATCAAAATGTGCACAGATGTTGATCTCATACGGGGCGGATGTCAGTCTCAGGTTAGATTTAAACAATTTAGTAAATAAATTCGCAAATTATTAAACCAAAAATACTATTTTGATTAGGAATGACCAGGGTGAAAACGTAGTACAACTCATGGCCAAGAAAATGCCTCAATGTCTCCTACATTTGCTCAACGAGTCCATTTACATTGATCAATATGATCCCCACCATGAGAAATGCGTGGTCAAGATGGATCTCGGGCCTTTACTTGGTCACTCTTCTTTTTCACGGTCACCAAAACTTTCCTCAACGACAGTAGACAAGGATCGTCCCAAGAAAAAATCGACCAAAAACGAAGATGGCGAAATGACGCTTCTCGTAGGACTTCTTGAAAGTCAGCGAGTTTCTCGTGAACCAATTTTTACCCATCCACTCGTTCAAGTCCTTCTGCACTTTAAGTGGAAACGAGTGCGGAGCGTCTTTTGGACATCGTTTATCGTTTATGTGAGTCAATTTTTCGCATTAATTTCTGAAAAGTTTTCATGATATTTTTTTGATTTTAGATGTTGTGGGTGATCTTGTACACAAGTTATGTTCTGCAAGTTTATGTGTTTTCCTGTCCCTGTCAAATGTTCAAACGACCTTCGACCCTCAGAACGAATAAGGGGCCTACTCAAGATGGGCACGAATTTGGCAACGACACGCCGGACAACCTGACCAGATGTGAAATTGAGACTGGGCTAAGTCTCAAAGTGATTCTTATCATCGTGTCTACTTTCCTCCTTCTACTCACTGAATTGGGACGCTTAATAATAACGCCACGGGTTTACGTCAGTTCTTGGCTCAATCTCGGACACTGGACACTCATCGGGTGCGTGTTTGCTACGACAATACCCAACTTGCAGGCACAGACGTCGATAAGTAATTTGCAGTATCAAGTTGCAGCTGTGAGTGTCACAATATACATAAATTTTATAATATGCAAAATGTAAATGAAAATTGTACAATTTTTTTCCAGTTCACCGTGTTTTTCGCTTGGGTGTTGGTCCTCCCACAAATTGGACGATTGCCTTCTTTGGCGAAATATGTTGAAATATTTGGACATGTCAGTCATAAAATTATTAGTAATTAGTCAAATGCTACTGGGTATTTCTAATTACTTTTAAACATGCATACATTTACATATAGGTCGTAAAATGCTTCGGATCCTTCATTCTTACGTTTGCCTCACTTTTCATGGGATTCGCTCTAGGTTTCTCCATCCTCTTTTTTGGAGTGAGCAATTACATATTTAAAACTATTCAATAGTTCTGAATTTACTGTGTACGTATAACTAACACTTATCTTATATTTTAAGGATGACATGTCCCCATTTGCCAACTTTTTCCACTCTACCGTGAAGGTGCTGGTAATGATGGTTGGCGAAGTGGACTATATGACCACATTTTATGATGATAATAATAATGCCCAGTACCAACAGCCTGTCATGGGTCACTTACTTTACGCAACGTTCGTCATCCTCGTTTGCATAATTCTCATGAATTTGTTTGTGGGGTTGACTGTGAGCGATATTCAGGTAACAAATTTACTATCATACCAAAATTGTGGACGGTACTAATGTACAGTTTTTCTTAGATGCTCGAACGTAAGGCCGAATTTTCTCGAACGTGTCGCCTTATCGCAGAAATCTTTCAATTTGAGTCCGTCATCTTGTCGAAACGGATGCCCAAAATCATTCGAAAATTTTTGAAGCGACTATTCCTACTTAATGAGTAAGACACAATGAATTAATTATTAATTGTTCCTAATTACACCCTCTATTTATATATGTAGGTCGACCCACTCGTTCAGACCAAACGACCCCAAAGACTCTACTCTACCAGGCCCCCTGTCCCACGACGTTCTGGTCCTGGCAGAAAACTCTTTTCGGAAGGCGAGGTCTCAACGATGTTTCCGAGGAACTAATAATCACCACCACCACATGGAACCAGAGTTGGTTGAAATTCAAACATATTTCCCTAGCATGGATAAGCAGCCCCAGCATGGTAGCCCCCCACACAGCACGACCTCCTCCTCCTCACCCTCTTCCCAATCCTCCTCCCCTTTGGAGACCAATAGTCTTGACCTGGACGTGAACCAGGCACACTCACGTGGCCCGTTCCGACCCTGGGCATCTTGCATGGATCACACAAATTATCATGCCTGACACCACCGTTTATCATTTATAGATATTTTATTTAGATAGATGCGTGTTCATTAATTACACTTTAAGTTTGGTATGTGCACACCAGCAGAAGCAGATAATAAATTATATACAAATTAACATAATGCCTTAATTACAGGAAGAAACTTGGAACAAACAACCACAAAAGTTCTTGAATAGCAGAAATCGTCAATTAACATCACTTCATCTGAGTAATTACTCCATGTCATCATCAATCATAGCTGCTTGTTCAATGAACCGCTTATAAATGGCCATAAACTTTGCGATAAACTCTTCAATATGAAATATTGGTTTGTTCCCACGCGTCGCTCTCCATTGACATGTCGCTGCTTCTGAACATATCTCTGCTTTCAACTGGTTATCACAGTTGCGAACAAGTTCCTTCAACAAGCCTTTAAAAATAAGGTCGGTAGGGATGCAGTGACAGAGCAGTTCGTAAATGTTCTCTCGGACTTGGAGTAATCGTTCGGGAGTTTGTTCATGGACAATGAGCAGAGCAGTTTCTTTCAAATACTTTTCCCAGTCTGGCTGCACGAGGTTTTGATCTTCAGCGAAGGGGTATCGTTCTGCACGGCAGGCTTCCAACATTAAAATTGCACGGCGCAAATTTCCTTGAGATGCTTCAGCAATTCGATCAGCAAGTTTAAGCGGAAGAGTGATTCCTTCCTTCTTTGAAACGTTCTATGAGAAAGTAAAAAGTGCAGAATGATAACTAGATAAATTAAAATGTCAATTCACTTAGCAGATCGAATTTAAGGTTACCTGCAGTCCTCTGACAATCTGAGTATCGGACGGAGCAGCGACACGAATGGGCAAACATCGACTTTGAATGGCAGGCGTGACTCGGGATGTCGACAGGGCACAAAGAATCAGACGACAAGAAGAAATATATTTTTCCATAGTTCTTCGTAACGCGTCTTGTGCATCTTTTGAGAGACGGTCGACTTCTTGTAGTACAATTACTGCAATATTTATTAATAATTAATTTTCTGGATTTATAATAAAATATAATTCAATATTTGATTCAATTTATCACCTTTAAATGGATGTTGGTCTAAAGGGTGCGTTTCTGCAACGGTCTTAATTAATTCTTGAATCACGACTCGGTCCTGAATTCCGACGTCGCTGGGATTTACTTCGATATGATAGTTACTGGAGTATGTTGAGATTTCAATTTTCTTTTTTGATGGGGTCTGGAAAATCATTTACTCCAATTCAATCATTCAATGTCCAACTTATTTAATGTCTTTCATGGTTTTTGTAATACCTCAAAAACTTGCTTCTGAATTCTGACCCGATCAACTCCAGAACCATACAATTCCCTCAATATGCAAGATATCCTCGTCCTTTTGCCAGCACCTGAAATTATCCAAATCAGATAATTAGTTACAAATTTAACCAACTGTGAACTGCTTTTGTCTAAATCTCTAAAAAATAATTCCACTACAAACCTGATGGACCGTACACCAACAAATGCGGAAAGTCCTCCGATTTCACCTGCATCACAAAATATACACGAAAAATGAGCAAACAGTCATTACAATTCATTCTAAATTGTTAATTACAAATTAATCTTGATACTTACCAAATTTTTTAAACTTTGTGCCATTTCGAGATGATAATCCAACTCTTCCAGCGCCTTTGGCCTGTACTTATCCACCCAAAGAGCCATTTTCACTTATCTTCAGAGTTAATAATAGATACGCAAAATACAAATCAAGTAATTTTAAAATTACAACGAAAACGTGTTGTTAGACCGGTGTGTGAGTGAAAGAAAGAAGACAGAATACGTATGTGCTTTAGCTGGAGGGAACTGGCTTGCATCCCGCTCGTAAAAGTCTCACACTTTTGAGACGACTTTCACTTTGCAATTTGGAGCAAATGATGATTAGCAAATTTAAAAAAATACGGTAAAATTTAGGTTTAAGTATCGAATTTTCCAACTATAAATGTCCTTCAAAAGAACTTAACAAAATAGTCCTAAAATATATTTAGTCTGGTAAATCTCGTATTTATTACTTCTCAGTAAGTATGTTCATGTAAGTACATAGCTGCATTAGTTGCCAACTTATGTTTAAGAGCAATCTTATTCGAGAAATGATTATTTTCGAATTTTGTTCATGATAGGAATATTTTCATAATACTTTCTCCAACTTATACAACGAATTTTTCCAATCTTTAAACTTATGATATAATATTATACATCATTTTATGTCAACTTACGGCGTACAAATTTATCAATGCATGGCAAACCATTTATATATTAAACATCTCCGCAAATGAGATTTATGTTGTAACGGAAATGCTTTAGAAGATATTTAGAGCATCGCCACCACCACAATTATAATTTTCAAATTAGTCTCGTGAGACAATCGTTATTGGATCTCATCGTCGGAACAGTCTCAATTTAGTTAGATCGTGCCGTGACATAGGAATGTGCATAATTTTAATACGTAAAGTTTTATCAGGTTGATTTTACGTGTCCCTGAATTAAGTAGTTTTTTGACATGAGAAGTTGCCTACTACATACATCTTTTACAATCTAAACAAATAACAAAGCAGCTAAATATATACGAGGTAATTGTCTGCGTATTACGTTTAAATTTTTAATTCCGCATTTTAAAAGTGTCTATAATTCAATTCTACATAAAAGTCCTGGAAATTTTCTCCCCGGAAATGTAATTAGTTCCAACCTACTACTAATAATGTAGTAGTAATGCATAATCGAAGGATTTAATTTTCAACTTTTATTTAATAAAAGCTCCTACCACGCAGTTTCCAGACCTTGGCCATGTAAATAAATACGAGGAATAATAAAAATAATAATAACCGCATGAAATAAAAATGTGACACGTAATTCTTCTTTTGGAACGACGGGATACAATGAACTGTTGAAGGATTCAAATTTGACGTTTAACTAATTTTAAAAGAACTTGATTTTCAGACAATAGAAATCGTGAAGACATTGCAGAAAAGACGCGGTTACAGTTAAGGACGAACCCCAATGGCAATTTTAACAAATTTGCCAAAAATACATACAAACTAATAAATGTTTTCACACTCCATGCGATTCAGATTCAATACTCTCGGCGGAAACGGTTTGCCAAGCAATAACAAGTCGTGACTTATCTCGTCCCTTTGGCAAGTGTTATCCGATCGATAACAAATATTTATGTATAACCTTTCTCTCACTCATTTAACTAGATACTCAATAATTACAGTGTCCCCTTGAATGTCTCAATCATATCGATCCTACCATAATTAATGACCTCAATGTTTCATTCAATCTTGCCAGAAATCAATTATCAGTTATCAAATCTATCATATACACACATGTAATACGTGCATTTTTTTTACACCATTCACAAATAATCCCATGTTTCCTACCACTTCGTTTTTTTTGGTACAACGAATTAAGACAGGTTTAGATACTCCTTGCTCTTCCTTTTATCGGGATGTTTAAAAAATCCTGTTATTTCATTATCCATCACTCACTCACTACACCACAAAACATGGCGATTCAACTCCCATAAAGTCTTCTTGATTGTATTTCCCGATTTTTTTCTCACGAGTACAAGTTGCATTACATTACAGAATTCTCATCATCTCCTCATCTCAAAAGGTGCACAGAGGTAAGTAAGCAATCTAAAATCTCGACTACCCGAGAAGAGATGCATAAATGCTGCATTATTTAGAAACCATCCACCCAATCTAGCACTGATTCATTCGATTCATGTAACGTAATGAGTGAAGGAATTGGACTTGAACTAACTCTTCAAGAAGTCAAGAAAGGGTTGAGATTTGTCTTAATATGTGAGTGCACACGGGCAAAAAACGTAAATGACTCCGCATAAGTAACTCCTCCAGCAGAGAAACGGCTTCTTAACACATATGTATTTGTAAGTAGCAGATGAGGATACATACACAGAGGAAAAAGGAAGTGGTAACATAGGAGAATGTCAACTTTTTTCTAACAAGTCGACCAACCCTCCTCCCAAGAGCCGTCAGTTTCAGTGTGGGAGGTGAGTTGTAAAGACGCCTTATTGCAAAGAAGCATACACAACTTGCATACACATCTTTTCATCTTTTTTTCCCTTAGTTATTTAGCTGCATAAAGTACGGAATAAATTCACCCCAACAAAAGAATTAAGTTCATCCGAGTGCTGATCTTTTCGAGTCATCTCATTAATTTTGAGCAGAATCTTGTTCAAGTGAAAAGCAATCTTAACAGAATTTGGCAGGTAAGAGAAGATATTGTTTTTTTCGCTACTCGTACTTATGTACAACAATACTCTTAATTATAAACCTGACAATTTAACTGACTCGTATATTTCAAATTTTCTTATTGATTGTAACCCACCGACAAATTAATTGCGTGTAACGGGACTCTCTTTATACATATGTATTCACTCATTAACACGCATTTGCATTCATTTTTGAACGAAATGGAATAATTATTAGCATTCTCCGATAGGTATGTAGGCTGCATTCTCGTTGAGAATCAAGCCAATAATGAACTGAATTAGTAAAGCATTTTTGGTAGCAAATGCTCAGAAAAGTATAACTTTGGTGGATCTCACAAGCATTGTAAATTATTTAAAAGTCTTCTTAGCTCATTACACTATCAGGTTACATATGTAAGAAGACGGATAAGTTAACCATTGTGCAGTTTGCTTCCCACGGATGAGTCAGTAGTAAATGAAGCGTCGAAAATGAATTTACAAGGATTGTTCTCTACTTTTTGTGGCCCATTTTACGAGTCTCTTCATGTGTGACATTTTCCTATGCATTAAGTAAGAATGCATATCTAGGGGTACGCTTACTCCCCTTATTTCACTAAATATTTACATCATCAGCTTCATTTCATATCGCCCATGATGACATGTTGTCAGGCACAAGTCATATTAGATAAATACCAACTTTTCCTAAGTAATCAATCAACAAAATGTCAAGGAAGAAGATGAGCACAGTTAGTCTTGCACCAATTATGAGACATCCAAACCGAGAGAAAGCGTGGTAAAATTTACAAGTTTTCATCATAAAAGAAGATCAACTTAATTGAATCCATTATTACATCATACTTCAAACTTTTGGCAAAAAGTCGGGACAGAAAATACATAAATATCTTCTTCCATAGACTCACTCGCCATTTGTTGTGAAACTGAAATTAGCATTTTAATTAAAGTCAAAGTATGCACATTTTTTTTCAAGTAAAACTGTTATTAGCCTGCTCTAACAACATAATGAAAGCAATCATGACAAAATTTTCGTAACTTTTGGGCGTGGGAGTATTTTTTAATGATGCGATTTTAGACACCAAAAATGTGCTTTATCTTGGAATAAGTACACAGGAAAAAAATTCTCATACGAACAAATTACACATCTCTGCTGCTACTTTGCTTGCACATAGATAATCAAGTCGCAAGTAATAATTTTTTGTATAAGCCGATTCGTCTCATAGAATCATAATCACTAATCATCATTACGTAGATGAGCAACAAGTGAAAGCTCGGCGTGAGTTTAGTTTTATTATATTTTGTAATTTTTGTCTACAATTATTTTCGCATAAAAAAGGACTACGAACGACCAACCACTCTTATTTGCTTTATGAATTGACACAAGACACACTATGACCAATATTTGCATGACCGATTTACATAATTCATCAAACCAAACTCACCAGCCAACTAAAAGTAATTGGGAATTCATTCGATCCAGGCACAGAAAGCGAGTGTGTTAATGATAATTGCAACTATTACAATAACAAAATTTGCAAATCATACGTGCAAACAGGCAAAGTTTGTGTTTTTCGTCATAATTAGCAATTACATGTTGCAGGCAGTTTGTATTTATTTACTTTAACGTTCGTCATTTATATATTTTCACACCCAGGAAATACCATTTTTTTCTCCACTTTAAAGCATGACTCGTGGTCAACATTCTTGATGTTGACCTAATCTACACATCCGGGCGGAGAATATATAATAGTAAAAAAGTGTGAAAAAGCAGTTATGCATTATTACCGAAAGAATCGTAAACTTGCAAGAAAATATGCCCAGCAAAGAAGCGATGAAATTTAATTCTGAGAAAAAAATCACGTCTGTGCGATAATAAATGTCGCCGCAAATCTTAAACGGAACGGAATTAGCATAGTTATAATTCGCACATACATACGCACGTCGTCCAACTATGGGCGGATTTCTCGGGAGACCGAACCATGCTAATTTTCCCGTGTCGTTTATTATCAAAATTTCGAATAAAGTTGGGGAGCTGTCAATAAAGGGGACAGGTGTTATTTAGTCGGGCTTTTAAAACATGCAATAAAATTGTCATAATTTATTATTTATTATGCTGCGAGCTAGCCTAGTATTAAATAGCAGTGTGAGATATTTAGCTGATGCATATTTTAAAAAGATGAAGGATGAGTTGCACTTTTGTTTAAAAGTTACTTCTAACGGCTTTCTTCTCCTACAGAGCAATGTTAATGGAGCCAATTTAAAAGTAATTACACTTTATTGAATGGTGTGTGAAATGAAAAACTATTCGCAAAAATATTTTCCATCAATTATTTATTATCTTCCCTGACCAGGTTCAATTCAAAGTAAATTTTGTAATTAAAAAAGTGTGCACCTTGCCAAAAAATTTAATGCATACATAAATCTTGCACAATGTGATGCATTTTTGTTAATTTTTGCTTTTGAGAGTTCAATGTTAAATTGTTTTCTACGGGTCAGTTACACGTTATAATGATTAACAAAATAATATGTATCTTGATTCTCACAAATTCGTAAAATATGTAATATTTAGAAAATCAATATTTACCAATTGTCAATCAAAAATTTTGCTGTCAGTCGTACTTTTTTTTATTCCCTATTTGTTTATCACAAATCACAACCAACCTTCTTCTTCTTCCTCACTTATTTTTTATCGTTTCTTCGCCTCATTGGTTGGTTGGATTGGTTGATTGATGAATAAAATGATCCACTTTTTCCATTGTCATTCAAATCATAAATATTAAAGCAAATTGTACCTGCCTGCCCATATACAGCGAGGAGCAAGTCCAAATCTGAAATCGGTTTAGAATTTGTAATTGCTGATTTAAAAGTGATTGCTGACTTGAAAATGTATTTTATATTATCGATTTCCGATTCAGACTTTGATTAAGGTTCGTCCTATTTGGCTTGACTGGGGAGAAAATGATCTTCATGATTAATTCCGACCATATTCATAAATAATCCTGGCAGTGGTAATAATAATGCTTTCGTAAGTACATATGTACGAAGGAAGACGGTGCTATATTGATGGATGGTAAAATTAACATGATTAATAACGGGGTCGAGGTGCCATGTTAAGTAAGAGTCACCTTGTCATGCCTTGTTTGAGCTTCTTCATTTTAATTTAATCCACCACAACGGGTTTAAAAAACCAGCAAGTGGCATTTATTTTATGTCCTGTCAACCTGTTGATCAGCTATGAAAATCAACACCTGCCGCATGCAGCTTAAAACAATTGATGTCATTGTACAAATTAAAAGTTGGGAATGCATTTTATTTTCTGTGTGAATGGTGCAAATCCGGCCTACAATTTTTAATTTTTTGTATTTATTTTTCTTCTTGAAATCGTTTCCTTCCCTGAGAAAACAATTAACTGTTTTGTGTGTGTATTACATATTATTTAGCAGTGTTATTACGGAAGGAAATGCGATTGTGCAACCTTGTCGTGAGATTGTGGGTGGGTGGGTGTTCTTGCATTATTAATCTATTTAGTTTATGTGTGGAAGAAGAAGATGACAGCCAGCCAGGCAGCATTATTACATAAGAAATAATACGAGATGCGGTTATTCAGTTATTTATTTTTCTTATTAAATAAACCGATGATACTCGTGAGAATGGGAAACAACGAAATTATTATTTTCAATCTTAATTCTTTCTTTGACCAAAAAATAGTTGTGAATTGAATTGGAAATTATTTAATACTTGTGAAAAGAAAATGACCTGTGCTATGCGTACCGGAAATGATTTTTGAGGAACTATGTATTTACATTTCCATGTATGTACATGTGCCCAGATTGAAATCGCTACTAGTAAAATTGAACTGCTTAAAAAAAGTCGAGTAAGTACATATTCTCATAAATCATAATTTAAATCTTTCTGTTGATATTTAACAGTTTGTTAATTCTCGAGAGATTCCAAAGCTTAAAAGGTTCCGCATTTCTTTATATCACACGTAATTGTTAGTTTATCGTGGCGGTGTGGTGCACTTACTTAGCATATAAACAGAAAACGTACAAAAAGATTGTGCTCGATAATCGGTTTATCAGATCTCTGTAGTTGTGTTGTTGAAGAAGAAAAAGGTGGATGGAATACTAAGTGGCTTTATGGTATTTGGCTTAATTTTAATTACAAGGGTTATACTGCATGTTGAATAATAATCCATTCATGCAGACAGAAAGGTGTAATGCTCTGATTACAAAACAGCATTTTTTAAAAGTGCAGTTTTGCCTTGTAAATACGAATCGGTGACATATGCATGTAAAACACGTGGCTGATTTATACCCTGTGACCCTGGGTTCGATTGATCAAGATTTAATCGTACTAAAATTTAACCAAAGGTCCATAAAATATTTATTCGGGCAGACACAAAGATCACCGATCAAGACGACGACCGTGTACTTGGTCCTGTTTTTCATAACGAAAGAAACAAGTTTTACAGAAATTGTGCCACATTTAAGACCCAAGGCTGAGCTAGGGAATGAAAAAGTCCCGTAATTTTGCTTACCTATGATTTTGTTACAATCTTGATCTCAAAATTATGCACCATGCATGCGCATAATTTATGGTAATGAGGAAGTGCTACATGCAACTTATCAGATTTCAGACACCACGAACAAAGAGTAAGCTTGGGTAAATGCGCTGATTTATAATAATTGGGTGCATATTGGAATTCCATCGATTTCTAAGATTGTCAAATAGGAATTTGTGGTACGATGTAAATATATGCACATTTAAGTACGGGCCACCCATCTATACCCATCTACCCAAATTTAGAATCATCTAAAACCTGCTTTCCTTTTTCAATTTCCATAAATAACCACACTTCATTATTGAAAAGTCGTGTCATCAGTCACTCATTTCGCTCTCTTAAATAAAAGAATTTCAACAAGTTTACTATTTCAAACTTAAATATTTCACTGTGCTAAATTATTGACTACTGCTACGAATTGAAAGCGTGCATAACTCTAGTAAACTACGTACTCCTGTGTAGTAAGAGCATGCATATTATGTATGTACATATCTCAAATTATAATAATTTCAATACTGTTACATTACTTAACAGTTTCCCCATTTATGAGCAAATCTCCGCCTAATAACGTACATACCTATCCTCTAAAGGTGAAAATAACCCGTAAAATTACCTGCTTTTTGGTGAAACATGAGAAAATTACTACGAGTTTTCGACTCGAAATGAATAGAATACATAACAACGATCGCGTTTCTTGAACAACATTCAATCAGCATCAAGTACGTACAAATACATACCGGTCGAAATACAGACTACGCAACGGTGATCTAGTCTTTAAAAGTCTTCTTAATGTGTGGGCAGATTGATACACGCAAAATCAACTACCTTAAAATTTCATGTTGCAAAAAGCTTAATATCCATCCACTAGCCAACCAAATTAAATTATCCCAATGTGGCCACAATTTTATACCACTTCCACACGCTATCCATGCCATTTAATAGGCGAACATTACCTTAATATCTATGGCTGGTCTAGTAAATAGACCAATTACACATCGACCGACCTCTCTCTCTCGCATACTTTCTTGGTTTCTTGACTTATTGACCTTTAGCTTCCACTTCACGGTATTTTTTAATTGTCTCGAAATTTCAAATCCCAGACTGCTTCCTCAAAACGAAAAAAACTAAATGAAACACGTCATCACATTCGTTCACCATTCGTCGAAATGAAGATGAAAGTTCCTCCTGATGATGACTTTGATGGTCCGATGACAAATTATTTTCTGTGCTTTACACCTCCTACCAAATAAACAAAACGATTAATTACATTAGCAATTAGCACGTTCATTCAAAATGTTCATGTTTATGCGTTCGTCCGATCCGACAATTTTTACTTTCGCTTCTTCTTCTCCATTGTGTTATATCGTTCGTATGTCATCAGTCGTAAAAAAAATTATGTCGCTTTCAACTGTCTGCTGCATCGTATAGCATTAACCGAACTTGGCTTTTGTTTTGTGACAAATTCATGTGTACACATAAATAAATAAATAAAAATATAATCTTGAGATGACGGCAGGTTTAAAAAGAAATCAGGTGATTTATGATAATTGCTTGTGCCAAATTGTCAAACGAATTATTAACTGCCAACTTTAACAATGCCGGGTGGTGTTGTCCTCATAGTGAAAATTGGAGTAGGGGTAAATGCACACTAATTTTAACACGGGTATTATTTGCGCATAATTATTTTTTACGTGCAAACTACATACCTTCCCGATTTTCTTGGCAATTCTTAAAAATTGTGGTACGCAGTAAAGTATGAAATCCACTTTATTTTGGAAGTTTATTATCCATTTTGTGATTTTATTATGGCACCGTAATTTCTTTTCGGCAATTACTTAAATATGTACCTTTTTGCCTCGTGGATCAAATCAAGTTTACTTTAGTGTCATTGATCTTGAGAAATCATTTCACCTTTTAATGTGATGCCAACTAATTATACAGATCGACTTTTTACCATGCGGTCTCTCTCTACCTATTTATTTCGTAGGTATGAATTTTAAATTATTTATCTGTCACATGCTAACTTTTCATGCAAAAATATTGTTTCGCTTTGTTAATAAATTGTCGGTAATTTGCACATGCTCATCATGGAGCAAAAGTGAAACGACACAGGTTATTATGATTAAGAAAACTCTCTCAGTTTGGCTTTAAGGGATCAATTCCATAATAAATTTCAAAAATTTTCATTAAAAATTTTAATAAAATGCTACATATCACAGGTATACTTATCTTCCTCCATCCTCGGTCATTTGCACCATATGCCATGCAAATCATAACGCAACAATGTCTATGAACTTGATCGAAACAACAACAATTCAAGTCTTTGCACTTGTGCATTTTAATTCAAGTTGATAATCAGACACGTCAGAGAACTAGTTTAGTTATGCATAAGTGTAATAATAATCTGCATCTTGTTACACAAAAAAGCCAGCCAAGAGCTCATTTGTATGTATGCGAATGAATTAGAAAGTGTGAACAGTTTGAGTCACATATCATTTACTTTCCACCACGTTAAAAGAGTTACAAGTCGCATTGTTATTATTTTCTTCATATTTATGTACACACATTTAAGTAAGAGACCACTAAAGGAGAAGTAAATCGCTAATAACTGATGAAGTTTATACTGATCTGTAAAAGTAAAATGTTGCATTTTTTTATATACTCACTGTGCGCTCTGATTACTCAAAAATTCATATTTTGTCAAATTTGGACAAACTTGTGTAAAAAAAATCCTTCTTAAGAAATGTATTTAATGTTTTTCATCCATATTTGAGAAGCAGATCACAGCACAGCAGATGACGAACGTTTAAACTTAATTCTCTCAGATTTTGTATTTATTGACGCTTTCATCCTATCACTTTCAGAGTGAAAAATTAAGATAATAATAACGCAACGCAACTTTGTCGAATTAGGAAAAAGTGAGAGTTCAATTACTTTCGTCGTGTTTAAAATTAGAGCATGATTGAGATTATTGTTGCCTTTATTTAATAACACAATACTAAAAAAACGTGTAAATAATGAAATTATTTCTCAACACGGGACCAACAAAGTATGTACTCGAATATTTCAAACTAATTGAAAATTAATGGTTAAAAGTGTTGAAGTGAAAATTGCGGTTCACTCGCGTACTTAAAAAATGTTATCATAGCTCGCTATCTAGTTTACAAAATTGAGACGCTATTTCAATTACAGAGTTATTGGGGTTATCTTATTTATTGTCGTTCGCTCAAGTCTTTTTTTGTTACAACATTATTTTACAAATTCGTGACTGCGGTTGCATCACAGCGAATAATTGATCCCCCACCATCATCATCACCTTCCTGTCGTTATTTTTGGCCGTGGATTTGCGGCTAATAGTCACCAACATGCCATGTTATTTCATTGTGTGAGGTTATTATTACCACATTTCCACCACCGTCAGTAAACTTGTCCAAAATAAAGTTCTTGTCCAATCCAATCCAATTTATTTTAAGGGGACAAAAGTGTGGGTGCACAATGTGTGGGATAATAAATAATGTATCCATTAAGATAAGTAAAGTCCTCTCCTTAATGATTTTGATACAAGAAAAGTAAAAGCAAAACAAGCAATCTCCTCCTCTAATCAAGGCCTATTGTTATTAATTCATTATCTTGTTTTTCTCGTAATTCGCACATTGCCAAGTTTTTTTCGAGAAAGATCTGCACCAAGTATTTACTTATCACTGTTCTCTCTACTTATGGCTTATATTTGGATGAATGTATGTACATAAATATGTATGGAATTGAAAGTCAACATGCGCCGTCATCCGCTTTTGCTTAGTTAGTTAGGATCACCTTTAGTGGACGACAATGGTCACGACAATATCCCAAAGTAAATAATTGTGACAGGAATTCAGCAAGGAGACTCGGTTGGGTGGTCAAGCAGGATACAAATAAAAATTATGTGCAAGCAAAAGGGAAAAATTTTCGTGATAATAAATTGCCAACTAAAATTTCCTCAGTATTTTCACCTGGCAGAGGATATACCGTAGTTTGGAAAATGACAAATTGCATTAAAATCGGTTATATTTTGTATGATTAATTACGAAAAGAATCTTTTGTGAGGCGAAACTTAATTTGAAATGCATCCTCCTTCCTTCATTTGTGCTGCAACAATTAATAAATCTGCGCAGGGAACGATCTTTCGTGACATTCTGTGGAACAAATCAAGCCAACGCAACATTTCTTGGAAATATCACGATCTAAACGAAAAAAATGCAGATATACATAGTTGATTTAGTGTATTATTCCTTGCAACACAATACCACAATTACCATTACATGCTCTGAGAGAATTAATTTACGAGACAGACAACGTACTTATTTAGACCAGGCCAGCAAAAATTCTCGAACGAAAGCACCACATGCATACCCACGAAGAATCGCCAATTCACTTAACGCATGAATTGAGACCATCTTCATTTGGATCAAAAATCAAGCCCAAAACCTTGCGCAATATGGAATGCCACACTATTTTTTAAAGGATTGGTCCTTTTCTTTTCTTCTTCTTATTTGGTGGTCTGGTCGTATCGTATGTATAACTTATTTATTACAGTCATGCTTAAAATGGCCAAGTAATGGTGATATCCTCTCTGATTGTAGGTCAGCATTTTAAGTCACGAAATTCTGATAAATCGTCGCATCTCATTTATTCTTGGTGTGTGGTTGATGCAGAACTTGAGCGTTGTCCTCCCCCTTGCTTGCTTTGTGTAACAATTTAGATTTCGACAGCAATTTGTTGTCCCAACCTAGAACCAAGAGCAACAAGTGAGTGAGTGAGTGGACCATAATAATAATTTGTGGCCACTTTTAATATTTATCTGTCCGTCCGTCGGTCATTCTTCTCCCTCGGTGTGCATGCATGTTAAGATTTTTATCGAGCCGTTTGTTGTACTCTCATGTCTAAAAAATCTACTCGAATTGCATGACATGACCAAAGTGCTGAACAATAAGCTATACATAATCGTATCATTTTAAATAATAAAATACTTAAGGCTGCGATTGAAATTTCATGATGTGTGTGTGCGTTGGTTGGTTTTCAATCCTTGTTAGTAAATAGTAGTCACAGGTCAAATATGGCTTGTTGGACAGGTGTGATATTGGATCTTGACTTGACTCTTGACTTTTATGGAGTGTCACCTACAACAAAAAGATAAACAAAGAGAAGAAATTTTGCAATTTCTATCCGAATTAAGAAAAAGTTAAATGACAGCGTAACTACATACAGTCGAGGCAGCTTTCATTTTTGCAAAATCAAAATTATTATTGTGCACCTTTTTGATCTGCTGCACATTTTTTGATATTTACTAACAATTTGTGGCAATTTTTATTTTTAACTTGACTGAGGAGAGGGGAATTCTACTTTTCACTACCAGATTTTGATGCCCTATGGATATCTTGATTTTTACATGAGTCTACTAAAATCTTGAAGTGGATTTATTCGATGGCTCCATTAGAATCTCACTCACTTCAACCTTCACCAAAACCCCAATTTTGTAAGGATTTTGCAAATCGTTTTCGGCTTTATAGTTCCACAGTTGTTTTTCAAGCTAAACTTTTTTGAAATTTTAATTTTTTAGGACATTTTAAGAAATTTGAAATAAGTTGAGTTTGATACAGAATATGATAAGGCGACTATCTGGAACTACAATAGTACAAGAATTTTTAAAATCTGAGCAAAATTTAATTTTTGGCGAGCCTCTTTCGTGGTTTTTGTACCTTTTGGGGTGTGGCGGGAGCAAATTGGGCCATTTTATAAATCCACTTTAGGGTTTTAGTATACTCATAATAGGATAACTACATATCTAAATGCATACAAATCTGGGGGTGAAATGTAGCGGTCCTATCCTCTCAGCAACACACGTCTCAATGAGCACGTATCTGTACATTTACAAATTGCAAACGAATCCGTTCATATAAAAGTTAGCCAAGCATAATATTTCCTACCAGTGACTTACTTCTACAACTTACATATAACTGCAGGGCTTACTGTATAATGTGCATTACAAACAAAACTGAAACTAATAATGATGGGCCGGTTAAGCAAATAAACGTTAAGAACGAGTAACCAAAAAAAGTAAACGTATGTTTGTGACGCGTGTCATATTCTTATTTAGCATAACATACTTTCTTTCATTCAGGTATTTTAAGTGCAGATAATTCCTTCATAGAAATTGAGAATGTAATGATTTCTTAAAAAAATCGGCCAAGCCTTTCGTCAAAATCGTGACGATAGGTAAAATATTTTCTTTCTAGTAACATTTACTAACTGTTCTCCTAATGTGCATCCGGTGTAGGTCTCGATTAATTTCTGCTTAATTTAATTGTACACAATTTTGGCAGTGCCAAATTCTTTGCAATTTTCTTTTGGAAGAAAGTCAAGTGTTTCGTTAGTCTCACAAAATAAATAATATTAACACAGCTAAATAACTTTCCATACTGCTGCAACAAATTGACAAAATGATAAGCGCAATTGAACCACGACTCGATTCTTCTACAAGTATTTGCTTGTCAATCAAAATTTAAAAAGTGTTACTGCGGTTGTTAAATAAAAATAAAGTAAAGTTGAAAGCTTGAAGAATCGAGATTAAAAACTGAAATCTCGTTCACGATCCAATTCCACCATGAATGATATGAACTCTGAGGAGGAATTTTTATTGGAAATCCAATCCAGCTGAGACAGATCAATTATTTATTGCGAGCTATGCAGTCAAAAAAAATATTAGCATAATACAGCTACGGTTTATTTATTATTATTATTTGCAGAGCAATCAGAAACGAGGAAATAATAATAAAATCTTATTTATATTTGCGTTGAACTGGTTTATATATTTTTTTTCTCTGCAAACCATTGCGAATTAGCACGAGCGGGTTAAAAAATACCTGTCGTCTCGTAGAAAAACTGACTGAAATAATTTGTCAACCTGACGAAATACTGGTAAACTTGGATTCTTTCTTGTTATTAAAGTGTCTCATTTGACAATCATAATCATCCTTTCAAAGCGATGAACTAAATAAATAGCGTCCTTTTACCATACCACTTTGTCCCCGAAAAGCGATTCTTCTTACCACATTTCTGTGCTATCAACTATGTGTATGCATTTCTTTTTATTTTCGTCCTTATCAAAGTAGAACGTGCAAGTGGGGACACAGAAGTTTGCAAAATGTGTGTGTGTATGTGAGAAAAATGGTGCGATCCGCAATTTTTGTAGGTTTTTATAAAAGAAAAATGTATGTATACGATGTGTGTGTCCTATCGTATGTATTACCCAGTAAAATAAAATCTGGCTCATTGTTTTGTTGTATTTCCAATCTTCTCGTGCAGGTGTTTTGTTGAGTTTTTTTTATTATGTCGAGGATTTAATAGGATCTCGCAGATCTAGATCATCATTATCATCGGTGCGTTGTGTTTGTCAAAATAAATCTAGACCCACATTATTAACATGACTGGCTCTTTTGCATGCACGATTATCATTATTATTAGAATTGCAATAGAATTGGTTTTTATATGGCTACGAGCTGCACCATGAATATACACAAAGAACAAATAACAATTATTATATGCGATTGAATCCACAATTAGTTTTGTGTAGCTGCGTCAATGCAAATAATACACGAGCAAAGCACGTCACCCTGTGTAATTAATGATCGATTAGTCAAACTCATAGGAGACCAACCCTCCCCATTAGTCTCCGTCACATTAGAATATCCAGTCCAGCCCAGGCCAGGAACGAAAAAGACCTTGCATAATGACAACTAATTAGTGGTAAAGATGAGCAAAAAACTTGACAGAGCTAATTTACAAGATAACTGCACACCACTAAATATGCATATATTTTACACATGAAAATGGACAGTAGCAACATTACCATCAGCGTTTAGCTTTCTATATCCATCGAAAATTTGATGAAATCGCATTCACTTTTTAAACGACTTTTTGATCCTGATTAGCATATTTAGCATGCGTTATGAACACACATAATGAATGACGACGACCGAGATTTTGGCTGCATTTGAATGAGACTTTTTTTAAGACGATGAATCTTTTTTCTCTTTCAAGAGTGAATGTGAAGGTGAATTCATTTCGTCTGGTCGGTCGGTCGGTGGTGCAGTAATTCTCTCATCAATTTTTCACTATTACTTGACATCTGTTCATTGTTTGGGCTGAATTGTATAGTCTCATTCAATTGTATAGACATAAAATAAATGGATTAGATTCTCACACATGCACTTTTTTTCCTTCTAAAGTCTTTCTTCTTCTTTACGTCTCGATTGAATCGAAATCAGCGGATTTTATAAGACGATATTTTCATTTCCTTTCATCTCTCACCAGACATAAAATCAAAACTCGCCAAGTCATAAAATCCTTTATGAAATCGTTAAAATGATAAAGACACAGAAAATCCAACCACGGATGGACACTGATAGAAAACAGAAGTCGTTGTTACATGATTTCTTATTGAAACCTTAAACCCTAAATCTTAAAATTCCTTCCTTCCAATCTACCACTGCTGCTTAACGACAAAGGAAATAGCATGTGCATTATTATGATTATGTGGATGCAGCAGAATACAATGTAGTAAATAGTTGGCTGCTTGGTGGTTGGTGTCGATCGAGGGTTTCTCTCCGCTGAATAAAATTTGTTAAGCGAAGAATTATTGTTCATACTTACATATTATGATTTGCTGGCTGCAAAGAAGACCCAACCAAGAAGGGAAGTAGAGATACGTATAAGAAAACGAAGTAAAAGGGTTAAGGAGATACCTGCCTGATGATGATGCTTATGGTTAATAGAAAGTGGGCCGACAGACAAACTAAGCAACGAACCAAACTGTAAATGCTATTATATATGGCTTTTGCTTACCTGTGATGTGACTGTGTAAACGCTATTTCATTTTATTACACACCTTTATGCTTTGCTCCTCAGTCATTCAAACGCTACGATCCGTGGTGGAAATACGCAAGTTTTCTTCCCTTTAACCAAAATCTCTCCATTTCAACAAGTGTCACGAAGGGGTTTTGTTTAAGGACTTTGGTCGGGTAGGAATTATTTACGCGTAAGTTTTTGGTAATAATATTATGGGTCGTTTTAGAGTAGGGAAACTTGAAGGAATTTAGGCATACCAGTTTCATTGAAGGTTTGCAACGTATGTACATTTACATGGTTTGCGTAACTTTTGTCAAGTTCCGGTTTTGTTATGTAGTGTTTTACTGGCTGTAATAAAACGGAAATCACACATACATAAATATTTTTCTCTGTCTAAAAGTTTAGAATGAAAAATTAAGTTATTAATCCATCAACAAAATCCAGTTTATCCAACTAAAATCTAAAATTTCTTGTTTTATCCTTGTTTTTGTAGGAGTGTGTTAACCGCAAACCTCAACCACACACATGCGACGTCTGCAATTGGAGGAAACTCACACTAATAAGTTCTTGATAAATGACAGTTATACAAATTTGTGATAAGTGACATTCCTCTGCTAAAACTTTTCGCCAAAAAAAAAATGTCAAAATAAATACACAACGGATAGTAAATAGTTAAGTGATGCGGAAGCTCTCCCGCAACAACAAGACTCATCCAACAATTGAATAAATAAAACACTGCATTATTGTGGACCGGTCTCACAACTCAGGCTCTCCAATTGTCAGCAATCATCAACAATCAACCAGTTCATGTTGATGTGTAGCGGCTTTTATCCATAATAAAAACTTTACACAGACAACGTCGAATCGAAAGTTCATCAATTTTTATAGAAAGAAATTCGACAACTTGTATCCACATTCCTTCTTCCTCTCCTTCATCCTGAGCTGAATAAACCTTGAGGATTGTGGTGATGATGACGAACCACCGTTTCACTCCTCAGAAGAAGAAGAATCTGCTGCTTAAATAAAATGCAATAATAACAAAAAGAAGAATGATGAATAGAAACCTTGTCTAAAAAAAGTGAACAGTTGCACCAGCAATTCTAAACTCTGTACTCTTTTGTTCTGGCTCGGGCTTACAAAGTTCCGTTAAATTTGCATGTTCTGTTTACCAACTAATTGTATTATCCATCACGTAATGTGAGTGAGGAGGGATGAGCGACTAGTCTTTAAGTAACATAACCGGATCAAAAAGAGCAGAACGAGTTCTTCATCTCTTCAATCAAATCAATTCCATTACGTATTAAAAAAATCCAACCCTTGCACAAAATTGCCTGCACCTCAACTCAACAAAAGTGCAACTTTCGTGGTCAAAAGATTTTTTCCTACTCCAGAAAGGAATTCATCAAGATATTCAGACATACGGATGAATAATATGCTAATCGAAAAGTGAGACGAAAAATGTGGCGAGAAGTTCTAAGCTGGTCTCAGAAGAATAATAATTTTGGATGTATCAAATATCGGAATAATCAAAATTTAAGAAATTTCATGAACATGACCAAGTTAATCTAACGAGTAATTTAATACATTAAGTTATCTGCCTCATTTTCTCTCAACGGAACAAAGGATATACAAAGTCAAGTCAAGGATAAGGATAAATTTGTATCGTATAAAACTTATATAAATTATTATTATACTCGGACTAACGAGGCTTGAAGCAGAGAGGGATAAAATAAGCCAAGGTTTTCTCATGTCCTATGAATGACTTCTTCTTCTCCAACCCAACTTGGTTACTTATCGCCCACCAAATTCCTACGATAACTCAGTTCAGTAGGAGTCAACAGTTCAATGAATCATCATTAAAATTAAATAATAAAAAAACTTTAAAAATCTCCTTTCCTTGGTCCACCGCGTACACTGTCGAATAGAGTTTATACCCCGATGCTGGGTCAGTGTGTAAAATGGGCGAATAACAGGACTTAATAAATCTACAATCTACAAAAATCTGAGCAATTTTTAGCCCCAAAAACTACACCTTGGCTTCACACTCCGAAGATGTCTAATCATACCACCACCTGTCACGGTTTCGTGGCAAATACTTGGCGGAAGGATGTTTGCACGAACTGCTTCCGAACAATTGAGGAGCACGGGATCTCGGTCAGTGGGCGAAGTACTTCGGGGAATAAATTTAATAATGCAAACCCAATGAATAAATATTCCACGGGTGGAGGCGGATTTCAATTCCATTCGTCGTCGCGAGGCGATAACGCGATTCCACGAATGACTAGTGGTGCAACTACGACAAGTAGTAGTGGTGGTGGTCATAATAATAATTATAATACGGGTTTTGGAAGTGCGAATCTGACTCAGTCTCAGTTTGCAACTGGATCCATTAGTCACAGTCAATTGAAGCAGCAGCAGCACTACAACAAGTCATCTCTGAGTGGTGGAAGTGGTGGTGTTGGTTTTAGCAGTAATAGACAGCAGAATGTGACCAGTGGGGGTGGTCACAAATTCAGAAATATGTCCCAAGGAATGGACTCCACGGACGGTGGTGGTGCAAGTGGTGGGAGGAAACCCCAGTTTAATGTGGGTGGACCCATGCGGGGTGGACAGAGAGGAATCTTAAAAGGGAAGGATGGGAGTGGATCCGGTAATAAGAAAAGTGGGGGCAGGAGGGGTGTCTCATTTCCGAAAGAGGTGAGTAATTTGAGGCAGAAAACCAAAAAATATCTAGTTTATACAAATTTTAGACCCATTTTTTGTGGTTAAAGCTCTTCAGTTCTACTTATTTTTACACGCATTTCATTCTTTTAAGTATGACCATAGTTGCTGGGTAGTTATTAGTTCTGCTGTGCACGGGAAATGGTAATCGGTCAATTCATTTATTTAACTCATATCGCTACATAAATGCGGACGACAATGTCGTGCCCATTGTTTTACTTCTCAGTCTCAATTCACTTCCTGCATGAGACTAGTAACTGACTGATAAGCCATATGCATGTAATACTTACTTGAACATGGAACAGTCTTTTTCTTGTCAATATTAAGCCCTAATTTCATATTATCTCCTCTCCTAATGTACATATTTATGTGGCTCAAGCGTCATGCTAAGCAGGGCAGTGGCTGGCACGCATGCATACTTTTATCTTTAAAAGAAGAAGAGAACAAGAGATTCACTCCCTTTTCTTCAGGATTGTCGAATCCGCAGTAGTGATTTTAATGAAAGGCTGGGTTTTTTTTCCTACACAATGTATATTAAACATCAATTAAACCATTTGGCACAATTAAAAATCGCACAATGACTACACTTTTTATAGTGAAGGCTTCTTTTATATGCTTGACATATGGCTACCGACTGGCACACTTTGTTAATTACCAAACCAAAACATGGTGAAAAAAAACATTGATTTTCCTCCCCCTACATTTTTATTTGGCAAATGTAAATAATTCGACATATACATAATGCGACAATCGATTTATGTATAATGAATGTGGTCCAATGTGTGTATTATTTAATTAATCCAATTGATTTGTTCTAATTTCTTAGTCCTTGCAGTACTTACTTAATTGGTGAATTGCATGCAAGTTAATTATCAATGCAATTCCAATTAGCAAGTTCCTTGATTTTTAAGTTTTCTAAAAAATTCACAATATGCATATGTCACCACTTTTACAGTTACTTAAAATCATGTCAAAAACTTTTGAAAACTTGGAATCATTAAGAAAAAGAGAAACAAGTGACTTTAATTATAATTTTGACGAGAAATGAAAATGTCATTTTTTCCCAATTTCCTAGTCTGTCATCTTTTCGCACAAATCGAATTATCTGCTTGTTTAAAACATTTCCAACTTTTATTACATTACATTATTGCATTATTATACAGAATAGTTTTGCAAACTAGCTGAGTCACTGACCAAATTAGTTCGTTGTTGGGGTGGTGGTGGTGTGGTCACATGAAAAAAATGGATGTACCCTATTAATGGTTTATTTACATTGCATATGTGACTATGCACAGGCTTCACAGCTACTTTATCGCGATAAAAGTGCAATCAAATCATACTTTCTGCCTGTTTTTGAGTCAAGTAGCGGAAAACATACGCAATATGTAATGTCAAGTAGTTGTTGTTATTCGCAATAAGTTGTGAGTAACCCGAGATTATATTTTATCTCTATTTCTCTGCTGCTGCTGCTGCATTATATTGCAGAGTGCACATAATAACGTAATATTATTTAGTACATATTGCATCCAAGTTCAACTGTAAATGCACACGAATTTTGTAACTGTTTTAAATGAAAAGAGGGTGCGAAGAGAGAAAGGGTTGCCTTATTAGTTGGTTAGTGGTTGGGTAATGATGGGCATAAATCCTATCGTTTTATTATTTTCGTATAGGACGACACAGCTAACGAGAAATCGTAAAAAGTCGTTAGCTGCATATCTGTTTTAACTATCTGCTCTTATAATAATCTGCTTTCCAATGTTTTGCTGATTTCAATAATAATTAGTTATGCATGTTGACAAAGAGAATGAAAAGATAATCTTTCCCTGATCGACGTACATAAAAAATACGTATATTCATAATAACAATCATGCAATATCGGATGCCGAATCGATTTTTTAAAGTCATGCTTCACGATTAAACGCTATGTTATGCAGTGTCAAACAGCTAAATTTGACGTGGGTCGATAAAAAATATATGCAAAAGAGTTATATAACAAGTCATAATATTTCATAGGTTAAGATGTAAGCAATATCATTGAGTAGGGATATTTTATTATCGACGATGCGTCACCCACTACCACCAGTTGAATATTTAAGTAATAAGACTAACCAGCCATCTGTCTCATTCTTTCTTTGTCTCATAACAATTTTCAAGTCAAATTCCACCCATATTTGTAGAACAGCGTGTGTGTTTTGTTACAAATAATAAGGTGACGCATGCATCTGGCTCGTCCTAAAAAACTCCATTTATTCGTCCAACAGTATAAACCTTAGTTTCATTGTCATTCAAAAATGTTCTCATTATTCGACTGCAACAAAATGCTGCATTACGAATTACCCAATTTGGTGAAGTGGAGGTTACAGTATGGGAGTAATTTTTTTATACTTGAATTTCAACTGCACTTAACCATGCAAATAGACACGTAAATCTGCACAACTTTGACAATGAGCTGAACTTTGCACACAAACTGTAATGTGATCATGATACGTTAAAAATGTCCTCAAAAAACGTCAAGTTGATTGAGCTGGCTTGGGTTGAGGGCAATTCTGTATTATTTTATTTGCCGAGAGTTGCATGACTATTGGCAGCATGTCATCATGTGCATATATTACACGGCATTGTTTCCTGGGTTGGGTCACATCCATCCACTTTTCTTGGCATTTTTAAGCTAAACTCGTTGACTCTGATGTCACGTCATGGATGGCGAATTGAATGAATGGAGGATACAATTTTTGCCTGCCAATTCCATGTTGGGCTGGGCAAGTACATATTTCTTAATATGTGTAATAGGCAAATTGTCTTTGTCAGGGAGCATGCTATGTAAAGTTTAAAAAGGGTGTAATGTGCCTGCACTCGACACGTCTTTCATGAATTTTTCACATTTCCTTTAGAATTTTGGCGAGACATTTTTTGCCCTTTTGTGGTATTCCGTAGCCAACTAAATTAGTGGTACTTATTGTTCAAAGAGAAATTATACATTTTTTTAAAAGGCAGAAACAGTAAGTGGTATTTATTTAGTGAGGAATTTTCTACGCATTTATACACATAATGTATGTATACATAATGTAGGTAGGTAGTAATGGGTTGGGTTTATGTAATTAAGTTTAACGTACGTAGAAAAAGTAGACCTTTGTGGGAACGAGTTCTATTACCTGTCGTAAAAAAGGTTTTCTTTACCCAGCCTAATTTTTTTGTTTGCTTTGTCATTTCGAGATTTCCAGGAAATGCTTATTAAATCTTTGTTCAAAGTGCCGGCGACGTAATTAAATATATTTACTACTAAATACCTACATATGTTGTCTAATTATTGACACTATTTTTGGATAAGACTGCAAATATCCGGGTTAGTTTGGAATTTCGTCGTCTCAATTAGGATGAAAAGGTGGTTTTGAGCTATGTGTATTAATGATTCGTATGCTATGATTTCTAGGTGGTGGAAGTCATCGGCATCGGAGATGACGACAACGAGCCTCACCGTGGGGGTGGTGGTGGAAATTCCTCTTCCGACGAGGACGACGACGACAACACCCCCGTCGACCCTCAGGACAACTCCTCCATTGCCGAACTCCTGGAAAAGAACTCGACCACGATGGATGAAAAAGAGTTTCACCGACTGACGCAAAAGAACACCAACTTCAACTCCATCAAGACGAACCTCTTGGGAAAGACAAAGGTGAGGTTTTACTTTATTTCATTGTTTGTGCTAATAATAATAATTTTATCAATATTAATAATGATTATTTTCGTTGTTCGTGGATGATTTTTTGTTAAATCTTGGGTTGTTGTCAGTCGGTGAGTGTGCTCTTTTATGTTGCATTGGGTTTGAATTTTGCACGTTCGAAAATGGGTTTCTTTTCGCCAACTTTTTCTCCAACCTGGCAATCGTTTGATTTAACAAGATGATGGTCTTGTCCTTCTCCTTCAAACTCTCGTCCTTCTCCTTCAAACTTGTCTTGAGGGTGATGTTCTCCTTCCTCAGTTCGGCAACTTCGGTATTTGCATTTGGTGAACTTTTATTAGGCGCAGACGGCACAACGACATTTTGTCTATGAATGAAACAAATAATGATTATTTACAAGTTAAAATATTTAAATTGAAACGTTACGTAAAAATACATACCTAATTTTTTCAATCTGCTTGAATCCAAGCTTCCTACCTTTCCCCTTGATCGTACATCCGTTCCGTACGTGTCGATTATAGCTCGTTTGATCTGTAAATCCTCTGTCACAGTTTTCACAAACGAAAGGTTTCTCACCCGTGTGAGTACGAACATGTCTAAAAAATTAAAAATATTTACAACAACAATACACAATTTTATAAATTAGTTGTTATAAACTAACATAATCATAACTGAAGGCTTATCACATCAATAATCACAGAGATCGCATCCCAATTTGCCGGTCGTCCCTCTAGATTTTCGTTCCGGTTTCTCTGGTTCATCCGATGCAAGGCACACTTCATCGTCTTGTTTAACAATTTCGAGGACGTTGTCTGTTGCGGAACAAACCAAACAAAAATTAGCATAATGTAAATATTGATACATAATTAGAAATTCATAAATTAGTACTTAATAGCATAATTTATAACATCCCAGTGACTTGACAAGAGTTTCCTTACAGTTTTTGGCTTGATTGAGCACTTTGCTTCCTTGTAGTCCCTGACATAATTTTTTAGTACTCCAGCACTCTTGAATGAAGCACCAAAAAGTAAAGGGTCAATCACGTCGATCGGATCAGCATACAAATGGATTTTCCATTTATCGCTGAAATTGAAAAGTTTTCTATAAGTTTGAAATGTAAATCAGTTAAGACGCATGACAAAATAACTCACGAATAACTACATGATGATCCCGTCACACCGTCCATCTTGTCCCGATTATTAGTCAAATGTATGGCGGATTTTGCCCAAAGAAACTTATCTTTAAGTGAAGACTCTCCATATGTCAACTCTCTGGGTCGAAATAATGCATCTCGGTATAATTGTACCAGAACACGGTTAGGTTCGACACCTAGATAACAACATGCATATTTAGAAATGACTAATTACTCACTAATCATTATGTCAACTATTTATACCTTTCATTTCGAACAACTCGTCTTTTTGTTTAGCGGAAACGGTGTAACGCCCATCAATTTTTTCAATAAAATAGACTGCAGTACCGTCAGGAACGTCGGAGAGATTCAAATGCCTCCTGGGGGGTTGGTCCGATTTAGTCGACATCAGATTCTTCTTCTTTTTAATAACAGACCTAACAATATTCATGACATTTATTTCATACTTTTACATAATAAATAATGGTTATGCGATTTATTATACCACATTGTTTCACGGAACCCCTCCAATATCTCTCCGAAATCTTTTGCCAATTTCTCTCGTCTCTTAATTCGTTTTGAAGTGGAATCCAGCTCGACTTTGTGTAATTCACACATGGACATATTTGTCTCCAGCACCAACTTTTTTGCTTTCTCCACTAGTCGATCCCTGAGAACAAATGAAATTATAAATATGACATCAGCAAATTTTAATTTTTGAACCATAAATATAAAAACATACACTTTAGTAAGTTCCTCGGATAATCCGTCTGTCCCCACTCTCTCGAGTCTATTTTTAATTGATCTCACTAGTAGGAATTTAAAAGAAATTGAATTATATCATTTCACCCTTCTGTTTCAGACAATTTTATAACTTGACTTACCATACTTATCGATATCACCAAACTTTAATTCAACAATTTCTTCAAGTTTACTAAACGACATGACTAAATTGACTAGGTATTTAGTTAAATATTAGTTAATTCTAGTAATTTGTAACAAGCACCAGGTTGTTTACTAAAAGTCTACGTCGGGGTGAATAGTTTAAACATCGCAGACTCGTTTACCTGTCTCATCGCTCATATCTCATATACTGTCTCACCCATGTCTCATCGATTTGTAAATAAGAGATGCATTATGTGACTCACATAATGTGAGACTCGTTACGGATTGAAGACCAGAACATAGAGACTAAGAGTCTCGTAGATCTGACATCTAATAAAGTTAAATCGAATTTTATATTTTTACATTACACAGATCGAAATTGGTCCAATCGTTGGGGGCACGAGAGGTTCCTCCGCCTCGAAACCGCTCGTATCCATTGGAACCTTCGAAACTCGTAATGAGCCACTAAAAATTCGTCATAAAATTGACGAGGATTCAACCGACGATTATGATAAGACTGTAAATAACCAGCGGAAATATGTGGTCGCGTCAACCACCACGAAAACAAGTGCTATAACTGCAACAAGGTCGTCTCCTCCTGCTCAAGTTCCTACATCATCAATTTCAACAGATAGTGCTTCCAAAACGATGCAAAATATCAGTATTGGTTCATCTACGACCAAATCGTCTTCCAGGTTTTCTTCCTCATCGTCATCATCATCAAGTAGTAGTAGTAATAGTAGTACGACTGTTTCAAAGACTGTAAATCATCCCACGACGACACCACCAACAACAACGCCAATAGTCACGAAATCATCAGACCAAGTTGACTCATCGTCGTCATCATCATCCAGCAACAAAAGTGGTGGTGTGGAACATCATAAAACTGTTTCAATTTCATCCGCCAAGGATTTAGGACGTTGGTCAAGAGAACAACCCGACCAACCAAAAAACGAGGTCAGCCAGGGCCCTTGTTTAAGTAAGGGTCCCAACAAAAGTGAAAAACCTCCCCTGAAACCCAAGTCAATTCTGAAAATAAGTCAGAACTCTACCAGTAAAATAACATCACCGCCAACGTCACCTCCCCCCATAAATAATTCCATCCCTCCAATCCTCTCCCCCAGTAAGATTGCAGAACAGCAAAAGTTAAATAATCAAAACGCCATTTCCAAGAGTAACACTGCTCTCACAAATTTGATCATTTTGACTGAAGGGAATAGCATCGCGTCAAAAAGGACATCTTTCCTGAGAGACATTATCGATCAAGGAGAAAAGAACTCTACCATTACCACCACCACCAGTGTCACTGCCACATCTACATCCAGCAACGCTGAAGGGGTCACTATTGTCAAAAATGTGGGTGTGACCAACAACGCTTCCCTCGATTGCGATCAATCTCTCATCGAGAAAGACTCGCTGGACTCGCCACCCACACTTTCAAAACAAGACCAACTCTCCCAAAAACCTAAAGTTCCTTCCAAATTGAAACTAAACATAGATCTGAGCTTAAATCGGGAGGTGTCGAATCCTCCAAAGTCCGTCGTTCCGTCATCCTTACGATTCGCTAGCAGTAACGAAAACGGGAGTGGAACTGACTCTGAATTTGACGACAGTTTAGAGGATTCAGGCCTTGACATCAAGATCACTAAACCACGCAACCTTGTCGTCATCAAGGGTGGTGGCAAGGAGGGAGGAGACGTCCCCGCATTCCTGAGTGAAGAGTCTGATGAAAACGAAAAAGTTGGGTCGTCCGGTTCAGACTCAGGAAATGAGAATGATTACACCGTGAGCAACAATAAATGCAGTGGACGAGTCAGCAAGGGTCATGCAGGTCTCTACATTTCCGTAGATGAGGACGAAGAAATTCTTAACGTGGGGGACACTGATATCAAACTGAATGCTAAAACGCCAGCCAAACTTAGTCCAGATTCTGTCTTGTCAAATTCTGTGAGTGGGAGTGAAATGTCGGCGTCCGGATCGAATGAAAGCATCGCGGAGTCCTTGCACGAAGAAAGGCGTGCTTCGACCATTTCGACATCATCAACTTCCAACAAACGCCAAGCTCCACAACCACCAAACAGTGAAGTTGCCCTCTTGTACGATGAGGATGACGTTTATGATGATGTCATTAACGTTGCTTCGAAGCATCGCCTCTCTGCGAGCGAAGACACCATTGAGGACGAAAGTATTTACGACGACTGCTCCACCATTGTCGACAACGACCGCACAATCACTTCCGCCAGTACGAATAATCAAGGGAAAATTGGGAGCTATAACTTTGGTGGTGGTAATCACGATAATGAGGACGAAGTTGAATCCGTCATTACTCACAGATCGGATGGAATTGAATTTATAGGGATTCGAAAAATAGATGCAGAGTCATTCTTGAAAGAGCGGTCGCCCACTCCGGACAGAAAATTTGGATTCCGTCGTTCCGTCTCGCCAGGGAAAGGTTCACGAGAAAGATCTTCGTCCACAAGTCCAAAAACGAGGAGAAAGGTTAATCAGTTTTTTAGCACGATTGGGAAAAAGGCTGGAGCTGCTTTCAGTTCTGCCAATTCACAACTTGGACAATATACTAGGACAAAGTCACCCTCCGTCTTCTCAGGTTCCAACCTGGATCCAAAAGGAGGAGGGGAAAAATCCTACAATTACAAGAGGTCCATGTCCACGGATGAAGTTAGCGCGACGCGTGCTCAAGAAATTTATGCCACTGTGACCCCCACCACCCTAAAGTTTAAGGGAGTGCTGAACAAACTGTCCAAGATCGATCTGAACCTGAGTGACAAGAACAAAGATGCAACAAAAGCAGATTCAGATTTGGAAACCAGTGACTCAAAGGACAAAGTGTATAAGAAGAACAACAATATTTCAAAATCTATTAAAAAGTTTCTCCGTTTCGGTAATAAAGATGGGACTGGTGGGGACGGAGGAAAGTATGACTTTCCCATCTACAACAACGCTCCGTTAAACATTAGTTCGCCAATTCACACCCCGGTTAACAGCAGTTTGACCTCGTCGACAGAGTCGGACTCTCCAAACTCTTCCAATCCGGCGTCAATGACACCTTCTGTCTCTTCACAAGTTGTGGCGCCGTCCGTGGTTGCTGTTGCTACTGCGGTTGGAGGAGGAGGAGAAGGCGTTACGCGGACTAAGCCTCCACTGCCGCTCACAAAACCACCACCTCCACCGCCACGAGTTCACTCGTTAGATATGCTACAAAAAATGGGGGTCGTGAACCAGAAGGGGACCGTGCGGCCGGCGAGACCACCACCACCCGTCCGACCGAATCAAATCGCTCCCAGTTTCACAGCAGTTTTCAACAACCCTTCAACGACTACTTCGGAATCGACAACGCCCAATCCAACAATTTCAGGAGATAAAAATGCAAGTGATGACAACGGAATCCCACCGTGTAAGCCTCGCAGGAAAAACAGTGCCGTGGGTGGAGGCAGTAAAGATTTGGAAACGTCGTACAACCATATTTCAAACTTGAACTTGGAGACTTTAAAACTGATCGCGAATCAGCCTTTGGTGCGTACACGGTTTATTGAATATTTTACTTTTTTTCGTTACTTATCTTAATAATTTGTACCAAATACTTGCAGACAAAAATTGTGTCCAACTTCCCGGTGATTTCTTCCCAAGATAGCGTCCAGTGGTAAGTTAAGTTAAACTATAAATAGAGAAAATTTTGCGACATCTCATCTCATTCTCTGTCTGTTCTTGTTTTAAATAGGTCCCAGTTCGACATTCAGACTGGGATGCGACCAGATCCACTAATTCATGGGATGGGGTTCGCCATTTATTCCGCACATTTTGAGGGGACCAAGTGCCTACTGATGATTCAAGAGTCCACCTACGCTTCACCGCTCCAGTTTTCATGCGTTCAAACTGACCTAACCTTTCAGGATGACGTTCCCATTGAATACGTTCCGTGGGATCCGTCCGATCGGGTCAAGTGCGATATTGGAATTAAAGGTGACTATTTAACAATTTACATTTACCGAATAATCAAACTAATTATTTTTATCCCAAAATTCCAGCCACCCTTTCTGTTCTACCATTCTTCAAAATGTGGAGTGTCGAAGATTTCCTGAAATCCAATGAAATCCTCCACAAAGAAAAATGCCTCGCCCTCCTCCAATCTCTCGACTACTGGGGTGTCAAAGAACTCCACGACCTTATCATCTTCAGACAACCCCATATCGTCAGTTCGGATCGGATTTACGTTCACCCCATTCCTGAAGGCGAACAGAAATCAGGAATCAACAACCCCGTCTCTCCTACTCCCTCAGACTTTGAAGTCTCCATTAAACAACTCCTCTTCACTTGTTCTGAAGATTCCGATTCTGACTACGAATCCATCCTGTCCGGCTCTGATAAGCGGATCCTTATCGAAAAAGTGTCCGGAGCTCAGGACGAGGTCAAGAGTCAGCTCAAGCTGTTCTTCCAACTCAAACTATTCGCCCCTTCGGTGGAATCGAGTGAATTTCTTAAAATTCGCAAGCACCGTTCCGAGCAGTCCATCCAGCAGTGGTTGGACAAAGAGAGAGCCATGTGCATGAAGGAGGCCGTCGTGAGGTCGGTGAGCGGCGGAATGACGACCGACGACGCCATCACGCCACTCAAAAAAGCTTACTTGGAGTTCCTCATGCGGCCGGGAAACAGTGCCAAAGCCATTCTGGACATGTTTGTAGAATTGTTTGAGTAAGACTTTTTTTCATAAGTATTCATGTAATAGCGTTCCGTTTGTAAAATGACAATGTTAATTTAGTAATCATCCATTATCAATAATACAATCAACTTGTCTAACTATTTAAAAAATTATTGGATGCCGTTTTTTTAGATGGCTACGATTAACCAGTAATAATTTACAAACATACCTAAATAACCGTCTATTACACAACCCTGTACGTTTTCTTATTTGATTGACGCTCTTATTTTTACCAGATTGTACCGAAAATTACATAATTCTATTAAATTATCAACGACCAATATCATTATTATTGTACTAGATCCAAGTAGTAGTCAAAAGTCACAAGAAGCCTTTGTAGATACAGAAGAACTGAAAAAACTAACCATAAATAAAATAAAATAGATGCATACATAATTATGATAATCATTTCGCGGAGAAAATTGATAGCTGAAGGATCGAATTTAATACAAAAAATAATAGTTATTATTATATTCTATTATGTGTCTACGTATTTGTGATATATAAATAATTAATTGATGATAATAAATCTGCGAGAATAAACATTTTTGATACATGCGACAAATTTTTGCGACACGTGTAAGTAATTTCATTCTCTCTGTCTCTTTAATCTTAGTTCCACAAAGTCTAAAGAACTGATTACACAGGCTTCAAGAAATATATTATGCCGAAATTTCCTTCGGGGTCTACTGACTTTCAGAGATCAAGTTTCCGATTTCTTTGAGATCTCTGACGTAAAAGAAGAGATTGCAGATTTATCTCACGATATTAACAAAGTCAAAAAAGATTGTGTGGCATGTGCCAAGATGAACTTACATTTTACTATATCATGATATTTTAACCAAGATTAAGTGAGCCCACCCACCCACGCGCAGCCAGCCATCAATCCCTCTTCCATTATTATTAGAACGTATCATCATGCTTAACGATTTATTTCGCAACATTTATTAAACCGAGGACGGAAATATAGTGCCTTCGGGGTTAACAAGATTTCAGTTAAGTATTTACTTAAAATACAGACTTGGCTCACTTTTCCAACTAACCAAAACTCTGCTAATCAGCTTAATGGGGTATTGGCAAGTATTGTGGGGCAATTTTTTTCAAATCTCCATTTTTACACTGCACGAGGTTTTTATTCCAGTGCCAACTTTTCCTGTCAACCGACCTGTCGCTTTGTTGCTGTCCGATTTGCTCATTTTTAGCGAAGCGTAACGACGACCTTCATTGTCTCAGCGAATTTTTAATTGCGCGTGCCAATATGCATTTAAAAAAATTGTTTACGACCACTATTCGAATTTTATTTCATACAAAAAAATACGTTAATAACACATTTATTTAAAATCACACAAAATAGTTACTCCACCTTTTCGACGATAACTCCGGCGAGGGTGGAATTGGAACCCCGTCATCGTCATATTGCACCATCGGAGAGTCAAACAAACTTTTGAGATCGTGAATAAATCTCCCCACAAAGAAAATCCCGTAACCCCGAAAAATTATTTCCAAAAGGTCCAACACGATTTGAAATATCTTGAGCGAAATGTCGTTGAAAATGGGTTCATAAAGTAGCACGATAAAATCGACGGAGAGCATTATGAAAAATATTATGCTCAAAATCCTCCACCACATGCATTTCCCTATCATGATTTCTGGATCAGTGGTCATCTAAGTAAGTGAAATTGAAAAATTTTGAAAAATTTTATTTGAATTTTATTTTTTAAAACTTATTTCACCAACATCCATCGTTGCGGTTAAAAGGAGGAACGCGATGACCAGCTGGAGACTTAAAAATCCAAAATTGACAATCCAGTAGAGCAGTGAGATAAAGATATCTGATGAGATTGGCATGATAATAACTTGACTCATTTATTTTTAAGGTGGATCATCATCAAAGTTATGACCGTAATTTCTTACGTTCATTCCGTGAAATGAGGTAGACCACGCTTTGATCTTTATAGTCGTACTGTAACAGCCGAACGACTGCATATGAGACCAAGAACACGGCGAGGAGCTAATAAAAATAGTGCAATTGTAATAGAAAAAGTTTACAATTCTACTCGAAAATATTACTCCATTGAACTTACCATATCCAGGATTGCGATGATTTTAACAGTTTTCCTCCTACTCCATGGATCATCTTGCATTTTTGCTGCGGCACAATTTTATTCTTATTTGTGGTGACTGAGAAAAAATAGGAAAATAAAAGATTTTGCAGCTTGAGATTTTTTCGATGAGTTATTGTTTTCCTTCGGTCGGTTTTACAGCTTTCACTGATTTATGAAGAACTTTATTGATGCGCGTAAAACTGCGAGAAATCAAAAAATTTTGAGCGACAATTCTGCCTTTTTAAAGGGGGACAAGACTCTCAAAAGTCTCAAGTATTTCGTCGCACAGGAAAAATCCATATTTTCAACTGGTTATTGTACACTTGAGAAAAGAATAATAATAATTGTGTCGTCTCTCCTACAGGAAGGAAGGTTCCATTTTAACTGCATACAAGACGAAATAACGCATATATAAATAACGACATTGGTGGTTTGGCAGTGTCACAAGTTGTGTTTATTTTATTGTGAATATGTGGCCAAGTTGGAACTGGATTGATGCACTTGACTCGGTTTTCTCGGTGGCATCGTCTCAAGTACTTGTTGTGTAACTACTTATCTGTCTCGGATCTCATCTGAATAAAAAAATGTATGTACATGATTTTTGCAGACTTTCCCAAACGCAGATTGAATTCAATTCAGTAAATAAGTAAGTGGTGAATAAAACGGAAACGGGTTGTATCCGTTGTCACATTTGGTATCCTATTCTTAGCATTTTTCATCCCATGAGAGTATGAGAGACTAACTGCGTGTACAGACAACAGAGTGCATTTTCATATGCGTCACCACGATCCATGGTGGACAGCGTTGTTGAACGCTGATTTATTCAATGTCACAATTTATCTTTTGTCAATGACGACAAGAGGACAACACTTTAGGAAACTTTTGTGGTATCCATTTCGCCCACGATTTGTGTCGACGTAAGAATCAGGTTCAGGTATCAGGAGGGATCCATCGCATTTAATTAGTTAGAGTTAAAAGGTTTCGATTAATGAGGAAGGTAAAACTCATCGCATAATTGGTTAGGCATGATGTGAGAGATATGATAAGCTTGAGTTGTGCTAATTGACCACTTCTTTAATTTTTACCTCCTACCCCAAAAATTTAGCACATTTTGACAATAAGAGATGTAATTAAAGCCAGGCCTCCAAAAGGGCAAGGAAAAAATGTGTGTCATGTCATCTACTTACTAGTAAATATATTTTCGAAACTTGGCCAGCTCCATGTTCCATCTTGTAGTCAACTAAAGTGCTAAATGCAAATAAATCACTGTACGATTAAGATAACAAGCAGGGATAAGATAAGAACCGTGTTAATAAATAGTGGCAATTAATAACTGTCACTTCCACTCATCGTCTCAAGACGTACAAACAACCTCTCGCAGAGCCTCGGCCTTTGTATGTCGGACCATTTTTGTGGAAAACAACACGACAATTTACTTACTTTCAGAACTTTGCGGCTGAATGTTTAATTAATTTTCGTGATACCTAAACTACCACGATATTTCCTATGTCTGGACATTTAGTCCAGAAAATGCGTCACTTTGAAACCTTTCTTCGACAGATGTGGTATAAAAGGCTGGAACACTTTGGTCAGTCGTACAGCATTTCCAGTAGATCTCTCCTCTTTGCATCACTTTGTAGAAATCTACCAGTAAATCTAGGTCACTATCGATATGCATCGGATTTTGGTGAGTTTTATTTTATTGTAATTAATTAATTAATTTTGGTGAGTTTAGCTTCATTTTATTGTAATTAATTAATTTATTGTACATATTTTTATTTTTAACTTTCTTGCAGAATTTCGTACTTCTCCTGGGCATTGTTCTTTCTTGGTCTTGCAACCAAGTTACTTGTGCCCCATGGCTTTCGCATTATCAACAACCTCAACAACATCAACAATCCTTCTCCAACTCTGGGTTTTGGGGTAACCAACAGCCTAATAAACCCCAGAAATATAATCCCCAAAAACCTCCAAGTGGTGGGTGTAACACGGGTTTTTCAAACAAACCCGCCTTCTCTCAACCCTTCGGACCAGCCCAACTTCCAAACCAGGAAGTGGTCAAGCCCGTCTTTTCTGCCTGGCCGAGACCTTCCCACCTTATAAATAACCAACTTCAGCTGAATCCACCAAGTCAGCAGCAACAGCAGGGTCAATCTGGGGGATGGTCGAGTCCAAACGAACAGTTGCTAAAACCAGTGTTTAGCGCGTGGCCTTCAAAACAGAAGAAACGTCCACTAGTTGATGTCCCATTTACGGTTGAGCTTGTCCCAAACAGTCAAAATAATGGTGGGTGGCGCAAGTGAGAGTAGTGAAACATAAAATTTCAATTTCAAAAGTCTCATGAAATTTGTTCAATTAAAATTCCATTTCGAATAAATTCTAAAATTTTGAGTGAATTTTAATTTTGTATTTTGCATTATTTTCTTTGAAATGTTTGAGAAAATACTGCAATCAAGAAAACTAATAACATTGGATTGCAATTAAGATCGATGGGTTGTTTGCATAGGATGAAGTCAGTGCGATAATTATATCACTTTACGTACGTATTTTCATGCATACTTAATAAAACTCGTCATGTCAGGTGCTTTATTGCACTTCTTTTTCTGCAAGTAATCTCAAATCCATCGCTAATGGGTGTTATTTAACCAACTCAATTATCAAGGCCGTCATATTTACGGGTGCACACAGCATGCATAATTTCAGAACAATCCAGAACACTCCAGCTTTGAGTACTCAAAATTCATAAACAATTTATTCTATTTATGCATCTCATTAAGTAATTGCAAACGATTTACTTTGTGCATCTACCGAGAAGCATATTAAATTTTAATTAAATTAATTAACTCTAATTAAATTCTTTATGGGCAATATCAAATTTGTGTAATATTTGAATTACAAAACTATCTGGTTAATTTTAAGCAGCATTGCAGCGAATTGTGCATTACGCCAAGAACTTGTAAGCCTTGCGACATATGAATCGTGACGCGTTTATTGTTTTCACTAAAAAAACGGATCCCACCTTTGTGTTGATGCAGACCAGGAAACAAATTAAATCAACCAGGTCAAACCAGTCCTGGATTTATTTTCATTTTGTTTTTTGTTGTTTCAAACCTTGCCAGCATTACCATCTTAAACGAAGCACTCGTAAACAAGCCGTTACTTGTAAGCCCAGTAATAAAATCTTTTACGTGCAAATAGCAAATTTGCCCACAATACATACACACAAATGTACATACGGCAGAGTTCCCACGCTTCTGCAAATAATACGATGATAGTAAAAGTTAGTAATGAATGGGTCAAGGATAAGACGAGCCTAAGACTGGTGGTCTGGTCGTAGTAAATTTCTCTCCTGTGCGATAATGTGGCTTATCAATTAATAGAATCAGCCTGAAATGCTCCTCTTTCTTGCAAAAGTTTCCCCAGTAGCATATGCAAAACCTTTTAAGTATTTAAACATATAGTAGCTGCAGGTGGTAATTTGCCACGGGTAAAATTATGTACATGAATGAATGTAAGATGATAGCAGTTTATGAGAAGAGTGTGATGAAATGGACCGTCCGGGTTTACCTGGATAGTGTGAATCATGAGTTTTATGACTATCTAGGTGACTATATAGAAGTCATTTTTACAGGTTTTGCTCCAGTTACAGGTTGATCGGATTTGCATCTCACGATTCACGCAATTTTTGTACCTTGCAAGTTTTCAAAATGAGAGTTTTGGTAAGTACAATAATTTGCATTAATATTGACCTGAAATCATTCATTATCAGCGTACTCAAATCTTTGCAGATTCTTTCCATCTTCATATCAATATTTGTCGTGGTTGAATGCAATCCTGGAGGATGGGGTTGGGAGGAACCACCCCGACCACCACCCACAAAAGGATGGCGACCACACCCTCCTCCCCCAACTAAAGGATGGCGACCACCCCCAACTCCACCGACGAAAGGATGGCGCCCACCTCCTCCTCCCACGAAAGGATGGAAGCCACCCCCACCACCCCCAACGAAAGGTTGGGGCTGGAGTGGCGGTGATAGCATTTTTGGCGATGACGATGTCGACGAAGCTCCCATCATCAAGTTCTACTGCGAAACTTTGCGTCGCATTGTGGACTCTGTAAGCGAATGTCCTCGTCGCCCGTCTCGACCACGACCTCCTTATCACGACGATAACCACGGAGGATATCAGAAGGGTGGAAATCATGACCATCATGGAGGATACGATAAGGGGCATTCAGGCTACGTGGCTCCTCCAAGATCGTATCGAGATGCGAAAAAAGTCTTGGACACAGAGGATTATGATTGGAAATGGTGAAAAGAACAAGTTCCATATCGTAAAATAAGGCAATAAAAAGTGGTCATTTTGTAAAACGTATATGTATAAATCATAATGTTAAGTAGCTTGAATAAAAAATGCACGAAACTGCACACGTCAACTGCCCAAACGCGTCTAACTAGACAGCGTGCACAATTTGCCAAAAAATTAGCACTCAATGCATGATGGTACCTGCTAAAAGCCCAGTTGTCACACCATGATTAATTCAACTAAATAATCCAATCCAGCAATAATTATGCCAACTTGAAGAATCTGGTCCGTGTAGATTCAGGCTCATAAATTTCCAAGAACTGGCCCAATTATCGTGAAATGCGAGTATGCAATTAAGCAAAACTAGAAAAGATGAGACCATCTCTAAATATTAAACCAACCCATCCAGGATTTTCGCGAGTAAATAAGTTATCACATTTTTCTCCATGAATGACCCACAAACATTGGTACATATTTATTATATTTTATCTCCTTGACCCAGACAAAGATTAATTGCCGATCCATTCTTAAAATAATAAAATGACTAAAATAGCTCATGTTCACATTAATAAACCACCTACCCAGGTGGCCAACCCATAACAATATTCCATTCCCTTGACAGACACGTACAAAAGACTTCACCTCAGATTTAGAGAAATGTTTAATTGTCGACCCACAAGACAACAATCTCGATTCAATGGCAGATGCATAAATTCAAATATTTGCAAAGCAGCAAAAAATTAGATGACCACATACACATTTATTTTGAGACAGATGTACCACATCTTATTTTGCATTGCATAATTCCATGTTTTAGGTAAATCTAATCAGATTAGAACGAGCCGGCAAAATAACAAAAGTTAACGAACAAGTTTGTTCCTCCAGGCTGAGACACGAAGATGGAAGATGATCCTGATTAGAATGCTCATCCACACGCATTCATACCAATTTATGTACCAACAACAATGCTCATCTGCTCCCCTTTCTTGCTGGACACCTACCCAGCTAACCCAGAGACCCACTGACCAACCTGTGGGATGATAATGCATGCATGCATACATAAAGTATAAATTTATCATCCATATATTTATAACAAGTTTGGCCAACACTACCCAAAAGCAAAACCGAAACCGTGAATTATCCATAAAACAAGCGTCAGTTTACAAATTATGTACTTACAGCAACTTTTTCTCCAAGAATGGGTTGGGGAATTTTTATTTCTCTCTGTAAGAAAGTGGAACGTGGATGGATAATTTACAGCCATCACACTATGCGTTACTTGGTAGTAACTCCATGTCATCAAATCAAAGTAGCAATGAGATGATGTCCATAATGTAGAAGAGACCACTACGGTCGGGATTGAGGGAGAAGAAGATGCTCAAACCTTAATGAGGTATGGCTTACTACGAGTTATCCACTCACGTTAATAAAATTCCTCGGACAGGGATTTAACCAAATATTGGAAAATCGTGAGGAAACTTTATGGGTGATTAGGCCGAGAGATGAGTATAAAAGCCGGCCCGATTCTCCAGTTTATTACTCATTCTTCTCTCCAGCTCTGCATTCCTCCAGGACGCTGTTATACATTTCGTGAAAAATGAAGGCTTTCGTAAGTATTTTAGAATTTTGAGGGAAATTCGATGGGAGATTGCATGCTAAATATAATGATTTCTTCGTTCTTCTAGTTGGTCTTGGCCCTCTGCGTTGCAGTAACGTTTGCTCATCCGGGAGGATGGGGCAGTAATACCGGTGGTGGTAAGTTACTTAACTCTGAAATATTTACTTGTATTAGGACCGATTAGACCTAAAACGGTGTTGGTATGTAGGTGGATCCAGTGGTGGACACTCAACCGGTGGGTCTTCCAGTCGTGCTGCTAAGACTTACGTTTTCAACACCGGAAGTTCTGGTGGATCAGACGCTGGTCTCCGACATCTCTCCTACTCCCAGGGCGCTAACCTCCAAACAGGTCCAATCGGCCAGGGTGGACGAGCCGCTCAAACATACACTTACTCTGGAGGCTCCAGTGGTGGGTCTGACGCCGGACTCCGACATCTTTCCTACTCTCAGGGGGCCAATCTTCAAACAGGTCCAATCGGTCAGGGCGGTCGTGCCGCTCAGACTTATTCCTATTCCGGAGGCTCCAGCGGTGGTTCGGATGCTGGGCTCAGATTCCTCTCTTACGACCAAGGAAATAGCCTGCAAACTGGGCCAATCGGTCAGGGCGGTCGTGCTGCCCAGACCTACTCTTATTCTGGAGGCTCCAGTGGTGGATCTGATGCCGGATTGAGATTTGTGTCCTACGACCAAGGAAACAGTCTTCAGACCGGACCAATCGGTCAAGGTGGACGATCTGCGCAGACCTATTCCTACTCCGGGGGCTCGAGTGGAGGGTCTGATGCAGGACTTCGATTCCTCTCCTACGATCAAGGAGCCAACCTCCAGACGGGTTCCATCGGTCAAGGAGGCAGTGGTGCGGCCACCTACATTTTCAAGTCTGGTGGGGGCGGAGGTGGTAGCTCTGGAGGTTCATCTCGAGGAGGATATTCCAACGGTGGTAGCTCCGGAGGTGGTCTTGGTTTCGGATATAATGGAGGCTCAACTGGTGGTGGATCTGGTTGGTAATCACTTCAACCGTCCGAAAACCAGTCAAAATTCTAATTGGTTTAAAACCCACCTAATTTTATACCCTTACAAAAATCTTTAAAGCTCGCTCGTGGCTTAGTATTTACAAACCACAATAATAAAAAAAACGCCTCATTTGATACTCTCTTTACTCAAACATAACCAAAAAAGTTGTTTCATTCATTACTTTTCATACTTAATCAACCATACGCACACCTCTGCAATCCCAGTCAATCATCCTGCCATTCAGCCACAACGTTTATCCCTGTCAAAAAAATCTCTGACATCAATGACCGAGATGATCCAACAAGATTGCATACAATTATCTATTTATTTGAAAAAACAAACTAATTACAAATTAGATATGTGTGGGTTTAACCTGCACAAAAGTACAGAAAGTTAAACCCACACCTGGCACCTTAAAATGACGGGTAAAAAAAACATGATTCATGACGAGTGATTCATGACGAGCAAGACTCATTTATTACCTAAAACTTGGGGTCTATTTTTTCATTGTGCTTTTTTGTGTGAATATGTTGACATCGTGAACTATGAACATTACTGCAAAATGTTAATAAGATGATGGGCTAGCGATTATTATGATAATTTATACTGATACGCGAATATAGTGACAAGTCATCCAACAACTGTTGTGTCAAGATTTTCCATGTTATGCATTTACTTATTTGTGATTTCTTATAAACCAAAATGTGAATGGGGCAGAAAAATCGAGGATGACCTTCAGACTGTTTCACGCTGTTTTAAAGCTGCCATAAAACGAAACATGTATTTACGACAGCTTTGCAGCTAAATTGTAAATTTGCCGACGACGACTGACGATGAGAAGCGGAAACTTGATACGATCTCCATTGTTGTATATTACGCGATGACAATAATCACGTCGCTAATTTTTATTTGAAGAGCAATACATAGGCAATTTGCGAGTAGGTATGCAAGAAGTTGTTCTTCGGTGCAGAATTGTGCATTTCTGCCGTCTTACATAGTTTATCGTGAGTTGTGTACTGACTGCACTTATCACAGTTATCTGTTATTTTCTTTAATTGTATTTCATTCATTTTGAATGGTGTCAGTGTCAACGCATCGCACAAATTGGTTCAAATTTGTCTCACATTTTTGCAAATTTTTTGTTTCACGAAAAGAAAGAAATTTTATCTTGACTGAGAATAAACAAGGAAATCAGATGACACCAATTAATTTTCAGAGATCAAATTAGTGATCAATAATGTGTGACGGGAAATGTTAACAAAGTGTTAATTTATTTATTATGCATTTCCCTTGTTGATTTTATCTGCTCTAGACATTTGCATTAATTACAGAATAGGTTGTAATTAATGCCCGGGTCGTGAACAAATTGAAATTTAATTGCTATACATGTATTTAGACGACGTGTTCTTGAAATATTGATTTAATTCAATTTTTTCCAAATTATTTGCCAATCTCAATTAGCTCAATAATAATAATGATTGTGCTTATCCTCACTACAACAATGTACATTTAGCACAAAATTGCTTCAATTTCGGTACAAACAACAGTCACCAATGTATGTAAACATGCCACGACGACGACGATGGGAATCTGCATAACGTCGGATGGGAACAAAGAGTTATGTCAAGTTTCATGCATTTTTTTAAGACCACTGATACATTACGAGTAGGTATTACTCATAGTTTGTCACTATCAGCAGTCTCATCTCTCAGAAACTTTACTGGTTGATAGGTATTTGACCTTTGTTAACGTAATCATAGTTAAATCGAGCTAATTAAGTCGTATTTATATTTACTATGCATTTATTAAAATGTGATACAGATCACGGGTTACATGAGTCCTTTCTAATTCTCAGCAGATTCACCTTCCTCCTTCCTGCGCCTACCTGTTACATACAAAGTTTTTAATACATTCTCCTCGCAAAAATAAATGGGCGTTGGAAAAAAAATATTGAGCGAAATGTTGGTCAAGTTTCTTAATCAATTGGTAATTATTGTCACTCTCTTCTAAAGCAGATTACGATGAGGTAGTTTCATTTTCTTGCTGCGATTCAACTCATAAATTCGGACTTGTAAAATTTTATAAAATTGGTTCCAAAGTGAGGTGACGTTTATACAGTTGTGCAGATTTCCTCAATTTGCACGTGCTACCAGTGATAAATTGGATAATTAAATAATTCATAAAAATGTGGAACCCCAGTTTAGCCTCAGTTTTAATATTTCAATTTCTCCTCATCCTCCCGGAATCGCACTCTTGTCAGAAGAAACATCTCAAAAATTTACTCAGCGATGGGCCCGGTTTAGAGCCGGAAATTCACCACCACAATTACCACCATCACTATGATCAAAACGGGCATGAAATTCCACCACCACACCCGCAAGTGGATATTTTAAGGGGTGGTCACTACCAGGGAGAAGGTGTCGAGCAAGTCACCGCTGTGGAGGATGGAGATTACCCGGCCAAACATGTCGTCGTCCTTCAACCAGCACCACCACCACCGCAAGCAGATGAGGACTTTTTTGATTCCATCATCCCTAAAAAATTCCACCCGAAACATATCCTCAAACACCACATTCATAAATTAAGGGATCGATTCCGTGACCTGTTGGGAGACAAGAAGCCAGCTAAACATACTCACCACGGGCATCATGGGGGAGGAAAGTTGGGAAAGTATCAACAAGCCAGAGGACCCCCACCACCACCCCCACAAGGACCTTATCCTTACGGAAAGGTAGCCGTTCCTGCACTAAAAGTGCCTCTCGTGCAAGTTGAAGCGTACAAACCTGCATCGCCACATTATCATCAAGATCCAAATCATCCCAAAACTGTGGCGTATGTCAGTCCGGATGGTTATCAACCTGCCGTTGTGGTCAAACAGAGACCACTTTCTCACCCACCACCACCACCTCCTCCCCCGCACTATGCCCACGAACCACACCCACCCCCACACGCTCACCCACCTCCAGGAGAGGCCTACCAGTATCAACCTGTCGCTTACGAGCCACCCCAGCCAAAGGGTCCTCCACCACCACAGCACGAATATCCGGTAGCTTATCAACCACAACCGCAGCATCATCCCGTCTCATATCTTCACCACCCGCAACCTCATCAACAGCCTCAACCCCAGGTCACGGTCCAGGTCCAACCTCAAGTACAACACGTAACTTACGCGTCGCCCGAAGAAAGTCCGTACCACCAAATATCATCGCCTGGTTCTTCGATATATGGTCCGCAGTCGTCCAGTCCGTACTCCTCGTCGCCATTTGCGTCTCATCGCAGCGGGGGTGGTGGTGGTGGGAGTGGGGCCACGAGTTACCAGCATTTTGGCCCGTCGTCGTCAGTGTCTTACAGCACTGGGGGTGGAGCGAGTCCCTTCGCTTCGGATAGTTCGTCTCCCTACGGAGAATCCAGCATATATCAATAAAATGCTTTGTTAGTATACTAAATCTACGTAATAAATAGTCAATAAAATGAGACGCAGACAGCAGCAGGGGACTTACCGCTGATTCTTCTTGATCGTGACTTTGACCCATAATCATGACGAATTAAGATGCTGAAGAATATTAATTTGGTGAAGATTCGTATAAAAAATTGCATGCATTTTTATTCATTCATTCATTTTATGCATATGAACAATGTTGCATGTATAATTATCATTATCATCGTCATCTTCCCAACCTTGTATGCAAATTTGAGCCATGCCTACATTTTTGTAGAAAAATCACAAACCTATTAAATACTTACATATTTATTTTTGTACAATAATAACGTATGCAGACAATTTATTTTTGTAATAAACTCGTATAATTGATATTCTTAAATCAGTAAATGAGCTCTTTTGATGTATAAGCAATCATTGTTGTCATCCTCATCGTCATAATTATGTACTGGCACGTGCACAATTTTTATTTGCATGACTAAATCAACCAGACCAACCGGAGCCACCACCACGACCACCACTGCTGCGACCTCGACTGAACAGAGATTTCAGACTTCTAAAGAAACTTGACAGGCCACCTCCGCGTCTTTGCCCACGACCACCTCCGCTTTGCCATCCAGACGATGAAGCTGGTTTACGACTAGCTTGCTGACCCCACCCGGAACCGGAACTGGCCGCTGGGGCACCATATCCTCCACTACCCGCTTGCCATTTTCCACTCGAGGAAGAAGACGACCCCCCTTGTTGCCCCCAACCACTGGAAGAGCTACTTGCTGCTGGGGCACTGTAGCCCCCACTACCCGCTTGCCATTGTCCCCCGCTAGATGATCCTCGACCCCAGCCAGAGCCTGAGGAGCTACTTGCCGCTGGGGCACCGTACCCCCCACTTCCCGACTGCCATTTTCCACTCGAGGAAGAAGATGACCCTCCTTGTTGGCCCCAACCACCCGAACCAGAACTTGAAGAACTGCTATACCCCCCATTTCCGGGCAGCCATTCCCCTCCGCTTGATGAAGATGACGACGACCCTCCTTGCTGACCCCATCCAGATCCTGAGGAAGATCCTCCACCACCACCACTTCCTCGGTTGCCTGCAAAAATTCCGGCAATAATACCGCACCAAATTGCTACTGAAATCTAACAAAAAAACATAAATCTGTTACACAAAAGACCAGCAATATAATTACTCAAGACAATACAAAAGACAAAACAATTACCAAAATCTTCATGATTGTCCTAGCTCATAAAATCTGTGAACAAATGACAATCCTTTATCTACAAAAAGTTGTCGACGTCCTCAACAATAGTCAGAAAGGAACAAAGCAAAAAATAGGAACTATCTCCCTTTATATAAGACATTCATTTATTTCTTCCCTATTAATTCTGGACATTGAAATCTACTACTATTGAGCATGTAACATTAATATACAATTTTATTAATAATCAGACCTTCCACGGAATAGCAGTAACATACATCAGCATGGATTTAGTACCTACAGATTTGTGCAAAGGCCAAAGGTGCGAGTCAATGGTCAAGTGGTCTTATAACGACTTCTACTTATGAATGCACAGTAAAATCACAATTTTAACACAGCAACGCATCTTCTTCTTCAGGATGAGCAACTTTGTATTAATTTGTTTTTTAAGGCTACACCTTAAACTAATGCTCACACTAATGCCATCGCATCGACTCAAGCAGATACGACCCTTCACCTCGTTAACTCCTCCATCACAAAAAAAATCATCCTTTAATTAATTGCTGGCCATAGTCTCACGTTTTTTTGGAGGATGGCTGCAGCAAAATCATGCACACACGAAGAAACAAATCACGACACATTATTACCAAGCTGCATCTGGTTATATAACTCGTCCTTCAAATTAGTTGCAGAAAATGTTCATTAGCAATTACTTCTTTGCAGGTCAATGTTCATACTTTACGAAGTAATATCCTTCTCCCACACCAAGTTATCAATAAAACTCAAACTTTTTTCAATAATCGATACAAAACTTTGGCAATTACTTTGTTTCTAAACTCATAAAATATGCACCTGGGTCGAACTTTGGGCAGGCAGGAGAGAGAAGAAAGTCTCTCTCAACTCCCTCAGGCCAGGTGGAGATGAAAATCTGCATAATGTGAGAAAGAAGAAGGACACGATACCGATCTCTTTCACTTTCTCAGTTGAGTGCAATTCCACCCGCACCTAATATAATGCCATCATCATCGTCTCCTCACTCTCCTCCTGGAAGAAGAAGAACTGGGACGACTGCTGGGACACTGAGAACATGAACGAAGATCCGAATTCGGATGCGTGAATTTTGGAATTTTCTCTCCGTGTCTCACCAAACTCATGCTCATTCTCCTGCCTGGAGTCATCCGAAGAGGGACTCGTCCATCTTTTTCTGCCATCCCAAACTCTCACACTCATCATCGTCACCATGATTGATAACCTTACTAAAGATAAGTCAGTTTCATCCTCCATCCGCCGAACCTACGTCCATCCGTGACAACACTACCACCGCTACTTATTTGTTAAGACAACCAGCTTTAACCATGATTTGATCGGCTACAATGTGGTATAAATTATAAGTAATTAATTAAGAGTACGATTAAAGAGAGAGACTCAATTCCCTCCGGAAGTGGAAACACACTTAAGTGAATAGGTTATCGAGAAAGCTCGAGAAGATGTGTTGCTCCATGAAAGCCACTGTTTTCTTTCTTTCAAGTCTGCATATAGTAAGTGGATGAAAAAGTGGATTTAATTTGTGCATTTGTCGACAATTTTGGTGCTAAAATACCCTCATTTTTTGTACACACAGTGGTATGCCGTAACTCAGGCTGTGATTATTGCTCCTCTTGTCGTCTCTTCAATCTCTACCCGTAAGTCAGTCGCTCATTCTTTCTTTCTCCACCCCAATGCATTCCACTAATTAATGAAATTAATCATTTTTATACTCGAAATGTGGTTTTGTGCAGTTCTAAGGAGCAGCAAATTAATGAACACGTATTAATTTCAGAGCTCGCAGAATGCATCTTGGTTATCATCTACTCTTGCGTATTCTTTTGTGCCGGATTTCTCATCTTCCTCGGTACAGATCAGGTACGTAGCTAATTATCCGGCTCTCAACCCATCCATGAACGATTTTTCCCTTGTCAAACCTCGAATCATTCATCTTTCTAAAAAATTTCCACAAAATTGGATCGATAATGATGCTCAAAGTGTGCATCACGTGCATCACCCGTGTTCAAAACATATTTACATAATTGCAACGCGCCTGTATAATGAAGGAGATATGGCGAAAGCAGAATTTCGCAGCAGAATTTCGCAACATGTTGTACGGAATATTAGTAGCGAAACTTCAAAAAGTTTTTGTTTGACTTTGTCAAACTAGATTTACATACATACATCATTACTTTAATTTTTTCAAGCGTAAATTCGCAGACTTATGATGGAACCAAGGAGGAAATGACGCTTTGTTGTTTTCAAAATGAAAATGCCATCGCACTTCGTTCCTCGCACATTCACATAAGTATTTGTTTTCTGCTTATCTTTCCGCAAACAAAGTGAGAGAGACAATTCAATTTTCACGAATTTCGCCCGTGTGGAAAGTTGATTGAATTTTGAATCGCGCAGTCTTTATGATTTGTTCATATATATAAATACACACACACGGTCGGCATTTGTATCGATCTTTCTTCCCTTCTGCCGGAAGAACTGGAGAAGAGGACCAACTATTCGAGAAGGAATATCGCACTCGAATCTGATGATTTTCTTCGTTTCACATTCTGCATTATAATAGCTTTCGTTTGTTCATACACAAAAGACTTGACATCTTGAAATTGAGTTGTGCCATGTTTTGGAAATGGTCAATATTTGTGGCCTGGCAATGTTGTAGTCGTCATTGTTGCAAGGTTGGGGAAGTTGAGAACTTTTGCATTCATACTGGAGCAATATACATGCAGATTTACGTGCGATACGCAACTTAATCAAATCAAGGGATGGGATTCTATTGTGAATTTACTAACAATTGATCATTAAAATTACAATTATTACAATTTTAGGAGTCCACCATGCTTGTCGGGACAGGAGCAATTATGCTGTTAGTGATTCTGGGCAAACGTTATATCGTAATGTACCACGGTAAATGAATTTATTTGAATAATTTTCATACTAAATACTTTGTAAAAATAACTGATGCATATTTTTCCGAAAAAAGGCATGTTGTTGAAACCCACGCTGCCTGAGGTGAGGTTATGAATAATGGTCTATTTAGAAAACAATTTATACTAACAAGTAGGATTCAGATAGATAAATCATATAATTACTAAACAGTCGGTCTTTAGTAATAATGTAGACCAGGATGCAAATTTCACACCTGGTTCAAATTGACTCGTTAATTCCAGGGAGACTTCCTCAACCCGTACGGAACCACTGTTCCTGTTATTTTCAGGTAACCACTTTTAACCTATATTAACCATTCCGCATTTAATACATTAACATTTAACTCATAAAACTAATCCTCCAATCTTCCCAAATTTCTAACACTTTCAGCGTCCTCTTGTACATTTTTTATATGTCAATTCTGGTACGTTTTTACTTTGATTTGTTGTCCCAAGAGTAGGCCATTTATTTACCGAGGTGTCTACATTTACAGTTTTGCTACCATAATGAATTAAGCTATGCCACCCCTCGAACCTGTCTCACGCCATTGTCATGCCGTCGTCAATTTCCCCAGTCGACGTCGCTAAGTCTCAGTCTCAGTCCCAGTGGAAATCTCAACCCGCACATGAAGTGAAGCAGAGAAGATACAACTTTATTATTATTAACACTTTTCCGAAGAGGAGGAACAACTTTTATGATAAGATTCGTTTGGATGACGTGATTCTGAACGGGTATAATACAGTAAGTTGCGTGTGATTGTAAGTGTGTATGCATGTGCAGAACAGAAATTTAATCACCATTTGTACCTTGTTTTTCTTATATTGTAACAATAATTCTGTACATAAATTTATGACATGCGAATAAGATGGATGAGAGAATGAGGTGATTTATTGCCGTGCACAACTAAAAGGATTGATTGCCTCGTCGAGTGTGTGGTTCTTGTTTAGAAAATATTTTAGTACTTACTTTATAAACAATAACTTGTAAGAAGTCAAAGTCACACACACAACGGGAAGAATGAGACGAAGATCAACTCGTGTAGGAATAAATGCTCAGTTCTTCTTATCGTCTATTGGGACATTTATGGTGTGCGGATCCTCCAGAGCGCTATATATCGACTACATACTTACGTATTATCTATATGTATACCTAATAAATTGTAAGAATAATCTATAAGGATGGATCGAGTGTAATAAAATTTATTAGAATTATATATACAAGGTCAATCTGCATACTTATATAAGTAAATGCAATAAAGTTACGAAATACTTTTGCATACGAGGAGACTCTTTATTATTACTTTTTGCATAATTTTTGCAAAAATTTTTTAGACTAGACGGCGCAAGTTTATGTTTGTGACAATTATTATTTTTTCTCTCGGTAACATTATTGGCAGCCACATTACGAAATTGCACATCTATAACCCTTCCGTCGATCATCTATCTCTCCAGGCTATGCGTTTGACTCGTTGCATAAGAGTTTTTTTGTGTCATGTGTAATTCAGCATAAAATCGTTCTCCATTCCATCCACCACTTTCTCTCCTGCTCAAGAAACCTGCAACTTTCTCTCGGAGAATCTCAAATTTATTATTGAAGCAGAAAACTGTCCCTGCCATGTCAGACTGACGGATTCGTTAATCTTTTGTGACATAGATACACACAAAAACCATTTTCCTCTCCACGTACGCAGGTTTTTACAATTATATAAATATGTGAAATAAATATCACATTTTCCCATCAGAAAAATGAAGCAATACAAATTTTTCGTCATCATTATTTCGATCCGAAAGTAATCGGAGAGCTGTTTGTCTAATATGGGACGTGCCTTTGCTTTCACTCACTCACTCGCAAATGCCCCCACCTACCTACGTAACATGTCATGACACCAAAACCATACCCAACCAGCGAGGATCCTTTTACTTCTCAATTTCACCCTGATCCTATCATCCCATCCTTTTTGGTGGTGTAGAGTTCCTCTCGAAAACAAGGCCTAGGAGCCAATTTGAGCGTTTGAAAGTTACATGCTGGACGTGAAAAAGGATGCGTTTGACAACTGTTTCATAAATCACGAGAAAAACAAAAACCCAAAAACATTTCGCCAACTTTTGACTTTCTCTCCTTTGTTTCCCTCCAAAGGGGTTTCGAGCCGATCTAGATTTTATATTTCCGTATCCGCATTTTCCGTTCTGCTTGAAAACACTGTCTTTTCCTCTGCCGGATGTGGTATCATCCGTCAAAAAGTAGACATAAGTATGCGATTCATATATCAAAAATGTGGTCAGGCAAGGCAAGCCACGGACAGATCAGAAACCTTCCGAACAAGAAAAATGCCACGGAAAATCTGGCCATGGCGATCTGACATTTCTTTATTTTCCCAGCAGCAGCAGTGGCACATGTCTCTGTTTCACTTTCACTCGTCTCAAATATGTAGTTACCCACATCCTGTCTCATCTCGTGTATCAAATCATCCGCCCATGTGCAGCTTCCTTATTAAAATACCTTGCTCAGAGTGCTACGCACATCCCACTCACTCACCAACAGCCATTTATCATTACTCTGCTCCTGCAATATTGTTGTGACGAAACGAGGCATAAAATTTGATCCTCGCAAAAATTACACTCCGATACAAAAATGCTACTTATTTAGATGAGATTCATGATTGTTTAATATCACGGATTTGGCATTAGTTTAGCTACACGTGTCTTACGTAGAGATATATTTGAGAGATTTTTTTTGTCCAGAGATCCACGTCACGTGAGGAGGAGGGTAATGTCGTCAGTCGGTTATATATAAAAAAAGGTGTCGATGGCCACTGTTACCTAGGGACTATTTTCTCTATTCGGCAATCCCAACAATTCTTGAATCCGGTGAAGATAAGAATAGTCTCGAGCATTTGGCAAGTTCGTAACAACACAAGCACTCAGCGCGCTCCGGTTTAAGTTCATGTGCGACCCGTCAAACCACTCATTCACTTTACTGTCATAACACTCCACGTATGGGATCGTGGTCGCCCCTAGTGGTGGGAAAAGTGACACGTCAAGAAGGCTTGCAAATAGTAAAGAATTTGATCCTCATCTTCGTCATCCATCGTGCCTCTGCCTGCCAAACAACTCACCGTTAAATCCCCCGATACAAATTAGTAACTCGTCGGCACACACAGCGGCGAAATTGCTCCGGGCACTCGACATATCTGGGATCATTCTCCAAGGACCGGGTTCCTCAGGGTCGTATCTTTCCGCCGTGTTGAGCCTGTTGAAACCGTTGAAGCCTTGGAAAAGCAAACATGACATTGGTATATCATGAGAACGGTAAACATTCACAAATCAGGGAGAAAATCAAGTCGGTGAGAATTAACCAACCAACTAAAATACTCTCTTATTACCTCCCACAGCGTAGAGACAGTCTCTGTAAGCCACGAGTGAGATTCCACTCCGAGGCGTGTTCATCGGTTGGATAAATGTCCATTGATCTTCCTAGTTGAAGTGGTTTCGAAATTAAATTGCTTAGTCAAACAGGATGAGGGCAAGCAAGTTCATAATTTCCAATTGTATGTATACCGCCGGGTCGTAAGTTTCCACACTGATGAGAACCTCCGTTCCTGTGAATCCGCCAGCAATGTATACTTTTCCGCGGAGAGACGCCGCCGATGCGTCGCTACGTTGTCGGTTCATCGAGCTGATCATTTCCCACTGGTTCAAGGCTGGATCGTACCGTTCACCCGAGGCCATCCTGGTTCGACCATTGTATCCACCGCAGGCGTAAATTATTCCGTCTGGAAATTATTTTACATAATTATTAGCTCACCCTGCGTAGCATGAGAGCTATTGAATTCCTCTTGTCCGTCTGTCTGTCTGTCCGTCTGTCTGTCTGTCTGTTAACGACCTTTATGCATCAATTGATGCTAATTAAAATGTCCCTGGTCCATTTTTTCATAAGTTAATAGCACCGTTGGTATCTGACAATCGGAAACACCAAATGATGCGAAAGAATTGGGGGCTTTGATGCATAACGCACCAATAATGCATACTACTCGGCGGATTTTATTAGACAATTTTGAAATAAATTTTTCAAAATTATCGTTGATCGTTGATAGGTAATTCTGCACCAGTGATGCACAATTTTTGGACTTTCCTCGATGCATAATAATTATTGAACTATTTTGTTTAATTTTTCTGCACCATTGGTGCAATATTGTATAAACATTATTGATCTATTTTGTTGGATTTTTCTGCACCATTGGTGCAATATTGTATAAACATTATTGATCTATTTTGTTGGATTTTTCTGCACCATTGGTGCATAATTGCACAAAAATTATGTATCTATTTTGTTGCATTTTTCTGCACCTTTGGGGCAAGTTATAACCAAATCATTATTACAGGGTGAGCTACTTCCAACGTTACTACGGTTTATTCCTATTAAATTGACATCAAGCTTACAATGCGATAACGCCAGCGGTCTCGCTCCGATTTTTATGGAACCACGAAAATTATGTAGCCTTAGATAAATAATTTACCACGTGTTTCAGGATTTTTCATAATGCTCAGCTACAACGAAATTATGATGGAAAATGTGAGCGAGAATTTGTAATTTTCTCCCTCACGAGAAAATTTTCATGGTAAAAAATACAAATTCTCGCTCATGGATTCCATCATACAGATCTGTATTTGTAATTTCGTTTAAGCTGAGCATTATGAAAAATCCTGAAACACGTGGCCAATTATTTATCTAAGGCTACATAATTTTCGTGGTTTCATAAAAATCGGAGCGAGACCGCTGGCGTCATCGCATTGTTAGTTAAAAGCTCACCCAAGGAACAACAGCTCACGTAACAGCGCGGCAACAGCATGCAGGATCGCTCCTCCCAAATCTGCCGGACAGGGTCGTATCTCTTCACCGTGCTGAAATGTTCTTGGCCATCAAACCCCCCAATCATGTAGACGAAGTGACCCACCGCCACGAGACCGTGGTATGCTCGAGGCGTGGAATCCGTGTTGTTTAAGAGGAACCATCGATCAGCCCTGGAAGCCAAGAAGATAGGCATTGTGTATGATATGATGGAGAAAGTTGGGGAAAAGTAAAAGTAAAAATGTATGTGAGTGTCGTTGGCAGGGAGGGGAAATTGGAAAAATGCTCGCACTTCAAGTCAGAGAAAGTCTCTCTGCCTCGACTACCTACGAAAACGAGTTCATATCCAACAACTCACTATTATTCACCAGACTTTTATATAGCCCAACCTGATGTCGTATGTCTCAATGAAAGCCGTAGGACTCCCAGCACTCCATCCACCCACGGCGAAAATAACCTCGTACGGAATCCTGGGCCTGGCCAAGGGATCATTAAGATCCACCTCGGTGTTATTAAGCGAGTCAATGGAAGTCAAAAGTACGTAGGGAGCATCCAACACGCTCCGCACGGCTTCATCCTCATTCACAAAGTGCCACTGGTACACGACGTTGCTGAAATAGCCGTAGCTCATGAGTCCAAACCGTACACAGGACAACATTTCTGCAACATATTTCCTCCTCCGGTGCGGATATGCCTCCACCCACGCTCTAATCGCTTCAAACACCATGGCTTCATTGCGGACGTTGAGGTAGTCGTCGAGTAGAATGACTTTCAACTCTTCGGGCTCCAACTCGAGGAAGTCTTGAGTCCCAATCACGCGTCGAAAGTTGTGCAAGATGTAAGTCTTGGCTTTAGTTTCGAGTTTGGGACAAAAGTAGGGCCGTCCTAAACGGTAGAGACGCAGGGTATTGTCTGGAGTCATCTTTTCAATGAGGTAAGCACAACACTGCTGCATAACCGGAACCATTTTAAACTTTGTCGCAACTTGCAACAAGTTTGTCACTGTGTCGAGACTCTTCTCGAATTGGCCAGTGTAGGCAAAATCAATAAGGCATTTGAGCGTTTTGGAGTCAACAGTTGTAAGACGGAGGGTTGGTGAGGCTTCCATATCGGGAGTGGAAGTGGACGAGGTGGAAGGATGCTGATTTCCAGAGGAAAGTTTCTCATGAAAGAAGGGACAACTTGACGCCAGAATGCAACGATGGGCCGGAAATATCTGGAAATTTGATAACAAAACTCTTACTATGCATTATTCGCCGGCAGCAAACTGACATGTTACCAACCTTCCCATCATTCGCTTGGATCGTACAATCGCATAAAGTACCATGATCTAGAAACTCTTTCCATTTTGGTGGGTGGCCATCACATATTCTAAACTCGACCCAGTTTAGGTCACCATTTTGAACATTTTGCATGGCTCCGGTGCCCCCGGTGACAGCACTCGCCAACGAGATACTCTTCTCCAACGCCATTTCTAAACTATTATCAAGTTCGGCATCCAACTTTAGGGTGAATAATGGACTCGTGGTTCGATACAGGTTCCTGCTTCGCTCCGTCTCGTGGTCACTTCCGCCCACGTCAGCGGACTTTTCCTGAATCCTCATTAAGGTCATAGTGTTACGATTTTGATCGAGTGCTCCTCCTCCTCCAGAAATTGTGGTTTGTTTGCCCCCTGCAGCATTTTTGAAGTGCCCCTTATTCATTGAAGGGACCGGAATGTTGGACGCGCCTGGAGCACCCTTGTGTCCTCTCAGGCCAAGAAACTGCTCCAATTTTGGAGCCGTAACGGCCGAATTTCTTCGCCCAGATCCAGATCCAGGTCGTGAAGATGACGACCCCGATGTGGTCCCCCGATTGGAATCATCATCTGTGGAACTGCTCGTGTTGGGGCGACCAGGACCGGACATTTTTTAAAGAAACGGTGAATTTTAATAATATTATTTCGTTTTTGTCCCTATAAAATATTTCTGGGAAAAACTGAATTTTTTAGACACTTGAATAAGTTGTTAAGGGATCCTGTAAGAGGAAAGTTGGAATTTGGCAAAATGTCAAAATCTACCTTTTGTGTGACAATAAAAAGTGTTTATGGTAACCGAGATGGATATCTTATACGTTCCACCACACCACACCAGATGATAAGGCACACACTTATCAAGCTCCTTTCAACTGTTGAAATGTCTTCGTTTGGGGTGAAGTGTTTTTTCATGTTGATAAAATGCGTGACTGCATCCACCACTGCCTGGATGACATGAGACTTTGGTTATGAATATATTATGCAACACATTAACCATGCTCACCAACCAGCACCAGTCAGCAGGCAGTGGTCCGTTTTGTTGAATTCAACTTTTCTTCGACTGGGTGGGTGGGTGGATGTTTTGGTTGAAGTGGAACCTTTGCTTTCTCCAGAAGAAAACAGACACTCCGTATCCGGGATATTTCCTCATTGTGAGCACTTCAATGCTCAAAATCTCACAGAAATCTCCATCCCATCAGTCTCAGGCGCTGCCTGAGCCAAAACTCTGTCAAAACCCGAGTCCTCCCTTAACACGAATAATAACACAAATTTTGTCGAGAGCAGTTCAAGAAATCCTTAAATAAACAAATTTTGAAAGTCTAATGAGAGTCTTTCTCATGTTTGCAAATTCAAATTCAAGCATTACTTGTAATGTTTCAAAATAATTAAATATTATTATTTTTAGTCACATCCAACTAACAACTAACAGAAGAGTGACTACGAATTTCCCATGATAATGAAGCCAATGGAGAAATATTATTGGCAACTTTTACCAGAAAAGTAGACCGAAGAATAAAAGTCAGGAATAGTTGGTGTTCATTTCCTCACGCGTAGTAGGAGGTCAAACTTTTAATGGTCCCTGCGACCAACAAAACCAACCCCAAACTCCCACGAGCGATGATGATGGTAAAATTTACTCGTCATAAAAACCTGAAAGTTGATGATCAGTCCATCTGATTGTGTCGCTGGCTTTTTCCTTTCGCTTGATCATCTCCCCAGTTACGAGATGATCCAGTCCTGTCTTTTTGCTTTCTCTTCCATCCAACTAACTAATGGCATGGTCACTCTGCCCGTTTATATAAGCTGCCTGTCGAATAGATACCATCTGACCCTACCAACCAGGCATCAAGATAACACTTAAACCCGGGTTGGATGCAGATGCCAAGTCAACTCTTCTATCTATCTAACTCTGGCGTTCCCGTAATGTGAAAAAATTTAGGCGAAAAAGGTGCGTTTTATTTCCCACAGGAAGTTATTACCACGGCACGAACGACGACCAAGTCGCGTCGGTTAGTTTAGTTGGTAATTGATTCCTTGGTGGTGTGGTGGAAATGGAGATGGCATGTGAAATGCGGCACTCACTTACGGTTATGTTCGTCTTCTCGGACTTCTCTCTAAACCTCTAATGGTTCCGTATCACTCGGGATTTATGACCTAACCAACGCCACCACCACCACTGCGACGCTAGATATGTGACCATTGCTAAGCCTTGGAGCGTTCTTCCTCTCTAGAAATCCGACTCACATTATATTTATTTATTTGCTTCCGAACCTACTGACTTATTTGCTTCAAAAAGTATAGCTCTTTCTCTATAGCAGTCTTAAGTATATACATAGGCGTCTCCTCCTTATTTACAAACCCACCCACCCACTCACTCTTCTTGACTAGATGAGTTATATCCGACAAGTCCCAAGTTTGCGGTAGTAAATGTATGTAACTCTTCTTCTTCTGCTCTTCTCATTCCACAATGACGGAGGCAGCTGGAGAAAATATCTTTTCGGGAGAAAATGTGGTTTTAATAAAATGATGATGACGATTTGAACAACTTTTGAACAAAAAATATGTTTCAGTTCATAAATAATCGGGAAAATGGGGATCGATTTCAAAACCAACGCCGCATGATGAGATGATTATTTCCAAGTGGTAAGATTGCTTCACGAGGAAAAGCAAAGTCTGGAATTAGCATTCGCCTCATTACTTCTCCCCACAGGAAAAATATGGTCAAACAAATAAATACTTCTCAGACAAAGGACTTAATCCCGGGCAAATGTGTCGTTCTAATAGTGGCATCGAAAGTTAATAGATTCGATTTTATGTGGGCATGCAGAGGCTTAATGATGGTCTGACTGAAATATGCCTAGGCACTAGCCCTCCATATACCGTTAATAATAATAATTTCCACCCATACAAGGTTTCCCTCTGTCCCCACTCCCATCAACATCAACATCTTTATACTGTTGGGAAGAGGATCATTATCTTAGTGAGGTTTAGAATTGGACGTTTACTCAGCATTATTTTAGCTGCTGCTGGTCCTACTGCACTGGTCTCGAGTAATGTACAAGAGTCGAAAACCAAGCCAAACCAAACCATTCAGCCCATTCGCCACTATTAACTTTTATTGTCCCACTTTCCCCACTCTGACTTTCTCCATTTGGTCGCGGAACCAAATCTGCGAGTGACATTTCACAATTTCAACACTATAACCATCCACAACCGAGGGAACAGTTAACATAACTTAGCAAGGGGCAAAGTGCAGAGTTACATGTATTTCCAGATGGTCATGCATGTAAGTATTTTCCGGATAATATATTTAAATTCTAAATAATAAAATCCTGAAATCAATTCATACCAAAAAAATACAGGTAAGTATACATAAAAAGAAAAGTAATAATATGAAACCTTGCGATAACGGTATTAAATATTTTCCTGGATGAATATCAAAAAATCTCCCCTCCAAACCAAAGTTTTAGTAGATATGCATACATATACCACCAAAATTTGCCCTGGTGCCCACCAGCAGCAAGTGACACACCCAATAGAATAGAAATTATAATGGAAACACGAAATGAAACTGGGTCATCAATTTCAGCCTGGATCCAATTTATTTCCTGATCCCATTTAAATACAGGGCTTCTCTTCTGCTATTACGCGTCCTCCTCCTCTTCCTCCTCCTCTCATCCTCAGTTTAGTAGTGCTCCTCTCCTTCTTCTTTAGGGAAATAGTTCGAGGGAGAAAGTGATTTTAACAAAGGGAGGAACAAAGCCAGACCACCACCACTTTTGCTCCTCAGTTTGAGATAGAGAGAAGTTTTGTAAATTGAAAAAAAGAAGAAGAAATCGGATCCCAATGAATGAATCCCTCCGAGAAAAAAAAGTATTGAGGGAGGAAAGAAAAAACCCACCGAACAAAAAGATTGATTAGATACAAGCAAACCGAAAGATATGCATAATTTTGCCATCGAATTCCCATCCAAAGTTTCTTCGAGCGGGATAATGCTACAAATAAATGTAAATGATCTGTAAAAATGGAGTTTATAAAGCAAGCAAAGTATATGCGAGGGGATAAATTGATTTGTTTTCTGATTGGGCTAATTTTCTCGAGGAAAAGTCAGCCTTTTGAATTAATTTAAAACTTTGGCATGCCCTGAGTGACTTACAAGAAACAGCAGGTAACTCATTTTGCAAGGAAAAACTGATCTCATTTTATTAAGTAGCTTCAGCTACTTTATGTGAAGACTTTGTCTGTCTGTCTGTCTGTCTGTCTGTCTGTCAGCAGGATATCAGGAGAACGGATTGAGATAATCGAAATCGGTTTTCGCCATCATACATAGGACCCCAGGGGGAGGATCCTATCAACTTTTGGGGGCAACCGGACCACACCCCCTTTGGCGACAGGGGGTGTGGTCGGGGCAAAATGAGATTTTTAGTGCAATTTAATCTATAGGTGAAATAGAGTAAAATTATGTGTTCCGGAGTTGTGCCACACCCCCTCGGCGCCAGGGGGTGTGGTTGGGGCAAAATGAGATTTTTAGTGCAATTTAATCTATGGGTAAAATTAGGTGAAATTGAGTGAAATTAAATGAAATTAAGTGAAATTAAGTGCTTCCCCGATTGTGCCACACCCCCTCGGCCCCAGGGGGTGTGGTTGGGGCAAAATGAGATTTTTAGTGCAATTTATTCTATGGGTAAAATTAAGTGAAATTGAGTGAAATTAAATGAAATTAAGTGAAATTAAGTGAAATTGAGTGTTTCCCCGATTTTGCCGCACCCCTTCGGCGCCAGCGGGTGTGGTTGGGGCAAAATGAGATTTTTAGTGCAATTTAATCTATAGGTGAAATAGAGTAAAATTATGTGTTCCGGAGTTGTGCCACACCCCCTAGGCGCCAGGGGTGTGGTTGGGGCAAAATGAGATTTTTATAAAAAATTAATCTATAGATGAAATAGAGTGAAATTAAGTGTTCCCGAGTTGTTCCACACCCCCTCGTCGCCAGGGGGTGTGGTCGGGGCAAAATGAGATTTTTACAAAAAATTAATCTATAGGTGAAATAGAGTGAAATTAAGTGTTCCCGAGTTGTGGTGGGACCGTTTGGGGTGAAGTACGTCTGAAGCTACTTCCGTATGCGCGTTTGCGACGGTTTATTATATTTTGACAAGACTTTTCCTCCCGTCTCGGATCGTTGGTTGGTTGGTTTTTAGGGTCTCGTACTTAACAACGTTGAATAAATAGAACGGCACAGGATACCCCGATTTTCTCCACTATTTCACACGATTCCTTCCCTCTCTGGGAAGATATTTGTAAATTGGTTTTGTCCGAAGGTAAAAGTCGTAACATAAATTACTACCAACGACACTCCACTGCAAAGCATTTGATCCCCTCCATTTCCATTACATTCCATAACATTGAGGAAAACACATCTGATGAGATGAGGTCAATATATTCCGAGTTGATGGTCCGTCTTCCGGTTCTTGTGGGCGAGTTGGTTAGATAGTTGGCTGGTTGTGTCATCCTCTTCTTCGCCCCCATGCATATTCCTCTTCAGGAATTTCATCAATAAAAATAAAAATAAGTCCACGTCCTCTCTCTCCAGAAGCTTATATCCAAGGAAGGCAATTCCCACAAATACATGGACACAAACCCATCCACCATTTCAGTAGGTACCTCTCGAATTGCCTTCTCTTTTCAATTCAGAGTTTCATCACATCTTATCTGCATTTAATAATGTGCCTCTGCCTCCTCCTCGATTTCTGCCTGTTGTAGCAATGCATGCATGCACAAATACTAATAAACCTTCCACCCACCCACCACCCACCACTGAATTGGGTGTGGTGTGTGTGATACGCATAAAAAAGTCGGCCAAAATTCCAATTTCTTCGTGTCCCCGTTTAGAATTCCGGTCTCTTCCTTCGATAAAAGAAAGTTGGATTCCTCTCCTCGTTACTGGGTACATAAGTAAGCAAAATAAATGGTCAAACTCTCATTCTGTTTTTATTGGCAGTACTGTCAGATCAAGAAGAAGAGAACAAAGAGTGTGCAAAAAAAGAGAGCAAGAGTCCAGTCCGACATTCAGGAAAAACATTTGGTTGGACCTCCTCACGAGAAAGAGGGGGAAAAATGGATAATGTAATTTATACAGATAAGAGGAAAAGGGCAAAAGTCTGTTATTGTAGGCGATAATAACCAGCAGTTCGTTGAAACAAAACAAATGGATTTTGGTCAATTCTCACTTTTTCTAACCGATAATAGGCTTGATTCCGAAAACCAGGAACTCGTCACAATTCATGTTTTCATTTCCGTTTTCTCACCATACGCAGAAATATTTGTTTAGCAAGAGTTACTCGAATTTTTCCTAAGACTTCAACTCTGACCATCAAAACAACCATTCCATTAGCATCTCACTCAACCCAAAGTGTCTTTTCCCCGTCAGAATTAACTTTCCACTTTCTCCATTCTTTTCCTTTCAGCTTACCCCAAAAAGTCCTCCCTTCCTCTATATCGCCGTCATCATAACATTATTGACCACACAATAATACTGTCCCGTCCCGTCCCAGTCATTCATTCATTCACTCAATCCCTTAACAAGTGAAGAAGGGGGTGGACGTGGAACGACGATGCCACATAATGTGCCACATAGAAGTGAAAAAGTAAGTGAAAGTTGTGAAAGTGGCCGATATTCCTCTCGTCGTCTTTATTTGGCCGAGGAGAGGAAATGGACTGGGACGGATGAGAAGTGGGTTTGCTTGCGCAACTTGAGCTGCTTTTCGCAACCAACCACCACCACCACTGACTACGAGAAGCAACATCATCACCGGAACCACCAGTTTCTCCTATTCTGCAATCCAACAGCAGTGTGCTCGCATTGTTGATCGCCTCGCAGAAAGAAGAGCTGTTTTCTTCTTCCTTCTTACTTAGTTTTGCACGGCTGTAGGTGAAGAAGCTCGTCAACTCTCCTCCTTTTCTCGCCTGGCCTGGTCTTAACTGCCCTTAAATCTGTGTGCGTGTTAATTCACACTTTTTGTCCATTTCCCCTGAGTGACTTTCACTTACACAAGGCGAGGTGTCCACTCGAGACGAGACAGTAGTTTAATTCACTCACTTTCACTCTCCGCCATGCCATGAAAAGTCCGGAGAAGAAGATTGCCGTACTCGCAGTAGTGCCGGGTTGATCCCTAGTGAAACCTCCAATTAATTAAGGACAAGGCAAGCAAATTAATTAGAAGAAGAGGAAAAAAAGTCACTATCCAACCAACCAACCAACCAACATTCACCGGAAAAATGTGTTGTTCAATCAGAGCGGCGGCCTTTTTTCTTTCAAGTCTCCATGTGGTAAGGAAAATAACTTTCTCCTTTTGCATTTCCCTACTGCTGCCCGTCTTTGTTTACGGACAAAAAATTCCAACAGGAAAAAAAAACAAAAATAAAAACATACATCTCACCGGGTTCCATTCCTGCATTTCTGCGTTTAATGTCTTCGGATAAAATATATGACCAAGAGGAGAAATATGGTCACCACAAATCCGACCAAAAAAATCGCATGTATCTCCACATGTAGTATGCGAAATCAGTTATATAATGTCCCCTCTGAAATGAAGTGGAGAAAGTAAAGGAGAAACTCATCTCTATTTTTCTCTATGAAAAAAACGACTTTTTCTTCAATGGGGCACTCCACTTTAATTTCTGAGAAAGCATCGTCTTCTTCTTCTTCTCGTTCATTCATTCCCTTCTTTCTTTATGCGATGGATGGCTGGATGGATGGATGAAAAGAGTGAATTAATTGGATGTGAACGAAACACATTTCATGTGTTGTGTATATATTTGAATGTATTCAGCGCTTCTCAATCCCTCCACATACATACATTCAAAATTTTACAATTGAACAACAAACAGGAAAGCAACACTCTCATCCAGAGCACAGCACGAGAAGAAACATGATCTCGTACAAAGAAACTTTTGTACTTATTCATGACTCTCTCTGCACTGCATGCTTTTTGGGGGAGAGGATGAAGAAAAGGGAAATTTATTTGCCGTATGTAACACTACTGAGCTCACTTTCACTCCAACTTTCACTCCTTCATAAGTTATACAGCTGCTAATTTTTTTCCATAATAGTAAATTTGCAGAAGGTATGTACATACACAAGAATGGCAAAACTTACACTGTTGGAAATCTAATATAGTTACGCAGGTATTGATTTCTCGGTGTTACCGCTTGGTATTAAAATTATACCTGTCCGTAAAAATTTACTACCGATATGCTAAAACTTTAATACCAACCTATTCCTACACGGTATTACTTATCAATACTACTTTGGTAGAAAAATATATGAATACCGCTTGGTATTAATTTAATACCGGATTTCTAAGAGTGTCCATACACATACATAGTTTGCTTACTTGTTACCAAACTTGAAACTAACAAGGAGCAATTGAACCTAAAAGTTTGAGCATTTCGTTCGCTCACAATTTGGCCGCATCCTGCTCAAAATTTAAGTGCATCTATGTAGCAGCAGCGGAGAAAGCGAAGTGGGCCATGAAGCAGAAGAGATTTCATGTATTAATTAAGACATGGATTCTCCAACCTCAAATTGATTCTTGGAATAAATTCGGAACGTCTTAAGTGCACGTTTTCCAAGTATTTTTATTTTTCTTCCCAATAACTGTCATCTCACTCTCGTAGCGAGATTTATTTATTTGGTTATCATATTCTCCACTCCACCCAAAATCTGACAGGCATACGTATCCCACATTACTTACAATAGCAAACCTCGTTCTTTGTCTCACTCGGTTCTTCTTCTTCTGGTTTCAGTCAATTTCCTTCTGATTTGGGTAAGCGGATTATATCTTGTCTCTCAAACTTGAGTGAGTGAGTGAGCAGCATAAAGGACTTCCTCCTCCTCGGAGAGATACATATGATAATCTCGCCGTGTTCGTCTTTTACACGGGACAAAGAAAGGCAGTATCAGATTCAGTTTTGCGTTTGCCCTGCCGCTGTCTCGGAGAGGATTACCTGATAAATCTATCCATTACTTGGAACAGAACGGGGAACAGTCTTACACAAATGGACAAACATATTATCCATTATCTAGTCCCATTATCCTCCCAGTCTGGTGTAGCACCATTTCTCTCCACGTGTACCTATGTACGTATGTGTATCCATATTATTAAGCAAGACCAGGTTTTCGTAGTCTCAGATTTTTGAACCGTGACATACTCTCAGAGGAAGTGTCCGACTTAAATCGGGTGGAAGTAGGTACACATACGCACATAGAAACATAGGTAATCTTGCGAATTTCGTATTTCCCGAGATTTCTCTGCTATACACTCTGAAAACCTTAAAGCTTTTCCATGTCCGGGGTATGACAAGGTGTGTGTTTGGATGGATTGGGATGTGGGCGTAGAATTCAAACTGCTACTTAGCTATTGGGAAAAATCGAATAATAAAATTACTGCGTATGCAACTAGGAAAATAAAATCACGCCGTTACGCTTCAGCCGTATTACTTGTATTATAATAACATTTCGGATAAATTCGTTACGTAACAAAGCGTACAAAAGGAAGAAAAAAATATGTTCAAAAGGGAAAAATTTTCCCTCAGATTCTTGGGATTCATCTCTCCAAGAAAGACGAGATCAAGCCTGGATCAAGTTTGAACTCGGTGAAAGAAAGCGAGCGCTTTCTCCATTTAGGGTTAAATTGCTCGAAATTGTTGCAACTTGTGAAAAATCTTTCTCTTTTTCCTGTGTTTTCCAGTATTTTGCAGTCACACAAATGGTCCGTGTTCTCCCGACGGCGATTTCATCACTTTCCAGCAGTAAGAGCATTTATTCCATTTGATTCGATATATTTACAGCAATTTTATTTTTTTCCTGTATGTGTGTACCCGTGATAATACTGGGTCGTTCCTACTTCCATTAAATATTTCTCCCCGTCTCCAATCTCCCTTTGATTTACTTGGAATCGATAGTTTCTCCATGCCGCAAAATATTTCACTTACTTTCTCTCCTCATCTCTGACTACCTACTTTTACCAAGCAACCACCGCTAAAATTTCTCTCTACTGGCGTGTATCGAGCTAAGCCCACGATTCCTACCACCGCCACCAAAAACCACATACATCCATACATTCGCAGACTGTGGGATCAGCTCTACTGAAGATATTTTCATTGCCTCCTGACTCCTTTTAAATAAAGTACGCTGGGGATTTCTGACAGTCCGCGACGCCGAATATTTATAACGCTGGGGGCTCACAGGTGAAAGAATTATGAGGTGTGGAGAATTCCATTAAATGTCAAATTTTCAATTCATTCTGGACTCTGAGAGAGGTTTAAATTTAAATTTTCTATGAATAGAATTTGTTGATATTCAAAACAATAAATAAATACGTAACTTTTATTTATTTAGAAATTTTATTTTCCTCCCCCCCCAAAAAAGCGTGACATCACACATTGATCTCGCATTATTGGAGGTTGGGTGGGTGGGTTTAGGTTAAGTGCACTGGCTGCTAAGCTCAAAAGGATTTATTGAAAATGTGCACACATTTTTCTCCTCATGTCTCTAGCTCCACTTTCACCTCGATGATATTAGCTCACACCACACAGACAAGTACATAGTGCACCACGACCACGAGAGGGGTGTGTGCATCAGGTTGTATCACGTTAGATACATATCCCCCCAAATACACGATTTGTATGGGGCATGTTGTTCTCCGTGCATGATCCTGCTTTCACTTTGCCCACCCCTCTCCTCTTAAACTTCTCTAAGTTCACTTTCACTACCGAAACCACATACATAACTCATTCAATACTTTCTCTGAGCAAATAAAAATTCGACACGATCCTCGATCTCCCCACATTTATCTGCATTTCAACTTTTCTCTCTCCTCTTTTTTAAAGCCGTGGTCGTGACATCGCTCTCTCTCCTTTCGATCTATCGGCATCATAACCGAGGTGAAATTGGGTTTTCTTCTTCTCTACGTGAGACTCACGAGTCGACGTGAGTAGATAAATATAAATATTTAATAAGCACGCATGAAGGGATATCCATCATACTAGATACTACCTTATCGATGGTGGTGGTTTGGTTGTGGAGATCGGGAGGGAAAATAAGTGACAGTTTTCCCTGAATTTTTGTTACCTACCTGTTTACTTTTCAAGATTTGTTTAGATTTGTTATGTAATATTCAGATTTGATATATATATTTTTATATATTCATAGGAACCCTGGAGGCCGTGATGGCCCTGATATTCGCACTATTTTTCTTCTCCAGTGGATTCATGACTTTCCGAGGTGCTGATGAGGTGAGTCGTTGGATGGGCGAGGCCAATTTAATTTTCAATTTACATTCCTCCACTTGAATGGTCAGTTCTGTTCAGTTGTATTCAAGGTTCGGATCGATGGGTGAGTTATCTCTGTAGAAAAAGTACACAGCGTTCCGGACCGGTAGCACTTTTTCACTTCAGCGATCAAAGAATCGTATATACAGACAGACAGAGTGAAAAACGAGAGCTCAAGATGTTGCATTATTTGTTAGGATGGATCGTATACCTTTATCCGTGAAGAATAAAGTTTTTTTTTTGAGGAAAAGTTAAGCCAGTTTTTCCCCGGTCACCATCATCACCGGTGTGTGTCTGGCTATACACGTAGACGGATCTCGGTCGGTGTCAATGTCAAGCCTCTCAAATTGAAAATTGCGAAATAAAATTTCCAAAACTTCTCTGGATAATTGACCATAAAATCTTTTATGTTGTCGACCAGCCATGTTGAATTTCATCCCTTCCTTCAAATTCCATGAGCATCGATCCGATATTACTTTTATTGTATCCTTCATTAATCACATGGTTGCTTGCTTGCTTGGTTATTCACCGAGTTTGAAAATGTATCAAATATTTTGGACATACAATGTCCTCCTGCTACTTGGGATTCAATTACTCGGAAACGTGATTGGTATACAGCACTCGGAATGTTATTACATTTGCTTTCACTTTACTGTTACGCGTGGATTGGATTGGATTGAATCGACTACTGTGTGATGTTACTCTGTCGTCTGAGGAAAGAGGGCAGATTTTCCAGTGGGTGGGTGGCTGGCTGGCAAAGTAAAATTCCTTGCTTTCCTTTCACTGTTTTTTCCTCAGTATTCAGGAATATAGATGACGACAAATTTGCTCTTTTTTTAGAACGTACGTACGTACGATAAGCACACCTGTCACGTCTTTCATGTTACGGCATCCGATTCAATTTCCCAATTGAGAAGGAAAATAGAGAGTCACTTGGTCGGTCACATTGAATTGGACGACATTCATCTAAATGCATTAGGCGACTTGGCCAGAGTAGATTTGTCTTCCTTACACATTCCGAAAACCGCGTTGCACAATCAATTTTATGTAAGATGGACGTAGTACGTAGTGTTATTAATAATTTGCATTTTATTGGCAACCTTTTTATACAGACAGGCCGGCTGCATATGGTTCGTTTTTGATTTAAATTTCAAAAAACCAGACTGAACTGGAATACGTACACAAATTTGGGACTGCTTATTATGGACAAAAGTGTCATGTTAACGCCATCACGATCACGATTCTTCCGGCACAACTTGCACGAGATTATTTTCATGACATAATTACACCAAAGTTTTACCAAAGGAAAAGGATTAATCTGACGCGTTAAACCCCTTTCATAAAACTGTAAATGAACACATGCATAAAGGAGGGAGGGAGGATCGTGATGATGGCGGCGAGACAGGTGATGTGGTGTTTCATTTGCATTTAGATTTGAATTTGAGACAAAACCTATGCACTTCTTCTCCCACCAACCAAGTTTCCACCCACCCGGCAAGTTACGTATTGTCCATTAGCTTACTCATGGCTTAACTCTTATCATTAGTTCGCAAATTCATACGCCATTACTTTTCATACATATGGATGGAGGAGATGCATGAATTGATGAATTTCAACTCGGCTCTTTGTTCTTGTTTACATATGTATCTTGTTGTTCAAAATGGGGGTAAAATTAGCATTAAAATTGTATTAGAATAAATAAAACGTTACACCAATTTCCAAATGATTATGGTTTCCGTAATAGTAAAACTATTTTATTTTACGGATAATAATTCGAAATTTGGAAATAGGTCCATAAACCGTGTCTAAAGCGTCACGGAAATACTTTGCAATTGTAGCCTTAGGTACATTGTGGAGGCAGATTTTTCATTTAAATTCACAACCATACCGGGAGCCCCACAGTTGGCAAAGTTGTTGAGTAAGTACATAAGTAAGTAAGTAAACTAACTACGAAGCAAGCAAAACTACCGATAGTCAAACACACCAGGAGGAGTAATAAGTTACTTTCTCTGCTTTCTTCTTGCACACATAAAGCGAAAGTCAAGCTGTTGTTTGCGCCACGACTACCTTCTCGCTTTCTTCATCTTCCGCACCACTTTGCCTCAAAGGAAGCCACATCTCAGCAGCCCCACCAAAAGCAAAACATAACTACCGTCCTAATTCTGCTAGAGTGGAAACTGAGAAAGTCATGTAAAATGCAAAATATTTGCATTACTTATTTGCAACCGAGGCACATATTTTACACACAACACGGTCAACACACAACCCAACTCAAGGATCTTTAGGTTTTCGGTTGGTCGGTCGGTCGAGGCAGTGACATATGCTTCACACAAATCTCAACTTAGACCTTGTCCTCCTAAATGTGCAAGCAAAGTAAGGAGGAGCAAGTACCTTTTTGTGTACCAGATAAGCAGACCCAATTTAAAATTTGCATTTAAATTTGACAATTTAAGCTCGTGTGTATATGCGCATATACGAAGAGAGATGGGGATGATAAAGCGGTGTGCGTAATAAGTAGGTGCATGTGTACATTACAAGTACAAACAGGCACTACATATGCATTATGATGCCGCATGGAGAAAGCGGCTCTGGTCTGGTCCAAATCGTGATTGATTCTCCTTTTATTACAATCATTTTTCAGTCCGCAGCAGCTTTCAGCGTCACCAATTTAATGAACTTCACACTCTCCACCATTACTCAAAATTCGAATAAGTACAAGTGACGGGGATAATGGTGTAGTACACCAGAGTGGTTTTGGCTACGAGATAATGCATATCTTTAGCAGCTTTTTGGCCTCGTAGTAATTTACTTTCGTACGTCCTCGTCGATGTCAAATGTCAGATGTCACTCGTTCTCTCTCATGTGCTTGCATTGTGCTCTCTCTCCTTCTTCGAAATCCATCCGGGATGGATTTTACAATTAAAATGAGAACTCAGGATGCCGTGCCGTGTATGCAACCCGTTTCACGAGAGAGTCAATCCATCAGTCGGATTCCTGGCTTTGGATTAGTCAGCCCCAGACCCCACCGAACCAGCATTATTAATCCTACCTAAACCAGAGAGATGATGAAAAATGGTGCGTTCATACGGACTCAAACGGATAAAAAGTGTGACGTTGGGAAACAAATGATCAAAGAGCCCCCAAGAGTTGAGAGGAGAGGCTCTAAAAACATCTGCAAACTCTTCTCGTTAAACGAATTGAATGACAGAGAGTGTACCGTGTAAATTGCAAATGAGTTCGAACATCATGTTGGCTTTGTTCTTCAGAGGGAGCGAAACCGTGCTGTCTTGTTTCCATTCGTGGTATGGTGTGATATTCGAGATAGGAAATTAAAGCCGTGTTGGAGAACCAAAACCTCGTCCGCCTCCATTTAAAGTTAAATAATTATCTCATCCAGAGCACTCCATGCACTTTCACTTTCACTACGAGTCCCATTCCTCGTCCCACTTAGCAGGCAAATTACATCATTATGTTTTTTTCCTTGTGCAGAATATTCCCATTTTTGCACATTAATGTTCAACTCTTTATCTCATCCTCCCATTTCATCCGGAGTCTTCCTCTCTTGGCACGGACAGACTTGATCACGAGCAGGATCTAGTTTTTCGTTTAACAAAGCGACAGAGGTTCCTGTTTTGTGTACAGGATTGCGATGGATGGATAATAACTTCATGATTACGATGATGGTTCACGAGGACGACTTAAATCTCGAATATGTACTTTTTCATTTGAAATCTTTTCATTATGAGGAGCTTCATGTCGACACTACATTTTCCACTCGTTCTGCTCCATACGATGTGAAAGTCTGTTATTTGGATTGGAAAAAGTAGAAAGAGGAGAATCATTTGGCTTCGAGCCGGACCAATTTCATCCGCTCGAGAGAAGACAGAAATTGTGGATTTGGGAAATAAAATGAGCTGCAAGCTCACCCACCATGTTGACTAGAATTGCAATTTCGACAAGTTTATATATTTCTATTTCATTCCAGTTGATGAGTTGGAGTCATTCTCATCGAATCATGTCGTCGTTCTAAAATCTACACACGCCTAAAACATTGCCCGGCACCCAGTTATCTGTATTTTATGTGGGGAATGTGATCCCCTCACAAAATGGTGGTCGTAATGAACTAGATCAGCAGATCCTCTGTGCCCAATTATTGATTGGGACACAATGGAACACAATCCCATTATATCAGATTACGCGCAACGTAAGAGTTTTGGTTTCATTCCGTGGCTTGGGTAAAATCGCTATTCTAAAAAAATAGTGCTTTTACTTTCATCGTCCATCCTTGCAATCTAATATGTCTCATTTGAGATTATTGAGAAGTTGTTTCTCTCCCCTTACAGATTTTCCTTTATCTTTATTACTACCGAACCTGATACTTTTTCTGGAGAGAGAGAGATTTTCTCTCAAAATGGGGACGCAAACCATGTTCAACCCAGATTATTTTTTGATCATGTTAGTTTGAAAGAGCAACTCTTTAGAAACAACATTTAGTGCGAGACTTGGGCAGATTCGAAAAATTCAGCAAGTTTTTGGGGCCGCAAGTCGCGAAAATGCTCGGTTTTCCAGCCGAATTTAGGCCTTGCAGCTGCAGTTGTACGTTTTCGCGAACTTACGGAAATTCGCTGAATTTTTCGCATATTCACAAGTGCCGCACTAAATACTTTTGCTAAGGAGTATTGCTCTTTCAAACTACTAACATAGACTGAACTAATAGCATGGTAAAAAAATAATCCGGGTTGAACACCGTTTGCGTCCCCATTGTCAGTCCGTATTTAGTTAGTGAGCTCTTGTTTCCTAGAATGCTACTTAATACTTATCTCTGCGTGGGATGCTTGGTGGATGAAATGTAGAAATCTTTTCCTCAGCAAATCGAATTTGTTTTAGAGATACTTCTTCCTCCACTAAGTAGTTAGTAAGTAGTATAAGACCTCATTTAATAGCTGATCCGCCCATCTCCTCGTCTCTCGTCAGTTGTTCCCTTTCTCTCCTCCTCTCTGTCAATAAATACTTCATGTTATAAAAGTAAAGAGCAAATCGTAATTGGTTGTAAATGGGCTCTCATCAGATCAAAGGCTTTGTCCTTTCTTAAGCCCTCGCTCGCTCTATTTTAGTGGAGAAAGTAGGTACGTAGCAGGGATACAAATTAAATATGTTCACCATGTATTCTGCACAGCTATGTAACTCATAAACTTACAGGCGGACGTTGCACAGTCGCTACACACATTATTATTATGTATGCAGTGCAAATATTCATATTTCGCATGCAAATATCTATATAAACTATAAAATAAAACCTATTTCACAATAAAAAGATCCATTCCTTGAAATTCTAAAATACTTCAAATCGCCCAAGGTCGTAAAGATTTCAGCAAAATTGAATATTTACAAGTCAGCCTCTCTCCCTGTCAATTATTCGCATTCGTTTCACTCCCTGATCACAAGCATCATGATTACTTTGGTAAAGTACATAAAATAAAATAAAAGTATTCAAAAAGCCTTTCGCTGCAGTCGCTCCTCATCAAACCCAACCCAATCCAATCCACGTCTAACTAAAATATTCACCAGATTCCGCTCAGCCTATGCGATTTGAATCTGTCGATGCGGATTAGTATTTAATGACGCTAACGCTGAACAAGGTGCTCCACAGATCGGTTCACACTTCACGCACTCGTACCCAACTTCAAAGTGTGTGTGCTGCAGCCGCCTTTATTTGGCACCACTTGTGTCTGGAGAAAGCTGTTAAAACTAAAAAGTGGTGGTGACGCTAGGTGAAAGCATGGGAAGGTCATTAATGAAATGGTTGGTGGAATGGAACCCGCCGCCGCGTTGGCTGGCTGGTTCGTTGGTTCGTGTCCAAGGGGCCGTGGACTGCATTAGTAATTCTCAAATGTACAATGCACGATAAGAAGTAGGAACAGATTCTTGAGAGAGATTGCCCATTGATATTTCATGGCATGGAAGAAGAAGAAGTAGACCTGGCCATAAATATCTGGGCAGAAATGCTCGATATTCCGCTACAGACGTTCCTTCGTTGTGTGGGTGGTGGTTTTTAGGTGGTCGGCTCGAGTTTAAAGTAGACTGGAGAAAGTGTGAAGGAGAGGAATTATTGGATTAGATCGAATGTCGGGTCAGGTGAAAGCTGCGAGGAAACCATTTGAGTTACATCTCCCCACTACAGATTGAGATTTAAGATGGATAGATTTCAATGCAGTGGGAGAAGGAGGAAGGATAAAGAAAAAACAGGAAAAACGAGGTAGAAACATACAACCTCTCGCCATGTATTTATTGCTTTCTCCTTCTCCTCCTGCCCTAAAGTTGTTGAGGTCGGGAAACGGGCGAGGACTGCAAATAAGTGAGTCTCTGGTGGAAGTGGAGAGAAAGCGGAAATGTTGACGAACTACGTACATACGGCACGTTTTAATGTTTTACTTAGGATATATAGTGGACATTAGTATTTTTTATGGTCACCTTTTTATATTTCCCTTCTGATAAGCAGATTTATTTCCAGGATTATTTTCCACCACGGTAATACTTTCGCTTGCCTAACATAGCTCATTTCTTCGATCTTTTTAACGAAAAAGTTTACTTGGAATGAAATGGAATTGGAATTCTTGAGAACCAACACCTGATCTCGCGAAGATTTAAGAGAGCCTGCAAAGTAAATCATGTTTATTCACGGGGAGGAAAAAATGTCACATGTGCAATTTACGTAATGTGATGGTGTGCGTTACGTAAAAGGGAATAAATAAATGTATGAAGTTTTTTTTTCTTGGGCAGGAATCTCAAGTGCTCATTGCTGGCGGTGGAGTCCTCCTCTTTCTAATTTTGGGGGAAAGATTTACTCTGATGTACTTCGGCCTTATGCTGAACTCGACCCTTCCAGGTGGGTAATGCGGTTGGAAATAATTTGCAGAAATTTTTGATGTAAATATACTGTCAGTACAATGTTATAATTATGAGGTCCTTCTCGTATTCTTAAGTATTTCGTCTGAAAATTATTTCCAGAGGGCGACTTTCTCAACCCATACGGCGATACTATTCCCATCATCTTTACAGGTAGTTTTGCCTACTTTATGTATTGGGAATTTTTCACTATTTTGGGTGCGTTAATTGAAAATTTGTTTCTCAAAGTCCTCCTGTATCTCTTCTACTTTGGCGTATTGGTAATAAAATTATAATTTTACATAAGCTTGGAATAAAGTAACGACAACTCGTTGTCGACGAGTGTACCGTGTTCGTAACGATCTCTTATCGAATGGCCACAATAATTGTCCGCGGAATTCAAATTTATATCGTGTATATGATGAGAAAATAATTTCAGTGTTGTGGCAAATTTTAATTTCGTGGGAAATAATTTTTTCCACTTTATAACAAGTCGTTACGAACTAGGTACCTAATCTTGGCAGCAACTTTATTTCTATGCAGTTAAAATTTGCTTCCCAATTTCTTACTGTTCAAAAATACTTACTAAATCACTTTTCAGTTCGGCTACCACAAAGAACTCCAAGAAAATGATGAGGACCAAATGTCATCCCCAATTCATCACCACAGCAGCCGCGGACGCTCACCCCCACCCGACACCATGGTCATTCCTTAATGTTGTTCATTCAAAAATCTGTATTACAAAACAATATATCAACTTTAACGACAAGAGTTTTCTTGTTTCCTTCATTGCCTACTGGATCAAACGATAGGTTTTTAGACGACTCAATTTTTCGTGCTAGAAATTTTAGTAGAAAGCAAACAATACTTAACAGATTATACGATGTTTATCATTACGGCTCATGTTCTCACTTACTCACTTAACTCACTTATCTATCTTCCATAAATGTTGACTTGTACAGCTACAGAATATTTATGTGTGCATGTGTCTCTGTAAATATCTACTGCATTTCTCGTGTGTTTATGTAAATCAAAATTTTCTCTCTGATGACAATGACACAATAAAGTTTTACGAATTTTTGAGACGGACGGATGAAAATTCTTGCTCCTCATTTATTCAATTATTACAAGGGTGACGTTTCATATGATAAATTGCCCTCCAGGTTCCGGTCATCCTCTCTCCTCAATGGGGCCCGCTACAAGCTTAACGCATTAAAAAGTAGTAAAAGTCAGGACTCCTGCTGGGCCTGAAACTTATTCGGCGGTGGTCTGGTCTGGTCGCGCAGGCAGATCAACTTCAAAACAAGAGCAACAAGATGCTTTCTCTTTCTTGGCTTTCTTTTGGCTGTGTGTGTGTGTGCCGACATTCATGGCCTTTGGCAGAGAAATGTTTACACAGAGAGTGCGTTTTCTTCTCCCAGTTTTTGCAGTCACTGCGAAACTCGAGTAAAAAATGATGCCAATCCTGATTCGATATGACGGGAAAGATTCTGACGGCTGTAAGAGAGGAAGAAAGATTTATTATTTTTCTTTTTGTTTTTATTGTTAAACTGAATCCTGCCATATAAACGGACCGAAATGATGGATAAATGTCGTGGAAATGCGATAACCTGTAATCGGGAGATCATCTTGTTACATGGTTAGTAATCAAATTAAGCAGTATCAAAAATAAAATTTGAATAAATATTTTCTTATGTTCATAATCAATCAAAATGGGACAATACATATTTTTGTGTAGTTACATACACTCATCTTACAGTAATTAGGCATGGGCCACATATTCACATATACATATAAGGTCAGTTCTATATAACAGGTCACACTGAATTTTTTATTGATTGCTGTACTACATAGTCTTCCATTATATTCATAACATGACAATTTAGTCGGCAGATCAAAAAGTTTGAAATGACCCTTTCTAGCGCCTTGATTTTAGAAACATGTGGAAAATTTCCATTGGAAATCCTCTGAATCAAATTTAGAATTCTTAAAATTGCCCTTTATGCTCTGAAAAACCTATAAATTGAATACAAAGTTGCTAATCTTCCGTAATATTTCTCATTGGCGTATATGTTTTACACAGTATATATTTTTACAAAATATCTGCCAAACCATTATAAATGAACCAAACAAGTAAATCCAGCTAGTCCATCCATCCCGTACAATAAATCATACCAAACCGTCACTTCAAATCAAACGAAATCCACCCCACCACCACCGAGAGAACGGTCTTTTAACCAGCCGTGCAACCCAGAATGAATCCCAGCGAGAGTGGCATATCATTAAATTACTTCGTCTTATTTGACTGACTGCACGCCTTATATTTCAGACTCGAACCCTATTTTCTCACGAAGAAGAGCTCAGAATAATCTACTAAAACCACGATAAAAAACATGAAACCAAACCCGAAAAAAAATTGAATTGTATCTCAAGTTCTATATTCAAGAAAAATGGAACGTTCGTTGCACATCCTTTCTCTTTCGTGGAGGCGCAATTGTGATGCTAAGCTAAGAAATCTCACCCTCTTTCCTTGAACATGTCAAGTTGTCCGTCCGTCGAAAAATTCACGTTTGAATTTTTAGGAAATTTTCCAAAAAAAAAACGGAGACGACGACGATCCAACCACATTCTCTACATTCATCCATGGATGGATGGCTAGACTAACATAATAATACGGCTTAATCTTTCCCGTCCCAGTGCTTTCACTCGAACTATAACCCAGCAGAGAAGAGAAGCTGACTGTTTCGCAATACTGGTCTAGATATTCTGTCCTTCATTCACTATATATTTCGTGGGTGGATGGATGGCTAACCTCATTTCGGATTCAAAATCTCGTCTCAGCCTATGCATTAACCGGGTCGGTCCCATCTTAGGATGTCAACTTCATTTATCTTTTAAAAATGGAGAACCTCATCAAAATGTCGGTTAGACAGGACAAGGACAAGAATGTCGGAGGTTAAGAAACGCTCCAAGTTGGAATTTTCGAGTCGAAATCAAACCTCCTTTTTTGTCTTTCACCAAGAAAAATGAGAAACTAATATTCAATCTTTTCTCAAAATGAGAGTTTTACTTTTTATTTATGGTTTTCTTACTTTTTTCCCGTCCAAACTGGACTGGACTTTAGGCATACATAACTCAAACAACTCGATTCACATTTTTTTTGCTCAAACGCACCCATACAGTTCGAAGAAATGGGTAAAAATGTGTCCAAATAAATTCTTGAATGGAAAAGTCGTCGTTATTTTATCAACTTTTTTTCTTTTCCTCGAATTGAACTGAACCACCACCACGCACAAGTTTATTATATATTCGCCCAACTTTTTCACCTAACAAAGAAGAAAATGATGCGTTTTCCAGTCATGAAATAAAACCTGCTTTGAAGAAGGAGAGACTTCCTGGGGGCAAGTTGATGAGTTTTTCATGGCATAAAACACATCTTCACCTTCTCTTTGACCACCTCTTTGGCTCCCCTGGGCTCTGGTGCTGGTGCCCTGGTTTGGTTTTTGTCATTCGGTCCGTACCCAAAGTAAAATTTAATTTCAATTTAACTAATTTCTCCGCCTGCATCTTTTCCTCGAGTGATTTAGCGGCGAAGTTTGTTGTTTTCTGGGAAAAGTTAGTTTATGTGGTTGCTCGCTTGTTGAACTAAACATACATGACGTGAGGTAAATAAATAAATAGTTGGGCAAGGAAAATATAGGTTTCTCGTCTTCTTCATAGCTCGCCGTCCCCGTCGTCGAGGGATAGACAACAGGAGAAAGCACTTTGAGGTGCCAGCAATAAATCTCGGCCGTTGGTCACATAACACAGATATTGATCCCACTTTTGAATTTTGAAAGTAAAGCGTTTTATTTAATGCAAGGGAGGCGGCGAGACGACACGGAGTCATTTCTACACGTCAACTTTCTCCCCGTATAGTTTAGCGAATATGCGAATTTGACTCGACACAAATTTCATATTGAATGCAGCAGCAAGCCTCATGTTTTGCCTCCTTGATACAAACTTTATTTGAATAATTGCCAAAGTTTTCGCCCCAACTGAAAGGAAAGGAAGGATGGAACGATGTCATTTTCTCCTAGGCTGGCCAGCCAACACTCTAATGGCCAACACCACGTTAGCCAAAGATTTTGATACGAGATGATCTATAAGTCAACTTGGGCGAGAGAAGGAGAGAAGAGATCATGATGCTGCTAAATCCTGTCTTTTTCTTTCTGGCATAAAAACCCCATTTCCAACGCGGAGAGAGAAAGTCCAATCCAAAAGTGTACACTTTTTCTACTCCTTTCCTTTCTCCAGGACCATGTCTATTTCCGAATTGCGAAAGAGGAGGCAGAGGCAGAAGCCAAAGTTGAGAAAGCGGAGGAGAGGACACCAAACTTTTATTTTAGTTAGATTGTTGATGTGCAAATGGTGCGAGTAAGTATAGTGAAATAAGTACCATTCACCATACATGCATAATACGCTTTGCATCACCATAACCTCTGGAGAGACCAACTTTTCGTACAGAATATACGTAGTTTCACCTCTTCTTGAACGGAAAAGCAGGCTAATCACTATTTTGCCCATTACGTAAAACGGCACCTGCCTCCTCTTCCTGGAATTTCCTCATCCTCTCCTCCTCAAGAAGGAGAAGAAACTGTTTTATTCCTTCCCAGAAGGAAGTCACGATTTCGAGAGAAATCCTTATCTGCAGTATTTAGGTTAAGGAGAAGAAGGAGCAACTGCATACACGGCTTTCTCTTTCCTACCTCGCTTCTAGCAAAAATGAGATAAGTAAGATTAATAAGAGACGAAGAGGAGAGAGGTGAGTGCGAAAAGTGAGTCCTAAAAACCTGTCGTGTCGTCTCTTCCACTACGAAAATACACTTTTCAATTAGTCCAAAAACTGAAGCGGATTTAAGTCTTGGGGATGAAACAGTTGGTGAGAGAGAGAAAGTTGTGTAGTACACTTGATGATGAGCACAATTTTCACAGCTTTTGCTTATACTCAGGCAGGAGAGAGTTTGTGTTTGTCGGGCTAAATAAATTCTCAACCTCCTCATTTTCTGTCATCCTTCTTGTAGAGCGTAGTTCGTAATCATAAATTTCCCCAATTCCTCAGGCTATGAACTAATTCATGAAATGGATCTGAGAACTGTGTGGTGAAAGTTGTTAAAAATATACTCGGATGACCGTCAACCATCTCATTTAGCGAAACTCTGTCCATGGAATGGAATGAGCTACTTACTTTCTCCACTCTCTCCTGACTGATTACTAAAATTTTAAGCATATTTGAATAGTGGAGAAAAAATGGAGCTCATTTCCTTCAAACTTTCTCAAAAGTGTCGTCCTCCCTTTTTTCGAATGACGCTTCTTCTTCCCTTCATTTCCTGGCACTTCCGAAATTCCGACTTTTTTTATAAAAGTTATGATGTGAAACTACCTCGCAGCATACGGGCAGGCCACCCACTCGACCAAAAAATACACAAAGGAAAAAAACGACTGTTACCCAGAGACAAAAGGTTGCGTAATGTAAACAACATTTTCCCCTATTTGGCAACCCAACCAGTAGCTACGCATCACATCACAATGCAGTTATTCCAATAAAAAAGATTGCGATGATTGGTACGCATCAATAAATCAGCCATGTTTATGTAACTACATAAAACTTGGAGAAAATTGTTGTTCCCGCTTTCAAAATAAAAGTCTTTATCGTTCACTCCTACCTATTTCCTTGGGAGGAATAAATCACCTCGGATCACGCTTCTCCAAGTCTTCGCCAAGAATGCATGCATACCCACGATGGGAAAAACCATGTTACGAAACTATCCTGGATTTTGACACAACCATGGCAGCGTTGTTCTTACGGGGGCATAATCGGGTGAAAGTGAAAGCACAGATCAAGTCATGTCCACCACCAACCACAGCAAAAGCAACAAGCCGCCCCCAGCCAAATGGAATCAATACGTGGCATCATCATCATCATACAAACACAACAGGATATTTAGCATCAAGTCAAACTTCTTCTTTATCAACCGACAACTTTCCCCGTTTTCCTTCTGGTATACATAACATTATTTTGTGAAGATATGTACAGTGTGTCCACTTAA